AGGCTTACAAGTCTCTGAATCGGAAAACTAGTGGCTCCTGCTAAAAAGCGCTGGCAAGAGCGGCAGAGATAGCTATTAGCAATAGACATTTGGAGGCAGTTTAAACAAGAATACATGGACGAGAAACCTCTCTTGGTTTTAGCTTTAGTAAACAGAGTAGCTACTTCACAAGCCTTAGTAGATTCAAAGTGTTTAGTTTATAGAATTGTCTTAAATCGCTTTGTTTATCGCTATTAGCTCTCTTACATACCGATTAAACTAAGGCATTTGCAGTTAGTAGAAGGAATGTTAGAAGACGCAGTATTACGGATTGTTTCTTTTGATTTAGATATTAGAGGACATTAACAAAGGCAAGTCTATGCCTATATAGTTCCTAAAATTAAGGGTTATAAAATGATTTTGGGAAAGTCTTAGTTACGGAAAGAGAAGGCTTTACTTAATGCCGCTAAAGAGTGTCTACTCTTCCAAAATTCTGGGCTAGAGGTTTATAATAAACTAGAGGAGAATTTCTACAGCTATAAGCTAGTTAGTTTAGCTGCTTTTAGCCTTCTTACGACTCGAAAACGCAAGTTACAAGTCTTTACGGCTAGTCTCGCAGATATTACTAAGGTATTAGCCGAAAAGAAGTATATAGACCTACAGACGAAGCTTCCTAGCTAGATTAGTCCAGGGTTCTATAAGGCATTTGATAGAGGGGAGGCAAACAAGCTACTTACCCACCGGGAAGGTATTAATCATGCGATTAAGCTTTTGCAAACGACCGATGGCTCCGAGCAAGCTATCCCGTAGGGCCCGCTCTATAATATATTAAGAGACGAGCTCTTAGTACTCCGTAAGACTCTAATAGAGTTATTAGATAAGGAGTTTATTCGAGTAAGCAACTCGCCGGTAGTAGCCCTAGTTCTCTTTGTACGAAAGCCAGAAGGGGGACTACGATTTTGTTATAATTACCGAGCTCTTAATAAGTTAACCCGCAAGGATCGATACCTACTACCCTTGATTTAAGAGACGCTTAATTGTATTAGAAAGGCTAAATAGTTTATAAAAATAGATGTTATTGTAGTATTCTATAAGATACGGATTAAGGAAGGAGATGAGTGGAAAACAGCTTTCCGAACCCGCTTTAGACTCTATAAATGGCTAGTTACACCTTTTGGTCTTGCAAATGCCTCGAGTACTTTTTAATAATATATTAATCGCACGCTTTAAGAGTTTTTAGACGATTTTGTTTTAGTATATGTAGACGATATTCTAGTCTTTACGGATAGTATACGAGAATAACACCGGGAATACGTTTATAAGGTATTACAAAAGCTCCAGAATGCTAGATTACAGCTCGATATCGATAAATATAAGTTCGAAGTGCAGTTAACGAAGTACCTAGGCTTTATTATTAAAGCAAGGAAAGGATTACAAATAGACTTAGCTAAAGTACAAGCTATTATAGACTAGAAGGCGCCATTAAGTGCAAAAGGCGTTCTTAGCTTTTTAGGCTTTGCAAACTTCTATCGATAATTTATTAAAGACTTCTCTTAAATTACAGCCCCTCTTTACAGACTTATTAAAAAGAATATAACCTTCTATTGGACAAATAAAGCTAATAAAGCATTCGAACGATTAAAGCAAGCTTTTGTTGAGGCTCCGATACTTGCGCAATTCGACCCTAATTATAAGACGGTTTTAGAGACAAATTCTTTAGGATACTACTCAGGAGGTGTGCTTTTATAGTTTAAAAACGGTGTTTTGCGGCTTATAGGCTTCTTTTCCAAAAAACACGCTCTAGCCGAATGCAATTACCCGATTTATAATAAAGAACTACTTGCTATTATTTGTTGTTTAGAAGAATAGGAAGCTAAGCTTAAAAGTATCGGCCAATTTACAGTTCTTATAGATCACAAGAACCTTAAGTACTTTACAACGGTTTGTAAGTTATCTAAGAGGTAGATGCGCTAGTAATTAGTACTTAGCAAGTTTAACTCGGTAATCTAATACCGCCTAGGCAAAGAAGGGGGTCTTCCGGACGCTTTAACTAGAAGGGACTAAGACTTACCAGAAGAAGGTAACAAAAGGCTTGATTACAGAATGGCTTAATTAATCCCAGACGGAATGATTTAAGAAAATGCTATACGATTGGCACCTACAACCATAGGAACCTTAACTAGACATACTTTTACAGACTAGCTACGTGACCTTTGGGAAGAAGGAAAGGCATAAGACAAAGACTTTAAGCGATTGGTAACTATTGTACGATAAGGCGAAAGAGTCTTTCTAGCCAACTTAGCCTCTCTAGTTAAAGTGTTGGTTTCAGACTATGTAGTCGATGAGAACGGGTATTTACGGTTTTGCGGACGCCTTTAGGTCCCTAATTATAAGCTATTACGAACTGCAATAATACAAGAGCTTTATGATTCGGCACTTACGGGTCACCTAGGCAAGAATGGGACAATTGTAGTAGTCTCGAGGGACTTTTTCTAGCCAAATCTACAAGAAGCAGTCAGACAGTTTGTCTACAACTATAGTATTTGCGGACGGACTAAGGTCTAGAGAGACCGTAAGCAAGGACTACTATGACTATTACCGGTTCCTAAGCAGCAATAGCAAGAAGTCTCTGTTGATTTTATTAGTCCACTTCCTTTTAGTTAAGGCTTTGATATAATAATGGTATTTACGGATAGACTTAGTAAAGGAGTCTTGCTGGCTGCCTATCACTCAACGATTATATCAGAAGACTTTGCCAAATTATTTATTACGGCATATTATGGCCTTTATAGGCTCCTAAGGGCTATAGTTTCGGACAGGGGCTTACAATTCATTAGGCAGGCATGGAAAATAGTTTGCAAGCTCTTACGGATCGAACGACGGCTCTCTATAGCCTTTCATCCTCAAACAGATGGAGCAATAGAACGAGCAAATACCGAAGTAGAAGTACTCCTTCGTTAATAGAGCAATTACGCACAGAACGATTGGGCTAATTGGTTGCCTATTGTACAACTAGCTCTTAACGGACGAGATTCGACAACTATAGGTATTAGCCCTTTCCTTTTAAGTTATAGCTATCCGTTGCGGACGATCAACCCCCTGGCGGATGTTATAGCACCCGTAAGACTAAGGTCGCCTTTCCAAAAAGGCGAGGCAATTATTGCTAAAATTAAGGCTATTACGGAATAGGCTTAATCTGAGATGGCTAAGGCACAATAAGATCAAGAGCTTTAGGCCAATCGTTCTAGGAATATCGCTCCTGCTTATAAAGTAGGCGACAAGGTTTATTTAAACTTACGGAACGTACAAACAAAAAGGCCTAGTAAAAAGCTAGACGATCGGGCGGCAAAGTTTATAATTATCGAAGTCATTAACCCCTCTAGCTATAGGCTAGATACGCCGCTAGGAATTTATAACGTTTTCAACGTTGACTTACTACGGCCCGCAGCAAGTGATCCATTCCCAAGCTAAGTATTAGACGACTCCTAGCCACCTACAATTCTTATAGATGGTGCCGATGAGTGAGAAGTGCAAGAGATATTGGACGAAAGGCAAAAGAAGTTACTAGGACGAGGCCGTCGTACACGGCTAGAGTATTTAGTCAAGTGGCAAGGCTATGCAAACCCTACCTGGGAACTAGCTTTAGCTCTAGAGGACACAATGGCATTGGATGAGTACCTAGAACGGAGGAGGAGGGGGGTAATGTTAGGGGTTACACCCGTAGAGTAGTCTTGGAATGCTCCAGCGACGATCTCACGTGACAGAAACTTCCAGAATCTCCATAGCATGTATATAAACTGGCAGAGATACTGGCATTGTACGGCAATCGAACCTTCTTGTACAAAGAAAGCCTCTGTAGCCTTAATCACGTGTATTGACTGCAAGCCCTGACACAAATAACGCGGATCGTTAAAACTTTAATTTTTAATATAAAAATAATTTTTTAATATTAATTTTTCGTTTTAATAAATAAATAAACGAATAAATAATTATAATATTATTCGAAATAATATTATAAAATAAAAAAATCGAAAAATTTCGTTAAATTAAATATTAAAATATAATATTATAATTTTTAATAAAAATTTATATAAAAAATTATATTTTTAATTAATTTTCGTATAATATTATATTAATAATAATTATTTAAACGTTTTTATTCGTAAAAATTTTAATCGATTTTTTAATTTAAAAACGTAAAATAATTTTAATAAATAAATTAATATTTATTATTTAATAATAAAAAATTTATCGAATAATAAAAAATAATATATAAAAATATATAAAAATATTATTTTTTAATAATACGTATTATAAATATTTATTATTTTTAAAATTATAATTAATTATTATTAATAAAATATTTTTTAAAATATTTTTTTAAATTAAAAAAAATTCATAATTTTTAAATAATATAATAATACGATAAAAAATTTAATACGTAAATAAAGAATTAATTCGGTTATTTTTTAAAATTTAAATATATTTTATATATATATATATATATATATATTAAAATAAAAAAATATTATATAAAAAATTTAATTTTATTAAATTTAAAGCTCGGAAACGCTATTATTTTCGGTTTAATTTTTATCGTAAACGATTTAAATAATTCGTAATATAATATATATAATTTAAATAAAAAATTTAAATAAAAAATTTAAATTATATTTAAATTATATTTTTTTTTATTTAAATTACTGTAAAAATAATATATATTAAAACATATATTAAAAATTTGCAGTTTTTATTTCAATGTTTATTACTTCGTTTTCATTGGATCGTACGAACATCTCTCGATCCAGCTCAAGCATTTCTCTTTGTTAACGGTTTTTCTCTTCGCCATTTTGGAACCGGTCGTACTATGGTCGACGGGAAGACAGCAAAAGTTTGGGGCTTGCTGCCGTCTCGTGGCTTCACGAAACGGCTTATAAATATACCGCCGTCTAGTCCCATCCGTGACGATGAGACAGGACGTTACAATATGCTTTCTATAGAGGATTTCCTTATTAATCCGGTTACCAGGTTCGATGGCCTCAGTTGACAGAAGCTATAGCATAGGCTAGAGCATGAATAGACCGTCAGGCCATCCTTCATTATTGCTACGGAGCCCGTCTCCTCCGTTTCCCAAGAATACTTCCTGGTAGTGGTCCTGTCATACTCGTGCTCGTCGTCCATATCCCAGCTTCCTCAGCATCCAAACTCGCGAACACCTCATTCTTACTCCTCTCTGCTGCTTTCCAGATCTCATCCATGCCAAGCTCCTCATCCATACGTGCTCCATAAAAGGCATCGACTAATTGCTCCAAGCGAACCCATGTCCATCCTTGATACCCCTCAACATAAGTACGACCTGGTTGAGGGAAGTCTGCTTCGAAAGCCAAGATCCTCATATCGTCTGAATAACCGGGTGAGGCGAGCACGGAGTCGATGCAAGTTTTGTTGATGACGAGGAAGGTGTTGCTTAGGTACCCTTTCCGTTTCTGTAGGATGTCATGGGGAGAGCGCGGATCGGGTCCTTGAGGAGCGTTGTATTCTTTGTTGGGATCCAGCAGAGTCCGGAAAGCATCTCGAAGCTCGGAATTATCGGCGTTCGGTTCGAGAGATGCAGATACAGTCGATGGGGCGTTGATGAAGGATATCTTCCACGTTTTGTTGAGCAGTTTGGAGCGAGCACCGTTGTTCAGCATTGTTTGGGTGAATATTGCTTGAGTTTTGGACATGAAGAGGTCTCGGCGGTCAGCGCTCATGGTTTGCGCTTCGGAATCCAAAAGAGCTATATAGCCCCATGTTTTCAACATCTTCTCTTCTGAGAATCGTTGGGATAGGGAATTCATCCAAGCGGGAATCGCAGGAGGATTTGGGCCGCCCAGCTTACTTTGCTTCTCATCTCGGCGTTGCTTCTCACGTCGTGTAAATTCGATTGAAGCAAGCGTAAATGCTCGACTCTCATTGGGAAGATAAACAGCTTCACGAACGGCGAAGATCCTGTCTACGAAATCTTGAATCCTGTTGAGACTCCCGTTGAAAATTTGCTGTACCTCGTTGAGTGTAGGCGGAGACCAAAACCTGTTCTTGACGAGTTCAATCTCGTCGTCTGTGAGGATCTCGGGACTTGAAAGCACAGAGCTGAGTAGTTCTGCTCGAGCTCTGGAACTCACTTGTTGGAGATTCGCAACTTCATCCTGGGCATCTGCGAGGTCGAGCAGCTGACGACGCTCGTGCTCCGAGAGGGTAGATGGAGCAGCCAAGACTTTTTGCTCGAGAGTTGGAAACAATTCAACGAGGTCAGGCAGTGAGTCTATTCCGCGGAGAACCCGTAAGTATGAGGCGAGAAAAGGTTCTCCTGCAGGAAGAGGACCAGACATTTCTATGTAAGTTGTCAGGTTCGAGTTGTGATAGGTGCGGTCATATCCACCCCTGTTGTTTCGCTGTACGGAATTTAAAGCAGCGTAGGAGTCTCTTTACCAACGGCGACGTTGTACTCACCTTCTCTCTTAAGGCTGACAGCGGGGACCCTTCGGTGTCAGCGGTGGAGATTTAGAAGAACGTCGTATCGTCGACCGGGCTCATGAATTTATTCCACGAGCGGATATGTGACTAGATTTGTCGTCGGGATAAGCTTACCATTGTGGGTCTGGGCAGGATCATGGCAGCATAGGTAGGTACTTATGCCTGCATACTCGGTAAAGTTTTATTTTGCATGTTGGGCAGAACCGAGAACGTTGGTTGTCATGCAGTACCTAGGTACCTATTTGTACCTGCGACAACTTTAACTGCATCAAGCAACGCGGCAGGCGCTCAGAAGCGAGTTTCTTAGCGAGCCAGCATTTTTAGCCGACCCGACGAAAAGACTGTGCCGCATTCGACCCCATCTCACCTCGTGGCATGACATGACATGACATGACATGATCAGAGTACCAATATCGGACGCGCAGGGATTACCGTAGTCGAGAACATCAACCCAATCTGGAGATGTGCCTGCATTTGTCTCCATCTCCGAAGTTATTCTCAAAATATCTTCAACCACAAGGATCTGCCTCCCACGCCCACTTCTGTCACGAACGATGGACAAGGTCATCACCCGGTCCACCACGCGAAGTTGGCCCGTTCAATATGCTGCCTTCTGAACTTTGGATGGGTTCAGAAATGCCATACCTAGCTAGTACAGTAGGAGGTCAGATGGCCCTTCATTTTGCTCACGCGAGTGGAGAATTCATACTATTGAGCATCCAGCTTACACCGCCGTGCCTTATTTCATTTCACGATAGTAGCAAAAATGGAGATTGACGGGGTGGGAAAGATTTCAGAAGGGGGGCGAAGGAGGAAATGTCAGTGTTGTAGAAAAGAAGCATCAGTTCCCTCAATGCTCATCCAAACCCGGCACGGGCGTCGTTCTTTCTCTCTTCCAATCGCCACCTTCATTTACCTAGTTCAGATTGGTTGTTAGCATGATACTTCTTCCTATTGTAGCAGCATTGTTGCTATGGTCCTACCAAGCACATGCAAAGGCCGTGTTCGCTCATTTCATGGTATGCCAAACCTCGCCCATCAAGTGAGACAACCTCTAATATCTTGTCACAGGTAGGAAATGTAGAATCTTGGACTGTCGACCGATGGACGACCGATATTGATCTCGCCATCGCTGCTCATCTCGATGCCTTTGCTCTCAATATAGCCTACGGAGACGATACAGTCTCTACATCTGTATCGTACGCCTTCCAAGCTGCGAATGCCGCTGGCTTTAAGTTGTTTTTCTCCTTTGACTATGCCGCCTCCACTGGGGGTGCTTGGCCGAAGGACGAAGTGTTGTCCTATTTGACAGCATATGCTACGAATGGTGCATACTTCCAGACTGAAAGCGGACAGCCTTTTGTGTCTACGTTCGAGGGCCCAGCCAATGCGGAAGACTGGCTCGACATCAAAAGTCAGACCGGATGCTTTTTCATGCCAGACTGGTCATCGTTGGGCGCTGCGCCCGCGGCTGCTCTTGGAGTTGCCGATGGCCTCTTTAGCTGGGCAGCATGGCCGTGGGGGGACCAAGATATGGATACCTCTGTTGATGCTGTGAGTATTCCAGTGAGAAACATGTGAGGGCATAGCGTGTATATATGATCATGTGAATGAGGAATAGGAGACAGTTTCCCCTTCAACCACGTTAGACCTACGAGGAGGAGGCTCTGTCTACGAGGTACACTGGCGTTGTTGCAGGGGAAGCCGTCTTCGACAACCCGGTCATGTGCACCTATATCATCCTGCCATGCACACAGTCATAAGAGCTCCTGAGTTAACTTGTTGTGACTATAGTCTTACCTTCAAGTCCTTGGAAACTCGTCAGACGGCGGCCAACCTTACATGATGCCTGTCTCGCCAATGTTCTACACCAACTTGCCAGGCTATGACAAAAACTGGGTATGGCGTGGAGATGACCTGTGGTACGACCGTTGGCAGCAGGTTTTTTTCGTATAGCCCGATTATGTCGAGATTATCAGCTGGAATGACTGGGGAGAATGCCATTATATAGGTCCATTGGATGCGGCTCAATACGATTCAGTATTTAGCTCAGATACTGGCGATGCCGCCTACAACTACGTCAAATCCTTCCCCCACGACGGTTGGCGCGCCATTCTACCATATCTTATTGATCTTTACAAGACAGGAACTACCACGATGGAAGAAGAAATCCTTGTGGTTTGGTCACGCGCCACACTCAGCGATGCATGCTCAAACGATTACACGTCAGGAAACACGGCAAGCCAATTACAGTTCGAATTCGAACCCGCCGCGGTTGTTCAAGACAGTGTATATTTTACTGGGTTGCTCGCCAATACAGCAGACATAACAGTGAACATTGGAGGCCACGATGTAGCAGCAACGTGGACTCACTCGCCGAGTTCCCAGGTAGCTGGCTTCTATCACGGCAGTGCACCTTTCTCTGGAAACACCGGCGAGGTTATAGTTAACCTAGCGAGGGATGGAGCGAGTGTTATGACCATTACCGGTAACTATATCGACGATTCTTGCGTAAATTCTATCATGAACTATAACGCCTGGACTGCCAGCACCACCAACGTTTTCGATTTGGGACTCGAACCGAATATCGAAGGCTTTGTTTGCATCGAAGGCTCAAGCGTGGCAGAATTCGCCGAGCTTTGCGATTTCACATGTGCTTTAGGATATTGTCCTATCAGTGCCTGTGTTTGTTCAAACCTAGGACCTCAACCTACGCTCCCCGATGCGACTGGAGTAATAGGCAACCCGACCATCAATGTCGATTACGAAGGACTTTGCGCATTTGCCTGCAACTATGGCTACTGTCCTTCAGAATACTGTAGCACTGTCGAAGTTGCTGTTCCTACCCCAACCGTTTCACCGTTCACCTTCCCCGCATGTATTGCTGGTTCTGGGTCTGGCGACTTCACAGACTTGTGTGACTGGGCATGTAGCTATGGATACTGCCCTATTGCAGCATGTACTTGCACGGCAACGGGTATTCTCCCCGACACGCCAGCTTCCACTGCCAGCGTGACCGCTTCATTCATCCCAGTTCCGTCAGTCATGGCCTACGATGATCTTTGCAAATGGACCTGCAGTCGAGGGCATTGTCCCAATGTTTGCAGCTCTAACTATGCCTGTGTAAGTGGAACTGGCTCTGGAAATTATGAGGGACTATGCGATTACTCTTGTGGTCGTGGATTCTGCCCCGATCCATGCACATGTCTTGCCAATGGCACAGTGAGCACTCTTGATGGCTACATGGTAAGCCTAATCTCTTGGTATCAATTTATTTCGAGGGTACTTGGACCATGGGATTATTCCTGGGTTTCCTGTTCCTCTCCTGTGTATTGCTTATAAATATGCTTTCACTTGTTCACAGCATACTAACTCTACGACTGTGAACACAGGCGAATACAACTGGATTTGCCAACGCCGGCTTAGATTCAGATTACAACGCTCTTTGCAACTTTACCTGCTCTCATGGGTAAGAGCTCTGAATTATTGATATTTGATCATGGACTCTCTAATTATGTTTCAGGTATTGCCCTGATGGTGCTTGTTCGGAATCGATTAACGTCCCGTCAACGATCTCGATTGATGATGCTACGATGACCGGGCTCGAAAGCTGGGCCACTGCCACTTCTGCGTACAGTTCTGGCGATAGCTTCTCATATACTGCCGCAGCCAATAGTGACATGAGCATTGACATCTCCTTAGTCAACGGCCCAGAGACATTTGACGATGCTACTTGTGCCGGAGCACCGACTGTCTCGGGGACAGACGGAGGCTTCCTCGGGTGTGTAGCCCAAGCTGTGGCGTGGATGACATATGCAGTATATGCCGATGGCGGCCCGGTTGACACTACTCCTGTCCGAAGATCTTCGTTCTCGTCCGACCCTCAATTTCAGTATCATGCAGAATGGCAACCTGCCGGCAACTGCACTACCTCTCACTGTATGCTCATGAATGGCAGCCCCGAAGGTGTTTGGGTTCCGGCTGGAAATGGAACGTATAATGGGACATTTCATGACTTCCACTTTACTCGCACGACGAACAACATTGTTGGGCACAGAGTATGGCCAGGCGGATTCCAGAGCGCTTCAGCTGCGACTGATATGTCCATGGTCAAACCAAGATCCGGAACATTGGCTGGGAGACAGTACAGATGGAGGGGGCAACTAGTCGGTTGGGGAGCATCTTCAAGGGTTGATTGGTATCACAGATCAGACCCCGCTGCATACATGAACTGGTATGATTATGATCGCAAAGGAGCCCTCGATGTCTCCAACACTATTGCTGCGGCCGTCGAGGACACTGTTGCCCAGACGCACTACCCAGAGCTCTGCGTCGGTTTGGCTTATGAAGGCTCAGTAGTCGATACTGGGCTTTGGAACATCGTTGCGAATGGCACAACAGCAACTAACGATATCTCTCTCGCGCAAGCCGAGACTGATCTGACTGGATGTAGTGGCTCATCAGCGGTGATTGTATGCTACGCAAACGCCACTGCTATTGACACGTCCTTGGCCACCGCGGATGATGAGTCCTCAACTGCGCCGACCATTACCAAGCGGATGCTTCAATTCTTCAATTTATTCGGAAGAACTGCAACAAGTGGCTCCGAGGAGACATATGAAGTTACTGATGTGGTTTACAACACTGGAACTCTCCAGTTTGTTGCACCGACCTATCCAAACGGTGGAAACGGCTATTATCTGAACCAAGAGAATGGTTAGTCTTGCAATCCTATCCGAAGTTGGACTTGAAGTGGAGACTCTAGTGTCCAAGAAGTCGTGGCGGACTATCACTCTCAAGTTTTAAAGTATTTTCAACTGTACTGGATGCTGACGCCGCAATAGGTCATGATAGTGCTTATGCACTCCTGAATCCAGGAAACTGCCTTGATGGAACACTTACGGATGATGCAGACACTACAAGCGCAAATCAAGTCACCGTAGTCACAGAGCATGTCCTCGAGCGAGTCACCGGCCGCAACTTCCTCGAATACGTCCAACGCCCCGTAATGGATCTCGCGGACGGCAACGGTGACCGAACTTCGACACTGACAGCCGTTCCGTTCACCACGCTAGCAAATTGGGCAGATCTCCCATATGCCCAGTGGGTCAATAACAATCTGCCGACTGGGTTCCCTACCGCCAACTTGCCTACTGTTGGGTCTGCCTTCACGGATTTTGCAGACGCATTCGGCTCCACAGCCAACCCAGATGTCTTGACCAATCTGGAAGAGTCGCTGAACGGATATAAGGCTCGAGTGTATAGTACCACTATTGATCCGTCTGCGGATGATACCTTTGATCCCCTTACCGAGACACCAACAATAGCAAATACTCAGTCGGCACTCACACTACTGAGACTTGTAAGTTTGGAACATGTGATCTGCAGCTGCACTATGAGTATGAGCCTGACACAATCACAGGGCTTCGGAGTCTTCAATTATATAAATGACGACTACGTCTCTTCTCTCGCGTCTGACTCCTACTCCGACATGCTCACAACCTGGCAGACCTTCGACGAGCTCTATACCCTCGCCAATCCCTCAACACCATCCAATATGGCAGGTCTCTGGGCCGAGTTCATGGATCGCCTCGCGACCAGGATGGTAAATGTTCACAGAACTTATATGAATGATCGACTTGACCAGTTGGCTGCGCCTTGGATCGACATTCAAGCTGCTCCGGCCTCGACATCACAACAACAAATTGATGCGACGAATGCTTTGAATCTGATTTCGCAAATGAGGGCGCAGATAACAACAATTGTCCACTATGATACTTCGGGATTTTCGGGTGCAGGCAGTAAAGCATGATCTTCCTTTTGTAACTATGGTATACTCCTTCATATATAGTATATATTCTCTATATATTTAGACCGTAATGAGCTCTTTTGAATTCCAACTAGTTGAGATGCTGAGATAGAACATGATGTAGAAAGCTAAAATTACCGTGTTCTGATATCTTCGAGTGGAGTGAACTGTCTAAAACTCTCTTAGCTTAAATGCCATCCCGTGAAAGCTAAAACTGGCGAATATCATGAGCACAGTGCTCTAGCCAGCGGCTATTAGAAATGAGGACGAGCAGAACGAAAGAGGTTATAGGAGGTCGAACGCCTAAAGTAACAACCAATTCTTCACGTTTGAAGCTTGACTAATCACCATACAAGGCAGTGTCACAGGAGCCTCATTCGTGATTGCCCATACATACCGCAGCGCACCAAGTCCACAGATCCTAGTCTCACATCGTCTCGAAATCTTGCTGTAGAACATATTATTCGTGAGCTTGGAGAAATTAGTCGCGGACTGTGTTTGAGAGACATTTAATAAGCCTTCTTAGCAATAGAGACACCAGACCTTCTGTTGTACGATAGCCTCAAGTGTCATACAACTCCACGGCTCGACCAGTCGAAAGAATCACGAGGTCTTGCGCGGTCCGTTTCTTTTACACCCGTAACAATTGCCGGCATGGCAATTCTATGTGCTAGTGAAACCCAGTGTTACCATGATATCTCCTCAGCTTCCCCTCTTTCCCATTTTAGCATGCGAATAAGATATCATCGCAATTCTGAGTTTATAAAAACGTCTTCACCTCCTCGTCAAAGACGAAGCCCAAGAATCTCACACAATTGATATCCGCGATGTCTGTAGCCGCGAACGGCAACGCCTATGCTCATGGCTCGGATGCATTCAACTTCACTACTTTCAAGCATTGTATCAATGGTATTCTCACAGACACCAAGCAACACCGTCATGGAGTCAACCCTACAAACCTTCAAGCCGAACCCGAAGTTCCTGTCGCTACCAAGGAGGACGTAGACAAAGCTGTAGACGCAGCTCGTCAGGCCTACAAGACCTGGTCTAGAGTTCCATATGTGGACCGAGTGCGCGCCGTGTTAGCTTATGCGGATGCTGTAGCAGAATGCAAGGAAGAATTCATCCGCCTCCTTACGACGGAACAAGGCAAACCAGTATGCTACGAAAACCGAATCCACCGTTGGGTCACTAATGCCGGTTTATAGACTTGCCAGGCTACGGCTGAGGTCGAAGCCGCGATCGAATGGATGCGTGGTATGGCAGAACTGCGTTTTGATGAGGAGGTTCGTTCGTCGTTATGAATTTCGTTTTGAAGCATGCATTCTACGTGGAGTTTTGATCTGGAGCATCACTAATGTGAATGTCTTTCCTAGGTTATCGAAGAGAGCCCAGAGAGGATAATTACGACGCGTTATCTTCCGCTGGGGGTTGTTGCGGCGATCGTCCCATGGAACTTCCCTACCCTCCTTGCAACTGCTAAGATGTCAGTCTTTGTCGAGCGCGCCAGATGTTGTATGGCCCATCTTAACTCTATAGCTGACGATCTTGCAGAGCTCCAGCAATCCTTACCGGCAACACAATCATCGTGAAACCATCGTAAGAATCCTTCAACTTGCGTTTCTCTCGCCATTTCTGACTTTTTGAGACCTTTCACCCCATATAGCGGACTCAAGCTCGTTGAGCTAGCTCAACGCTTCTTCCCACCTGGAGTTGTCCAATCTTTGAGCGGTGACGACGATCTTGGTCCATGGTTGACTTCACACCCTGGAATTGATAAGATCAGCTTCACAGGCTCTACCCATACGGGAAAATTGGTTGCACAGAGTGCTGCAAAGACCTTGAAAAGAATCACACTTGAACTGTGAGTTAATATCATGCATTCCATTCGTTAGTGGATGCTGAGAGAAGCAGTGGAGGCAATGATGCAGCAATTGTTTGTGAAGACGTCGATATTGCTAAAGTTGCGCCGAAGGTATGTATCATCTTCACATTAAAGGGAGCTTCGAAGTTCTGATACCCACCATTTTAGATTGCTACATTTTGCTTCTTGAACTCAGGCCAAATTTGTCTCTGCATGAAACGTGTATACATCCATAAATCCATCTATGCTGAATTCCGCGAGGCCTTGATCCAGCACGTCAGAACCCTCCAAGTTGGAGACGGCTTTCACCCAGAAACTTTCTGCGGACCGATTCAGAATTCGATGCAATACGATCGAGTCAAAGGCTTTTTTGCCGACATTGAAGAGGAGGGATGGTCAGTCGCAATAGGAGGCAAGGTCGAAAAGTCAGGCGGCTACTACATTAACCCTACGATCATCGACAATCCTCCCGACGACTCTCGAATTGTGGTTGAAGAGCCCTTCGGTAAGTCTTCTTGCTCCAGATTTGTGAAGTCGTTGACTCATACACTGTATCCTGCAGGTCCAATCGTACCTATTTTGGCTTGGGAAGACGAGCAGGAAGTCATCGACAGGGCCAACGAGACTCGCATGGGCCTTGGGGGTTCCGTTTGGTCCAGTGACATTCACAGAGCAAGCAGAATCGCACGCCAGCTAGAATCAGGAACGGTCTGGGTCAACAATCATTTTGACCTCTCTCCCAAAGCTCCTTTTGGAGGCTTCAAGGAAAGCGGAATTGGAGTTGAATGGGGTGTCAACGGCTTGAAGGGGTTCTGTAACTCGCAGACTTTGATGGTGAACAAAACGCCAGTCTAGAGTTTCTTGTTGGTGTTCAAGATCACTGTACCTCATAATCACGCCTCTCGCGTTGTCATTTTTTGGAGAGCCTGTGTTGGCAACTCTGAGGCGCCAACACCCATTGATTTACATCTTTACGCTTTCTTCTCGATTTATAGAAAAATCTCTAGGTCAGTCAGATAAACATACGAAGCCACTTTCTCTAAGGTTCGAACATAGTAATATATCCTAGTAGGTTATCACGAACCCATCCAGCCTTTTCACAATTATAGACGTCACAATTAAATCTCCTCAACTTTACTTTTCCTTACTACATTCCTGACTTCGCACAATTCAATAGCTGAGATGGAAGGACGTCATTCATTCGTCATTCATTCACAGATCTTCTCGCTTCATAAGAATAGCATTCTCGCCTACTATTTTCTTGAAATAGGGGTAAATTGATAGATGGGAAGATTAAGCGAGTTTTATCTTCTCGGAGGGTAAGCTCAAAAGCTGCTCATAGATAGACCATTTTCATTCAATTCTCAGTCTCCAAAATCATAGCATTCAAAAGCTCATGTCCGGGGTCTAACTCTGAATTAGTACACCTGTTTCTGTACTGCGTCTGTGTACTCTGCCAAGCTAGTGGACGCTTGAATGCATCTTGGCTCTCCTTAATTCTTCCGCCTTAGCGATCTCTCCTGTTGTCATTGTCTCCGGTAGTGGTCTGCCGAGGAAACCCGTGCCTAGTCTTTGACGAATATGGTATAGTCTGACAGTGCAGGGTGGTATGCCTCTCCTGCAGTAGATGATCCGAAAAGTATAGCGCCTGACGATTTGTTATTCTTCGAGCACAGAGCCAAGTCTCTGAATATCTGTCCACCAGGGTGGAAGACTTTGAGTTGTTGAGAGAGAAGTACCCATCCTTGCACGAGGTTAGTCTTGCTATGTCCTGCCTCAAGACGAAGGAAGTGCAAACTTGCTGATTGAGCAGGGGCAATCAGAAGAAGGATATTTTCGGAAGTGATCTCAGTGATACGATTTGATTTTCTCACCAGAACCATCAGTTAAGTACCTTGTAGTAAGATATGTATGCGTTGAATTATTCACCGTCACCTGGGAACTTGAAGAGAGGTTGGTGAACTTGACAAGGAAGGTATAGGGAAATTACGCGCTTGAATACATTTATTTCGCAAACTAGAAACAATGGCTGGATTATAGGAAGTGCATACGCTCGAGCATTTTGTATTTGCTTTCACATACTACGGTCCTTTCATTATTGGTCTCCAGAGAATATCTTCACCGGGACCATCCTCTCTCCCAACCCAACCCCGTGAAGGTATCCCGTTTCTTCGAGACTATATTCTTGACTGTCGGGAAGCAAAGCTGAGTATTACAGTACCTTATCTTTCTTCGGCAACTGTAAGTCATTCAGTCTAAGCGAATAAGTAGGCATTGCGAACTATCTCCACTGAGTTCATCTCCGGACACAATTACCGTTGGAGGTAGACACTCGCCTGTAACGAAATGTCAGCAGTGCGAAACAAGTTATCATGCTTCCCAGTAAAGCTCATCGATCGTGGAGAAATACTAACTGCACTTGTCTTCACAAGGGGCAATCCTGCCTATGCCACAATCCCCATCCCAGCCAAACACAGCGAAGAAAACTTCGCTGCATCTCAAAACACCAACAATGCCAGTACAAGGATCGTTAGTTGAGGCATTACCGGCTGTGGAAGCTGCGGGTGGTGGTGGGATGGTGAAGCTGCTCGATGGGGCTGGAGTTGATCCGAAAGTTGGTGTTGGGGCAAGACCAGAGCGGGTTGATGTAGTAGTTCCCGGTTCTGAGGGTATAGTAAAAGACTCTACTGCGATGGTCGTTGCTTTGATGATGCTGATAGAAGTCGCACTGGATATCGAGGAGGTGTTTACCAGGACGCATTCGTTGGAACTATTGGCGAGATAGCCTAATGGTAGAGTGTTTAGTGTTGAACAGTAGAAGTTGTGGGGTGGAAATCTTACCAGCTGCGATTCCACAGTGGGAGTCAAGACTAACAGCCCAAACCATTTGCCTAAAGAACGAGAAGTTAGCACATCATATCGCGCCAGCCATTAATCATTGGTGACTCGCCCTCCAATGCCTCGGCTATCAGCATAAGCCTGTTTCATTTGTATGGTCTCTTGATTGTCGAAGCTCACCCATTGATCCGAATCCCAAGTGACTATTTGGACAGCCGCGATAGGGTCCAATGTTATGATAGGATTGCGAGTGGGGTCATTAAGAATCGCTTCGATCTCCAGAAAAGACAATATCCCAGGAGACTGTGTGCATGGCCCAGCATTGGCTAGTTAAACCCAAAGTATCAGTTTGCTGCAAGTTTGCAACGGAACAGCAACTCACCCCCGCTAGAGAATTGACAGCCTGCTTCTAAACAATTGGGATCTGATGCTGTGAAACCTGTAGAAGTTAGCTTTCTGAAGTTTGGCCGATATGAGAGAAGGGAAAACGGTTGAGCGCCGACGAAAGGAGTTACGAAATTTAAGGATGAACTCACTTCTGCCATAAAATCCATATCCCATAGATACCTGGGCCGGATCGATGTTATTTCTCCACAGTAAGTCCATAGTCTGGATAATCTCCGTGAGATTTGTATGTGCCAACATAATATTTCCAATGTAAGGATCAAAAGCATCCCAAGTTCCATGTAGATCATAAGTCATAACGTTGAACTAAACCAGCAGGTTAGCTTGGAATAGATGTGCATAAGATAGCGATATACCCAATCAATGATTTTCGCAAAGTTTATAATATCAAAGTTCTGCATATACCAGTAGCTGCTGGGAAGGGTCATGGATAACCCATATCTAGAGTTGGGAGAATATGCATCCATAGCTTCTCTCAAATTTTGCATAAAAGAAACATAGTTCGTGAAGTCGGCAACGCTCCCGTTACGATCTGGGGTCACTGGGTATTCCCTAATTCTGTTGCTTAGCTGATATCCCAAAGTGAAGCTAAGGAGTTGTACCAGTCGATATCAACTCCATCAAATCCATATTGAGACATGAAAGATAGGAGAGACGCAAAGAAAGCCGACTGAGCGGAGGTCGAGGCAGCCAATTCGGAAAATGTAAAGGCTGTTGGACCCGGCCAATCGTTGAAAGCCCATCCTCCAATGGACAGCCAGATTTCCAGTCCCGCTTTCTTATTCTTCAGCGCCGTGAACTCCGGAAATAGTGTTAATTCTTCAAGCGTCGCTGGAACAACTTCGAATGTTACGGGGTCTATTGCCAAAAACGAGTAGAGTAGGTGAGTGTAAAGGTCAACTGGGATCTATAGAACGTTAGAGAGAATGACACTTCTGAAGGTTTTCTTTCGTACCTCGCTAGGTGGCATTTCTGTCAAGAACCGATATTAGCTAAATCAGAACTGGGTACAAGGACATGATCAGACTTACGATCACAAGGTCTCGTAATACTCCATCCCTCGTAGTATCCTATAGTCCGAGAAAGTGAGGATGCAGTTTCGTTGCTAGAAGGCTGCGGTACTGTCGTGTTCCCGCAGAAATCTGGAGTTGTTCCACCTAGTTCGTTGATGAGTTTGGAACCCTTCGGAGCAATTCTGGGAGAACTTACAGAACCCAAAGGGACTGCAGCACACATTCAGCGGACAGGTTTCTGCAGAAGCATATGTCGGGCCTAGAAAAATCAGGTCAGGATAAGTCGAGGTTTAGTACAGCTTTCACTTACCCCAAGTAGTGTTGGTCCAGCCTGGGTATGTGCCAGGATCGCACGGCGATGTCAAGTTGCATGTTTGATCTTGGCTCAATGCTGCGATGCAATTCGATTGGGGGGAACAAAAGTCAGGTCCGTAACCACAAAATCCATACGGAGAGCAGCAGGCTAACGTGCATGGATTCCCTTCAGAGCAAGTATAACCCGGGACTGTCTGAGCCGTCACACATGTGAGGATGATTGTCAGACCAATTAGTACTCTATTGAGTAATGTCCTCATTGTCGGAGCTGTCCACGGTAGGATTGGAAAGGCGTAGAGGACTGCGTTTCGCTCTATTCACAGAACTAGTGAGTGGTTTGTTATCTAACATTCCAGGAACAAATGGGAGGATTTGGCTGGAGCTGATCGGTGGAATGCAATGAAATTGTGCGTGGAATCGTTGGATAATTGTGCGAACCTCAATAGACCTAAGGATATCATTCTTACACATTTTACTCAGTTTAATTGATTCTGAGCGTAGTTCGTACAAAAGTTCTTTTCTATGCCTGCGCCCTGGAGGCTGCACTTTGCTTTCTCAGCGTTTAGAATGAACTTAAAGTGGATGCAGCATCGGAATGTTGATTAACCGAGCAGTCACCTTCAAAATCAATTTTGCTAGGAACCCCCGGCGCTGCTAGAATCACCTCAGGACCGAAGTTCATGTCGTTTGAAGATTATGAGCACACTATTGGGTGATTATCAGCTTGACCTAGCTATGTCGAGAAGATACAGATCTTTCTTCTTTCTTCCATTCAGACTGAATAGAGTGAGAATAAGGACACGACGGCATGAAACCCTGTTAACGACCTCCAAGATGCAGGGTAAGAAACCAGTGCAACGCTTGATTGAGGAAGAATCTACAACTCATAAACGCATTGTACGCTGGTCTTTCTGCTGTAGTCAACGCATCGGATTGAGTTGCGAGCAAGTACCGTATCCCCCTCCTTCTCCGTGTAGAGATGGTAATTGCTTCGTGCACAATGCTTACACACTACTTGGCATTGCCCAACTAGAGGATGACAAAGAATCTATTGATGAGCTCTCGTCATTGCACGTGTGCACTTGCTCGATTAGTCGGGAACGATTGTTCAGGCAGTCTGTTGCTGCTCATTTCGCGTTGAAGTTTTGAGTTTGAATATGTTCCTGATGCTCTCGTCGACAACTACCTAGGTATGCGAACTACACTAACAGACGAGTGTCATATTCCCAAGCCGGAAAGTACAGGATCAATTCTCGATTGGCAACACCGTTAAGACACTTTCTAATCAGAAGAATACGGAATGTCGCATGGAAGCAGATGACAGTATGGGACAGACTGAAGCAACTTCAGAGGGAGAGCCGGAAAGCAACGACTGTTGTCTGAGCGAGGTTGCAAGAGCCTATGTTGACGCAAAAGGACATAGTAATCTAACCAATCTGCTAACATCAACTTCTCCAACAGAATAATTGGGTATGATATATCGCTCGATACATCTATCATCCCCATAAAAGGGTCAAGAAGTGTAGTTGGAACTCATCTAAGCATCTTTTCGTTGGCAAACCGCATTGTATGGTCCGTGCATTCTTGGCATCTCGGAGGGGTCCGTCTCGGAACTGGACGACTTGCCACCTTCCGCCAGCGTTTCTTTTTCCGCGGCTGCCGTTGTGGGTCTCGATTGCTTCAAAAATCCCTCTTTGACGGCGGGCCGCTGATAAGCTAGATCCATTGAGTCTGCAACGCGGCCGGAGTCCTCTCTCTGGACGACGGTGAGTACCGGGGCAGGATGAGTATATAAAAATGGTCTCCCCAGTTTGGAATTTGCTATCATCCTCACAAGATTAACTCCTATCACAGCCTGAATCTAACAGCAATACCTATCGTCTAAACACGACAAGAAGACCGTTCTACAAATACAATGGCTGTCAAAACACTCGAAGTCCGCCCTCTCCCACCCCCTCACCCAGATTCGACAGTCGACTTCGGCGCCGAGATCAGCAATGTGGACCTCGAGAATCTTTCTGAAGCCGACTTTCAAGTCATTCGCAATGCCCTGTACAACTCCCATGTCGTTGTCTTGAAGAACCAAGCCGGCCTGTCCCCTCGAGCCCAATATGAGCTCACCAAGCGTTTCGATCCTGCGTCCGACAACTATGGGCACGGCAAGACCCTCGATGCGAAGCGTTCCGTCCTCCACCCCGACCTGAAGACCATTCCTCACCAGCCACAAGTACAAGTCATTGGGAATGGATTCTACGAGGAGTATGAAGGATTGAAGAACATCACGCTGAAGCACCCACACCACAAGACCTTCCACAAGGAGATCATTCCGGAGGAGGACGACCTGGACGCAACCCGGTTCTACCGATGGCACATTGATGCGGCTCTTTATGCCTTGAACCCTCCCAAGGTCACATCACTGCTTGCTGTCAAGGTCCCCGCTGGCAGACGCCAGACTTTACGTTTCGACGATGGAACTGGGGAGGAGATGGACGTTCCTCTTGGAACTACAGCCTTCGTGTCTGGCCAGAACATGTATAACTTGTTGAGCGAGGAAGACAAGGAATTTGTTCGAAATGCCAAGGTCGAGTACGCACCTCATCCATACATCTGGATGTCTCCTGCCAAGAGTCGATCCGATGGTCTTGGAATGATTTCCGAGGGCCTCGAACTGCCATTGTCTGACCTACCACCTATCAATGAGGCAGACATCAAGATCCTGCCAATGTGCTGGAAGAACCCGAACGGTGGCCTTGCTCTCCAAATCCACCCTTCGGCCATTAAGGCGATCCACATGCCAAACGGAGAGGTGATGACTGACTTGAAAGAGGTCAGAGAGCTCGTCCATCGTCTGCAACGACCAGCCATCTCTGCTCAGCATGTTTACCCTCACGACTGGGTGGAAGGCGATCTCGTTCTCTTCAACAACCAGGGTGTTCTTCACTCGGTCGTCGGAGCCTTTAGCCCGGAGGAGCAGAGATTGTTCCGCCAGTGCAACTTGGCCAGCAGCGAGGGTGTGATGGGACCCGATGGAAAGCTGTACTAGACGTTGATGACTGGGCTTGGGGGATGGGGTGGTGGTGGGTGAGATTTGGATGACCTGCATGTGCTTGAACTCCTTTCATGGTTTTTGGGAGAAGTTACGAACTCGGCGTTTGGACGACGCATCTAAGCCTCTTGGAGAGGAACTTGGCGGAGTTGGAACGTAACAAAGCGTAGATACCCCTTTGAATTTGATGCAATTTAGATTTTATTCTTACGTAGTAGCAATGTCACGAATTTTTGGATCTCAAGACTCAGTCCTCCCCGTGACTCCAAAACTTACTATTTGTTTTTTTGATAACATCTCACATTCTATTCAGGCGTCTTGCTTGTGAAATGTCTCTCCTGCCCCTCCATCAGATACACATGTTTCACTTCTGGAATAGATTTTCACATGCAGCACCACATCTCAGCCGTTCTCTGAAATGGGTGTGTTGCACAAGTGCGATAAGATCTTCTCAGCGAATGTAGTGCTACACACCTCGTCGTAAGAGTTCAGCCGCGTGATGTACGTTCGAGCAAGCACCTCTCTCTCGGAAAACTCAAGATTGAAGCTTGTAATTGGAGAGCGATGTTCATCTGAGATAGTCTTTTCTCAGAGCTGCAGCTTGTGATGTTGAGATAGTGGCTTGGAGATACACCAGCGGCACACCGCGGGAACGGGCTTGGACGGTCCGCTATGCACTGTACAGTAAAATGCAAGACACTGGCCTAGTCTTATTTGATCTCCCACCAGTAAAGTGGCATTCTTCGAAGTGTGTCAGCCGTGTGGCGTTGTATTTACGAAGACGGGGAGAGGGAGGCGTCTCAATGACTTGTGACACCTGGCATGCGTGCGATGTGCCCGGGATTTTCTTCCATGGTTCATGAATCAGCTGAGATGAGAACGACAAGTTGACCTGAAGGAGTGAATGATGTCCCCGGATTTATCCCGCACTTGCGCAACCGCATGGGGATCATGATGTGGGGTGATGGATGTTGAATGGCTGGATGAGTGCATGATTGGACCCCGAGTCAAGCGTGCAGATGCAGATGCAGATGCAGATGCTGGAAAGAGAAAAATAACTGTATGTGCTCAGCAGGACGTGGGATGGGACAGAAGAGAGGAAAATGAACAAACATGGCTCCGTTTGGAAATATCTTTCAGGTTACACACACGACCGCAGTTCGTACAGTAATAAGAATCAACCATACATAAGGCATGGATGGCATGTTGTGCCTCGATAATACTGTATCTGATGCATATCACATCCCACTCGCCCCAAACCGACATTCCGCGCCCATGTTCCCTGGCCTGCCCTGGCCTGCCCTGTCCTCAGCTGAACGACCAACGTAACAAGTGAAGAGTCGCAGCAGTCGCATACTGTATCAATCAAGTCCTCGTCGTTCCTTGACTTGATTCGATTCAAAAACCCGGATTTCTCCCACAACCACCAGCAACATCCATCCATTATTGTATCCTGGACATTCGATGACGAAACTCCCGTGAAGGTTGTGGGTTGATGTTTTGTGTTCCTGCTCGTGACCCCCAATTTTCTCGCGCTTTGCCAATATCATCACAGCGCATCCCGCTTCACGACCAAATTGCCGCACTGCCGTGTACTAACAGCAAGTCACCTGGGACCCGGCATCACCGCTATTCTCTGATTCCCATCCGACGACTTCACACTACAGTACAAAGTACGCCGTCCCGCCGAATCCGCTGACGGTAGATGTTCCACTTCCTTTAAAATTCCTGGGAATCTGCTGTGTTGTACTGAGACACGCCTGCAGTGAGATGTGAGAAGGGAGGCATACGCAGCTCGACAACACGAACACCCACTGCACGCATGCTTCATGGCGCGCAGACACAGAGATGGTATTGCTAGAATATCTACAGAAGACGCCGCTCCTGTGTTCGGACAATACCAGATCCCATCCGCACCCGCAGAAGCAGTTGCCGACCTCGGCACCCATTCGAGGATTCCTTTGCAACGATGGCAACAGTTCACCTCCGTTGAATAGGCGGAGTTCGCAGACATGGAGTATATTAGGGCCGGCCGTTAGGATCTTGAAGGGCGGGGTGGACGTGGTTAACAGCACCGTTCTAGGAATGAGAGATGGCTTGACGAAGGAGCAGCGGGTGGCAGCCGCGAGGAGAGAGGAGAGAAGGCAGATTCTAGGATTGCGGATGAAGAATGCGGAGAGTATGGAGCAATGGCAGACTGCTGCCAGAGACCTCGATGTCCTCGAGGACAACGAAGCATGGAAGTTCAATTCTACGTCCTCCGAATTCGATGCTACCATGATCGAAGCACGATTGAAGCAGATGGACAACGCGAGGATTAATTGCGATATCAAACTGATGTTGAATCTGGTACGGACGTCCTTGTCGAGAGATTTGGGCGGAATGGAGAATGTGAGGTTATACAAGCACTCGCATATTGGGACAAAAGACCTGATTGAACGCTACATTGATTCTGCCTTGGCTACGATTCGGGATCTGGTTGAGAAGAGCAAACATACTTTACCAGATGGAATGGAGACCAAGGACATACTGGAGCAGGTTGTGCATGCAAGGCAAGCATTTGGCAGGAGTGCTCTGTTACTCAGTGGAGGCGCAACGTTTGGCATGAACCACATTGGTGTGCTGAAAGCGCTATTCGAAGCACATCTTCTCCCTCGGATCATATCTGGTGCTTCAGCTGGGAGTATTGTCTGTGCAGTTGTTTGTACAAGGACCGACGAGGAGATACCGGACGTTCTTAAAAAGTTCCCATTCGGCAATCTGGACGTTTTTGAGGAGAATGGCAAGGAAGACGGTATTCTAGAACGATTGCGCCGACTTTTGACTCAGGGTGCGTGGATCGACAGCAAGCATTTGACACGAGTTATGCAGGAGATACTTGGCGACATGACGTTTCAAGAAGCCTACAACCGAACGAGACGGATATTGAATATCTGTGTTTCTTCTGCATCCGTGTACGAACTGCCACGTTTGTTGAACTATATTACGGCACCAAATGTGATGATTTGGTCGGCAGTAGCGGCATCATGTTCTGTCCCTCTGTTGTTCTCAGCAGCGCCCCTTTTGGTCAAAAATCCAATCACTGGCGAGAATACTCCTTGGAATCCGACGCCCCAACGCTGGATCGATGGTAGTGTCGACAATGATCTCCCAATGACTCGGTTGGCAGAGATGTTCAATGTTAATCATTTCATTGTCTCGCAGGTCAATCCACACGTTGTTCCATTCTTGGTCAAAGATGAAGAGGCTATTGCAAAAGATGCAAATTCCGAAGGATCTGGTCCCGGATGGGTCTATACTCTTACGAATCTTGCCAAAGATGAGGCTTTACACCGCATGCATGTTCTGGCTGAGCTGGGAATATTCCCAAATCTAGTTACGAAATGCAGATCTGTTCTGAGCCAGAAGTACTCTGGAGATATTACCATCTTGCCTGAAATAGACTACAAGGACTTTCCACGTATCCTGAAGAATCCGACAGCAGATTTCATGGTGCAAGCTTGTCTTTGCGGAGAGCGAGCTACTTGGCCAAAGCTGAGTAGGATAAGGAATCACTGTGCCGTTGAATTGGAGTTAGATGCTGCAGTGCAGAAGCTTCGGGCTAGGGTTGTGTTCAGTCCTAGTCAGGTAGACTTGCGACGAATGACCACAGCCGGATTCACGAATATTCCGAGTAGGGTGGGACGAAAGAGGAGGGAGAGCGGCAGCAACCTTAGCGAATTCAAAATATCCCAATTTGATGGGGAGAATGAGGAAGAAGCCCCGTCAAAGACCAGAAAGAGTTTGTCACGACCACCACTCCGAACCTCGAGCACATACTGGCATGGCACAAGACGCACCTTGCCACCATCTGCCAGACCTGGATCCCGGACTACCCAAGGAACACCCCTTCCTACTCCTGAACCAGGAGATTCGCACTCATTCAAGTTCCAGCCGCTGAAGGCAGCACTTGACCTTCATATCAGCATTCCAGAAATTTCTTCAGCAGGCGAGACGACTCTTTCTCCACCTAGCTCGGACGCTGATATCGATTCCCATACGGACGAAAGTAGCCCCGAACTCGACACATCTGACATGCCTTCACCCGGCTTGTATTACCGTCCCAGAGGAACAGGGAACGAATCGTATGAGATGCTCGACTTCTTTTCAAGTAGTCAGCCTGTTACTTCGGGGACAGATCACGTATTAGCCACAAGTCCACTTTCGAGTAGACCGAATATCGGATTGGCTTTAAGCCCTATATCCATGAAGCTGAGCGGAATATCCACGGTTAAGAGTGCAACGGCACCTAGCAGTCCCGAGGCGAGATACAAGAGGATATTTCATAAAAATCCTCAGGAGAAGGGAGAGAAGTGATTTGAGATGGGAGGGTTTGGACTTTGTTTCTTTTTATTTGAAAGCTGATTGAGATACCATCGTTTTAATGGCATGCAAGCATAGGGCGGAGCGGGAGTTCAGATGAGATACGAAATTATCGTACGGAAGAGGATTGGTGCACAGATTTGGAGTTTTATGGGAACAGCACAGGCTGAGATGGGAGATCATGGCATGATCAGCAAACTTGAGATGTGAAGCATACGGAGATATGAAATAGAATAATTTTGCAACCAAACAGTCTATCCTGTGCTCCTTCCCTTGATCACACCGTCATCCACTATGCTACTCTGAAGACATCCGCCTCAAGATAACAGAGAGAGTACATATACAAGAAAAGCGCCAACATGCTTAGGATTTGGTGTATATATTTAGCAAAAGGACGCCCTTCCACCCCAGCGCCAGCTTTGACCTCATTGCATACAAGATACTGAATGTCGAAGTATTTCTTGTAGCGCGATTTGCGCAAATCGCGCGAATAGCGCAAACGGCGCGGAATGCGCAACACGCGTGAATTGCGGGGAAAGTCGACCTCAGACTTTCGAAAAAGATGAAATTAATTTGCGCAATAAGTTTTCAAGGTAAATTGTGTGTACTATAATGCCCATGCATACCAGTACTTGGCCAGCGATTTGAATATATTTTTCATGATTTCCATCTCGTAGAGACGAATGATGTGGCCAGCACCAAGTTCCTGATATCGGTGGGGATAAGAGCTCGTCAAAGATATGGAATTCGAGGATTTATCGAATTCTCTTTGCTGTGACGTATGTGTCGGATTCTGGGGTGGTGGAAATGAAGATATAAATCGAAGTTCGGACCGCGTACTCGGCTGGTCGATCTAGGGGTTTGGGAGCTCTGTGATCGCAGTAGGAATACGGATTGAAGGTATTGAGGCATCGCCGAGTCCCATTTAACACGTTGAGTTACGTTGAGCTGTCGAGAATGGTATGTCTTGTTGTTTCGAAATGAGATGTACGCATGCTTCTGGAGTGATCGATAGACTGTGAGTTCGAGACTCGAGAGTAACAACTGGAAGTCTGCAACAGGTAGGCACTTGTGAAATGTGTTTGAAATAAATTCAACTCTGGCTCTATTCACGGAGTATGTTCTCGGCATGGCGGGTTGGTAAAGACAGATAGAGCTGGAAGAGCATCTTTCATGTAGGTATTGAGTCGTCGTCCTCCTGATCCATATCTATGCCAGACGCTTCTCTCTCTGGATAGTGATTATTCTTTAGAACATTGATGCGTGTGTGTTTTTGTGTTGCAATTGCATAGCGAACTCGTAGTCTTTCTGATTGGGATTCCTCTATTGGGAGATCGAGTAAAGTAAGCGATGAGTAAAGTGCCCAGGTGATTACCTCGAACTAGCGCGCATCCACGCTATAGGGAAAGAACTACTCCTCACCACTCCTTTCCCTACTTCTAGCCATAGCTCTGAGATAGAGATTAAAACAATCCTGGAAACTAGAGTTGATTTTTCCAGCCTGTCAAGAACTTTTGTCACAGCAGCACTCGAGTGAAGATGGTAATGGTCTTGACAGACATTGGGGTGAGATCCCATGTCATTGCTGCTTCCGGACTTCGGTGCCATGATATTGCCAAAAGCGTTGCATCCGAAGATGGAAGGCACGACAAGACTACAAGAGCTCGATTCTCTGCCGTTCCCTTTCTTCCCTCTTTTTTCTCATGTCTTGCAATCGAGTTGTCCATACATCCAAATTTACGAGTGCGAGTACAGTGAATTGAGAATCTCAGCTGCTAAGCGTGGCCCTCGCTTCTGTGTAGAGAAAAGCAGATCTCCCCACCATGCCTTTCTCCAAACAACGCAAACTCCGTAGTTGTCCAAAACAAGAATACCCGACGATGCCACCTCCTCCGCGTGGTGACTGGTCTCTGCCACCAGAAGAGAGAAGACCACGACGGTATTCATCGACTCGAAAACGATCGATTGCTTCGCCCGGAACACGATCCCATCCATCCTACCTCACAGGAGGCTCGCAATCAACTGCACGTGGACAACATATGCAGCAACCTCCTATCCTGCCTAATGGCGTTGCGTGCTCTTCGCCAGCGTTTGTAAATGGCACTCACCAGGTACGATCCGATTTCTGATTTCACCCCTTTCGTCTGCTTCATACATGGGTCGAGTTCAAAGGTCAAGAAGAGACGCAAGCTGACAGATAGTAGGCATTTACATCGACTTCACCTCCTCAGCGACCGCCATCAATGCAGAGCATGCAACCTGGCCTAGGCCAATACCTTCCCCCAACTCATTATGGCTCTGCTGCGCCTCAGCAACTGCAACCTGCTGCGCAGACAAATCCTTCGGCATACAATACTACTACTGTGACGTCTGGCAGTGCTGTCCTAGTAGTACAGCTACCAGTGCTCCGTTACACCTCGCAGGGTGGTGTCAATGTTGTCCCGCCGCCAGGAACCCCAAGCGCCTTGACCCAGACCTATGAGAACAATACAAAATTGAACTTGTTGGCCGAGAAGTAACGTACTCCCTGTGTACTCCTTATTAGTGCATGTTCTAACGAGATATATTTCCAGCATTACGCAGTATGTGCAGAGCATGTCGTACGCGCAGAGACAAGCCTTATGCAGAGTTGAGAAACGTTCGTCCTCCAGCCGGAAAAAGTAGCTCAGGTGAAGCAACGATGACAGAGAGCGAGCACAGGCACGGAATCTGGTCAAGGTATCAAGGCAGTTACTATCTTGTGAGCTGTAATCTGCGGACAACAAGTAGCGATGCTATGGGCATATATCTGGCTTCAGGCTGGCTTGCTAGCAATGAAGGCAGACATGATGCATGCAAGCATTGAACAATAAAAGATCTGTCCTACCCTGCCTTCATGGTACAAAGCCCATGGGGTACTCTGATCTCATGAACAGAATTGCGAACCTTTTGCCCTTGCAAACGAGTGAATCTAACCTGGAAGCAGCAAAAAAAGACAGAATCATGTGACATTCCCAGCAAATTTAGGACAGAAATGGAAACGTCTTGTGATCTCGAACAAAGGAAACATTCTAGAACTAGGGCCTGAAGCAACAGTTAGCACTTGCAGAGAGTCTTGCGCGCCAGAGGACACCTCTTTCATGGTGTCCACAGCACATCGTGAGATGTTTTCTAAAGACGGAGAGTTCTTTGACAGTAAGATACCTGGGTAAGATCTACAGGGCACGGGCCTCTACGAACTACGGAACCGGAATAAGTACAACAGCGAAGCTTTTGCAGACCGCCTTGGCTTTATGGGCAGAAAGTTTCAGAGTTGGTTGGCGGCAAAAGCGGTCGGTGTGTGGCCAGGACTGGCCGCTTCTGAATAACCAGCCTCGAGTTCTTTCTTTCCTTTATTCTACTTTCGTATGTACAAGTGAATACATATATATGACCATTAGTCTCCTTGTTCTTCAACCAAACATCGGGGTCCCCAAATCTCAGAAGTCTGAAGATCCACCCGCCGTTTACCAGCCTCCCTTTCTAAGCGACCGACTCTCGAGGTCGTCAACGTTCAGGGGCAGTGTGGCTTCGCGAGGTTTCACCAGCGAGGTCAGACCTGCATCCGATCTCGTGAGGCCTGTCAACGCCGTCTCAAGTCCAATGACAGCCGATGCCCGCCGCTGCTCAGCCGCACACCTCAAACTATATCTGTCGGATCTGATATGCTTGAGATGACATTTGCGCGCTACCACTGTAAGATCAGCTCAGATGCGACATCATGAGAAGCCACCATGAGGTCTGTCAACTGTCGAGCCCTCCCTGCGGCCTCCCGGAACCTTGTTTCGGGTTCGATCTCAATGGGATGATGAGGGAGGCATGAGGTGATGGCCAGTTTCGGGTGCAGGAGGTACATAGATTAGATTCACGTTCCCACATCTTTCACTTTTGATGCTCTTCTTGCCTCTTCTCACGATCTTTTGAGCGTCACGTCAAGTCATTTATTTCGATTCACTTCTTGTTGCTGGACAACCTACGAACATTCCCTTCCAACCGATCTAATCATAATCCGCCTTCTTCCCATTCGCTCCAGTCTTCGAATCAGCCTTCCTTCTTTTCATCGTCTAAGTTACAGAAATCAGCAAACATGGGACAAAACCTCTCCTCGAAAGTCGTCGTTGATACTTCGAAAGATGTCATCTCGCCAGCAGACGCCACTAATGAGAAGATTCTCCTCATCCTCTGGCTCAGCTCGGCTTACGCCATTGCGATGATCTGGTCGACCGTCATGTTGTGTGATAGATGGGGAGGACCACATGGAGGGCGGAGGGTCGGATTTGGGAGTGTCCTTGCAGCGATACTTCTGAGTACTGCGTGGCCGCTCGTGTTCGTGTATCTGATGATGAGTAATTAGGAGGTCCAACATGTTTGGAGGGGGACAGATGGAGGTGGGAGGTTGGCAAATGGGAAGAATGGAGTTCAGGCGATAGATGGGACGAGACAATTATTGGCAGAGGGAATGTTCGGCCCCGTTGTAGAGCTGTGTGCGGTGCACAGGCCATTTTTGTTACAGTAGGAGGAGAGTGTCAGCTTCTTTGCAATGGAGAGCTCTTGTTCGAATCTTTATCGTGTCCCTTGGGCTCACGAAGCCTAACATGTGCCATAGGTGATACTCGGGATACGACTCAACTTCAATTACGCGGAACTTGGCACGGTGAGATAGGAGCCAGCTCGCCCCAAAATCATTAATGTGCACCTTCTTTGAGATGACAGCCATTTGTAGGCAAAGGTGTACCATTGAAGAGGCGCGAATGAGGATATCCAGGTAATCCTTCGTACGTAGATTTGCCAGAGTACCTCCATGTGCTAGGTACGTTAATACAGATTGGGTCTTTATACTTTACGATAAATTGTGTACTCAGCAAGTCATTTTACGCCATTTGATTCTATCACCTGGCAAATGAGCCAAAAGTACAACCAATCCCATAATATCGCGGATTTCGATTTGAACGCTAGCATCCAGATTTCTCTTTAATATTCCCCCATCAAACCGAACTAAAAATACAACGATCCCATAGATCAGAAATCTTCTTTCTATCGAATCATTCCAGCTTCTTCTTCTCCCATTCAGTGACCACCGTTCCATCTCGTAAGACAGCTTTGCTCTCAACCCACGTGAATTTCCCCAGCTTAGGCCAAACCACACGCCACAGGAACCAGTAAACTCCACCGAGGACTAGTACAACAAGACCAACGATAGGGTATAGCCAGTACGGCAAACTAGTGTCACCTTTCCCTCCTGGTGGCCGAAGGAATGGTGCAATGAGCAAGAAGCATTGAGCCGCAAGGAAGAAAATTGGAACAATAATCCAAGCCTTGAATGGGCGTGGTAGATCTGGAGCCGTGTATCGCAGAATGAACAGTCCAATGACCACGAATAGGTTGATGATTGAAGACGGATAGCCCTCGACGTCCAAAATGAAGTTGTATGCGTCTCCTGACGGGATTGCGACAATGACGATGAAGCTGGGAATGAAATGCAGCAGGAGTCCAGCTCCAGGCGCTCCCTTTGGCCAGCTTGATGCCCAGAATCGTCCAAATGGAAGTACACCCTCTTTCGCAAGTTCTTGGTTGACTCGAGATTGTGCAAAAGTCACAGTGAGCACGTTTCCGAGGGCAGAGATTGACACGAAGGCTGACATGGCTTGTTGAGCCTTGTGCCCGAACACCCTGAGTGCAAAGTAACCTGCCACCGTTGTTCCGCTGCTGGCAATCTCTTGTGGTGTCGCTGCTGCGAAAAATGCCACGTTTGCGAGAAGGTAAAGAACTGCACATATCCCGAGACCGAGCGGACCGGCAATCTTGAGAGTGTGAACTGGGCGCTTAACCTCGTTGAGAACATATGCGGCGTTATTCCATCCAGCATACGAGTTCAAGACTTTGAATAAAGCAGTTGCGTATGGACCGCTCGAGTTAACTGATCCTGCGAATGAGTTGCGGAATGAGGCGTGAGGATCAGGGATCTTCTCGTCACCGCCACCGAGGACGACAAACCCCGTGATGACAATGAAGACTAAGATCAAGATCTTAATGCTACCGAGTGCGTTCATCAAGCTGACTCCGAGTTTCGGCGTGAAGGTGTGAACACAGGTGACTACTAGAATTACAGCGACGGCAATTCCACGTTCATTCCATGCTGTCACTTTATGACCAATCGCAACGAGAAAGTTGGATGAAAAAATAATGCATCCGCCGGCTGTGAAACCTAGAAGGACAGCTTGGGTCGAGAAGATGATAGTTGCAAGTAGTTTCGGTCGCCTGTACACTGCTTCGAGGTAGACTTTCTCTCCGCCAGATCGTGGGAACATACAGCCGAATTCTAGCCAAACACAAAGGCCAGCGAATGAAAGAATAGCACCGAAGACCCAGAGCATCAATGCTGCTCCCACTGATCCGACCGAGGCGACGATGCTTGATGGTGTGGAGAATATGCCAGTCCCGATGATACGTCCGATACTTGCGGTCCTGTCAATCCTCATCCGAGTGCATAAGATGAGGAGAACTTACATCAAAAAGGTCGTGCTGAACAATCCAAGATGTCGTCCCATACCACCACTGGTATCCTCTGCGAAGCTTAACTCTCCTGGCTCCAGCAGGCGTTCTGCTCCTGGCTTCACCTCATCGCTGCCCCGACTTTGAGATTCGATAGTGACCACAGCATCGGAACTTTTGTTGGGAGAGTCGAACTTGAAGATCGATTGCAGTTGATTGAACGCCATTCTTGCTAACGAGAAGGACAGCTACAACTGATGGCTATGATGAGCGAACTCGATAAAGTCGTATCGCCAGCGCTCTCTCGTCTCGGTATTTGCTCACTTCGTAGACTCCAGTCTTGAGATTTAATTCACATTGACTGAAATTACGAGAGTGCGTTCATGAAATAAAAATGGTTCGGCCCAGCGATATGGTCTGAAATGATGATGCAATGCGTTTGATTTTCTGGTACCGAAAGTAACGAACGGTCTTGATAAACTGCAGAACAATGTGCGACCCAGCTTGCCAGAAGTTGGCCTCAATTGGAATGTGGAGAAGGACTAATTAATTAAGTACCCGAAAAGCTTGGGCAGCTAGAAGCTTTTCTAGCCTGCTCCATAACATCACCCACGAAATGCCAGAGTGGATATTCATCATTCATTGCTGGTATTGCGTTATCTTTAACCTGGCCATTTTGACACACGAACTCCGTGATTGTCGATATGGTGAGGGGAGATGTGCATGTTGCCCCAAATGCACCCTGGTATTACCTGCCCAGATATGATAAGAGAAAAGAATCTGTGCTTAGACCATCGTTCGAAACTATTTGATGTGACGATCATCTAGGAGACAAGATAAGGGTGTGGTATTGTTTAGAGCTGGCTAGCGGCGATGATAGGAATGTAGGGCGGGGGATGAAGTAAGTACAAATGAAAGACTGGTATAGTGGTACGCGATGGAGATGAGGAGAGGACGAAGAGGTGAGAATGATGTGGTCTCTTAGCCACGGTAACTGCAGCCACACGGCAGTGCCTCGGCTTTGAGTCCTAGTGTCTTGGCGCTCCAGCCACCATGGCATTCAAGCCACCCCCAGATTTTCGGGTTTCTCAACTCCATCTCTCATATCCCTCCCCCACTTGTGCCTCGCTCGCGCACGAAAATACCTCAAACACCAACTCTAACATAACATGACACAACACAGTACGGAGCATCCTTCCATTTCTGCAAGTCGCTGTTTTGGCCTCGCCGTTATCTTTACTCTTCCCGCCCATATGAGATGTTTTACTCGGTGCGACGTACTGTACATACGTCCTTTCCTTCCAAAGACCGTCTTGACATATACGCACAAAGCAATTCAAACAAAGCAAAGTCTGCATAGATCATCTCGAGCGTGTTTCCATCTTGCTTTCCTCCAATTCATGCTTCACTCTTTCAAATGGAGTTCATCTACCACGGGTGGGCCGAGGCGGGTCTCGACCATGAATCCTTCAGTTGGAGATGCAGTCCGCTCTATATAAATATCTTTAAACTTTGCAACTTCATTTCTTCGAGACAAAGGTCGGCGGCTAGAGTTCTTGCCACTTGGCAAAAAAGCCAGAACATGCTCATGTGTTCTGTTCAATTTGGCCAAGTGCCCAACCCTGTTACGTTGCAATGCCAGCCAAATCCTGTCGATGGAGATATTTTGGTGGAAATAACTCGCTGGATCGGTCTCGTTGCAACCTTCGCTATGTGTTCAGTCCATCCTTCGACCTGCAGTGATGCTGAGAGCCAATTATTTTGTTACTTTCATTTTGAGCTTCTAGGTACGCTTTCAGATCCCGTGGCTGGGCTCGAGCTCTACTTTCTTTTGTTGGTAGGCAGACTTGTGCCATAGCCCCTCATATATAGAACCAACTGTAAAGTAGGTCATTCGTTTTGTGCTTTGCCTCCAGGTTCCAACAAGACAGCATGTACTAATAGGAGACCCATCCTCCGTAACCATTCATTATATGGATTCGCGAAAACATTTCGATCTCTAAAGTTTATTCAGTCATTTCGTTCCAAAGTCGTCTTCTACCTCCAGTCCCAAAATGAAGACTAACGCTCTATGGTTGCTGTTCCTTACATTCTTCTATACGACGAATGCTCAGCAGATGACGGACTCTACTACTTCAACCGTCTCTGGAAGTCTAACAGATTCCGGAGGTGCATCGACAGTAGTCTCTACAAAGTTATACAACTCAACCAGCTATGTGGTATATACCAGCCCCGTGGTATACTCTTTTCAGTCTTTAATCACCTACACTACAGATGGGAGTGTTGTTATCAGTGAGTCTTAACCTCAACAACGCATGCACTCGAGAGTACTGAATCTCTAGGTACTTTAACTGGTTCCTCATCAACACAAACAGCATCAATAACTGATAGTACGAAGAGTGTCCTACCTACTAGTCAAACAACAAGCCTAGTCTCAGATTCTGCAACGGCTTCGCTCACTCCATTGCTTTCTACCGAAGTTTCCACTGTTACATCCTCAGTCTGCGCGGATACCGCACTTCCTGCATGCCTAACTACGTTTGTGACGACGGACATCGTGACTTTAATGACAACTATCGAATTCTCGACCTTGCTATCTACAACAACACTTTGTCCCACAGGGACAGACGTGTGTGCTACTTCTATCATAAGTAATACGGTCACGGTCACAGCTACAATCCCAGTTCAAACGGCCACTCAAACTACATCCAGCACGAAGGTGGTGACCGTTTCAGACGTACGTATGGTGGCTGAAGATCGAGTATTCAGGCTAACAGAATCCAGATCTCGTCAACCACAACTAGTTCCACCTCTTCTAAGCAAATGGGACCAACAGGTACTGGCACTTTGCAAACCTTGTCCTCGACGGAATCTAGCTCCGAATCTTCTTCTTCGTCAGTGGGACCCAGTACGAAGACTTGGCAGACCTTGACATCCTCATCTGCCTCGAACACCAATGAACTACCAAGCTCTGCAACTTCATCAGCAACACTCACGACCCTTTCCAATTCGGCCACATCCACAAAGGCAACCCTTACGACATCATCTTTATCTTCATCTTCACCAGTATCCACTATGATCTGTGGGACTGACTATGATATCAACTCAATCTCAGCGAATGGCATAAAGTTGAACCTTTCCGCCGGTATGTCTTTTACTCTAGGGACAGACATATATGCTTTGCCTACCGATGTGTTGGGCCCCTACACGCTTAGCGTTGATAACGAGAAGGCAACTCCTTTGGCCACCACGACCGCGACGGCGGGGTCGAAAGTCAAAGCGATGAAGGATAGGCGAGGGCATTTGTTTTGGTAAGGTACATTGACATGAGGAAGGAGCAGGAATGCGTATAGGGGTGCATTTCATTTCTAGTCGTGATTTATGGGAACCGGAAACTTGGGACGCTCGTTTATTTTTGCTTGGACAATGTTTGGATTCATTTCGCGACTTCTGGTTCCTTTCAATGTTTCAAGGCTCCTTTGCTCTGTACTGGCCGACCACCCTCGTTTGTCAAGAATATGTGTAGAATCCTCTCATCATTAGGAATGGATTGAATCATTATACATTGTTGTTCGTTATAACAAGTGGCCGGCTAGGTGTCTGCCCGACTAAGAGTACTCGTGTCAAATTTCAGGTAGCAACTGAGACTGCCCACAAATTATCCTCCTACGTTCCTTGGTTCACCCACCCGATTATTCTACATGGTATCTTTGAGCAATAGCGAAGTATGCTCTCCGGTCAAGTCGAAGGTCCTGTGCCGTACCGTTACAGGTTTGTTTGTAGTTATCTGGTAATTGCTGATATAGGTTGAATTGTTAGTTGCTATCCTTTGTAAACACGACATTGCAGATGACGTACCTTTTTCATCTACTTGGGACGCAAACATATTCCTTGCCCATGCATACTTGCAGGAACTACTTCGACGTATGTTGGTGGCCAGACCAATGTACAATCTCGCTTCGCAGATGTTTCAGAGTACCAACATATTCCCACTTGCTCTCAGCTACCAGCAGGATGAGGTGCCTCTAGTATACGTAATGTTGGGGAAAATGGAGGTCCAACTTCGGACACTACAAGGTCTCGACGTGAGATAGTACCCAGTTGTACTCGTCAAACATCTGACTCGCTCTTTTGCTAGCCCATCCCATGAAAGGGTCTTCGCTGCAAGACAGACTTTGGTCGTTTTGCGGCGTAGGAGCGGCAGGGGCCGGCTGCACTGAAGCTTCGTCTGATGGCGAGGGATATGACAGCGAAGGGTAGTGCTGCATAGGACAACTGTGCGGAAGTGGTAAAATGACATCCCTTGGATCAATCTGCTCATAGGCTGGAGTTTGCTCCAAATCCATAGCATCGTGTTGCGGTAGCTTTGGTGCCAATGCGACATCAGCACGAGTCGAATCTGGCGCAGCCGATGCTAGACTGGCACGGGTCGAGTCTGGGGCGGTGATGCTGCTATTCGGACTCCACGACAAGAGGTCGGTGTAACTGGCATCGGTCCATGAGCCTGCATAGCTACTGCTAGACAAGTGGCCAAAGTTCAAGGATGTCTCTTGACTGCTCACTAGATCCGAAGCATCCCAGAATACGTCGGCATCAGCTGGCAGCTCCACGAAATCTCTGTATGGTACGTTGGTCGTGAACTCTGGAGGACTTCTGTACGATGGATTAGCAATTGATAAGAGTATAGGGTGAAAAACCCCACATAATGTTTGTTCCATCCATATCTTGGTTGGCAACATGAGTCGATGGTTCTAAGATCGGAGTATCCGCTCGAGTCTCCTGGGCTAGATGAGTAGCTACCTCTGTTTCGTTTGGCACCTTTCCAAACATCTTATTCTGAGGACATGTCGCTGGATTACACTACTAGCAGTCAGTACAACCGTAGAATATACCCAAAGGATTCAGACTCACAGCAGATTTTGCAGCTCTATGCTTCTCACAAGCATTCCCTCTATTCTCCGCCACCTTGCGCCTCTTGACCGGATCGTAGGGGCCTTTCTTCTTTCTTTCCAATTCCCTTCCACTTTCCAAACTCCAGGTAGTCATCAAACCAGTTCCATTGAAATCCACAGAGCCCTCTCTTGCGCAAGAACTTGCCCTCGAACCTGGCCTAGAGCCCGCTCTAGATCCTGTCCTCGAAGGAGCTCGTGATGTCGTCCTGGATGCTAACCGGGAGTTTGGTCTGGTACTTCCACCAACTGCTTTCCAATTTCTCAACCCTGCCTTCTGTTTCTGGATAGGTGAAACTTCGACATCTCGTTTCTTTGCAAGGCTGGTCTGAAGATCATTTTCCGGAAGTTCGCAAATGATCTGGATACCTCTTTCTGAGTCGAAGAATTTCTTCAGAGCAGCTTGCATGAGCTGCAATTCCGTTTCAAGAGTAGGGAATGCATAGATAAGTGCATCTTTCAAAGCTTGCGTTCCTCTCTTGGGCGAGAATTGAGGGATCCCGTGCTTGTCACGGAAAATGCGATAGGCAGGCGTTGAGACCGTCGTATTGTCGTCCATTGTGTGACGATTGGATGTGGAGAAGGCAACAAATGTATGGTCAATTGGAAGGCATCAATCATTGTGGAATCAAAGATTAAGAAGAAGTGTTATAGACTGAAGATTGGTTTTGGATGAGGTGAGGATCTAAATGTGGCTCAGCCTGCAGGACGGATGCCGCATTGGGAAAAGTAGCTAAGCTCGATTTAGTGACCGTACGATCACGTGTGGCGCCTCCGTGGCTGCCTGTCTCAGCCGAGATGTACTTCAAACCTCTATTATTGTCCGTTGGAATATTAGATGCATCTAAAAGGAGCCTCTTAGTCTGTTATTCTTGAAAATTGTTTTATTTATGTGTGAGTACGGTCGGTGAAGAACAGTTCAGCCTTTTGACCTCTTCAAGATTGCTATAAATAGAAGCTACTCAAACAGAGAAGTTTGTCCTTCAAGTCTGAATGCCTTGGAATGACAAGAGCCTCTCAAAATAGCATAATGGCGAGCATGTTGCAATCTTGAGGAAGAACGCAATCTCCTCCTTCTCCCCAACAGCCTTTCAGTTTCGAGAGCCTCGATGACCGATGTTCGAAATGGACTGTGACTACTGTCCGGCTATGCTTTGAACACTTCAGAGGCCGCACCAATCGCAGATGTATATATTCAAACCCATCTCTTCGAGGAAGCCAGAAATGCAACAATAAGCGCACTCACGGAAGATCACATTTCTCCTCTGAGCACAGAAGAGCAATGCCTTGAAAACGCACTCGTAATATATACGCAAATAATTTCGTATAGAATGTATCTCTAAGCACTTAGTCTATGTTCGTCAAAGTCCAAGGTCCTACGGCTGATCAATGCCTTCTCAAGTACGCCTCTAGAACCCGAGTATGGCAATCAACAAAGAAGTTGAAGATTGCACTGTAGACCAAGAATATCTTGAATATCGTCTATGAACAGGCATCAAAATCTACCATCCAATCAGTAAAGGAAGCTCTCCATTATGTTTGCCAGCATACGCTTCTACCACCGGACGCCAATAAGCCGCCGTGGATTCTTCGACGAATCTTCCTCTATAAATCCCAGAAATGTAAACGCCATCCAATCCGCACACCATACCTACATATAACCAAAGATGTGAGTGCGAGTCTTTACCAATGCGAAGAAAAGTTTATTGCGTCGCGTCGTCGGTCTCAATTGAGTCCAGGCTCCGGAGGGCGTCTGAGATTAAGACACTATTACGATAGCTTTACCTTCATGGCTTCTCTCTCGCTCCAAGGCAGCTTCTAGCTTAAGAAGCAATTGTGAGGTTCTCACTACCAACTCTAGGGCACGATTAGACCTCTCTCTTCATAGATTCCTGGATCTCTCCTACCTTCATATTGCAATGTATATCCGACATTTGGATCCTCGTCTCTGCCCCGCAAAAGGGGAGGTCGCAAGTCTGTCCTCTCGACGACGCGCAAGCGCAGCCCAATATCTTCTTTCACGGATGACCACAAAAGTCGCTTTTTCTGCTCTTCTCGTGATTCTGATGAAGTGGAAGTTGTTGATAGCGGTGATTGCGACCTCTCGGCCAGCCAATCCCTCCATACCCTCATCAAGCCTTCGCTAATCTTGGTGCTACTGGAGAAATATCCATTTGGTCCTGGCTTGACAATGTTGACCACAGATTGAAGCTGGCAAAAAAGCTCATAGGATTCTAGGTCAACGTTCTGGCATACTAGACCTTCTTTTTGACTTGTGACCTGATCGAGGGTAGCTTGGAGCCAGCCACCAGTTGGTCGTGGGGTCCAGATTTTGCGATCCCCTTCTGGTTGTGCTGGCCGGAAATGGGAATAAAGGCCCCTTAGTCTTCCCAAGTCGCTACAGGTCTCCTTCTCGATGCCACAGCTTTCTCCGTCTAGAGCATCTGTACCAAGATACTCGCAGTTATAATAAGGTGTGCTGAATTTTGCAGAAGGATGATAACATTCGAGAATGAGTTGTCGGTCTGCTACAGAGGCTGCCGCAAGAAGTCGTCGATGAATGATGCTGAGAATAACATTGTGGATACGGCGGGATGTGGTGGCCATGGGAAGAAGAGTACGCGTCGGGAACAGAGACAGGATGCTGATGAGGATCTGCCAATAAGTTGTCAGCATGTAACAGCCCAATTGAGTCACTGTAAGAACATACCTCGTTTGGCAAGGAGCCAATACCCCTGGATGTCCGGTCGATCATCGTATCAACTCAATTGGCAAAAAGATGTATAAGAAACAAAGACAATAAAGTTTGAGTTCTTGGGTAGAAGATGCTGGGACTGGTAGAATTTTATACCGCTACACGTCCTGGAAAGTTCGGATCCTTAATCGGTCCTTGAACGGGGGGCCATGCGAGAATAACATGAGATTGTGATATTGCTGGTCCACTTCATCGAGGTCTGACTCAACGCAGCCCTCTCAGGACAGGGCTGAGTGACAAATTGTCGGTGAGGCTCTTATCTGTTGCAGATGGCTGTGAGGTCGTCCCACTGGATTTGGGAAAGTAGCACTTCCCATTCAACTCAATGATCCGTGGTATTGTCGCATTCAACGGAATGCCCGAGTGAAAGGTGAGACTAGTATGTTCCCATGATGACTCCTACAACTTTTCTATGACGTAGCAGGAGAGATCCTCATTGACCACTTGAAGTTGTTGAGATGCTATGTCCTAGATGTCGCCGCATCTGATGCTGCACGAAGATAAGAATCCTTGCCGATCTGCCGGCTTCGGGGGTTTAAGTCACGTGTCGGCATGGTAGCCCTTTGATATCTGTGATGATGAAGAGTTTCAGGGACGAGGCAGATGAAAAGATTCCACTCTGTGAGACAAAAATTTGAGGCTCCAATTATTGTGGTGAGACTTTCCCATTGCCGAGCCCCTTTATTATGCGAGTAGTCCCGAAAACATCCGTTTTCATTCCGGCCCTTACCGATGTCCGTCCGCCTGCTGTGACAATTTATGAAGCAGGAGTTGAATTCCATTCTCAGATCCTTTCATTATTTCGTACTTTAGGTTTCCCTCAATCATCATCGCAGGCTCAGTTGTACAACATCAAATCGAGGTTCTGAAGAAAAGGCTCTAATGCTCCACTCAAAACTGCAATCGGGCGAGCTCCTAACTTTCTGCCAAAGCGATGTCTGAGGAGATGCAGTGTTCCTTCTGCAGGACAAAGTTGCTACAATCGAATCAACGAGAGAACATCTGGCTCAGAAAATAAACAAGTTCCTCTGGATTCCACTCTTTGTGTCGGAAGCTTGCATGCCCTCCTACAACCTGGTTTGGCACTCGCCCATCCAGGATTGCCACGCAAATCTCGAAGCATATCTTATTCTTCTCCGAAAGTAAAGAGAACTATCACAATCAGCGTTGCTCAGTCAATCGACCATGTTCATGGAGATCTGAAATAATGTGCAGGTGATTTTGCTTGGCGGCTAACAGCAATTCGCTTTTCAAATGTAGGAGCACAACTGGAGTATCTACCTTGAATTCACTGCCAGGCGTGGTGCAGAGTATCCTTCTGCAGAAGTGAAACATTCTCAAAATTCGCTTTGTTTGCCTTCAATCTGTTTGTGAATCGCCATATGCAGGTGAATTACGTCACACCTCGCATACGAAAAGCTCCTTCCCATTCTACCTATATATCACACCACCATATCCATCCTCTTTCATAGCTTCACAATACTCACTTCAACAACAAATCTCTCCAGCTCTCTCAAACCTTACAAAATGGCATCCCGCATTCCTACCTCAACCTCCGTTACGGAGTCCGCCGTTATCGAGGCCAAGTTTAGCGCTGTTTGGCACCTGATCAAGTTGGAGAATTTCGGTCACTTCTGGTCTGCCTTGAAGAACAGCGAGTCTGTCAAGGGTGCTTCTCCTGATACAGACATTGTCAAGTGGACTTTCAAGGATGGAACTGTTTTGGAGGTCAAGCAAGAAGAGCATTCTGTTCGTCGTCCTCATTCTCTTACTTCTTCACTATAGTTCCATCTGCTCTTACCCCTCATTCTGCTTTATGAGTATCTTGTTCGAATCGAGTGAAATTTACTGACCAAATTATGAACACAGGCTATCGATCACTACATCACCTACTCGGTCATCTCTGCTCAACCCCAGTTGACCTACTCGAGTGTTCTCAGCACTGTCCGCTGCTTCCCCATCACCTCTGGTAAGCACGAGGGCCACACTTTCATCCAATGGACTGGAAGCTTCTCCAGCGATGCTGATGCAGGTAAGTTCAACTTCTGTCACCACCTGACATTGCTAATAGTTCAAAGGTGTCATCGAGGATGCTAAGTACAAGCGCCGTGAGGCTCTCGCCGACCTCGCCAAAGCCGCTGCCAAGTTGTGAATTATGAGTAATGAGTCTTTGGCTGCAGAACGATGGATGAATGGTTGACGACGTTGACGGGATTTTGATGAAAGCATGGTACTTGCATGGGTTTATTCTGGTGGGTATGATGGGCATATGGAAGTCCTGCTCATTCCAAAAGTTATGAAAGCTGCAGTAATGGAGCCATTCGGACTTTTATGAATTCCGACCATGATGCTCACTTGCTTCAATTCTGCTGCGAATGGTGAATACCTCGCTTTATTTGAAGCTAATAGCCGACAGTTGAATTACTCGAGGTAAATCTTAGCGAATATGAACAAGCTTCACTCTCACGGACATTGGCAGGTCTCTCTGAGCTCATTCTCCCTGCTTTGAAGCGGGAAGATGAGTTTAGTACAACCACGTGACTACAGATATCTTCAACCCTGACCCCCTCACTTCAAATGTAACCAAGAACCATTGGTATCTAAATTATCAAGTATTAAGCACTTGATTCAATGTCTAAACTACCACCGAACTTTGCCAGAAGATTTTATGAATTGAGTTCTAGAAATCAACCACGTGCCTAACTGAGCCGCGATAATTATCCGGGGTTGACAACCACCTTCCAGATACAGGTTGATGAGCGATTTAAGAGTATATATGTAAGTACTTTGTCTCGTTTACAGCAATTTTTATACTGACATAAATCCAGTACATCTCAGATCCACCATCAAGACCCAATTCGCATCGCCTTGTCGTCAGACATTTTTCATATTGACTAAGACATCACATCCTTGAGCCACAGTATAGAACCAAATCATGACAGATAGAACAGTGCCAATGCAAGTATTGTGTCTAGGCATGTGCCGTACGGGAACTCAATGTACCATCCCTCTGAAGCAAGCATTTCCATGAACAAGACTCAATATTTACAGCACTGGCTGATGCTTTGGTATTGCTGGGCATAAGTCCCATCTACCACATGAGGGAGGTAATGAAGATGGGACATCAGAAATACTGGCTTCCTCTGCTCGAGAAGAAGATCGCCAATGAACCGATAACAAAGGAGGAGTTGGACGAATTCTTGGGAGATTTTGCTGTTGGTTACTTCCCATGATTCTCACATATTTTCAATGACTATAGTTGAAATAAGCTCAGGACAATTTTCTGACGAGACTTGGGCTCTGTAGGGCGTGTCTGATATCCCCGCAGCCATCTTCGCTCCAGAGTTCATGGATGCATATCCAGAGGCAAAGATCGTGCTCACTACTCGCGATGAGGAGAAATGGTTTGAGAGCATGAAAGCCACTATCTGGCACGCCAAAAACTCTCCGTTCGGACAGACAATGAGTGACTACTTGTGGGGCAATGATCGTGAGGGAGAAGGGAAAATGAGGTTTTTAAGACATAATGAAAAGGTCAGAAGTGCGGCAAAGGAGAGAGGGAGAGAGGTGTTGGAGTTCGAGGTTAAGGAGGGGTGGAAACCGCTTTGTAGTTTTCTTGGGCCGGAAGAGCGGAACAGGGAGTTTCCGAGGAGTGATGACTGGGCCGCGTACAAGAAGGAGACCCAAGGGAAGGAAAGCAGTCAGCAATAGTGTAAAGAAGTAAAGTGGACTCTGATGGCAAGCGGCGTTGCTAAAAGGTGTAGCATTTGCAGTATATTTCACTGGCGTTCTCTAAGTTCCGTTCCCTGACCATCCCAACGCCGTGCGACCAATAATTTAGCTTCAATAAATTCCTCATAGCACAGCATACGCACTGGCATAGCTCACCGAGGAATCAGTGATATCCTCCACCTCACTGCTCCTAGCGTACCTAACGAACTTAAATTTCCCACTTGTGCCAGAAGCTTTGCCTTCCTTCTCCAAAACCTCGATAGCAGCCATGACAACTCCGATTGGGTGTCGTCCACAGACGGTATTCCCAGTCTGTTCCAAGTTGTGGAGGAAAGCACTGTGTTTGCCTGATTCAATGGCATCCATTGCTTGTTTATCTAACTCATTGATGCTCTCATAGATAGGCGGATCTGTAGGTGCAGCTTCTCGTCGATGCAGAGATTGGCCTTTGCTGGATTTCGCTTGAATAGCACTTTGTGGTAGGTAGTATGTATATTGGAAGCGTGTACCCCAATGGCAGAAGTCGGAGGATACAACGAACACATTCGTTGGATCGGCTAGGTATTTCGAGAGCAGCTTGCCAAATTGTTGTTCTTTTGATGGGTCGGTATTTCCAACTAGAATCGGAACGAGTGTTGGATACTTTGTCGGATCGTCGAAGGTTTTCGATATCATTCTGTAGATGTACGGCAGATGCATCTCGAGACTGTGTTCCGTTTCGTCATTTTGCGTGCTCATCGTATCAAACTTCCCGGTCTCCTTCAATTCTGCCACTATCTCCTTGTCTATGACAAAATCTCCCAGCGGGGTGGCATATTTCGCATGCCTTGACAACGCGCACCCGGACAGATAATAAGCGTGGGATGGACCGAGAAGGAAGATGCGTTTGCATTTTGAAAGATCGAGGGTTTTGTAAGCCCATGCAGCGGTTTCTCCAGAATACGAATATCCTGCATGCCTTCATTTTGTCAGCAGAAGCCATGAGTGAGATCTGAAAAGCTCACTCACGGCGCAATGATGACCCTTGCGCCAGCGACAGGTAGGTCAGCCCCGTCAATACTCACGCCTTGCAGCCATGCGTCGAGTTCAGATTGGAGCTTCTTGGGATTCGAAGTATACCACGAGCCAGCATGGCTGGCAACTCTTGTAGACATTGCGCTGACGGGAATGGAGATGGAGATGGAGACGGAGACGGGGACGGAGCTTGGGAAGCTCTGTTGTGTTGAAGACGACGTGGGATAAACATGGGCGCGGGGTAGCTTTCTCAACCTCGTCAAGATGGTCCGTGCGCGATATTGAATTGGCATGGGGAGAGGAGGACAAACCCCTTCATTTCTACTTTTCTCTTGCTACAACCACCAACCCACACAATACCCATTCTAAAAAGCTCTGCTTCGCACAACAACCATGCTTACCATACGGCACTGCTATTGTCGCTACGACAGACAGAACCTAGATGCCTGTTATTATCTGCAATTCCGGCTGTTTCGACGTAATTTGCCTGGCACACTTCTCACCTCACCTGTCCATTTTGGACGAGGACTTTGGAATGATGACTTTGGATATTCATCTGAAGTATAAACCACATCTCGAGCATTCTATGAACAGTATGGGCTCGTACGAATAGTCGATTGATAGTGCCGAAGCTCTCTGAAAGATTTAACTCTGCCCTAGCCACCGGATATTACGGTTGCAATCACTCACTTATCCTGTCGGTTCGTTCCCTTCTGGCTCCCTCCCTTTCGAGTAAGTCAAATAGTGCGTAATTTTATACTATAGTGGCCTTGATCGGGGTGTGGCGTTAATAAGACATTGAAAAAAGCATTTAAGACAGTGGTAATTGGAAATCTATCGAAATTCCATTCATATTAATAACGCATAGTTGCTTGAATACTTATGATTTGGTGTTTCTTTACACTCGTGGTCTTCTGGGCCGTCCACTCTTTCGCGATTCCCTCGAAATCCGTTTGAAAATGTCGTTCGTTTCGTCCTTTTGCACGGTCATTTCTGTTTTCTTATTCATTTGTTCTTCTCAAGCACATACACACCCACGCGGGCATGCTCGTGCTCATTCTCACACGCAACATGGACATCCCCGTAGATCTGCTCCATCATACAGCCCCACATCTAAGTCAAACGTTGCACTTTATTGGGTGAGCAATCTTTCTCCCCATGCTATTTATAACGCTGACATGATTCTAGGGCCAAGGAGCGGGTCAACAACGTCTGCTACATTTTTGCAACCAGACCACTGTGGACATCATCCCGATAGCCTTTCTCAACGTTTTCCCTGCTCAAGGAAATGGATATCCGGGAGATAACCTTGGGAATCAGTGTTGGGGCGCACCCTACGTGTTCTCAGGTCCTGGAAACAATACAAGCTTGAACCAACTACAATCAGAATGCCCACAAATCGTCGAAGATATTCCTGTATGCCAATCAACTTATGGAAAAAAGATTATTCCATCATTAGGAGGTGCAACAGCTACATACCAACTTACCGGTGCTGCTGAAGGCGTGGCCTTTGCAGACTTTCTCTGGGGTGCATTCGGACCCCAAACTGCTTCGTGGTTGGCGAGTGGCCTCCCGCGACCTTTTGACGGCCCTAACAATTTAGCCGTTGAGGTTGACGGCTTCGATTTCGATATCGAGTACGCTCCAACTGGTGAGTTGTACCTACAAATGATCAGACCACATGTAGCTGATAACAGCGCATACAGATGGCTCAGCAGGTTATATTGCAATGATACAGCGCCTACGCAGATTGTTCCAGAGTGCAAGCAAAACTTACTTGATCACCGGAGCTCCTCAGTGTGTCGTACCAGATGCGAATATGGGAGCAATGATCTCTCAAACACAATTTGACATCATATGGGTACAATACTATAACACTCCTCAGTGTTCGGCACGCAACTGGGCCAACGCCAATCCGAATTATGGAAGCACTGGGCTTGAGCTTCCAAGTGGATTTAGTTACAACACCTGGGAGACGTTCTTAGTTGGGACAGCTAGTGCTAACGCTAAATTATACATTGGCGTACCTGGAGGTCCCACATCAGACGCCAACTATCTCAATGTAACAGAGATAGCAAATCTAGCAAAAGCATATTTTTGCAAGCCAAACTTTGGAGGGATTATGATCTGGGAGGCCACAGTAGCCGAGGCAAATCCTTCTGGGCCTTACTATTCTACCGTGAAGAAGATCTTGACCGGGTATCAGAATTCATTATGCACCACATTCTCAACCACATCGGTAAGCAGCAAATCATCGACGCTCCTGACAAGTACAACATCGAGTTCAAAAGTTTTGCTCAAGAGCTCCACTAGCAACGTCAAAACCAGCATGACATCGAGCTCGAAAGTTTTGCTTGTCAGCTCAAGCAACAGTGTGAAAACAAGCACGGTTTCGAGCTCGAAAACCTCAGCCAAGAGCTCACCCAGTAGCGTCAAAACAAGTACGACACCGAGCTCGAAGACTTCATTCAAGACCTCGACCAGCAGCGTCAACACAGGCACCTCTTCCCCCATTCATCTCTCAACAACGAAATCCACATCAGCAAGCTCATCCAGTAAAGCTCAATCTGCACAGTCTTCATCCTCCACTACGCTTTGCACCACTACCAAACAAATCACTACTCTGGTGTCGAGGACCGTGTACATCCCAGCTAGTTCGATCAAATCTTCTTCCAGCAGTAAGACAAGCCTCAGTTCGTCCAAAACGACCGTCTCCTCCCAGACACCCTCCCCGACAGTCGTGGTGCCTGCTGGTGCTTGTGGTCCTGTTTATAATGTTGCTTGTGCCAGCGGATATTGCTGTTCACAGTACGGTTATTGCGGGACTTCGTCCGCATTCTGCGGAACTGGATGCCAGGCGGCTTTTGGAACTTGTAGTTAGATTGATAAGTCGCGTTTACAAGGCATGTAACTTCACGCTCTTCGTTTCATGTTGAGATTTATGGTGAGCATATGTTTCCTTTCTGCGGGTGGCTTGACAGATTCTCCTTCCTCACCTACAATGTCAAGGACGCTTGTCAGTGGTACTCTCAAGCAGATCTCAAGAGTTTTCAAAGCAAGTGTATTCTTGGCTTCACTCGAAATCTATTTAATTATCTGATCTTGGTTGAACTTCTGTTGTGCTCAACCATATATTTGAGTCCTCGTCTAGCTGTGCTTAAACTTTCCCTTGTTTGGCCATCCGGACACCTCTCCATGTAATCTCCTTCGAATGTTGGCTGCGATATTCTCCAGCCTTGTAATTTTTCTTCTTTAGGCCCATCCGCGGAGTACCGCAGGGTCTTCAAAATTGCGCGCTCCCCACTTCGAAGAACGCACCGATTAAGAGATCTGGAGTACAAAAGTGCAGTCATCGGCAAGGAATCATTCAGCTTCAGCCAGGTAGTACACTTTGCATAATCCCCAGTAGTGCTCGCTATTGGCCCGGTTGGCGACGATACATCCTACTCTTCTCATGGCTTGGCGTAGAAGTGAATTCCCCTCTCGTGGCTTTTTGCCAAAATAATTGGGTTGTTTGAGAGTCTCTGGATGATACCCATGGATCTTGTGGACGCGAATTGCCTTCTTACTGTGCTTCTCCCGCTTGGTCTTCTTCTTCTCGGATGGTATGACCCTCTTAAAGTTGACGTCCGCGGGTTGTTATCGTTGTGTGCTGCTCCTCGCCTTCTTTTCCTGTTTGTGAGCTGACTTCGACGTCCACGAGGGGTTGCGAAATTTGTCCTTGCCGGAGTTTGGTTCGCGGCCGCTAGATCGTGACTTGTTTTTTTTTTCTCAATTCTGATGCGTTGCTCCCCAGATATTGGAAGACTCATTAGTAGCCTCTGTAGCTGAGCCTCCGCTTTCAGAAACTCGATTGCATCACATTGGGCATCATATTCGGCGCTCTTCAACGGGTACGAAAGCACTTGATCCACCTCATTGAGCTTTGTATTTTGTCAGCAAGCTAATACCTGAGAATAGGTGAGGGAGGGGAGTTTTACCAGTTGGAAATCTATGGTGGCGTTTTCATCGTCCGGATTCTTATCGTGATGGCGGGCTCAGGAGAGAGTCCTATACACTGCTTTGATCTTGAAGGCGTCACACTCCTTTGAGGCTTCTTGGACTTCATAGTAGTTGGGGAATGATATCTTGTAGGTTGCTTTAAAGAAAACATGGTTCGAGAATAGGCTTTTCTATTGGCGAAATTTGTTTGGGTTTGAAGTGAAAAGCGCTGAGGGATAACAAACCCCATGAGACCATGGGAGCTTGCTTAAATTTATAAACTGTTCTAAACTTTAGTCTCGATGGCAATCCACGTTGACCAATATTTGAAAGTTGTTGTTATGGCAAGCTAATGATGCTGTTCAGGATATATATGTGAAGTTGGACTAGCCTGTCACGTCCGTGAAGCCTCGTCAATGGTATCCAATTCAGGAAGCAAGGTATAATATTATAGGATCGTACAAAAATCGAGGTACCTGGACAACTAGCCACTTTCATGGTAATCATCGTGAACGCGACGGACTACGTGACTGCTGCCGAAATAGATTCGACACCGACCTCGAGAAAATATCGCGCTAGACCGACGTCAGTAACTCGCTCTTCATACCTGATTCGCCAGCCTGAGCTTTAGGCTTGCAATCTTAATAAGTTTAAATAAGCATTTCTTCTGTCACTAAGTCCGGAAACCAAAGGATGCTAATATACTGTTAACTCAGTTGACAGCTCCAGATGGACTTAGGCACGTCATAACGAATTCCGCCATAACGCGACTTTAAAAACTGCACCCGACACCGAGCAAGTTTTCTACGATCTCCCCTAATCGACAGGTGAGATCCGAGTTTTTGTTTCTGACCCGTGTTTTTCTTTTTCGTCTATTTTTGATTGGGTGGTTGTGAGATTTTTTTGGACTCGATTTTCGCGACGTTTGTTTACTTTTTTTAAGCGAGGTCAAAAAAACAGGAGTCTTACTGTAAAATCTGGTGTATCTTGTGCGACGGAGATACGGTGGGTGCCTCTATAAAGATTTGTAGCCGTAGTTATTGAGGCCGGTCTGATCCTTTAAATGGAAATTAAACGGCAAAGGGACTGCTCTGATGGTTTCAGTATCATATAAATATGCCATGTAGGATCTACTTGCAGCACTTGCCGCGAACACAAAGCTAGTAATGAACGCTTGACTTGATCACAGTATCAAAGATTGTGCAAGAATAAAGTACATATCTATTTTGTATCTCTTACACGCTAATAGCAGCCATCTAGACCACTATCCACTTCTCATGCATTGACAAATGAAATTTGTTTCTATTCGACCCTCAAGCTTTGCAATCGGGCTTCTGTAGCAATGACCTATCTAGATGTTAGATGAGTAAACTAATCACGATGGAAGAGAACTTACATCTAGAGCCTGTTGCACCTCGAGCACTTTCCTAACCTCGCCCAGCCAGTCCCTACTCAACGTCTTTGCCCATCCTTGCAGCCCATTCATCTCTCTTGCCGCGTTATCCAGATCACCTTCCTCAAGGAAAGTCTCTGTTCTGGTCAAGATACTCTCCACATCATCTCCGGTAGCGAGACCCTTCTTCTTGAATAATAATTTGCTCAATAAGTAACTCGAAGCGTGACTCGCAACACCAGCTTCCTCGGGAAGCAATGAAGCTTTACGAACCTCACTTGCAACGCGGCGGAATCGGTCAATAAGGTGTGCTGATGAAGGAACTCCTCTTTGATAAGCAGTAGGGTTGATGGATGCGATTGCAGCATTTACGACGGGATCGTCCGAAGCAATTTCTTTCAAGGCTGCAAGTTCTCGGACGAATGGCCTAGGGATCTCGCTTTTCTCCAGATTGGAGCGGACAGCCTCAACAGCGACATGGAGATGTTGAGTCTTCAAGTTAGCATCAACTACTGAGTTCCAATCTGTAGTGAGCTTCTCCAGCTCGTTGACGGTGTTCGACAAAACAGAAAGCTTGCCAAGACGAGCACCACGCTCTTCTTCGACCTTGTCTTTCACTTCTTGTATGAATTTGCGTTTCATCTCAATTGCCTGCTCCAGAAGACTGTTACGCAAACGTTGTTCATTGACCTCGTTTGCTTTCTCGATTTCAGCTTTCAGCTTTTGTTCATAATTTTGAACAATCTTCTGGCGTTCGGTTTGATATTCTTCTTGCCATTCTGATTGCTGGTGTTGCATCTCAGCTTCTACGCGTCGAATGAGTTCTTTCGCAGCACGATCAAAATCCTCCTTCTCGGCCCTGATTTTGGCTTCGGCCTCCTTCTGTATGGCGGCTTTCAAGCCTTTGATCTTGGATCCGACTTTTGTTAATTCGCCCTTGGCCTTGACGATTGTGCCAGAGTATCTTTGGTTTGCATTATCGGCATTGACAGCAGTGATGATGTCGTTGAGCATCTTGACTAAGTCTTGAACCACGGGCTCGTCAGCATCCCTGATGTTGATTGGATCAATCATTGTGACCTCTGGCGGAAACTTTGAGGGTTGATCAACCTCTGGGGGGACGAAAGGAACAGGGGCTGGCCCCTTTGTCGCTGTTTGCTCAGCTTTCACGGGATGGCCTGGTTTTGCTGGAGGCTGTGACTCTGGTGATTTTCCAGCGGGAGGTATAGACTTGCTGGGCGCAGGAGTATCCGATTTCTTGACGTCTTCAACGGCCTTGACCTTTTCTGCTGGCTTCGTCTCCGTTGGATCTCGCAGGGCTTCTTTAGGCTTCGCAGCGTCGGGTTTCGTAGCATCGGCATGCCGTCCTGTAGAACCCGGCTTGCTCTCTTCAGCGACCTTCCATGATACTCCGCTCTGGCTTGGTATATTGACTGAAGCTCCAGTATCTCTTGGTCGAGAACCTCTACCTGCAATCTTCGGAAATCTTTTTCGAAATTCCCTCTCCTCAAAGTACAACACCGCATCTTCTCCGAAAGGTACATATTCGGTGAAGAAATCGTGGAAATTGTCATTGACTCGGGAATAATAGACTCCTCCAGCAAATCCCAGCGTACTCAACAAGAAAATCGTGGTGAAAAATCGTCGAAAGAACCTGCGCTTTGGCTTTGGCTTGGGTGCAGGAGTTGGTGACGGAGGGGGAACAGAGGGAGTCGTTGAAGGTGGAGGAGGAGGAGGCGGAGGCGTCAAGGGAACATTTTGAGGTAATATTGTGTTTCCAGGAGAAGGTGTAGCTGGAGTTGCAGGTGTGGGTGCAACCCTTCCAGGAGGGAGAGGTTCAGACGTGCTGGAGCTGGCAGACCCGGGGAGCACTGCAGGGCTTGAGTCGGCGATACTGGGCTTCTTCTCATCCGCATAAGTTCTCTGAAAATGCGCCGAGAGGTTAGTAGCTGATTCAATTCTTCAATGGGATAATAGCAAGCTTTTGGAGCTCTCACCACGCTTCCCGAACCCACCCGACCAGCTTGTATTGCGTGCCATTGACGTCCAGCATGGGCTACACTGGGCTTGTAACCAAATGCTCTAGACGACCGAAGTGAGGCGCGCAGCATGACGGGCTGCGTTGAGCGACAGAAAGTGTTGAGGTTGTGGTTGTCAACAGCGCGCGAGGACGGCAGAAAAGGTTTGAGCTCTTGCACGCAAGCTTGTGCCAAGCGATGATGAACCGGCGGCTCTGGCAAGGTTCACTTCAAACTTCACGACCACGACGGAACATACCGTAAAATTGGGACATAAGATAACAGCGTTTCAAAGGTTGCGGGACAATATGAATTGGAAAAGCAAGTTCTAAAAAGAATACAAAGAATACAAAAATCAACATTGTTTTTGCACCGCTATCTACCACTATATCCTTACGACCTTAGTTCGCTCTCGAGATTTGACCTGCTCATATATTCCAGTCTTTTACGATACTGAAAATTTCATAATCTACACAGCGTCGTTAAGTTATTTGAGGAATTTCAAGAAGCATAATCACATCAAACTCTCTGCAGTTTGTGGAAATCGTTGATTGTTCTAGTGCTTGCATACTTTACACCCAAATGCTGCAGAACGACTAATAGGAAGACCCTCGCGCCGTGCAGGAAACCCTGCTGAACCAACCCTACCACGAAAACTAGGACACATGAAGGTATTAAAGGCCTCTCTCGTAAATAGTCCGGATGACTGCATCTATGCTGGCCCCGGCCGCGCTATAGCAATCTCGCTCGAATGGGATGATGATTGTGGTTGGGGAAGACTGAATCTCAGGGCCGTGAAATTCAAGGAAGGAAATATGCGGTTGTTTCAATGTCTACCCACTCCGTAGCTCAAATATGTTTCTTTAACAAGCACAAGGACCATTGTTCTGACTTGGTGTCTCGGGTCTGAGCTCCACACCTCCGCGACCACCAGATCTTGGATTTCTCGGACCGGCTTGGTCTAAAGGTAACTTCTTCGCAATCGAAGTGAATAACTCTCTAACGTTCTCTGATGTCTTGGCAGATGTTTCGAAGAAGAGCAGCCCGGCTTCTCGAGCGTAAGCCTCGGCATCTGCGGTACTGATAGCACGCTTGTCTGGTTGAGCAGTGACTAAATCGAGCTTATTGCCAGCAAGAGCAATGATAATGTTTTCGTTTGCCTGCCGTTGAAGTTCCTTGACCCATTGCTTTGCCTTGTCCAACGAAGACTATCAACATGTCAGCTGTTGCTGGACTAGTATCTCACCCATCATATGAAGCTTACAGCTTGTGTGATATCATAGACCACTACAGCGCAGTTGGCATTTCGATAGTACATAGGCGCAAGTGACTTGTACCTCTCCTGGCCAGCCGTGTCCCAGATCTCGAATTTCACAGTTGTCTGGTCGTCGAGGGAGATGGTTTGTGTAAGGAATGCAGCACCGATAGTAGATTCTCTGAAGTCATCGAATTGGTCCTACAAAAACGTCAACTTATGCTGCGCAGAGGTGCGAAGTGTACTGACTTTGACGAAGCGGAGTACGAGGGAGCTCTATCTCAACATTAGCAGAAGTCAACCATGTTCGACAATCAAACACACCTTTCCAACGGCAGATTCCCCCAGCAACACCAACTTAAACTGCGCGAAACGTGGTGGCATGTTGTTGATGGTTCTTGGGTGTTGTTCTTTGCGTAGTAGTTGTGATGTACGAATCTCGGGTCGGGATGATGAGGTGGATAAGGCAGTCGCCTTTGGCTAAGGCACGTGACATACCCTTGCCTCAGGTTCAGGAGGTCGTACCTAGGTGCTAGTGTCCTTCTTGACCTTCCTTCTCTTCCATGGGGAATGATATCATGACTATATATACGGTGAATTGGAGATCTTCAACAAGGCCATAAAGCTTCAGTACGATGAAAGAAAGGATGAACGACTCCCCGTTCGCAGATGCTTGATAATCACGTGCTAATCGCCACGCTGGATGATCATCGGTACGGCTAAACCCACCCTAGCTGTGATACGTGAACGGCCCTCTACCGCTAGGTACTAGGTAGTTGTGAGGCTCGAAACGAAAGCTCTCCCTCAACTCGACGATTGCAGATGGTGGCATAACATCGACAAGGCAAAGCAAGTTAAGTTGCTGGCTATTTGCTATACACGCTCACAAGATGGCCGCCCTGTTCCGAGACATAAATTATCATGTTTCTACGTCGCATTATGCCTTCACCTCTCCCTCCTCGCCTTCCGCTCCGACATTGATTATTGATCGTCCTACGGGAGATGTACGACTCAACGATGGAACTTCACTGGGTGGGAAGCGCGTCTCTAGCATTGCTGGGATCTTAGGAATGATCAAGTTGCGCCTGGGTATGGATATGTTAGCAAGCAGACAAAGCAGAAGCTGATAATGATCTAGACAAGTATATCATCGTCATCACAAAAGCACAACCAATGGGCAGATTGAAGGGGCATATGGTTTATAAAATCATCGCAACCGAATTTCTTCCTCTGCGAGAACGCCCCCTACACGATCAAGATGAGGATATGTACTTGGCTTTGTTGAAGAGGTTAATTAAGTCAGGACCAATGTACTTCTCATACTCCTTCGATATCACAAATACTTTTCAACGTCAATCAAAATCTGATCCTTCTACTCCTATGTGGAAAAGGGCAGACGACAGGTTCTTCTGGAATAAGTTCATCCAATCAGACCTCATTGACTTTCGGACATCTGGAGCAAGACATCAACATGGACAGCAACCAGGTGCCGACCCATACATCCTCCCTGTCATTTTTGGTATGCTTGAAATTGTACAGACTCGAATCAAATCAACTCCTCTTACTATGGTCCTTATTACTCGACGGTCAAGACACCGGGCCGGTACGAGATACTTTTCACGAGGAATCGATGAGCAGGGACACGTTGCCAACTTCAACGAAACCGAACAGATAATCATATTGAATGACAGCATGAGTGGTCTTGGTGGTTTCGCTGGAGGTGGGGGCATGCAGAATGGCAAAGTTGGGGGATCTGGTGGGAAAGAGGTGCAAATTATGTCCTATGTGCAGACCAGAGGAAGTGTTCCAGTGTACTGGGCTGAGGTCAACACCCTACACTACACTCCAAGGCTCCAGATCCGAGGCGTCGAGACCGCTGTTTCTGCGGCTCGCGCGCATTTTGACGAGCAAATCAAGCTGTATGGGGACAACTACTTGGTCAATCTAGTCAATCAGAAAGGCAGAGAAAAACGAGTGAAGGAGGCTTACGAGCAAATGATCAAAATGCTTGTCTCATCACCAACGGAAGGAACCCAGCAAGACCAAGTCTCGGATGAGAAGTTCCGTATTGTCGAGCCCGATGGAAGAAGATCAGAGATGGACCAACTTCACTATGTGTACTTCGACTTCCATAATGAGACCAAGGGTCTACAGTGGCATCGGGCACAACTTCTTTTGGACCAGCTTCACGATGCATTAGAGAGACAGCAGTATTTTCGCGGTGTTGATATGCCAGCTGATCTCGATGGCCGTCTAGAAGTTCGAAATAGTCAAACTAGCGTTGTGCGAACCAACTGCATGGATTGTCTCGACCGAACGAATGTGGTCCAAAGTATGCTTGCGCGCTGGGCTCTAAATCGGCAACTCACGGATCTGGGCGTCCTATCTCGAGGGGAAACCTTCACGTCAGATAATGACTTCGAAATTCTGTTCAGAAAGCTTTGGGCCGACAACGCAGATGTCGTCTCCAAATCGTACTCGGGCACAGGCGCGCTGAAGACGGACTTCACACGCACGGGTCAGCGCACAAAAGCAGGTGCCCTTCAAGACCTCAATAACTCCATCTCAAGATATGCCAAGAATAACTTCGCAGACGGTCCAAGACAAGACGCATTTGACTTATTTCTTGGCACCTACCTTCCTAGTACCTCCAGTAACCTTGTGTTTGCCGACAGACGACCCATTTTGGTTCAATCCATTCCCTATGGTAAGTGCTCAGAGCGACCCTTTTCTAACCTCGAATTGTCCCATGATGTGCTCCCAATACATCTCGTCTATTGACATAGTATCTGTAAGGTGATCGCTAACTCCTTCGTCCCTAGTCTTGGCCTTTGCTGTGTTCTTGGTATCTGTGGGCACCTTGTCAAGACGCCCTCCCAACTCTCTGGTCTGGCCGATCAGAATCTTCATCTTAGCTTGGGTTCTCGTTGCGGCATGGTGTTTTAACTTCATCTATAGCAACGGTATGCTGTACGTCAATTGGCCAAAGCTGAATCCTCGACCATGGGCAACAGAAGGTGTCAACGAAGCACTAGGCAAAGTTCGCAAGGACAAAGTGGTGGGCTCATTCGTTGGAGCGCATGAGCGGGGTCTAAGCACGGCGCGCTTCTTGAACGCTGAGGAAGGGAAGAAACGAATAGAGTGATCACCAGTGTTGAGGTGTATTCTTCTCGTTTTGGTAGCGTACAAAGTATGGATATCTCTAGACAGTGGTAATTCTAGGAGAGTAAGGTATGAGACAGTGTAAGAATACATGATTTATAGAAGGGTCTACCATGATGTGGCCTTGATTACAGGCTTGTGCGTTTTCCTCCGATTTTCGCCCAAATGTTGTCCCTCCTCGAGCATACCAGAGGGGATAACTTTTCCATACGGTACATATTCCCTCTTGGATTTGTGTATAGAAGTTTTCCTCCGAGGTTGTATCTCTATTCTCATGCGTGCTATAAAAAGTCAACTCGAGTGGCACATTATCATTCAGCAGGATAATTATCTCTCAGTAGTAACGAGTATCAAATGATTCTCTTTACCTGAAAAAGTAAAGGAAACATTGAAGTCTAGCGAAGTATCACCATGATACCAGGGATCCAAGAACAACGAAACGATACAGACCTGAACTGGGTTGTTGATGCTTGCAACTCTTTTCAGCTTCCCCGTTATCCCTCAATTCCCGAGAATCAATTCAGAAAGGAATAAGAGTGTCTTGAGAGAAGATGTTGTCTTCGCTGAAGGTCTGTTTTCTTTCGACAGACTCCCTGATGTTAGCACACATACCTGTCGATCCACAGATGGTATTGTAGAATGATTGTCAACTGCCCGACAGAACACTTGCTGTACATGAGTCTTCCTACCTAGTTCCCCATAGCTCGTTTGGCTCAGTCTGGAGCGATGCCTAGTGGCATCTAATATCCACACCCTCCTGAGGTGGCAGGTGGGCCGTCTCTGAGCCTATCATCTGGTGATGTGAACATCAACAGCACATTCAAACCAAATCTAACACGCGGTCCGAACTACAGTTATGTGGAGGACGCCAGGTATTTGAAGGATTTAGCAGGCGGTAAGCACAACCCTCGCAGAGGAGAACGGCGCGGACAAGCGAAACCACCAAGGGGCATTTGAAGATTGAGAGAGTGACTAGTGCGCGATGCTTTGAGGAATTCAGGTCAGGTTGATTGAATGAACAAGAAATCGAGATCAACGAAGGCATTGAAGCAATATTGCTCGAAAATACTGTTGTTGGTGTTGACAAAGGAATATGGGATGCGCACTAGGATCTTGGAAAACAAGCTTTATGGCGTCCTACTAACTTCGTAACTTCCGTATGCCCCTGTCTCGACGCATTCCACGCTACGGCATGTGCCGAACAGATTCATTATTGCAACATCGAAGTCTTCAACAACTATCTCTCTTTCACTGCAATCCCACAGAATCAGAGATCACTGTATTTCTTCGAGACGAATGCATTATCAAATCTGCTCTCGAGGACGCTTACGCCAATGGCCGCGAACAACATCTTTACTACCAGCAGACAAGCAGGACCGGGAAGCAGTCGCCGAGCTGGAAGATCTGGACACCCACGCCCTCGAACCGCTCACACGAGAACTTCTGACGTGGCTATGGGATATGAATTGGCCTGTAGCTAGGTAGACCTGCCATGAAAATGGTGGCAAAACATCTGCCGCTCTTGACAGAGCCCATCCGAAGCGTTCTACGTGGCGAGCGATGATGAACATTGAAAGGACAAATGCTTGGAATATCTGGTCAGCGAGATGCCGCATGGACAGCAGAAAACGTTGATCCCTGAGCTTGAAAGACTTACGATACACCTCCCCGCTGGTGAGGTGGATGCATATCTGACTGCGAAAGCCTCCCTGCGAGGTGCGGACCGCCGGCCCCATCAGGAAGCAGTCTGATTAAATTGGCCAGCACGATCTGACGATCGTTACCATGAGGGGTATGCAGCAATTCTTCATACATCTTGCTCTCGAAGTTGGAAAGATTCGTTGGCAACATCATCTGGCTGTCAAGTCGAAGTTTCTTCTACACCTCGTGGTGAAATCTGGTGCTCGGCTCCTGCTGACGATCAAAGTCGGCATTTGATGTTGACAAGACCAGAATCTACTTTTCCAATATGTACAGTCTGGAAAGGATGCTTTCTGGTAGATCGCCTTTTGCAATTACCATGTCTCTTCCAAGCTACCGCCGCGATCAACCCAGGAAGCCAAAACTCACTTGTTATGTGCCCCCCTCGCACATGCATTATCTTTGAGCTTCGAAAGCTTTTCGATCACAAGGTCCTATATCGAGTCGGAAATTGATTGAAACGCACAAGTCAGAGACCCAGTCTCGTAAGGATGCTGATAACGGAACGTTCTCGCAAGAGGGCTCTGAGAGGATGCTTTAGTATATTGCATAAAAGGCTTGGCACAGCCGACCCAGATCCCAGGGAAATCGCACAAGGCTGTATACGAGGCTAAACATCATTGACGAGCTGGGACGAGGACGACGACGACTCAATATACATGGTCGGCCAAACAGCCTAAGTTGTGGAAACGACTCTGTAGAGCGGCAGATGGCCGCAGGGGGCAGGAAGATCAAACTCGGACAATTTCTCGGTACTGCACCACCGATGGGATACAAAGAATTTGCGGAGTTACCTGGATGAGGCTGCACAACTTACACGCGCCGAAATGGTCCATTATTGTATTGGATCTACGTAACCCCTGATGGTACCTGTCCGCTAAATCTGACAGGACGATTTTTGGCTGGCAATCGATGCCAATACCGAAGAAACCCTTACGCATAGTAAGTTTCATGTTTCAAGTCTTTTGGTTCTTCCCTTCTGTGTTCTTTCTCAAGTTGCAACTTTGACATCGTTGTACTTCGCTGTGATGTTCCCGAATTTATTTCCCTCACGCGGCTGTTCTGTGGTCTTGCGCATGCCCACTATTATATTCATATTTGCCTCATAGTATTGTGCATACGACAAGACCTCCAGCTTTCATGCCCTGTATGTCCTTGGAAGCCACGTGCATGGGAGCGCTCGAAAGGAAGCATTATTTGTGCCTCGAGATGCATTATTTCATTATATGCTGAACTGCCGAATGGTAAGATTCGCCACTATGGCAATGTCCAATCGTCTGGGCCTTATTTCCAAGGTCGAGATTCGATAAGATGCAGTCAGCGATACCCGATCGTATGTACAAAAGCAAGACATGAACAAAATCTGGGGAAATAGCCGGGATATAAAAAGCGGCAAAAGTTGTTGCCGTTTTACTGGAAAACCCCCAAACCAATATCTCCATATGCAGAACAGGATTATGAAGATAGCCCCTAATCGAGAACCTGGGGTATGCACAAAATTATGTGGCTTGAATCATGAGCGGCACTGGATACACATCCCCATGGATGCTCTAGATTCCCCACAATGTCGGCGCAGGACCCACGTTGCCATAAACAATACACTTCACATGAAGTGCCGACTTGGGAAAGTACTCGTATGTTCACAGGCCCCATGAGATCACGATTTAGTTAAAACTTCCTCACTTCTAGTACTGAAGGCCTCCGCAGTGTATATAAGAGCGGGAAGTCTTCTCAACTCGCACTGCCACTGTCAAGCTCTTCGATATTCATTTGTTGTTCTATCATAGCCCATCATGTCAAGCATAGAATATCACCCCAATGGTTCCAACCTGGACCAAAGCACCCCCAATGCAGGCGGTAAAGAAAAGTTACAATATATCGTCTCAAGCACCTCTCTCGAATCTCCCCTGAAGAACACCGAATCCGTTGAGGTCTCAGAAATCGAAGACATTGGGGAGCAGAATACCGAAAACCCATTCCTTGACCAGGAAGTCGCACAGCACTGGGCTGAGGTCTATGAGAAATCCAAATATGAAGGTCGCCACGTCTTCGAGCCTACCATGACATGGGAGAAGGACGAAGAAAAGAAGCTCGTTCGAAAGCTTGATTGGCACGTTTGTCTCTGGGCTGTAAGCATATCATGAACCTAATTGAGGTACATGCTGACAAGAGTCTTGTTTTAGTGTATTATGTATTTCGCTGTTCAGCTCGACCGTGGTAACCTTTCGCAAGCTGTATCAGACAATTTGCTCAAAGACTTGCATATGAACACCAATGGTACTGTTCCTCATCAAGCTCGCTATCAAACAACCGTACTAATTGCTCCCCTAGCTTATAATTATGGCAACATGATCTTTGCAGGTTCTTTCTTGGCATCTGAGATTCCATCCCAACTTATCGCGAAGAGGATCGGACCAGATAAATGGATTCCCGTCCAAGTCATCTGTTGGTCTATCGCTGCTGCCTCTCAATCTGCTATTACCGGGAAGAAGGGTTTCCTAGCTCTTCGATGTATCCTGGGCTTACTCGAGGTTGGTACAATCTTGACATTATTTATACCACGCTAAGAATTTAGGGTGGATTCACCGCTGAAGTGATTCTCTGGTTATCATACTTCTATACCTCCCATGAACTCCCGATCAGGTTGAGGTAAAACTCACTCATCGTTCTATGTGTATCAATTAAATTTCTAACTTTATCTTAGCTTCTTCTTCACTGGCATGTCAGCTACTTCCATTATTGCAGTAAGTGCTACCTTCCTGAATTGCATCTTTTTCCTTGCGGCTTTCGTGGATGAGCCAGAAATGTCGCTTCTTGACGAGTCGCTCCTCTTCTCATATAGTTGCTAGAAGAATGCTAATTCTGATTTCAGTCTCTTTGGGCGTACGGTATTCTTCACATGCGGGGCGTTCTCGGATGGGCCGGCTGGCGTTGGCTCTTCCTCATTGAGGGCTTAATGACTTTGGTTGCTGGGCTTGCCTCGATATTCATGATGCGAGCATCACCAGTTCAGACCAAGACCTTGTTTCAACCAAAAGGCTGGCTTAACGAACGCGAGACTAGAATTGCTATCAATCGACTCCTGCGAGACGACCCTTCGAAGGGCGATATGAACAACCGACAGGCTATCTCATTCCGTGGTCTCTGGAATGCCGCCTGCGACTACAATCTCTGGCCCCTTTATGCACTGGGTGTTGTTGCTCATATACCCACATCACCCCCTTCGAAATATCTCACTCTGACTCTCAAACATCTCGGGTTTTCCACCTACAATACCAATCTACTGACGATTCCGCACTCGGTTGGCCATATAACGACCATGCTACTGCTGACCTGGTTCAGTGAGCGCGTCAATCAAAGAGCCTTCGTGGCCATGCTTCAGCCTCTGTGGACCCTGCCATGCATCCTCGCCTTGCGCTTTTGGACAGGTGCCCAGAAAGCAAAGGATCCCTGGCAAACATACGCTCTCATGACAGTTTTGCTCTCGTACCCCTATTGCCAAGCCATCATTGTGGGCTGGTGCTCGAAAAATTCCAACAACGTTGCTACTCGCTCTATGTCAGCGGTCTTCTTCTCGATGTGCGTACAAGTCGGTAGTATCCTCGCCGATAACATCTATCGCGAAGACGATAAGCCGAAATACCATCGCGGAAACAGGAATCTGATTATCATCAATCTTTTGGTGCTTGTTCTGTTCCTGTTCGCGAAGGGGTATTATGTCTTCCAGAACAAGAAGAGAGACAAGATTTGGCACGCCATGACTGCCGAGGAGCAGGTGAAGTACACTGTCGAAACTAAGGTGACAGGCGCGAAGAGGTTGGACTTCCGCTTTGCTCATTAGAGTCATCACCCCAAAAAGAAGGTTCGGCAACTGGACGAGTATGCATTTGCGACTTCGATAGACGAATGGACGTCGCGAGTGGTAGTCACACGGGGATAGCAATCAGGCTTCGTGTGCCAGTATTTTGCTTCGAGAGAGCGTATTTTCCCGTTGACCAGTTTGGGTATATGTCATGGTCAAAAGAATTGTATAGCGTTAAGCGTGGAGCTTTTGGAGAAACACTCTTTTGGGGCGCGGGTTGAGGGCTGGGAGCCATGACTTTGTCTACGTCTTGGAGTTGTTTCTTTATCATGACGGCGTTGCGGCTAGTGTTACACGGAGCGAAAAGAAGCCGTTCTTGTAGTGTGGTCTCTCCATAAATATACGTGTTAAGTATGTGTAATGACGAGACGTTCGGGGTGTCCTCAATGTACCGTGTGAATGTACACTGGTTGTGAGACATAGAGAGCTTGCTAGCAGAGGCGGTGGTGTGTGGCTGTAATAGGGGTGTGTCGCTAAAGATTTATTAGCGTTGTGTGGCTTGGGACTTTTCTCTTGGCAGGCAACACACCTAAGGAACTTGACTGATGATATAAATAAATCTATTTGTATCCTGTCAATGGACACCAATTGATTCCTAACAGCACGGGCAACGAGTGTGGGTATATTTCGAGTTTTCAATTCATCTCAATTGACCTCCTGAGGCTGCTATAGTAATATATATACTGGATTTCCTTGCGCTTGAGGCCACTCATCCTCAATCCCATCTTCGCGACAGTTCCATCTCGACGTTTTGCTCGATGATGGTGGGCAATGTCTTTTTCGCAGCTTGCGTATTACTCCATTGCGGCCAGGTCTCGAGCCAATAATGTCATTGCTGACAGCCGGGATCAGCCTCACCTCGGGCGATGCGCCAGCTGCGCATTCTGCGACAGGCACCAGCCTTGAGACTCGAATTTGGAGATGGGTCATGCAACACCTTCTTTCTTCTGTAATTCATCAATTGAGAGAAATTGAACATTCCAACACATCAGGGACACGCAATACCGACGGGTTCTGTGCTCTTTCCGCCGCTGCTTGCGTTCGTCACAATCACTCACGCCTCAATTGATTCCACACGTGACAAATTTGGGGTGTCTGTCCCAAGTATCAGGAACGATGGCAACCCTAGATAGCGTGGAGCAGGATTGGAGGGAGATTATGGCTTCTAAGGCAAGTAAGTGGAATAAGAGGTCTCGACGGTTATCACATCTCACGATATCGACGCACTCCCCACCGCCGAGATCCAGGAGTCCGGTAGATGATATGGACGAGGTTGAAATGGATGATTCCTCATGGAGTGAGACGGAGAGCAGTGTCAGTACTGGCTTCTCAAGGAGTGTGAGGTCTAGAGCCACGACGCTGTCAGGTACGAGTTCTCTCGCTTGATTTCTCCTCCCCAGCGAGGATGCCGTCGAATGTCTGTCCTTCAGACCGCACCTCTCACTAAGATGAGTGTGGTCCTAGAGTTTGAGATTCATATGACTGCCCATACTACTGATGCAGCTCGTTGTATTCTGTTTCTGTACTGATCCAGCCTAGTCTATTCCGGCATTTCATGCAGCAGCGAGGAAGATCTCGACCTGGATGGACGAGACGGAAATTTCTTCACCTCATTGGATGACGACGACGATGTATCGACAACGTCAGAAGTTCCAGAGCCTCTCTATGACCCACCTCCCTCCGCTCTAAACTCTGCACAGTACAAGAAATGGGTCGAGGACGACCTCGGACTTCGCTCCTTCCCCACAAAGCACGTTGACTATTTATCTCATGATTGGCGCGAAGTAGATATCTGGGCCTCTTGGCGACATCTCATGTCCAAGAAAACATCTTACAATAATGAGAAGAGACTGGAGAATGCTTGCTGGCGAGTATGGGGGAAGAAAAGATATGACCTGAAAACGGTTTCGCCCGAGTCTCTCAACTGGTAATAAGGCCTGGCTCCCCGGAACGCTGAATTAAAAGCTGATAGGTGACAGGTTGAAAGATTGTGACGTGACCTGGCTGTATGGCCCGCTCCAACCTGGACCTATCGAGTCATTGAAAGCACTATCTTTGGAAGATGTTCCAGCACCTTCTGATCGACGAGAAGGGCGTGAAGATATGCTCGATCTCAAGCCAATCTTGAAACGCCGAAGCGTGTCTGAGAAGATGCTCGTACGCTCGTTGCTGTCTGCTTCGCTTCTCAAGCAAGCCACAGCAGCTGTCGAGGCTGAACGATCGGCCCGGGCTCGGTCTCTGCCAGTTCTACCTATTCTCGAAACGGCCGAGTATCATAAGTCTGTACGTCCAACGACTCCAGCGCTTAGCAGATCCTCTTCTACCGCATCGCTGAGACCATTACTATCCCACGGCATGCCAGACAAGAAGCGGATACATTTCCAGGAGCAAGTGGATCAATGCATAGCTCTGGAAAACAGCGAAAGCGAGTCAGACTCCCGCGGAGGGGCATCAGAATCAGATAGTGATTCCGATGGCGGAGTGAAGGTCGCCAGAAGAACACCATTCAGCAGAACAAATAGTCGATCGAGTAGAAGTGCCGAGAGAAGGAAAAGAATCATTGCGAAGTTGCCCTCGACGACCCTCCATTATAGCGATGAAGATGCAGAGCTGGTAGCGAAAAGCTGGCAGAGGTCCAAAGCTTCTCCGCCACCATCACCGTCTCCAGAGGCGTTAAGTCCCTCATTACCCGCTACAAACTTTATGCTTGATATCGAAGGCAACGAAGATGTCATGGGATGGAGCCTCGACGGTCCATCATTGGGAGCAGAAGACCGGGCAGACAAAGACGAGATGTACATTCTGCAGCAGATTCTGCCATCGAAGAACGACCTCCATTTCCCATGTCTTGTATGCAAGGACTCATCCCGGATGTATCCGAGTCAGGGTAGGATATTTGAGAGTCGCAATGACTGGCTAGTTCATCTATGGACAGTACACCAGGACCCGTTGACATGGGCACCTACCACCTGTCTTTGGGAAGGCTGCAATTCTGACCATAAATTCAGAACTGCTGAGCTATGGCTAGGTCATGTCCGCACTCTCCATTCCGGCCGACAGCACAAACGACAAAAGACAATGCCGTTTGAGGATGACAGCGATACTTTTTCGCCGTTTGAAAATGACAAGCACACTGAACCCCACGGAGGACTTGAGTTGGGCAGAAAGGTTTTCGGTGCTCTTACGACTGCAAAAGATATTGGGTCTTTTCTCTTGCACTCCGCTGGTGATCCCCTTGCTGCTCATGTAGAGTGGCTGAGGCGGTCCAAAGCAACGAACGAACTCGAAGAGGATTCGCGTGTGGAAGCACCCCAGTCCAGCAATATGCAGTATTTCCGCAACCTTGCTCGAAAGATTCTGGGTATTCCGATAGACAATCAAGCAACGCGTGACCAAGGTGAGAATCCAGATCAAGAGGCTTTGGTTGAACGACTTGCCGAGACCCTCAGTCTATACGAGGTCGACATTAGCCATATAGATGACATATCCGATTTAGAGGGACCTACAGACAGTACAAGCGACTCGGCAGTTCCCGAAAAAGAAGGGAAAGCTCGAATGTCGGCGTTATATTCTATGCTTGTCGCTATACGCCAGAGTCTCATCCAAATTACGCCTCCATCTGAAGTCACCAATGGTGGTGTGGGAAGTGAAGAGCTACCGAGCTCATCAGACTCACCCGAGGGGTCGGATACTACGATTGTCCCTTCCGAGTCCTTACTTCTAGGTCGAGACACGCCTCTGTCCATGGTACTACCTATCAGAAATACAATGACCCCGGAAGGAAAAGATGACCATACCGAGACCGAAGAAGAAGAGACGACAGATTACGACAGCAGTGAGCTGGAAGACCTTCCTAGTGACGCAAGTGCCTGCGGTGACCTAAGTGATGCTTCCGAGGAGAACATCGCTCCTCATGGGGAAAGCCTATCATTGGCCTTGGAGCCAATGAGACAGGCACTGGTTGATCGTGTCATGGATGAGTTCTGGATTCTCTTCAACCAGAACTTCGATTCGGGTTTCAGAGCACACGCTGGTGGGTCACGGAATTCATCCAGCCCTTCCAACGCAAGTCTCATAACTAGTGCGGCTACTACGCCTCAATCGAGCCAACCGCGAAAACGACAACGGGATGATGAGATGGGATCAGATGACGAGGATGGAAATATGTCGAGAAAGCCGAAGCGGAACTCGGGTCCAAGTGATGAGTTAGGGGACCGTAAAAGATTCGCTTGCCCCTTTCGAAAACACGATTCGAGACGGTATAGCACATACTCTTATAGAGTTTGTGCACTCTCTCATTGGGACTCAATTGCTCGTGTCAAGTATGTGTATCCCGTCAGACTTTCAAGTAATTGCTAATCCTTCCAGGGAACATATTTATCGCTGTCACCGAATGCCAACTCACTGTAAGAGGTGTTGGAAGCCATTCAAAAATCAGGAGCAACTAGACACCCATTTGACAGTCGATATTGCTGCTATGTGCGAACTTGTTCCAGGTCACCCTCCTGAAGGCATCACAACAGATCAGGAGCGTCGTCTGCGAAGCAGGAAGAAGAGTTCTCGTGACCAGAGTGACGAAGGAAGGTGGCGAGAAATGTACCAGTTACTGTTTCCTGGCGAAGAAGTACCTTCACCATGTAAGCGCTGTTCTCCAAACCCGAAGCTACTTCATGACTCTGGAGGAATGCAAACTAACAATGCGCTAGATTTCGAACCAATACGCGATGAAATGCCTGGTTCACCTGATTCGCGTGATCTCGCCAATTATGAAGACTATATGAGACGAGAATTACCCCGACTAGTTAGAACCAATATCGAAGATGTGGTTCGGAGAGACATGCAACCTTTGGAAGCAGCTCTGATAGGAAACTTGGTTGGTATCATCCAAGACTGTCAAGACCGACTGTTCCGCGGATATCGACAGATGAGAGGCGATGGAGCGGAGGCAAGTGCGTCACCGGTCTTGACCAATGTCCCATCTTTCACTGGATCTTTCGGCGAGACTGGGGCCTCTCTCACCGACCAACAATCACAGCTCCTTCAAGCCGCCTTTCAGCCTCCTCCACCTGCACCTTCTGATCTAGGTAATCAGATACCGGGGATTCATCTAGATAGGACGACTAGTCTGCACCACCAGCCTTCGCTAGACATGATCCTCTCGGATTCAGGCTATGCGAGTGAGCTCCCACATTTCTGCGACTGTCCTGGTCCAGAATGTACTTGCTCTGGTGGGACCTTGAACTCCTATACACGTGATGGATTGAGCAACTTGAACTCGAACGATATATTTGGCTTTGAAGAAGGTACAACAAATATGCAATGGGATGGATGGGATGTCTTTCCGAATTGGGACTCACTGAATTCAGTAGGAGGAGGATTCAATTCATAATGAGAGCGTTCACGTGATGATATATGGTTTGATGTTTGGCTTTATAATGAACAAGCTGAGTGCTTTAGATATGACATAATGCATAATAACAGTTCTTACAAGACTGCGTGGCTTCATAGAGTGGTTCTTGTGATCATGTCTTGAAATGCTTCATGCTCGCGCCAATGATTTGCTTCCACATACTTGTACTTTAATCCTAGCTGAGTTATGGTGTTTAACTTATTCTACAATTCATGAAACACGCTGTCCAATTAGACTATAGCGAGTGCCGATGATCTTCCATGAAAGCTGTCAACCTCACACTTTGAGTGTGGAACTTGAAATCAAGATGCCAACCTCGATCTTGGACACTTCCTTTCTAGTTTTCCCGAGCTGAAGATTCTTCCAATCTACCATGGGCTATGTTTAGACCATAATGGAGTCGCCGAGCATGCTCGTGTCACGGAAACCGTTTGTACAACCAAAGCACTTTTAGGCTATGTGGAACCCGAATGCCTATTCCGAGAAATGGGAAACAGTAATTTGAGGTTAGGGCTCCCAAGCGAAGGATCGTTTGTTTGATATGTTGATATGAGATTCTCTTTTTAACTCATCTTCCAAAAATGGAACGGGGGACGGGTATGCTTGGCAAATTCCCAGAAGTCTATAAATGAATGTTATATCACGCATGCATGCAGGAAGGATGTTCACCCCACGGTATCATTTTAACATATCCATATATCCTATCTGATAACGATCTCAAGATGAAGTTGTCTTACGTATGCTTTCTCGCTCTTGGTTCTTTCGCGGAGGCTATATGCAGAGGTTCATGCAAACTTTCGGTCGACGCTTCCGATCTTGCCGCTGATACTTGCACCATCAATTCTGGTCAGAAAGGTGAATGCATTCTGACCAGCACTTGTTCAAGCCAGGGTGGAACGTCTCAGGTTGGCCATTGTCCTGGGGCTGCTGATATTCAATGTTGTACGTACGGAAGCTGTACCGTGAACGGCGAAGAAGGAACTTGTCAACCGACAGGTACTTGCAGCGGGACGAAGACTGCTGGGTAACATCTTCCTCCTTGTACTCTAGATCTCCCTGACTAACGATGATGCAGTCATTGTCCAGGCCCAAGTGATATCCAGTGCTGCACTTCCTCGAAAGGAGGCTGTACCGCACCATCTGTCAATGCTGCAACTATCAGCCTCATCAAGTCTTTTGAAGGCTTTGTTGCTAGTCCAGGATCCGATCCGATCGGTTTGCCGACAGTCGGGTATGGACATCTATGCGAGACAAAAGGATGCGCCGAGGTTCCATATCCATTTCCGTTGACTACGACGACTGCTTCTGAACTCCTCGCATCAGATTTGAAGGTTCGTCCCAAATTCTCTACTTCCCTGAGCAGGGCTTCCAACATGAAGCACATGCTTCACCTTGTCTTTAACACTGACATTCCCAGAAATTTGAGCAATGCGTTTCAGAAGATATAGACTCCTCGATTCACTTGAATGCCAACCAATATGGTGCTCTCGTCTCCTGGGCTTATAACGTCGGCTGTGACAACGTTGCTTCTTCTACTCTAATCAAGAGATTGAATGCGAAAGACACTCCAGACACGGTTGCGAGTGAGGAGCTGCCAAAATGGGATATGGCAGGTGGACAAGTTGAGCCTGGATTGCAGAGAAGGAGAGCTGCTGAGGTGAAGCTTTTCGAGACTGCGAGCGGGGTCGCGGCTTTGCCTGCTTGTTAAGCGAGATATAAATGGGACTTGACTGGGAATTGAAGACCCTGCTTGGAATCGAGGTCTAGAAAATTTCGAGACACTTATGTCAAATCTGGTGAAATGTAGAAGATAAGCATAACACGTAATGACTCGTTTTGGTGGACTTTTGTCTAGTTGCTAAGGTGAACCTCCTATTAGACCTAGCTTCCAACATCAAAGAGAGTTTGCCTTCCCAAACTTTGCATGTTCTCAAGCATTAATACCATATCTACAAGATCAGATGACCAGGACTTGGTGGGACATCACCAGTCTCCCACATTGCTGGTTCGGATCCAAGCTCAAACTCGATGGTCCCACCATTCACCATGATATCTTCATGATCAAACCAGTTCTTGGTCCAGCTCGCACCATTGATCTTCACACTCTGAACATAATAGTCCTCTTGCCCGAAGCTTGAACCACCAGCTGCTGACGCTGACGTCGAGTTCTGATCAGCTGAGAGTGCAGCCGTGATTCTCAAAGTAGCATTCCCGTTGATCGTCATGTTGAGATCATCAAACCACGGACTCCCAATCAGATAGACTGTCTGCGTGACAACAGGATAAAGACCCAGCATTTGCCAGATCAGCCAAGAATTCAAGGCACCTGCGTCGCTGTTCCCAGGAACGCCATAGTTTGCATCGTGGAAGTATTGGTTCGCCAATGACCGAGATTGCTGTACACTCTTCCACTGTTTATTGAGATAATTGTACAGATACGGTGTAGCAAAGTCCGGCTCGTTACCGATATTCATGATAGTCGTGATTCCTGCGCCGTTTGCACCTAGGTTTTGTTGGGATGTGTTGGGTTGGAAAATGTAATCGAGACGTGACTCGAAGGCTGTAGAACCACCCATGAATTGGATTAGAGTTTCAGCATCATGAGGAACAACAAATGAGTATTCTATCAAAGCGTTAGCAGGAAATCTAGAAAAATGTTGAAGGCTCGTACCAAAAGGAGTGGCCTCATAACTAATAGCTTGCCATTCACATCCACCACACAGCGCAGGGTTGTAGCCTGTCAAATTAAAAGTACCATCGGCAAATCTTGGAGCCAAGAATCCAGTGAAGTTCAAGCTCGTCACATTGTGAGCCCAGAGATTCTGCCACTGTGCACTGCGATTCATGTATTTCTCCACATCCTCAGGCGCTTCTCCCCTAGCGACCTGACTGAGAGCAAAATCGTTAAGAGCGTACTCAACAGTGCGCGACACAGCTCGAGTACTTCTATCAGCCGAGACGTAGCCCAGAGGTATCCAATCGTATAAAGCGCCTCTGCCTTCTTTAACGCTTGCTGTTGGGTCATCATGGCTGAAAGTGTTGTAAGGTTGAACTTCCGCATCTTTCTTCATTGCTTCGTACCCGGCTGTCCAATTGATCTCACCCCGCAGTCCCTTGACATATGCATCAGCCAATACGTTATCGGCATTACTTCCCCCTTGTACGAGACCGTTGTAATTGCCCGATCTGCCGTCAGGCATAAATCCTTCATATCTCCAAATGTCGATGAGAGAACGGATCATTGACTCGTAATATGTTGGCTGGAGGATGTGGTACAAGCTGACTGTGCACCGGAAGATATCCCAGAGAGTGTAAAAGTCGTCCCAAGAAGGTTCATCAGATTCCCAAAGCGGGTTCTCTCCCGTCCGATCGGATGGCATGAGATGCAAGAAATAGAGAGAAGAATAGAGCAAAGCGAGGTTCGTCTGATTCACGGATGAGTCGGTGGCAACCTGGACTTTGCTGAAAACGTCCTCATTCCACTCTTGGACAGCCGCACTGACAGTTGCGTTCAGATCATAGGACGGAACCTCGATGTTCTTGAAATTGCAAGCCTTGTCGGACGAGATGAATGAGATCCCAACACGTGATCTGATCTGAGAGGTCGAGGAATTTGACCAAGTGAACAATGCACCAAGGCGATCATTGAGCGGCCCAGCATACTCGCTCTGATTTCCAAGAATTGCCTGCGGGGTGGCAGCATCACTGAAGGTATGGTAGCGTTGCATAGGATCGGTGTTTCGACCTCGGAAAGTCTGAGAGGTGTCGGGAGGGGTGTCGAAATCTCCGCAGAAATAAACAGTAAATGGTGCACCTTCATTCCAGCCGCCCCCATATGTTCCGTAGCCGGTGTAAGTGCCGTTCTCTTGCAGCTGGATCTCTCCGCCAACATAAACTTGAACGCTGTAGCCCCCTGACTGGGATGGAAGGTAATGAGAGACATCAACAAGTACATGTTTTTCGCCAGGAGGAAATGAATACTGCATTATTCCAGAGTGTCGAGCAGCAGAGAGTTCGGCCGTGACTCCATTCTCGAGTTGTGTTTTGAAATACCCCACTCTTGCGGTGTCATTTCCAACTCTTGCTTGCGAGTAGGTCTGATTGTCCAACAGATTGACCGGAGAAGCAACCGTCGTAAGAGGCATCTGGGGAATAACCCCATATTTAGCATATCCGCCAGTTCCCTTGAATTAATTCGCCGTTAGAGTAAGTCAAGAAACGTTGAGACGATTTCAGGGATGGAGGAGGGGGAACTGACCGATTCATGCATCATGGAAAATGCAGTCACCTAAGACTCCGAAACTCGAGTTAGTGGATTTCTTTGCAATTTTGAGAAGAAGAATTCTCCAAAAATAGAAATGAGATGTGCATGGCTATGCTTGCTTCGGACAAGCACCAAGTCTCAAGGCTTTGAAGTTTGTATGAAAATAGGGGGAAAGAGTTTCGAGAAAGTGTACACACTTTGCCCATTGGCGTATATCCTCCATTGAGGGTTGAAAGGGTGATATTATCTTCGTATGTGTCAATGCCAACTTTAGCCACTCCGAAAGGTAAAGCCCCGCCAACAAAGATATCGCCACCACCGAATGCATATCCTGGAATGGGACCTTCTGATCCAATCAGAGGATTGACAAATTGAGAATAGTCGACCTGAGCCGCAACATAGTGAGCTGCAGCGAGTATTACAATATATAACATGGTTGTACGGTAATGCGGTTGTGCCTTTTTCTCTGTCGGGAGCAGACTATGAATCTAAAGTTTCAACAACTTTATTCTCGGGGCGGTTTGCCAGACATATACTTCCGGTCCCGCTGCCGGCAGCTCGGGTTATAATCATCGCGATGATATCATGTCAGGTCCAAGGTACCTGTTGATCCCCCGCAGCTTGACTAAAATTTGCTCCCCGCATTGTAACGTTCTCACAAACCCCGCTCTGCGAACATTGACTTTGGTTAGATCGTAGAGAATGTAAGCAGGCTCACGGAAGTTAAGTCGTCAGTCAAACTGAAATTAAAGTTAAGTCTCGCTATGTCGTGTACATGCCGGGTTCAGAAGAAAAATTGAGGATGAAGTTATCCGATGTTGAGAGATGGGAGAAGCCTGATAATCAAAAATGTGGGTCTCGTACTAGTCCGTTTCTGGAAGTAGCCCGATTTCAAATGCGAAGTCTATATCCTCGTGTATGGGCTACAAGGAAAGTGTGTTGGTTGAAATACCCCGAGCTTGATCATGTATTTCAAAGGATTGATGTGGTTCTACATCCGGTCGCTGCTCTTTGTGACTGTGAACACGTGATCGTCTTCCGACCACCTGCGAAAGCCGCGGGTTCTTGGTCAGCTTGCTCCACAGTTGTCTTTCGTGTCTCGCTCTTCCGCAGACTTTGGAGACTTCCCCATCTACACTTTTCAAAGCCCCAGTTCAATCTATTGTTGATCAAAGCAGATCCGACAACACCATATCAGTCATGCTCTATGAGATGTCATTGGTTGAAGCAGAAGTCATAGTTTTCAAGCCACAACTCTGAGCTAGCTTCAGCGTCTATTTAATTCTCTTGTACAGTTCATTGCGTCTATTTGCAGTTGGCTGTATGTTTATAGAGTAGTCCAGCTGAAAGGAAGTCTCCTTTACGAGCTTGATGGCTTTTTTTGAGGCATAATGGTATTGCATTTCTCAGTTGCCACTTGACAGTGGCTGAAAAGCATTGCTGGTATTCGTTCTGAGCACAACCAATAAAACTACGGCGAACGTTCGCAGGAATCAAGTCAAGTGACTCAAGTCACATGTCTAGTTTCCCCAATCTGTCACCGATGCTTTGAACATCGTCATCCATCCGAAAGATAGACGACGGCGAAGACATATTGCCATGGAAACAAGATCGAGAGGTGACGTCCAATTGAGATTCTAGCCAAAAGGGTTTTGTCCAAATCCAAGTAGTTGAGCCAACAAGTACATCAACTATTTCGCACGCTGCGCCACGTCTCGGTCATTCAATTTCTTAGTCGCACACATTTCGAACGCCGATTATGAAGCTGGGGACAGATCAGAGATCATTGGAGAGCCGGAACGGTTTTACAGCAAAATGACAACTGGTCGGAATTCGAAGAGTGGAAAGGGGGCCTACCACAAAAGTCATTCCGCCCATGGTCCACAGACCCACACCGAGCTTTTTTGGTCCTGTTGTAACTGCGAGCTTTCTGCACTCCCTAATCCGTCTTGGCACGATCAATGTCCCAAATGCGCGAAAGTACGATGCGACTCCTGCCTAGTGGAATGGATCAAAGTGCGCACGGATCTATCTGACAAGTATTCCGGTACTGGAGCCAGAGACAGTACTTTTCCTTCAAGTGGCATTCTTTCACCTTCATACAAGCTGTCTACTGAGTCCGGAACCGGGATTGATACGCTTTCTGTTGTGAATACCGAAGGAAAATTATTCAAGCTGAGTCTTACGTCTACATCGACGTCACTTTGTATAGACCAACCTCTTGTTGATAAAGGCAATCCGCTTAGTACCAGCACGGGTACTATAGGATCTGGCTTTGCTCAGAACCTTATATCTGCCTCAACTTTGAGTCCAGCATCATCCAAATCTTTGGACGTTTTTACAGACAACAACAACACTCCGAACACGATCACGGACAACTCTGAGAGAAGCTACTCTAGCGATGATGACACTGAAGTCGATTCTGATGAGCTATGGAAGTCTAGATTTATTCGCACGCTCGACCATTGTGTATTGGCAGCTTGCAGTCATGACCTAAAACTTGCTGCTTTGCTGATTCGTAAGATTCACACAATCGTGGGAAATTGGAGTCGCAACGGTATTTGGAGCCACACACCAGGTGCAAGTGGGGGAGAAGGGAGCGGTGCCTCTGGATCTATGATCGGCAGTGGATTTTCAAGTGGTGGGCCTTTCAATCATCACTCGGAGAAACGACCCTTGGATGGCGAGAATGTTTCTGATCGACCAACGAAGCAATCAAAGATTTCTTCCGGCACTGAAGAGTTGGAGATGAATACCTCCCCTAAATCGCCCACGTTTGCATGCCACTTTTACAAGAAAGATCCGCGGAAGTTCAATTTCCGGACAAATTCAAAATATAAGAACTGTCCACATCCAAGCATTCCTCCAAATGCTCTTCGCCGCATAACGTAAGTCTTGAAAGAAAAGCCATTATTCGCACCATATTCTTATACTCAAACAGAGATCACTTCAAAAACCACCTTCTTTCGCAATGTGATCGCTGCTATGCCATTTTCAGAGATGCAAGGGCTTTAGTCGAGCACCGCCAGCCTTGCGAGAAACAATCTTCTACATTGAAGGAGGGTATCGACGATGGCCAATGGGATAGGATAAAGGAGATCGTCAAGAAATCTACACGGAAGGGAAGGCAAGAATTTGAAAAGTGGTATGATATTTGGGAGGTTCTGTTTCCTGGAATTACTCCACCTGCGACCCCTTGTAAGTATGCCATCATCACACTAAACTGCTTTTTTCGTGTTGACTGACGATAATAAGGGATTGAACCAGAACCAGTAATTACAAGTCCTCTCCAGCTGGACCCCGAATCTATGATGAGCGAGATAGTATCAAGAGTCGAGGCTGGTGTTGAACAGGGAACCCTCCCTCGTAATGATCAACTATATCGAGATATTTTCTCTATTATACGCAGCGCACTTAGATTGCAGAGCACCACCCCGACAGTCTCTACGCCAACGGCTACAAATTATGTGGGGCAGCAAACGGACAGAGAAAGTCAGATATATAGTGTCCTAACAATAGATAACCACAATAACGATGCAAATGGTTCTTCTGAAATCACTGATATTCTGCAAGTATCACTCCCGGAGTCCGCAAATAACAACGATCGAATATATTTTTCGAGTACGAACGATTTTGATCCTCTGCCCGACATAGCAATACCCGAGCTCTTCACAGAGCAGGACTGGATCGAGTCTCTCGACGTTCTGTACCAAGAGACCGAGCCTCATCCCTTGATCGCAAATTTAGGTGCCTCAGCTTCTAATACTCCATTGTTGGGTCTATCAAATGGTCCAAGGGAGCCTGAGAGTGACCATGGCAACGCAAACAGTCAGATAGTGGATGGTTTTGATTTTGAGACTTTCCTGTCTGAATATATGCCACCGACGGATGTTCTCGAGGACCCTGATACCGCCTTTAACCCCGACGTCCCGGAGAGGCAACAGCAACAAATTAGAGTCGATTCAATTGCAGGTTTTGGTTTCTTTGAGCCGGAGCTAGAATCCAGGACCACAGAGCCATCCAAAAGTCACAAAGATAGAAACAGAGGGTTGCAAGGACGATTTGAATATGATGTTGATGATGAGACTATACATTCCTCATAGCCCCCTCACCAATACTCCTCGTTCTTCCTCAACAGACGTTAGACCTCCATAAAAATTGGCGATAGCCTGGGTACGTGTTAATTCTACTTGTGTTCCTTCATGATCTCTAACCGAGAAGCAGCTTACACCAAGCACCATCCGAACGAAGAATCTCCGACGAGAAGATCAATTTCCATAGTCTGCTGAGTTTCAGCATGGCAGGTTACAAGGTGTACAACAGATAGCGCACGCTTACCTGGATCTCCTGGATGAGGAACAGGACGTGGCTTCTCAGAGCCCTGAGTTTGGGGCTTGGCCCTAGCGTTCAAGCCAAAAGCCAGTGTGGTGACCTCCATTAGAGGCACTTTTGAAGATCGTGAAGATAAAAGGTGGTTGTATAGAGGAGAGGATGTATTCTTTAGATGATAATCGGATACCAAAAATGTCTCTGTGCGAGTTATTCTCAACCAGCTGGTCCAATGGACTCTATAAATACCCTCCAATTCTCCTTCCAACTTTCAATTTCTGTCCCGTGTTAGAGTCCTGCGAGGTTTCGCAGTCAGAAAGAACGAAGAAGATGTTTCTGCGATAGCTCGCAAAAGGTTACCTTGGTACGAGCGGTCAGTCTAAGTCGATCTCGCTTAATTTTCAGGGGGAAGCGAACGCGAAGGGAACGGCGATACAATGTCGGGAGCTTGATATCGATGTGTTCTTTCGAAATCATCTTTAGTTTCGTCTCGTAATCTCTATAGGACTTAGCTACACGCTTCGTTACATCATCTAGCTACTTCCAATGGTCATGACGTGGTGGCTTAACGGAAACTCCGACTTTTCAATTACTCTACACCTGAAATCATTATTTCAATATCCTAGCTTCTGCGCCTTCACGTTGAAAAGACTCATAAATCTCCTCTGCACGACTCAGATCTGTACCTAGTGGAATCTCTTCAACAAAGATTCGTGCTAGAATGGCACCGAAGACGCAGAATATGCTGCCAACGAGAAAGACAACTTGCTGCGCTTTCACATAGTCGCCTTCCCAGTAAGTAAGAATAGGATTGAAGACCTGCGTAGCTAGGGAAAGATTAGGATAGTATGTTCTGACATTTGATAGTGGATGGCTTACAAGTGGCTGCCGCCGTCTTTGCAACGGCTGCAGAGAGTCCAATCATGACCCCGCGGATGACAGTGGGATACGCCTCGGCCGAAATTACGAAGACCGTGCTTCCAGGTCCAGCCTCTCCGAGGAAGAGGAAAATCCCATACAAAATGAGGAAGAGGCTAGGCATAGTCTGAATCTGCCGTATGGTTCCTCCGATTACGAACCCCAGACAGGCTTGCAAAGCAAATCCTACGACAAGTGTTCTTTTTCGGCCGAATCGATCGGCACACCAACCACCAACTAGACCACCTGGAAGGCAGAAAGTCTGGATTAGAGTGGAGTATCCGAAATCTTTGACGAGGCTACCGTCAGGATTTAGCTGAGAAGCAATGATACTGGCAAAGATCGCGAATGGAACAGCTACCAGATTGTACATACTCCAAGTCCCTGCTGTACCGATGAAAGTCATCCAGTATTTCGAGAAGATGAGCTTGTAGGGTAGAGATATCGTGGACTGGCCATACTGCTCGTATGTGCTAGAGGTCCTCGCCAAGATCCGATAGTAAAGAATTGACAGTGGCAAGATAGCACCAAGTCCAATAGACAATCGCCAGATGAGCTCATAGTGTTTGCCATCGGAGAAGAGGAGCAGGACCATTGGGATGAGACTGGCCAGAACGAAACCGAGGTCTATCGAAAGAATAGTTGAGGCAGCAGTGATAAATCCTCGCCATGGGGCGGTTGCGTGCTGGTCATCTGCAGCTTCTGCGGCTGTGGTTGTACACACGGGATATTCCCCACCAGCACCCACACCAGCAATGCCACGTCCAACGATCAATATCCAGACCAGTCCGAGTGGGGTGGTACCGTAGGCCGCCGTTGAGATGGCAATGCCAACAATGAGGATCAAAGTCGTGAATAAAGCACCAACGTTTCGTCCCATTTTATCAATGAGTATACCGAAGCCTAGTAGGCCGATAATTTGACCGACAAGAAAGGAGTTCGAGATCTGGCCGCGCATCTCTGTCAACATATCAACGCTTGTGGCTTTCTCCAGGAACAATGTTACATTCCCGATGATAGCCATGTTGTAACCATCTGAATTGAATCAGCCACAGTGCTCGATATATATATTGGGTTGGAATAACCGCTTACCAGAAATCAGTGCCGTACTAGACCAAAGCATAGTCATGATTGAGGAGAATTGAAATGTCGAGTCAACACTTTCTAGCGTGTCAATTTCATCATCTATGTCAGCATCTACCACTTCAGTGTCGTCCTTTCGTAGGTCTCGACTAGCTGACGACGTGTCGTGAAGCACTCGTGAATGCAGATGTGGACGATCTGAGACCTTGTTCGGGTCTTTGAGGAAGGTGTCATCATCCTCGTTGCCCCTCAGAGCATGATATCCGGATCTATCCATCATTTTGGAGGTTTTGGATCATAGAGTATCATCTTTGTTGGCCATGACTGCGCCATTGACCTGCCTAGCCTGCTCAGACGAGGAGGAGCAAAGTTCATGATTCCCTTAGCGCCAGATAATGAGACATGAAGATACAGTAATGGGGGTTATCTTATCACTCCCACTCTTGCAAATGCGAAACACGGTTGTCGCCGTCGCCATACAATATGAAACATGTACCATGAAGATTGGAGGTCGACAAGGGTGGTTGGTGTGGTTGATGGAAGGCGGTCCCCAAACAGGCTTAGGCAGGCAAAATCTTCTCCAACCTGGAATTCTTCAAGTACTGTAACAACAGATAGCCAAAAATTTGCTTCTTACCAACGCTTCCTCCACATCGTCGCCCACAATCCACTTCCAAGGCGCGGAGGATATTCCACACTTTGACATCGAACTGAGTCATGGAGCTTCCAATTGGCCATCTCCGTGCTGGCAGATCCTGTGGATCACGAGTTCCAGTGAACGAATCACGAGAAGTCGAGAGCAGGTTTGAATCACGTCGTTTATTTTATCTCTTCTTATCCATACCGGTAGTTGCATGAGAATATAAACAAGAACCAAAAGGACTGGGAGCTTCCAGGTTTGTTCCACACGTTAGACCACGTGACAAAATTCTGCCCGGGAACAGATCCATATTGCCACCAATGCCTCTAGTGTGGCTCAGAGTGCTATGAAGGAGACTTGGCTTCTCTCCAGCAACTTAGATAGCCAGATTGGGATCTCGGGTTACACTTACACGTGATCTATATCCGCTTGGCTTTTCAGCCCTGGAGATATTGGACCGTTTCGGGCCACACTTCGATTCGCCACGATTGCTTTTTCCTGCGAGCGCTCGCGGATTCATCAACCAATGGTATGCCAAGACATTGTAGCACACACATCTCTCAAGAAGGAAGGATTATAACGATGTGGCTTCCAGACTGTTCTTCATCTTCAAGCCTTATGGTTCCAGCCCAAGAACTCGAGCCCTCATCTAAGAATAACTCATGCAACCTCCTGCGGCCTCCTCTGATACTATATTTGATGAAATTTAATTACTATTGCACACAATTTGCAATCGAGGTCAAGTTTGGACACAGCAACGATGACCTCTAGTCAGAGCCATTGAATCTCTGGGGCATTTTCCGATATGCCGGCTGCGTAGTTAGACTTTGAGTTGGGTAACTCTGAAGCTGTCCATGAGAGTTTGAATACTAGTAGTACGTTTCAGTTCCCTTTGCGATTGGGAGTCCAAGTTCAAGACCGTAACAAGGGTAAGTTCTGACCCTGTTGATGGATGTCTAACCTTTTACACAGGCTCCTTTGCCCAAGTGCCCTAAGGGCCATCCATCGAGATATAACTATGACTTCTAGTGGTCATATTGCAATGTCTCATGATGGGCTTCAGGCAACGGAACGCAAGGACTCGAACACCTCCTCACAGAATCTTTTCGAACAACAAAAGCAAGTGAACCCTCCACACAACGGGAGCAGAGTCGATCCACCTACACATGTTCACGAATGGCTTTGGGGCTGTTGCAACTGTGGGAAATCTGGCGGATTAACCAGCTTTATACTGTTCTGCCCCGAGTGTCAACATGATTTATGCACGGAATGCCCTTGGGAGCCTGCCCAGATCGACTTAAAAGAAACCTTATTCAACGACCATGAGCTGGCACTACACAATACAATGACCCTGTCTCATCCAATACTTACAGCACCTCCTGACTCACATTCGTTTCCAGAGCAATCTTCTAATGTCCGCGACAATAATCAAGTACAGCAACAGAATCTTAAGCTCGAATCAAGACGCAAGAGAGGTCGACGACAACTATCAACATCGAAGTCGAGAGTCGATTCAGGAAGAACCTTCGCGTGCCACTTCTCCAAAAGATGTCCGCAACACTATAATCCGTGGACGGGTGGGGACAAATATCTCAAATGTCTGTATCCTAATCCTTGCGATCTTCGACACATTCTGTGAGTGTCAAAGAACCCAATATTACTGCATTGTAGAATGCTGACAACCAGATAGAGACCATCTGAGGCATCACACTCTGCCTTACTACAGGTGTCAGCAATGTTTTGCGAAATTTCAAGAGGAGAGCGATCTCCTTCAACACAAGAAATCATCTCAACCCTGCACTCCAATGTGGCCACCACCAAGCGATGGGATCGATAAACACCAGTGGATTCGGATTGGCGACTCAATCAGTACCGTCAAGAATCCCGGGAGAAGCAAAGAAGAAAGATGGTTTGACATCTGGGAGATAATATTTCCTGGTGTCCAGCAACCGCAAAGTCCTTGTTGGTGACATTGGTTCTCTGCCATGGCCTCTTCACGCTGACAGCTTCCAGACAGTGAGCCGCCCAAATTCGATTCCACATCTTTCTTGACTGATGTCGAGTATAATGCAGAGTTCAACTACGAGACTGGGCTGCTCGATCGCGATGAAAGGATTCACGGCGTATGGATGGGTATAATCAAACATTCTCTTAATCCTGGTTTAGAGGCATACCGGGACATCAAGACGGAGCCTCCGGCCTTTGCCCAAGAGAACAAAGCAATATCACAAGGCAGAGCTGGCTGCGAGGATACGGAATGCTTCTCGGAGAAACTCAAGAAGATGGATCATCAACGACCGGCTCCTTGTGTCCGCCTTGAACCAGCACCAATGATTGATACAGCCTTCGTTCAACCTGTTATTTCAAGTTCACAACAGAAAGTCAAGCATGCACTGGGGAACAGCGATCAGACTCAGGAGCCAGTTCCACCAGCACAATCACCTCTGCGAATGATACCCAGGCCACGAATCCTCAGAGAACCAAGACAGAGATCGTTTCTGATTTCCGACCCTCTTAACTCCAACCGCGCTCAGATCATGATCTCAGCAGATTCACAAGCAATGGAACCACTAATTGCTCACTATAGCGATGATCGCCAGTCCCCGTTCGACGCTCCCCGGATATCAAATCAAGGTCCATTTCTCGGACTAGACGATCTCAACGACTTTTCCACTTTCGTCCAACCTCCACAAACAATGTACGATTACGACAATCACAAGTTCTGTTCAGCCACAGAAGATATTTCTAGGGGCGGGACTGATGTATACGTGGATTCTCATGACTTTGAAGGTTTGCTGTCTTTTGAATCATCACTACCAGACGCCAACGGTCCAATCAAGCATGTTCGAGATATGAACAAGGGGTTGAAAGGCAGGTATGAATTCGATGGCTCAATGTAGCAGTCTGGAACTGCAGAGCGAAAGATTTGTGCTATTATGTATTGTATAATATGCGATCACGTTCTCCCAAAGACCACTATGATTTTCATTCCAAACTTCTTCAAGAACTTGCTTTCTATCGATCCCTACAGACCTTTCGAGACTCCACCTCGTGCGATAATTCTACTCAGGGTATATGTAAGGCCCTCTAGTCCGAGTCGTAAGGTACTACTACAATATCTAAGATCCCATCCCATTGAACGTCCATGGATCACCTGCGTGCCGCTTCGTCGTTATCAATACGCCACCTCAAACGCCTTGCGGCAGGAGTAGAGGGGTGAATGACATACAGAATTGGAACAACTTGATATCTAACCGCAGTGCGGATAGAAAAGCATGGTTGACAAACGGGCCGGACCTTCCCCCCGTTTCTAAACTAGGCGAGGCTTGCTTTGTGGCGTACACCTGCATGAGATCGACACGGGCTATCGAAAATGAAATCATGAGAGACACAAGACTTCCAAATGGAGTGGTGGCTTCGATTCATCGCCTCTGTTTCACGGGTGTCTCCGTTGGCCTGCCTCGAGAACGATCTGTATTTGGAGGCAAAGTGGTCTAGACATAGTGCTGCACATGTTGGCTAAATTTGGGTACAGGCACCCCCATCCACACGGCGTATATTTCCAATCACTTAGAGCTCTGAATTGTTCAAGGGAACTTAATCTATGTGGATATACAGAACGCATAGAAAAAGCATCGTGTTTCACTCCGCAAGAGATTGATCATGCGGTCTCAACATGCCACTCTGAGACCTCTCGAGAACCCGGTACTTGGTAGATATAGGGCTGTGTGAATTTGGAATAGGGCACACACATACACGACTAATTTTCCTGGCTCCTTCGCCATTGAAGAACTTTCGAACCTACCTAGCCTACCTAGGTACTTTGGAGATCATGGAAGTCACGTGTCGTTGAAATACCAGTTCAAAGCGCCATATAACATGTATGCGAAGACTGGAGGCGAGTGCATAGAAGCTTTGATACTGAGAACTGATAGAACATTTGAAGCTAAAAGCAAAGGAGTAGACCCGTGACTTGTCTCAAACTCGGGTTGGAGTTTCGCTCCCATTAGTGCAAGACAGAGCTGACTTGCCTTGCAGCTACAGTTATACATCAAGCGATTATAGATCTCTAGCGGAATTATGCTGTTGTATTACCGAATCTCAATGAATAACACTAACTCCACCGAGGCCAAGCTTGTTAACATTGACTTCCAAGCACGGGCGGAGAAGAAATCGTAGACTTTTGATCTGATCACGAAGGGTGGCTTATGAAGACAGATCGAGAGTAAATAGATTACAAGCAACAGCTGAAAAAGCTGAAAAGTTCTGGACGAGATGCAAAAGTCCAAAAAGTGATTGTGCAATCGTTCGTTCCTTCCAACCTCCTTAATGCCCTAAGCGAGCCCCTAAACTTAGCGAGCCGACGAGACATGGTAAAGCTGACTTTATTGATATCTCTTGGGCGATGAATTGTGCATAATCTCGACGTTACATCGATGATGAGGAATCATGCCAATGTATCCAATGCTCGTCCAACGTGTGCGATGCTCTTCCAAGAGAAGGGCCTCCACCGGAGAAAAAAGTGGCCGCTCCGACCAAGTGCCAGCTAATGTAAAGAAATACCAACGAATATTTGAAGAATTTTGAACAGAAAAATTCTTGTAGGTTTTTCAGGTATTTTTCTAGAATTCCTGAAGACAGATTGTCCTTTAAAACGTTGAGCGTCGAGAAATAAATATTTCAGTGCGTTGGACTTTGGTGTTCTCGCATGTCAAAAACGGCAACTTTTTAATCCGGTGGAGAGAAGGGGCGTGTCCCCTGGGTAACTCGACACACCTCATATGAACGCAAAAAAAGTTTAATTGCCAAAGCTGCATCCGACGCAGATATCACGAGTCGTTCGCATCACGCGTTGTTCCAGAATAATGAAGCTCATGCGGGGTGCGTGGGGTCTCCCTTCTTCAAAGCCCCACCTCCAAATCTCGACCCCGGAAGGCTCCAAGGAGGCTTAATCTACCTAAGCAATTGAGCCGATAGGTGCTTCGGTCTGGATGAACTATCGGCAATATGAGGACCGAGTGGGAGGCCTTGTGCTCGGTGAAAGTGGAGGAGGGGTCGCAGGGTGTGCATGGCCTCGTGTTTGAAGCTCTGCTGAATTTTCATTCTTGTCTCAATATATTCCCTGAGAAGGAAGGATATTGTAATAGAGACCACTTCAGGAAAGAGATCGAAGAAGCACAGAAATAGATAGAAATGGCTGTCACAATAACCCCAGAAGACGCACCAGCGCAACCCACTGGCATCAATGTGATCGTCGTAGGCGCAGGTTAGCAATTTTCTCATCGCCTTCTCAACGTTTGCTTGACTAACTTGCAGAACAGGATTTGGAGGCCTCACAGCGGCGATAGAATGTCATCGACAAGGTCACACAGTCTCCATCTACGAATCTTTCCCTGAGCTCAAAGTCCTCGGCGACATAATCTCGTTTGGTCCCAATGCAGGCAGAATTTTCTACCGCTGGTCTCACGGCAAGATTGCTGCTAAGATGCGCGCTCTGTCTATTGACCTTTCAAGCTATGGTTTCAAAATCCATAAGTACGATACTGGAGAAGTGGTCGCGCATCAGAAGACACCACCAGGAGATCCTACAGCGCCGATGTTCAATGGCCACAGAGGAGAGCTGCACAAGGTTGTCTTCGAATATGCGAGAGATGAACTGGGAATCCCAATCCATTTAGGACAGAAAGTAACGAAATACTTCGAGGACGAGAAGGAGGCTAGTATTGAGTTGGAGGATGGGACTAAGGTATGTCGGATCCTACGGCTCGGAAAAAGCTTGTGCTGATTGCAGAAAGGTTACTGGGGATATCGTCGTTGGATCAGATGGCGTAAGATCGAGAGCTCGAACATTAGTTCTCGGTTACGAAGACAAGCCCAAGAGCAGTGGCTATGCGGTTTGGCGAGCATGGTCTGTTTGAAACAGTCCAATCTATCTACACTATTCTGACGAGACTAAAGGTTTTCAAACAAAGATATGATCGCAGACCCACGCACTGCCGAGTTCTGCAACAATGGGGACACCTTCAATGGTTGGATTGGCCCAGATGTCCACTTCCTCTTCAGCACAATCAAGAACGGTTCAGACTGCTGTTGGGTTCTCACCCACCGAGACGAGCACGACATCGACGAATCCTGGTCCTTCCCTGGAAAGCTTGAAGACGTATTCAAAGTCCTCGAAGGCTGGGACCCCATGTGCAAAGCGATTATTGAGAAAACACCGTCAATCGTGGATTGGAAACTCGTGTATCGAGATCCGCTGCCGACTTGGACTTCCAAAAATGGGAGAATTTGTTTGCTGGGTGATGCTGCCCATCCATTCCTGCCAACCAGTGCTCAGGGAGCTACCCAAGCTCTGGAAGACGGTGTCACTTTGGCTGTGACGTTGAAGCGAGCTGGCAAAGAGAACGTGCCTGCGGGAGTGAGAGCATATCAGGAAATTAGATACGACAGAGTAAGAGCTGTGCAAAAGACTGGAGAGACAACAAGAGATATGTGGCATAAGGCAGATTGGGATAAGGTGAAGAAAGATCCCAAGAGCATAGAGTTGCCGAGAGAGGACTGGATTTTCCAGCATGATGCTCAGAAGCATGCAGAGCAGGTTTATGATGACGTGGTGAAGAAGTTTACGTAGTTCAAGTACTTCAACTGGAGTTGGCACCTACCTTCAATAGATTTTTTATCAAAAGAAAATGGGGAGTCGGCTTGGCTCCGAAATCCAGGTCACCTTGTACTGAGCTCTGCAGTGCAGTCAGCGCAACTAGCGAGGTCCGCGCGGTCAGTGCGATCAGCGCAGCCAGCGCATTCAGTTCAAGCAGTATTACAGCACCACAAATTTGACCCCTCAGTTCCAGCCCGCACACAACAATGACTAATCCAAAACCCTTCAGAAAGGCGTTCTCTAGTTATGATTTAATTAAAAAAAGTGTAGTTCAACAGAACATTGAATTTGTAACAATGTTCAAAGTTGCAAAGAGGAACAAAAATGGACGAAAAATTTGCTTCCAAGAACCAAACAACTAAAAAAGAAATTTTTTTTGATAAGAAGAATCATATATCCGTGCCCTAAAATAGGACGACTGTAATCAAAATGTCTGATTTCGAGCTGTAGTCGAATTTGACAATAGTCTACATCCCAAGAGTGCTGTAAATCCGACCCGCGGCGCTGTTCAGCTCTCAATAGGTGTAGCACAGAGCCGTTGTATCAATTTTCAGATATAGGTATATAGAGGTCTGAGGTAGGATTTAACACAGATGACATTGCCACGTAGGAAGAATTCAGGGATTAAAAGTCTTCAATAGCCAGCACGGTTCACTAAATTCATTTTGCGACCTACATTCCTCTGCACGACATCCCACGATATACACATCATCTCATCCAAACATGTCACCTTAGTGTACTTATTCCACGTAGGTGGCGGTCTCGGCAACAGCCTTTGGGTTCGACCAAACGACATTCTCGACCTGCTCCTCGACACTGACTCTGGGTTCCTTCTCATCGACGGCGAGGGCCGCCGCACCGATGCACTTATAGCTACGGAACTTTCTTGCTGGGATTTCGGCCATGAACTGTAGCGCTATTAGCACCATTTTTCAAATTGTCGCGAGCTACTTACCATCTCATCAATTTCTTCGAATGTGCGGTTCTTGACTTCAGGAAGATAGAACCAAACCCACAAAGCTCCGATGAAGCAACTTGGAGTCCAGATGTATCCGTACTTGGGGCCTATGAAAAGTTAGACTGGAAAAAAGATTTTGATAGAGAAGACATACCCCAGTTCAAAGCAGATGGGTTGATGAAGTATGGAGCAGTGAAGGTTGTGAGCCAAGCACCAAAGAACCCGATTGCGGCTGCGAGACCAAATGTATAGGAGCGGAGGCGTTGAGATGGGAATTCTCCTCCACAAAGCCAGGCGTACGATGCGACCATCCCATTGTAACCGAGGATATAGAGTACAGATATACCAACGATGACCTATATTGATTAGTACGAAGTATCAAAGGAATCGAAATAAGAGTGATGGATACCACATACCTTTCCGGTAGACGAGGTACCCGGTTTTGCCGTGTAAACAGCAGCGACAATCAGCTGACAGAAACCGCATATAATCAAGCCACAGCATAGGAATATTCTACGGCGACCATAACGAGTGATAATGGCGCTGTTGATGAGAATGATAATGACTCCTGACGCGGTCAAAATGCAAGCATTCTGGAAGGCGTTGCCGACACCAGCCATCTCGAAGAAGTATGTTCCATACGCTATGCAGGTCAGAAGAGTCTTAGGTAGAAGCGCAAAGGACTTACAAATCATATACATGGCACCAGAAGCAGCTTGAAGAGAGACGGCTCCGATGGCAAGTAGTGTACGGCGACGATCGATGGGATTGCGCCAGATATCGATAATTTCGGAGTTGTGTGCAAGTGCCTTTTCAGCATCAATTGCGAGTTTCATCTCTTGGAGCTCGGCTTCAACGCGCTCTGGAAATGGTCTCAACCAGGTCAAAGATTTGCGGGCCTTGTCTTCCTTGTTCATCTGCAGGAGCCATCGTGGAGATTCTGGAACGAATAGAAGGCCGAGGGCAATGATTCCAGGCACAATGTAGACTATGCCGAGTGAGACGATGTACGACTGCTTGCCGCCGATTTTGACAGTGAAGTTGTCGACAACAGTGCCAACAAGTGACCCTGATTGGAAGTCAGTAGATGGAACAAGGGATTTGCTCTCATGGTAACATACCCAGTGAAGTCCAGCTTTGGAATGCACCAATGGTCAAACCACGATATCTAGCTGGAGCACATTCCTGCAAATTGTAAGATTATAACTTCGTTTTAAAAGTAGCTCTGGCATACCTGTAGATACAATTGTGCAAATGTCATGAACAGGCCATTGGCCAAACCAATAACAAATCTACCAGCGTAGAGTCCGCCGATGGAGGTCGTTGTCATCATCACAACGTTGGCTACAACACACATACCACACGCCAGCCATATTGATGTCTTGCGGCCAATGAAAAGAGCAATTGGTCCTAAAGAGATCAGTGAGAGCCAATCTTACACAACATAAAGTGAATACTTACCACCTGCTCCGGAAGCGATGAAAGCTCCCAAAATCATCAGAGAAGAAATAAGTTGTTGTCGACCAGGCGAGATGTTCCACCCAATTGGCGTGTCCGGTGCCTTCTCACCAAAGACCTACAAACATCAGTATTTGCGTCTGATTGATGCATCACTAACTCACTTCCAAGAATCCTGGCATGGCTTGCAAACCGCCGATGATACCAAAATCAACACCATATTGGAACGGACACATCGACACGAGCGTGCAAGCCAACAGGCATTTCCAATGGGCCATCACGCCGTCATTCTTTTCGCCTGCCATGATAAAGTTTGTTGATCGATGAGGAATGGTGGTGTTGTGATGATCCGATGTGAACTGCCTCGATCGTACGAGAGTCTCGTAGACTTTATGTTGCTAGGATCCACAAGAGATAACAGCTGCATTCACGATGAGATATAGTCAGGAGAATATCCTGCAAGATCCAAGACTTTGGTTCTGAACAGAATTGCCGATTGTGGCTGCATGCCTGCAGCGGGGTAAAGCTGGAAATTAGTGGGCATCTACCCCGAACATTGGTTATCATGTGCCTAAGCATGTTGCATTGATATCCGTTATCATTTCTCGGTCTCGTTCTCGATTGCGATGTTCTGAGCGATCCGTTGTCGCTGTGTGGTCGGAAAGATGGAAGCGAAGGTACATTATGAGGCGTTTGCTAATCCACCAACTAGTTTGAAACAGCTTGAGCATATAAAAACGGCCTGTAAAAGAAAGGTTTCGATCCGCCCAGACATCCAAGTCTCGAAGAACAGCTGGAGGCTGGTTTGCCACACGAAATTCTCGGGGAGCAACCCAGATGAGTGGCTTCCGCGACTCGAGACCACGATGCATGCATGAAATTTGGATAGAAACGTGAATTACCCCTCATCCCTTGCCAAACATGGGACTAGAGCCGGACCGTCCACCAGTGATCCTTGATGCTCCAAGTGTCCCTTGAGAGGCCCCACATGGTGCTTTCCCTAATATACTTCGTGTGGGGAAATCGTGGGGAAAACGAAATTAAGTGTCAAGTATCTCACTAGAAAGACCATCAATCTGCAAGTTTAGGCCTCGATTCAGAGAAGAGATGAGATGAGAGGACAGAGTAACTCCAAGTACGGGAAGAGGAGAAAAGCAGTTTCGGAGCCTTAAGAAAGTCGAGAACAGTGGGAGGCAAACTCTCTTACCTGCACTTTGCGATGCGTCGCAACGATACTACCGTGAGCTGGAACAAAGATCTCCTTGGGGCAAAGAAGAAAAGAAGGAAAGAGGAAAGGAGAATCATCTCGAAACATGCTTGAAAGAGGAGTGTACTGTAATACATCGACCTCAAGTACAAACCTAACGAATTTGGAGCAATGTCAGTGTCATGGCACTGACCTCCAGTCCAATTCCGCTTGTACCCAGTGTCCTATTTTCCTTGGGCTAGCTTTGTCGATGTCCTGGTAACTCGGGGAGTAGTACGTCTTCTAGAAATATTCCCCAAGAATCTGGTTGACCGAGAACTTGTGACCAGTACCGGAGCTTGAGAACATACTGCATCCAAGATATCGCACGAGTTCCCTTTGCTGTATTTCCAATGCGGGATATAACTCTCGAGATAATTCTTCATCGTCTCAAGGAAGGATGTTGACTCGGAAATGTTCATGTAGTGTAGCCACTAACAGTGAATCATGCGAATTCTTTCCTTCGACAACTTTCGCAAAGGGAAGCGAAGCCACCTTTTGTCCTCCAAGGCTTCCCCAGCAGTTTTAGTGATCCAGTTCGCGAAGTATAGACGCAGAGTCGCAGACCCATATACCTTGAACTGGTCAACTGGCAGAGGCTCTAGAATGGCCCATTGCATGGCTGACCGTCAAAACCCCGCGCTCAAGGACTCGAATCTTGCAGGGAGCTCGTATATATAGGTAGCATCCACGGATTCGATAATGACCTAGGTTCCTCATCTCGTAATCTGTGTGCTAGAGACATTAGCTGTATCCACAAAGTAATCGCACGATTCCCACCCAAGGTTACTGGTAACAGGTTATCAGGACCCAGCTTCGTATAATCAATGGCATACCCTACTGCATCTTCTACACTACACCATTCAACACTCTTGTTAGTCCTCATAGAAAGAGAGCAGCAGACAGGTCTGAACTGCATTCATGCCGACGGTTCCGTCGGTTCTGTCCACACAGAGCAGACTTTGTACTAGTTTCATCTTCCCCTGACGAGGACAGCGTGGGGTTTTCGTCACCAGTCTGGATGAGCTAGAAGACAGTAATAGGTCGAGATGGCGATACTGACTGTTACAAGAGAGGACCAGAAAGAAGGGTGTTCTACGATTGTTGAGCGGAGCGGGTTTAAGAAGTCTGCTCCGTACTGTAGCGCCGGCCCGAGCCGAAACTCAATCCGCGACCTCTCCCTCTCCTGTCTCTTCTCTAAACAATATATTCAAGTCGGAATAACTGAGATCAAAAGTGCCTTGCCATGGAATCCACTCGCAGCGATGCAGAATAAATCGCCTGGCTCTATCGAAGCCTAAAAAGACGTTACGCAGAGTGAGCCTGCTCAGGTTGACTTCAGATCTGCACCGACCACGGAAGCAGGCAGCAGCAACTACATCCAGCTTCAGGGCCTGGCAATGCACTGCAATGCGTTCCACAGACTCGGGTCGCTACCTTTGCCTGAGAAGACAAACATGGAAATGATACGGCGACAATGCTCGTTTTCTGCTCGGCGACCCCGTTCATGCTCTGCGAGTCCTCAGTCCCCTTGCAATCTGGCACATCTTGTTGAGACCCTTCCTTGCGCGCGCTTCTACCACCAATGAGCTCTGCGGTGCGACGCAAACCATTTCATTGTTCTACTTTCCTTATTTTATCTAACATGTTTGTCTGTTTGATGGGCTCTGTACTTATTTTGCCATTTCCTCTGTCCTTTTCTGTATTATTTTGAGATATTTTTGTTACCATCAAGTTGTGAGAGTTGTCTCCTCCGCTGATCTAACGGATTTGATTCGGGCGACGAGTCGAGCATGAATCCTGTAAGTGCTTGTTTTCCCAAAAGACGTACGAGATGCAGACGATGGAGTCTGGCATAACCATCCAGCGCGTGTCTTTTTCGCTCAACTAAATGCTGATTACTGACTTGGTTTTTCTATTGATAGAAGTCGTTGTGGAAATCTCTGCGAGTGGGATCAAGGAAGAACGAGCTCTCGCCCACAGCCAAAGAGGGCGGACTTGAATCTTCTACCGACGGGAATAGCCAACGAACGCCTCAAGTCAGTACGGCACCAGCAAACATAGTCGACATCGAAACGCTTGGCAAAGATGCTTCACAAGATCAACTTGCTGTCCTGCAATCAAGCATTCCGCGATCAATAACACCAGTTCTAAAAGACCAGTATACACTATATCCTCTACATACATCGTCGAATGCGAATTCGGTGCCATGCGAGGGACACTATGCCATAGATTTCGTCGCAGTTCATGGGATCGATGGCGGATCACACAAGACATGGACTCATGGCAATGGCTACTATTGGCTCCAAGACTCTATACCAAATGATTTTCCTGGGGCAAGAGTATACTCGTTCGGGTATCCGGCTGAGGTGCTCTTTACGAGAGGGAAGTCTGACATCTCAGACTTTGCCTCAGCTCTTTTAGAAGAAGTCAAAGCGACACGCAGCACCAAAGAAGTAGGAAATTCGCAATCTTAGCACTTGGTTTTGACCAGTATGCTAATATGGATTTCAACAGGATCAACGACGACCTCTTATTTTTATATGCCATAGCATGGGTGGCATTGTTGTGAAACAGGTAAAAAGCGTGGATTTAGCAGAGACGAATCAACACTGACATTGCTAGGCCATGAACATATCAGTCTTCGAAAAAGACCGATTCGGCACTATCCGCGAAGCAGTATTTGCCATTATGTTCTTTGGCACTCCGCATCGAGGATCTGACTACGCAAAATTCTTTACCAATTTGGCTCGTGTAGTCAACGTGCCTCTTATGAGCACTTCACGCTTTACTGGCAAAACGCGCGTTGACCTGATCAAATCCTTGAATCGACATTCAAAGACACTGTCTGAGAATTCAAAGCAATTTCGGCTTCAAACAAACAATTTCAAAATTCATTCTTTCCTCGAACAAGATTCTACACCGCCGCTGAACGAAAAGGTATTCGTTACCTCTCCCTTTCTCGTCGTTAATGTATTTGAACAGAAGAGCTAATAATCGATTCCAACAGGTCGTCGATGATATGAGTGCTTGCTTGGGTGTTGAGAAAGAGACTTTACATCCCATGCTCGGCTGTGATCATAGAACCCTCTGCCGGTTCTCTGGAAGAGACGATCTGCACTACAAGAGAGTCTTCAACGTATTACAAGAAATAGCTACAGAGGCCACCACTAGTCAGTAGAAGCACCACAATGATATTCATGATTCCCGTTCTACCTCATCTTCCTAAGCCGCATGTGACTCTGACTATCCTTCTTATCTCCCAGAATTCGAAGCCGAGCTCACAGCAGAGGATGAACGTAAGTAAACATTGCTTCACAATATAAGGTTAATCTAACAACCAAACAAAAGCATGTCTCCACTCCCTCTCCTTCCAAACTATGACCTCCCGCCTCCAAGAGACCACCCTCTCAGCCCCGCACCCAAAATCCTGCACCTGGATCCTCACCCACCCCTCCTTCCACTCCTGGACCAAAAGCAACGAGAATAGACTCCTCTGCATCAAAGGCCACCCGGGAACCGGAAAATCAACATTAATGTCATTCCTCCATCATCACCACCTCATCCATGCCCCTGCCGACACTATCATCCTTTCCTTCTTTTTCCATGGAAATGGATCCTCGCTGCAGAAATCTGAGCTAGGCATGTTTCGTTCCCTTTTGCATCAGTTATATAAACAGAGTTTCCACGCCCGGAAACAGATCCTTGCCTTTTACCAGCAAAGGGTTAAGGAAAGCGGGGTTTGTGGGAATGATTGGGAATGGCAGGCCCCCGAATTGCGGGAAGTATTTACTTCGATATTGACTTCTCAATCTTCGATCGAGGCAGGAGTAAGGAGCACAAAAGAAGTTCTAATTTTCATCGATGCTCTCGATGAAGCAGTTGCTGGGGGCGGGAGTAAAGCAGCAAAAGAGCTGCTTGATTATTTTAACGATTTGTTGGAGAAGGGAAGAGTGCGAGGCATCAAGATCTGTACCTCTAACCGTCATTACCCTGTTATTTCTCCGCTTTTGGCTAAGATCCTTGTCATTAATGTTGAAGGAGAGAATCGGCATGATATTGCGGCGTTCGTTTCGCATTCCCTGTACCATGGCGTCGAGTCTTGGGCAAGCGAAGATGAGGAGGAGAAAAGGGAATTAGAGGAGGCGCTAGTGAGTAAAGCAGCAAGTGTATTTCTGTGGGCGAAGTTGAGGGTGGAGAAAGTGGTTAAGGGACTCAATGATGGCGTTTTTGGGGTGAGGGATGTGAGCGCGATGGTGAAGGCGGAAACGAATGAGTTGGCGGATCTTTATAGGGGTGTTTTGATGGGCGATGTGGAGGTTGGATTGAGGGGGAAGGCATTTGTGATGATGAAGTGGGTGTGTCTTGCTGAGAGGCCGTTGACGTTGGGGGAGTTGAGGTTTGCAATGGGTTGTGATGGGGGAGAGGATGAGATCGTTGGTGAAGAGATCAGGTATGGGGAGGTGAAGGCGTTTGTTGATACTGATGTGAGGATGGAGAGATTGGTCAAGAGTTTGTCTGGTGGGTTGGCTGAAGTGAGATATTATGGGAAGGAAGGAATCGTGCAGCTCTTTCATCAGAGTGTGAATGATTTCTTGCGTACTGATGGCTTGGCTATCCTGCATCGATCTGTGAATCAGGACAGCGATGGCGAACAAGACTTAATTGGTGTCTGCGAGAATGAACAATCAAGGGCTTGTCTGAGATATTTAAGATGCACGGAGATTTTTGAAAGGGTTAATGTGTGGATTGCGGAGATCACAGACACCTACATCTTCGTCCAATACGCGACAGAACACTGGGCTACTCACGCGGCAAGAGCAGAGCGACACGGTATAAATCAAAAGCATCTAGTGGAGTACTTCGCTTCCTGCCCCAAGCTTTTGGGGACTTGGAAGAAAGTATATAGAGCCGTGGCTTACCGTGACTCGAAATGTCCCAATCCATTGGCAACTCTGATACACATCGCATCGACGTTTAGCTTGGAGTCCACTGCTTTGTGGTCATTGCAGAACGGTGCGACGCTCCAGGACGAAGATGACATCAATGGCCTCACACCACTTGATTTGGCCGCGAGGCACGGGCACGATACCTTGGTACAGCATTATATCGATCTCGGTGCGTCTATCAATGGCGAGGTTATCGGGTGGCAGACACCTCTGGAGATGGCTGCAGCCAACGATCAATTGACCACCGTGAGGCTTTTTCTGAAGAACGGAGCCAAGTTAGGGAAAGACATCGGTGCAGGTTCAGCTTTGGGAGACGCAGCCGGAAAGGGGAATACGACACTGATTGAAATTTTGCTTGAAGCTGGTACCGATATCGATCATGTCACAGAGCATCATGGGACTGCACTAGCAGTCGCCGCTTACGAAGGGAAGGAGGAGGTGGTAAAATTTCTGATCAAGAGGGGTGCTAAGGTCAATGTCGTAGGGGGCTCCTTTGGATGTGCTCTCCAGGCTGCCGTTTCTGGACCTGCCAGAATTCGGACGTCGATTGTCCACTACTTGCTTTCGAAGGGAGCCGAAGTGAACCTGCCAGGTGGGAAATATGGAAATTCTCTCCAGGCAGCTGTAGCAATTCGGGATATTGAATTAGTGAAGCTGTTTTTGAGCAAAGGGGCCGACGTCAATGCTTATGGGGGACAAGATGGGACAGCTTTACACGCAGCTGCTTCTAGCTATCAAAAGATGGAATTCATTCAACTCCTGCTTGAACATGGCGCAGACATCAATGCTCAAGCAGGCGAGTATGGAACAGTATTGCAAGCAGCTGCTGCAATAGGTGACGAAGAAGCAGTAGAACTCTTTATAAAGCTCGGAGCAGACGTCAATAAACAAGGAGGTCGTTTCGGGAATGCGTTACAAGCCGCAGTCCAATACCCAGAGGGAGGAAACCTCGTCTCGATGCTGTTGGAGCATGGCGCCAGAATCGAAGGACAAAGCGGATATTATGGGAATCTGCTCCAAGCAGCAATAAGTAAAGGAAATGAATACCTTGCGAAGCGATTCCTGTCCATGGGATTGAGCATCAACGAGACTGGAGGACACCACGGAGACAACTTGCAAGCTGCGTTCCCTTTCTGCAAGGAGCTATTTATCAAGTATCTTGTAGAGCAGGGGGCAAACGTCAATGCTACAGGAGGAGAATACGGTAGTCCACTGAGGGCTGCAATTTTCTGGAACAGGCCATCAATCGTGGCCTTATTTTTGGAGCATGGAGCTGATTCCAATGAAAGGATTGCAGGATTTACAGGAACCCCGCTGTATCAAGCCGTGAGAAAGGGAGACACTTTGGATGATGCTGGAAAGAAGAAAAATCTGGAGATTGTGCAAGCCTTGCTGGACAAAGGGGCCGAGATGGAAGCTCAGGGTCCATGGAATAAATCGCCTCTGCATCTGGCTATTGCCAAGTGCAACAAGCCTGTGGTAAAGCTCTTGGTCGCTCGAGGTGCACATTTGGACATTTCTGAAGAAGAAAGAAGAGTTATCGTCGATCTCCTGGAAGACGAATGAACTAACAAGCAGAGAGATCGTAGTGTAAGATTAGGAATTGGATGAATCTACTGTACATGGGAGTGCAAGGAACGATTTGCTTACAAGGAACTATCATTTCTGGCTATAATTGCATATTGTGTAACTTGGGGGAGAAATAATCCGAACAGTGCGGGGTTAAGACGATACTGCTTCAACCTGGGTAGCAGTCGACTTGACACGAATGAGCTTGACTGAATAATGCACGTGATGATGAAAGATTTGCCCCTTCGCAAAAGCTAAAAGCCAAGCAGCACTGCGCTGGATGAGAAGTAGAAAATAGAAATATAGTGAATAATGGTTGAGAGATTGGGGGCAGTCGTTTCGGACGTGACAGCAATTCCATTGCATTTGCACTCACGTGCTTCTCTTGCCAACCCCCTTCTCAAGTGGAAGCTGCAGTCCCGGACTCAACTCACCCCGCATTTGACATGAATTCGTAGCAGGCTGCAACTTAGAAAACAACACCATTCTACTCCACTGCCTCTCCAAATGTCTGCGAGGTTGATAAGATGTCGGCTTTCTCTTTCGCCGCAGCTGACTGCGCCTCACCAACGAGCCTTGCGCACGTGCGAAGTAACGAATGATGGCAAAAGACATTGCGTTGCCTGAACGGCGTTCAGTATGTCATCGGCGCCGACTGAGAGGAAAGGAACGAGCGGACGCAAGCACTTTACGACAGAGAGAGACTTTGAATAGACTCGGAATGCGCATCTTGCGCATTAATGACATCCCAAATTAAGAGGCACAATCGAGCTTCGGGAGAGCGAGTTATGGCGCACATATGGGGAAGAGAAGATCAGTCGACGAACGTGCTTAATCGCAGGCATATAAACCCCAGGACAGAACCATCGTCTGGACATCGAACGATTGGCCAAGTCTTTGATACACACAGTACCCCGTTCGAGACATTGCTGGTGCTCCTCGTCCTCGTTGAGGCTCACAAACTCTCAATCATCCATCTCACTCACTCAGCCAGCCATCCAGCGCCAGTGAGTATATTATTTTCTTGTCAGCTTGCAGCAGTTCCAAAAATAACCCACTCGTACGGCCGTCTTCGCCATCTCCAACCAGTCTTTCTTGGCCTGAATGAGTCAAGGGTCATCGGGCTGCAGCACCCCGTGGCCACTCACATCCAGTGGAAGGTGCAGAAGTGTGGCTCAGTCCACACAGCACTGGACTTGCCCCTTCCAAGCGATTGTGGTGTTCCTGACGCCGCTGCTACGCGATTTGTCTCTAACAGGGTTGATCCGCTAACGAACTGCAGTTAAACCTTACAGTAGCAGTCCCGGGCAGACCCACGCCAATTCTCCAACACTCAGCTCCCCTTTCTCTCATCCTGATAATCAACCACTTCCTCTCTCACTTCTCAATTGCAACGACTCTCGACCACTCTGTATAGACAACGCGAATAATTTCCTCATTATATATATCCTTCAGCAGCAGAAAAAGCAAATTGGGCGGCAGTTGAGATTGCATAGACGCAGATCTTAAACCCCAGTTTTAGGGGTCGGTCGACCTTGTTCAAGATGAGTGTATGTGCTCTGTTTCAACTTCCAATCTCGAGCGTTTTGACTTGGGCGTCGCCACATCTACTTCCAATTTCTTCATCTTCTCCTTCAACTCATTTCGTATCATTTCCTGCAAAGTTACTCTGGTAGAAACTTTATATATATACTGACAGATATGGCCCAACAGTACGGGTTAGTTTTCCTCCAGCCTCGCGCTTACATCGAAACCTTCACCTCAATTCGACCACATTGCCACACCCGACCGACTTGAACCAGAGTACTGACAAGCATGCTGAAACAGATATGGAGGGCGTTCGAACCCTTACGATCAAAGAGGAGTGCCATCGCCGCAATATGGTGCCCCCTATAACAATGCCCCGACTATGGGTCGTGACGAGTATGCCAGTAAGCATCCCATATGCGCTGAAGGCTTTTCTCCGAACTCTTCTGATCAGATCGCGTAGCACAAAATGTTGAGATGGAACCCTTGACCAAGAATGGGTCCGACGAATTCAATCGACAAGATCCCAATGCTATTCTCAATGCCTGCCGCGAAATCGATCGTGGAATTGATGAGATCAAGGCTTCCTTGGCTACGTTGCAAAGTGCCCAGAGAAATTACTTGAACGACGCATCCGGCAACCCTGGGGCGTATCAACAGCTTGAACAGATGAATACCAGCACGATGGCGTTGTATAGAAACTTGGTTGGCAAGGTCAAGAATATCAAGCAAAAGCCCGAGTCTGGCTCACCGAGGAATGCTCCACAAGTTGGAAAAGTTGATCGCATGCTCAAAACAACGATAAATGAGTACCAACAGGTCGACAGAGACTTCAGGAAAAAGCTGGACGATCAGGCAGCTCGCCAATACCGCATTGTCCGCCCTGAAGCCACAGAGGAAGAAGTCAGAGAGGCAATTCAAGAGCCCAATCAACAGATGTTTGCTCAAGCACTCATGCAAGGCAATCGACGAGGTCAAGCTGTAGATGTACAAGACGCTGTGAGACAAAGATCCGAGGCAATCAGGAAGATCGAAAGCCAGATCATCGAGCTCGCAGAGCTCTTCCAAGATATGGACAATCTGGTCATGCAACAAGAGGCTGCTGTTGTCAACATTGAGCAGAAGGGTGAGGAGGTCGTCGAGAACATGGACAAGGGAACGGAGCAAATTGGTGTTGCTATTCAATCTGCCAGAAACGCACGCAAATGGAAATGGTGGTGCTTGGGCATAGTCGGTAAGTCACATTCCCGAACCGCATTCTTGAATCACGCTCTCGCCTTCTCTGGGATTAGGCTAACAATTTTCTAGTGCTCATTATCGCAATCATCGTTATCGTTATCCTCATCTACAAGTTCGTCATCCAGAACAACGGGTCAAGCAAGAGGAAGCGTTTTGTCCTTACAGACATCATCTCTGCCGACCAGATCTCCGCAGCAGGGCACCGCGTCATTTCAGGCCAAGCATGGACTCCTACATCTGGAAAGATGGTGGTTCCTGGCGCTTCATGGTCTCCCGAGACCGAGACCGTCGGCAAGGCTGTTGTAAGAAAGATGAAGACTTTCCAGGCATAATCTTGCTTAGAGAGGATTGTACATGGTGCTGGCACATACCTTGCGATTGATCATATTGCGTTTCTACTCTCCCACCCTCTCATTCGTGGAGAGGGTTGGATGAGGGTTTGAATTTCCGGCGTCTCACGTTTCTATATGTCTGTTTTGTCACATTGCTCTTACTTTGCCTCTGTTTTTTTTGTCGTTATCATTATCTATGTCTATCAAACCACAAAACGAATTGTGTACCTATGGAAAGCTGCGAGAAAAATTATGTTATGGGTGGTTGGGGTTGTAGGAATATACCATTGTCGCTCTCTACATTGTTTATATGAGCGAGCGGAGCGGTGGAGGGAGATGATTGTGTTTAAAGACGGTAGTTTGTGAGGTTCGTTTCTGACTGGGAGGAGCGAAGAGTGAGATAGGAAGAGGTGGAGAGAGGAAATTATAGATAGGAACGTTTAATTAAATTTCGTTTCTTGATTGAATCATTTTGATGGCGTGTCACCATTTTGATTATCTTTCCAATTATGCTGTTATTTCCGACAAGGTGTATTAGTGCTATTGAAGCATGACTTAGGAAAGGTGTTTGAAATGTTGCTCTAAGTAAGTTGGAAAAGAGCTTTATGCAAGTGAGCTTGTTTTGTTTTCTTTTTTCTTCTTTGAATACTCTTCGAATTATAGTCTCGCATGGCCTTCTCGGTGCATATAGAAGTGCCAGATGATTTTCTGCTTTAAAGATTGCTGTCTGATTCTATCTCTGGTATAAGTATTGTGAATAGAGCAACTCCAACGACCATATGCAGCCAGCCTAACGCCCAACTAGCCCAAAATACCTAACCAAAGAATACTTCAACAACATCCATCTCCAAACGCCCGCTTCATTCCCTCACCTACATAACCCGCCCCAAATCACCCAGGAGCAGCACTCTCCCCCGACCCCCCACTCCCACTCCTCCGATGCCCACTCACATCCCCCTGCTGTCCCACCACCCTCCTCAGCACCGCCATCTTCCGATCAAACCCCTCCAACAACCCCTGCATCTCCTCCTCTCCCACTCCCACCTTCTCGCTCTCCCCCATCTGCACCCCTCCCCTCCCCTCACTACTCACGCCCTCAATCCGCAACATCAATCCCCCCGCCGCTGCCTCCTCGCCTTCGCCCACGCTGCTGCCGTCCCATGTGGGCGCGTTGTCGATGTGCGCGTTTAGGACTTGCCATCTTTCGCTGAGGGAGGAGATGCTTTTTATGCTGTCTCCTGTGTCGTTCATATCCACGATAATGATCCTCTCCTCTCTCGTTCCCTTATCCCCTGAATTCTTCTTGCCGTGTGATTTCTTCTCCTTGAATGTTGCGGATGAGCTTGAGCCTGTGGTGCTCTCCCTTTCTTCTGCTTTTATGCTGGAGTTTATAGATGGAGGAGGGATTGGCTGGTTATCGAGTCCTCGTAATAGAGCAGCGGACAAAACTTCCGAGGCGTCGTCGTCGGAGAAGAGGTAGTGTATCCTTGAAGGGTGGTAAGTGCTGCTTTCGCTCTCTTTTTCTTTGACGTCGTTGATGAGTGTGAAGAAGGGGGAGAAGGGCGGTCGGACGGGATGGGGTTCTTCGGAGGTGGAGGCGTGGAAGGTGGTTGAGCGGGAGGGCGGCTGGGTCGTTATTGTTGGGCGGATTGGGGGTTCTGGTTTCGAGAGGGTTGGCGGTGGAGTTTCGGTGGTGAGGGGTGGGAAAGGCTCGCTGGTTGTAGCAGAGGGAGGAGGAGGGTCTTTGCCTGGTGGTGGGGAGGTGGGTATTGATGGGGCGGAGGGGTTGGACATTTTGGTTTGTTGTGGATGCTTGAGAATAAGTATGTGAATCTGCGAGAATCAAAGTGTGATCATGGATGAGTTTCGTGGGTGTCGTTCTTCAAGAGAAGCGTGAATCGGTGTTGGGATTTGGGGATCATTGGAAGAGCGCGAGGCTGTCGAGGTCGAGAAATGATAAGAGCTTATCTTCACGTGGCTGCACTAGTGAATATCAGGGGCTCTCTCAACGTCCTCAGCCATAGCATTACTTCAAAAAGAGAAAAGGGATGATCAAAGTGTCAAGTTCTGTGTTGTTCTTTCTTTATTTTACTCGGTTCATTATCTATCAACAGAAAAAAGGCAGTTTATGCTTCATTGTCCTGTAATTTTCCCTCGAAAGCATCCCCCACAACGCCAAAATGCATCGAAAAAGACATAGCCACAGTATAAACAACTGTATTCATGCTATCCATTCTAATGATCCATTTACAATAAAGCAAAGACACCTCCACCAACACCAGCCAAAGCAAGTGATACACCCGCAACTACAACTCTCGACCAAGCGAAGGGTTCTGGTCCGGAACCAGCTGCGCTCTTCTTTGAGCTTGATGTTGATGTTGATGTAGATGTTGCGGCGAATCCACTGGCGGCACTGAAGCCGGTGGCAGTAGGATTGTATGTTGCAGCGGCGCTACCGGTGGCTGTTCCTGATGTTTCAACCTTTGGAATTCCGGTAGCGGTCTGGGTGACTTGGTCTTCGTTGGCAGCAGTGGTGGCGCTTGGAATTGGGGCACCTAAGCTAGCGAACGAGACGACGTTTGAACTGGTGGAGTTGAAGTCGGTTTGAGCGAGTGCGATACGGTTGTTCTCGAGATCATAGACAACGTATGCTGATCGCAAGAAAGTGTCACCGAATAGCACGGGGAGGCCGTCAGCGGCTTGGACGCCGAGTTGACAAGCCGTCTCACCGTTGGTGTAGGTTGGGGTTCGGCCGTTGGTCAAAGTGAGAGGTAGGACAAGTTGGGAGACTTGAACCTTGATTTGTGGTCCTCCAGTTCCGCCGAAGCCGTAGGTGAGGTATCCGGTATTCTCGGCCAGAGAACAAGGAACAACTACAGCACCGAGCTCTTGTGAAACGGTAGCTCCAAGCTCCTCAAATACGGCAGTTGCAACATCGTCTGGGAGAAGAGTAATGGTAGTTCCGGAGTCAAGAATGGCTGCTTCGGCATAGTTGGCGGGGGTGAGTTGATCAGTTCCTGAGGAGCTGGTTGCTGAGAGGGAAGTGAAAGCAACTGTGAATGAAGTGGTTTGACCTCCTTGGCTGTCTGGGTAAACCTTGACGGAAATCAAGTCACCAGTATATTTGTCAGTATCGACACCACCGAAAAGGATGGATCCAGAAGTGGCCTCTGTTTGATATTAGCTATACTCTTCTTGTTGCTCTATGGAGCGAACTTACGCAGATCGTTCAACCACAAGCTGTAAGCAGCCGAGTTGATAGCTCCAGCGTTGACCATGGCCAATGGCAAGTTGGGATACTCAGTTCCATTGCCTCCATCCGTGGTATCCAAATTGGCTTCTGAAGTGTTGTATCCAATACCCATGATGCCAGTACCAATGGTAGTATCCGTAGCCAAACCCATCTGGAAATTGTTCAACGAAGCACCGCCAATGCTGAATGTATCCTGGAAATAATCTCCGGTAGAACCAGTACCATCGACGTAAGAGATGTTGAAACCATTCTGCTCGACAATATCGAAAGTCTTTGATTTGCCCGAAGTGACTATGGTGATGTTAGTTAAGTTCCTTGAATTTCTCTGCTTTTGTCATTTTCTCCAGATCTCGTTTCGTGATGCTAATTGCAAATCACTCTCCAAGTCTCGAACTTTCGGACCATTGACCATTGACCATTCCCCGTTCCTGCACCCTCCCCCAACCACCAACACACCCCACCAAAAATATAAACAAGAAAAGTATACTTACAAGCACCATTAGGACAACCACCCTCCTTAGCATTCGAACACAAACTAGCCGTACTGGCAGGAACCCACACATCCGAACTCCCCGTATCAATCTGCAGCGCCAGATTCTGGCCCGGCGTACCGACACTCACATTCGCAAAGTACAGACCCTCGACCTCGGCATTCGTCAACTGGGCATTCACGGTACCGGCACGCTTCAACAGGGGAGCGGTCGAGAGGGACAGTTGGCGACGCTCGAGCTGGGCGGACTCAGCGCCAGCGTTGCGGGCGATGTTGAAGGAGATGGTATTTGCGGAGACGGAGGAGGCGAGGAGAAGACTCGTCGCGAGGGAGGCGAGGGACGCCATGTTGGTGTTGGTGTTGGTGTTGGTGTTGTAGAGAGATCGAATTAAGGGAGCGTTGGATTAAGGGAAGGAGATCGATCGCGGTATGCAGGTACGGGAGAGATCGATGTTGGTTCGTGTCGATCCTCTGGAATGGCGGGGAGGAAATGAAGGAAAGGAAGCAAGAATGTTGGAAAGCGAAAGAGGGTTGCAAATAGATCTAATAGTAAGTGAAAAGAGTGAAGTCAGCGCTGGTGTTCGTCCATTTCACTCTTACTTTAGCCACCACCGCGAGCGAGACAAGGCGAGGCGAAGCTCGGTAGGGTCTGGGCTAGGCGGCTGGCCTGGCTGGTATGACGCTGAATGGAATCTCCGGCCGGGGGGTGAATGCACTAACCGGTAGGGATGATGATTCACAGCCTCCTCCAAAAAAATAGCAATAAATACTTAGCTGATGCGAATCGCAACGATGAACGAAACTCGAAATCAAGAGGTCTAGAAAGCAATCGAATCAAGGTTTGAAAGTAAGGGAAGATCGGAAATGTCAAGAAAGCTTGAGTGAGCGGGAGACGGAGATCCTTTTTCAGCACAGGTTGGGGTTCGGTCACAGAATGTCTTATTTCAAACAAGCATCCGCATCGCCACACCACACGCATCTTCAGCGTCTGGTCTCTGGCCTGCAGGCACGGCTTCTGTTACAGGAGGCGCTTCGGTTAGGCAGTGAGATCTGACGAGAATACCGATCAATCATAAGACGGGATTCATTTGGTATCGAATATCTGTTGTTTTGTCTGCTGTCAATACCCGAGTGCTTGCTTATGTGGAGCCTGCTCAGCCCTATTTCTCGTTCTCGCAATATCTGTTTTCTGCCTTCCGCATATTGCTTTTACAGATGTATGATTCAGCTCCCAGAAGGAGGCATTTACGCGTCATGATGGGTGGTGGTGGTGTGGTGGTGTGAAATCTTGCATCCGCGAGGGAAGGGAAGCAAAGCAGATCCGGGGTCCCAAGACCCGAGAGAAAAATCGGGTCCCGTTCATGCCAAGCTTTTCCAACAACGCCACTCCATATCCACCCAGAATATGCTTGTTCGGACTCCATCCAGATCTCTTCCTTCACATGTGTTCTCTTCCTCTTCCAATCAAGCATTTAGGAATATCTTCTCCCGTGCTGAACGTGATCCCGCACTTACGTACTCCACAATCCAGACCCCAAACAGCCTTCGAGCTGCCGTCCCAGGTAGAAGCGCTGCTGTCCAACCGAGTCTGTGATTCTCAGCCTGGAGGCTGTGGCTGAGCTGGTGTTCTGAAACACCAGTATCGGGATGTTTGCCCACACTCTACTGTTGTGATTAGTTATACTCAGTTGACAGGCAAATATGTGTCGTGTTTTGTTTGAGAGACCGAGTGTGGCGTTAGAGGGGGATGTGTCCAAGTGCTTGTCATGTGAAATATACGTGTGGGTAGTAGACGCAGACGCTCTTCTGCTAAGACTATTTCGAGTCTGTAGGACAGCTTCTTGACTTTGACTTCTGAACTATCTACTTTATGCCACTTGATAGTGATGTCAGTTTTTTAATTTTGTATTTGGGCTGTTAACTACTAGGCTGACAAGAAAAATTCAGAAGTGACGACGAATTCGAGGATCTTAAAACACCAGGTCGTGGAGGATTCAATTGCACACATAGTTTTGGCCAAAGAAGAAGCGAAGCTAGGCTCTTGCAAAGTATAATGATCTAACTTTCGTTGATTCGGGATTCATTCTAATGCTTCATTCGTACGTAGCATAAGCGCCTTCTCCGTAATCGTCGAGGATATACTCACAATACATTCATACATCTCATCTTGTTTTGTTCCATTTCTCTGAATCAAGGAATGCAAAACTCAATCCAACTTCCCAAATAATCCATCTGATTCCCCTTCCCCTCCTTGACAAACCTCTTAACCAAGCTCTCAAACTCACTCAAGCTCAACTTCGCCCATCCGCCTCTGGTTTCTGCATCCTTAGCAGCACGCTCGCACCTCCAAAGCTGGTATAATCTGTCTTTACCAGGTGACTTGGGCTTGAAGTTCATTTCCGGCGATTTGTCGTCGCCTGCTCCCAGGTGATTTGGATCCGAGTCAGAGTCCTCGTCGATATTGACGTGATAGCCGGTCGTGGAGCGTTCTGTGCTGCCATTCATCCAAGGAAGTATTCTCCTCCGAGGAGTGTTTTCGCTCGAGCTCTGTCGTTCGATGGTGTTAGGGCGGAACTGAGGCATAGTTGGATCGCGGTATTCTGAGGGACCCGATTCGCTGTCAGATTCTGGGGGCGTCGCACGTGGCGGAGTGGAGTGAGGTGACTGTGAATCTCTGTCTTCATCGTAATGTGCAATGATCGAGAGAACTTCGGTTGGCGAGGTAGAGACTGGATTATTAGGCGTGGGAGTCGGATCTGCCGTTTCTGCATTGCTCGTCTCTCCATCGGCAGGAAGTGTAGCGTTAACAATTGGCGAAGTCTGTGTGAGTTCTGGGGTTGGTATGTCTACTAATGCTGGCACTTCCTGGCCGTCATCACTATTTCGATCGTTGATTTCGACTTGATACCCAGCCGCAGCTAGTAGTTCTTGCAGAGGACGTTCTCGAACCTCCTCCAGCTCGACCTCTGGGAACCCTGGCCATATAGGTGTAAAAGTGTCTCCTGAATTCCGTGCAGCGCGCTCTTCTTGCTTCTTTGCCTCTTTGGCTTCCTGTTCCAATGCCCATGCTTCAAACTCAGGAGTTGAATACATGTCTCGGTATTGATCTCGCTCGATCTGTGATGCTGCAGACTCAATTGCGAGATCCTCTCTGTCCTTGAACAGCGGATCCAGTAGCTCATTGAAAGCTTGTTGAGTGACCTGATACAGGATTTCTTTTCCAGCATCTTTCTCGGCGTCTGGGATTTCCATTCCTCCCCAACGCTCAGGCACACTCCTTGAAGATGTGGAAGGATTTGAGCGAGTGTCAAAGTCATCCATGTCTTCTGCAAAGCGAACCTTGGACGATGAACGAGAGTGAATTGGTCTTGAGACCTTCGAGCTTTCACCTGCTACCCCAGTGTTGGCCAAAATATCATCGTCATCCTTCCAGTCCGCTGGAGGCATAGCACCCTCCTCCTCATCGGTGTAGAAGTGCCTTCGCTGCCACCGCTCATAGACTTCTCTATGAGCTCCTTCTCGAAAGATTGCTTGGGCAATCACAGCACGCCGATTTGCTCGTTGAACATTTTCAACTCGACTTCCTGGGCCCTCAATAACCTCTGCATCCTCATCGGTGATACCAATAAAAGTAGGGGGCCACCCTCGATCAGACTCTGGATTGGATTCGCCATCATATGAATCATCAGTTTCATCGTCGTTCTCCTCCAGTCGAGCCAGAAGAGCAGGATGTGCGTTGGAAGAACCATCGGGCAGCATCAGATCCGCCAATGTCCTTCGGTTACGGTGTCGCTGTTGATTTCGCTCAAAGTTATTGAGTACTCTCGGCATTTGCCTGAGATTTTCCGGAGGATTGAGCATTGTTTCCCAGTACGCGGTATTCCTTCTACTGTCACGATCCCAGTTACTACCAAATAATCCTGGCATGTCTCGTCGGAAGACCTCGTCTCGATTCCCGGTATCATTGCTGCTCTCATTGATGACGCCTTTACCGTCGACAATCTCAAGATCACCATTAGATTGTTTGACCTTGCCCTCACCTGTACGTGGATCAGGAGCCCGTGGATACCGGCCGTCTTGTCCGAATGCGCTGCTCAATGGCTGTCTGCTGTTGACTAGCCTATGTGCATCGGTACTGCTCATTTGTTGCTCTTCCATCCCTTCTAGCATATCACGATGCATCTGGCGATAGAGAACATAATATGACCGAAACATCCTTAGAAAGTCTTTTCTGTCAACAAATCCATCGCCATCTATGTCATAACCTTGGAATATCTTGCTCCACTTGTCTTTCTTCTTTCGATATGCGATCCCGTGCAGGAATTCGGGAAATCCAATCAGATCATCTTTATTTGTGTCGTAGAAAGCAAACATGCGATCAAATATCAAGCTTGGGGCAGAGTGTCGATATCCTCCAGATGGTACAAGGCAACGCTCGAATGTCTTTCGGTCCATGGCCAAGCAAATATCATCAGGATCATCTCTCCAATCTGTGTTTGCCAAGAATGTCCATTGCTCCCAATATGCATCTAGCTCAGGCCTCTCAAACCCAGTCTCTCGTGATAGCTTCGTAAGGATTTCCTTTGGCAGTATTCTGGGCACAGAGTCTGGATCTCCGGAATACCAGACAGGTTGTATATGTCTTGGCCCAAAAGAAGGCGCCGGTACCTTGATCTTGTAGAATATATGTGTCTTGATATGCATCCCCTGTGATTCACAGCTTTCACATAAATCGTAATCTGCGCAGTTCGCACACCTGTACCTGATCCCTCGAATAGGCACAGTCCCACAGCTATTACAAGCGCATCCTCTATGGACATATGCATTCCGCCTGGTAGCATCTTCGGAGACTCGGAAGAGGAGCTGAACGATGTTCTGACCATTGCGCTGGTACGGTTCTTGAAATGCCTGCGGAATCTCAACCCACGGCAGATCATCCTGTCCCTGGTCATCGACCACTGTGTCTCCATCTGCCAACATCCTGGCCACAATGTCCCTTTCCCCATCGTTGTCGTTCTCGTCCTCGATTGTATCATCTACGAATATGGAGGTGGGAGCATCGTTGCCCAACGTGTTTCGTCGCCGCCGCCTATGATGAACCGCATTGCTTCGATGCAGGCCAGAGCCTGGCATGGAGGACCTCTCATGGTCGTACGCAAGAGTTCTGTAGAGTCCATAGCCAGCAACACAAGTCGCGATCGTCGCAACAGTCAGGATGATGGCGCGGGATCGTGTCAAGGTGCTCGAGGCTACGGATGAGGCTGACATGATGTAGAATATTATATCGCAGAATGGGTCTATGACACCAGATTTCCGTTCTCGATTATCATTTCCATGGCCTCAACAGGAGCCAGGATATGATCCGAATTCGTCGCTTGAGTGTAGTTGGGAGTTGGGAGCAGTGAATAATATTTCAGGTGGTTCAAGCTGAGGTCGCGTGCAAAACAGCAGCAAAAAGGTTGTCGCGAAAACTTCAGCCTTCTCTCCCAGCCTTCTTCAACTTCCTTCACCTCATGCCGAATGTTTTATTATTTACTGCATACTCTATCCACATTCATCCCTTAATATTCATTGATATGTTCAACGTTGCAGTTTTATTTCAAGTCCTCAGTGCTCTAAAATACCTACTCAGTATCACTAGGTCATCATCTTTACCTGTATGACTTCGAGCGCGCCTTCTTCACTGTAACGCAATCTGATGCAGTATGAAAATACAAAGTGACAAAGTTGTCCATTTTGTCTCGTTCAAGCTTCCAAACAAGAAGGTTTCTACCATCTGCCTGCCGTTGTGGCAATTAGTCTGCCGATGTCCTTTGGAGAATCTAGACTGGCACTTTCTTCGAGTTTGGTGGCTGCTTCACTGCTAATCCTACCAGTCCTAATTGTCAATCTCTATTGAATGATATTGGATAGCTGTACTATTATTTCTTGATGTTCTGATTTCTGCTGCCGTCGTGCGAGCAAGTGGATAATGAGCCATCAAACAGAACAGTATCATTGGCTTGCCGTTGAAGTTTGATACTTGATAAACATGTTCCGATGCTCTACCTCGCTTGAGCTGGGACTCGTTTCGAGCAGCAATCGCTCATCACTTCTATATAGCAGCTATCTCGTGTTTCTCGCGATGATCATGCTAGGCACAGTGGTTCATCTTCAGGAACGCATACCTTACAATCATGAACTCAAATCTGCGCTCAAGCTTTGGTCATGCACCATAAGGAAACTCAAAAGTCTTAACTGGTCTCAGCACAAACCTTGGGGCATAGTCCGAAGCACTCATGACTATGCCTTTTCATAATACTTCCTTCCGACGAGGCTGTGAACGTTTTCTCCATTCCAAGTTGGCATGCAATATTGATGGATCAGGTCTTGACCTTGTGTACAAGCCAGGGATGTGCCTGGAGGTGCTATCAAATCAGTTGTCTTGACGTAACACAGTCTTGATGGCAGCCTTCAGTATCTTGCACTTTCCGTATTCTGACTACACAAGATCGCCTCAGGCTGAGCTCTGATCAGACTCGAGCGGTGCTGCAAGATGGCTGTCAGACTTATGGATGGTGGATATCATCGTGGAGCTGTATACCTCAATAAACTGGACTTTCGAAACGAGAAATGGCTTATGAGAAGCTGCTAAAGGAGCTCTAAGCGGTCATCCAGAGATCGTAGTAGTTTGGTATGAACAATGGTCCTAAAATAAATGAAAGAACATGATTTATGTACCGAGATGGAGCAGAGTTAATGCGTTCCCAAGCAGTACTTAGACGTGCAAACGCTCATGCGTTCGAAGATCAGCACTGAGCAAGAAATTGGAACAAATTGTTCAGATAGGAGGGAATTTGAGCCTTAAGGTGCAGTCTTTGACGACCCTCACAGCCCCTTTTGATCGCTGGTAACTGACTCGATTGGAGGAGATCTGTGAATCTCTTGAGATGGGATGAAATGCCTTCCACGTTTTCGCCATCCAAAAAGATATTACGTCAATGCTGTTGCGTTTATCTCACCTTGTGGGAATTGGCTTGGCAAAATATCAAACTCGCGCAGTTTTGAGATCGTGTCATACCTCTGCTCGGACAAGCGACAACCATTTTCCACATCTCGACGCCTCGGCCCTCGAATCAAATCAGCACAAGCGCCGCAAAACCCTATGGCTCTGGCTTGAGCATTGTTTTGTCGTCTCAATAACCATAGGGTTAAAGTTTATACTTTTCTCCACTATTCATTTATTCAAAACTCGGAGCGCTCGGATTGGCCAAGTCGAGAGGTCCCGTTTCGCATTGACCTCGCCTCGATCTTGAATCGTTGACGGTTTCCAATGTGATGCTCCACATCCTCTCATCTGATGTTTAATCTGATGCGACCTTCCTGCATCTGTCCAATTCCGTCTCTGGAAACGCCTAATTTTCGGTTACTGAGCCGGACATTTCTGCAAACGTCGATAAAATTATCAGATGCGAGAGGAGCACGGGACGATACGCTTATTTTTCCCTGTCAATATGTCTTGGCCCGAGCATCAAGTGTAACTTCAGGCCGCATCTCATGCCATTTCTAAGGCTTCGTAACCCTTGCTGGTGCTCATGTTCATCCCAGTAAAAGACGTTGGGTAGTATGATCTCCATAACACAGAACGAAATGGATGACAGGAGTAGGCTACCATGCTCTTGGGGCTGGGGTAGGGGTGTGAGCCTCATCGTGCGTTCTGTATAATATCTTGAAGTTTCCTCCCAAAAGTTTTCTCATCACCAACTCTTCAGTTACTGTCTTTGACTTCCACACTCTTTTCTGGTTCTGAGAATCATACATTCTTTTACACTCCTTTATTGCTTTTTTCATCTTCAGGCCGGTCCATTCTTTACAAAAGTCAAACGATCCTTTCTGAATTCTTGATATCATCAAACTGTTATTCTCAAAATGTATACTCAAGCAGTTATTCTTTCGGCCCTTGTTGCTATAACCGAGGCTCGGTCAGTCAGCTCATCTTATGCATAGTCATAAGTATATACTAACCAATGTAGATTTGGCCAGGAGCAAGTCCCAATCCCCGCCATTCAAGCTCTCAGCAACTTCGGTTCATCCGGCCAGGCAGCTACCCTCGCTGGCCAATCGATTTCGTTCTTGCTCGCTGCCGCGAACCCTTGCGGTAAGCTTCAACAAGCCGATCTGATTGTGTCAACACTCGGCACCGATGCTCAAGTCATCGCGGCAGCCCGAGGACTCGCTGGTGCGGAACAGAACTTCAACCCCTTTGTGGTCTCTGTTCCGTCCATTTGCTCCGACCCTACTCTTCCGACTACGGCCGCATTGCGAGGCGTAGTGCCCCTTGTTGACCCTTCCGTAACTGGTTCTGATGTTGAGAATGCAAATGCTGCAACTTCTCTCACTACCCCTTTTACGGCTGATGGTTTGAGTGTTGCTGAAGTCATGGTCGCTCAAGGCTTCTCCAATTTCACCACAAAGGCTCTCGATGGCACTGTTGGAGCCGCTTCTGGCAGCTCCGCATCAGCCTCAGTTGCTGTCTCATCCGCCTCCATCGTGGCTTCTTCTGTTTCCCAAGCTGTTGAGGCAACTTCAAGTGCATCTGTTGTGGCATGTGGTGGAGTAGCGTCTACCACCTTTGTGACTATGACTAGGTAAGGATCTCGATGTCACTCACTTCCCAGAATATGATTTTATATGAGACGTAGGGCTTGAAACAAAGCCCCTATATCAGCTTATCCTATGGCTAACCACTTCTTAGATCCGCATCTTCGACATCTGCTTCTGTCGCCGCTGAAGCTGCGGCTTCTACCGCCTCAGTCTTTGCTTCAGGCACAGTAGCAAGCTCCGCTGCCGCTGCGAGCGGAGCAGCTCGTGCTGCCTCTTCCGATGCGTAAGTGCACCGAACCTATTCTGTTAAAAGGGTTCCTTCACCCCGGAACTACCCCGTGGACGTTAAAAGAACCGCAAAAGCTGACTTCGCATTCTTAGTGTGGCTGGTGTCTTCCCAGGCTTCGTAGCTTCCACGATCTCCGGTCTCGACTTCGGCCAATGTGTACCAACCATGAAGTTCGAGGCTGGACTTGATGGCCGAGCTGACACCGAATCTACCTTCCAAGCTATTGATCCCATTGTCAACAAAGGCCAAGAGGAAGCTTTAAATCCCAACATCATTACCAATCGAATCTGTGACCAATTGACCAACGTTTGCGGAGCTAATGCCGCTGCGAAGACGGCTTGCACCGCTGCCAAGGCCCAGATCTCTGCTCTTGCTACCAAGGATGCAACTACTGCTGACGCGTGGAATACCGCATTGGGCTTCGCTGGAACAAACACCAACCCCGATAATGCCCCTCAGACTGGTTTGGTTGGTCACGATTAAGTTATGATGTGATGAGAAACGATATTGTATCTTACTTTGAGTCGGAAGAATAAGAGCTTGTGTATGATAGGACGACATCTATGGGGTGCATAGTTTTATGATTCATGGACTCTTGCTCCTGAAGTTGTAAGATATGATCTTTTGAACACATAGTGGGAATAAATGAAACCCATTCTCAACTGTATCGGAATTTTAATTACGGAGTGATGGTGGGATGACGTTGTTCTTCCTAATATACCTAAAGATCCTAGTACTAATGTTTTGTGGAACTTGCTTGATGCCGGTTATAGCTTCGCGCCCACCCTCTCCCCGCCTAAAACATCAATCACCTCCTTTGCCCCCCTAACGCCCGATCTCACAGCACCCTCCATATATCCAGCCCAAACGTCACTCGTCTCTGTGCCCACAAAATGCAAATTTCCTACCTTCTCCTTCAAAGCCTTCCCTACACTGCTCAGCACACCAGGCCCCATCACCGGACATGGAGCTCCTTTACTCCACTCCTCCTTCGTCCACTCCTGCTCAAAGACCTCAACAGGATTATACACTTCTTCCTTCACTTTCTCTTTATCGTCATCTTTGCTTTGAGTACCTGCAAAGAGTCGATAGACTTGAGACAGGACTTGAGCACGACGTTCGTGTTGAGGGAGTTTGGACCAAATAGTGCCTGGCAAGCCAGTGATGAAGCACGTTAGTGAGTATTGGCCGTCGATTGATGTTGAGGTGTCGCGGAGGACGCATACGGGAGATTGGTATGAGATTGCGAGACCACAAGCGTTGAGACCGGATGGCAATGAGGTCCACCAAGGAGAGGAGTAGCATAAGATTACTTTTGAGTAGTAGCCAAGCGTAGTTGAAGTTGTGACTGTGAGTTTGCCGCCGGAGAGGGGAGGCGAGAAGGTGATATCTTGGTAGAGAGGAGTAGGAACACTGAGGATGAGCTTCCGTGATTGGAAAGTGAGTCCTGTGGAGGTGGTGACGGTCACGAGACCAGGAGTATCGGTTATGGAGACAACGGGTTGAGAAAGATGGATCGATTTAGGTCGAAGGAGTGTTGCAAGGTTTAGAGAGACGGATTGTGTTCCTGAAAATGGTCAGATATAGCTTCTTTCCACGATTGCAATGAGAGGACCTTCTCTGAACCTCAGATACTGCCCTCCATGCTTCTCATCCGAACGAAGGGTTTTCAATCCTCCGCCTTTTCCATTGTATTCGATGAAATATTGAGCACTCATTTCCGTAGCTTCAACTCCAAGCATTACTCGACTCCAAATTCTGACCATGTCGACCGTCTTTTGAGATCCTCCTTTACTGATGACAAATTGTTCAAGGCTCATCTGATCGTAGTCCTCTACACTGCCAGTTCGAGAGCCATACGCGACAGATAGATCATGAACCAAGTCCCTGATACGTTCCAGATCCGTAACATTGGCTCCGGTAAACTGTCCATTGTCAACTCAACTCCAACGTCATCTCATTCTGAGCAACATACCTTCGGAGAAGTCCCGTAGGGGAAAGCATGAGTCTCTCCGTCTTTGTCCTGGAATATACAGTTTCCTTCGGTGTTTTGCTTGATGAGCTCAATTCCAAACTTTTGCGTGTAAGCATAAATGAGCGCCTGATTTGTATCGTTTGTCCACGCAGCCCCGATATCTACGGTTCCGTTGCCATTTGCGAGAGGGACACTCCATGTCTTTCCACCAACTCGGTTACGAGCTTCGAGAACTATGCAAGATAGACCGGCTTTCTGAATGTCATATGCTGCTTGGAGACCACTGAGACCAGCACCAACAACGATAACGTCATGAATTTTTGAAGCCATAGTTGTTTGGGCAGAGTGGAAAGATGAGACAGATCTGTTCTTCTCTCTGAAAGTCTCAAACATTTCTATCAAAAGCAATATTTAGAGCTCCCCACTTAGGTCTTCAAGCTTCAAACTTCTCAAGCTTGCAATCCTTCACAACCCGGTAGCCAACGTCGTCGTGCAGAAAGTTAAGCCACGCGCATCGGTGTATCCTACTCAGCATAGAATTGTTCTCGGTAGTGGCTTAGTATAGCGACGACTAGAAATGGGAAATGTGCGAGGGAAGCTGGGAGGTATATCAAAAGTGGGAGGATTTGAAGCTATTCGGGATCACTTACCTATATTAGCGGATTGACCCCGCCGAGATCGACTGATAGCACGAAGATAAACTTACATGCCGACACTAAGCGCCCCCTTACTCCCACTATCAAGTGTTCCATCATTGAAGCTGTGATCCATGAATTTAGCTAGATTATACTTTTTCTGTATATAAATCAGAGCGTAAGGAATTGAATTTTAATTGTTGCGGATCCCTTTCCTGTCAATTCTCTTCATATTTCAAAGCCTCAATCACCACAATGGGCCCCATTGACAAGCCTCTCCCAACTCTTCAAAACATCCATCGGGACGAGGCCGATAAAATCATTCAAGCCATCATTGAGGATGGTGCTTGTATCATCAAGAGCTTCGCGAGCGTCGGAGCAGTCGAGCGAGTAAACGCAGACACACACCCTTATTTGGAGGTAGACAAGCCCTGGAAGGTATTTAGCTGTCCTCGATCGTCAAACTTATTCGCTAACCTGTCGAAAGGGAGATTTGTTTCCTCCCGAGACTCGACGTTGCACTCGTCTGATCGCGCGCAGCGCAACAGCTCGAGAATGGTTGGTTGACCCGCTCGTCACCAAGCTGCTCTCTATATTCGTCGATAAGACAACACATAACTACTATGGAGAAACTCGACACACTTACACTAGCAATGCTATTCTCAACACTGGACTGACAATGCGCATTGGGCCTGGAGGAAAGGCACAGAGACTGCATCGCGATGACAAGAACTTTCATATGGAACATCCAGATCAGACCAAGACTGGATACAAAATCGGAACAGACGTTGAACTTTCATTCTTGGTTCCAGGAATTGCGACGACGCCCGAGAATGGAGCGACTTTGGTAAGTGATGACGTGTCTGAGAATAGCGTTTGCTAACAATTTGAAGGTCATTCCAGGCTCTCATCTTTGGGATTCTGAAAGAATACCCAAGGTTGAGGAGGCAGGGTACGGAATCATGGATGTTGGTGATTGCTTCGTCATGCTGGGTGGTTTTTACCACGCTGGCGGACACAACTTGACTAAGGATCAATATCGTCCAGTTCATGACTTGTCCTTCATTCGAGGATACTTGAGACAAGAAGTAAGTCATCACACATACTTTGACACATCTTCCACGCTAATAGAATGCCTAGGAAAATGCATATCTTTCATTCACAAAGGAAGAAGTCTTATCTTGGCCATTTGAAGTGAAGATGAGGATGGGATATACAGTATCAAGCCCTAATCTTGGTTTCGTGGACTTCATTCAGCCATATAAGTATCTAGCAGGAGATTACGATCCCAATCAGCCTGGTGATTTGGACTCCTCCCAGGAACTAAACAAGGCTGCTTGAAAGAGAGGCGATATGTGTGCTAGAAATGAGGATATTCATGAGACATGAATCTCCGATGTAGAATTTTGAAGGTAGAGATAAAGACGAATATTGGCTTCAACGTGATGTGAAGCCTCCTGTGAGATTTGATCACTTTAAAGGACTATTACAACTATTTTCCATCCTATTCGTTGAGCTACCTCATCAGCCTTCGACATCTCACAGAGCCTGTGAGGGAAGGTCCACATACCAGGCACCACTTGCTCAAATGAACCTCTACGTGCGTGATATACCCAAAACTTAGGATCGAATTTGCGAACCGAGATATTGCTCCACTCAAAGAGTTGTGCCACCACTGGCCGAGCTGTTGTGCATATAAAACAAAATTGTGTGCTCTGCAATGACGGGGAAAAGGTTGATGGAAACAAACACATGAAAATATAATAAAATGACGGATGAACTAGTGATATCATCGCTATTAATCTCATGACAGCAGGATCAGCGGCATAGAGATACTGTCTCAATGCTTGCATGATCCTGCAGCACGATGTGGCATGAAGTCGTAGCCACGACGGGGAAGTAGCCTTCCATGCGGGATCGTCCCTGATATCAAGAACAAAAAATCTTTCAGCTCAGAACAAATCATGCGGAAAAAAACACGGAAACGGTTCCGTTACGACAGATTGACTTGAATGCGTGTGTAGAAAGCGAGAATTGAGAGAGCATTGAAGTACATTAGCTGACCTAAAGTGGCTTAGCTTCATTGACTAAAATAAACATAAACCGCGCTTTCGCACTTGGACTCCTCTCAACAAAATGGACCATCCTTCAAAGCTTGTCTGTGAAGTTTGGCAAGTGCCAAGAGCTGCAGCAGTTGAAAGGAGAACTGTAATCATGCGAAAAATAGTATAGAACTCTTCGGTAGGCGTTATTTCCCCTTGCATGGCGTGTGTAACGTCAACTTTCGACGGCTCCGATATGCAGAGTTCTCGCTGTTGCATCGCAATAGCAGATCATGGGAAGTGATTTGATGTCGGGATACCATTTGATGCGTGGTCCGTAGGACTAAGCTGCAGGCAGTCATGGCCAAAGGCTAGCGGTACAGTAAGTCAACTCCTCTTGCTGATGGCACATTGTTAACGATAGCGTGTTCCTAGTTGATACCTCGTCGCTCGACCACAAAGAACAAGCATAACATCCTTTCTTGCGAGCTGCCTCAAATCCCTCCTCAATATTACGAAGACTTACCCGAGCTGCAACGATTGCCTCGACGTTCCAGAAGACATAGAAGACCCTTCGTTGATAGCGGGCTGTTCGGCACTCTTAGAGGAACCAATGGGGCCGCAATTGGATCTCTCTGGATAGTTTGCATTGGGATATGGGGATATTGGCAGAAAAATAAAAACAATGGAGCACATGCTGTCGTACGACACGGCCGTGTCCACACTATTGAATGGAACAAACCAAGGCCTTCCGAGGAGCTTAACAAGCACCTTGTTCTCTCACTTTACAATTTACGGCAGAAGAGATTCTATGTTCTCTTGACACATTCGGTCACACATTTCGATATTCGGCACCTTGCTGCTGGTCTCCTAGGCATCCTCTCGTTTGGACCACGAGTTATCGACTTATATGGCATTCCAGCATTTGTTACTATATGGATGGGCTCCGCGATCACTGGGGGTCTTGTGCAGCTTTACCATTTCGAAGACACCGAGTCTCCATATGTGATCAAAAGAGCTGTAGGGGCTTCAGGTGCTCTCTGCGGGCTCATGGCTGTCCTCGCATGCGCTTGTCCAAATCGAGCTTCTTCCTATGCCAATGCCCAGATGGATGATGTTAGTCGGACTAGTTTTTTGGGACTTGACTACTTTGAAGAACGACTGGTTCCCCAATATGGGCCACTTGTGTCACGTTGGTGGGGCTGTATTTGGTGTTGTGTTGTGGCCGTCGTGCTAAATCCGCTGTCTACCATTAACAACCTTCCGCTAGGATATTATTAGTCGAGCGTAGTCCCACTCTATCCGAGATTTGGGGCAGAATTTTTGTAAGAGTACAAAGTTGAGGTACAGCCTTGGCTCGCTCTGTTTCTGAGTTCGTGATATTTGTACTGCTGTCGAATTCATAGTTTCTGGGATTTTTTCTTCCATCTCTCTTCATCACATCCATCTGATCGACTGGAACTGCTCACCCGTGCCCCAGGCACATATGCATATCACAGCCTCGTCAATGTGACATAGCTTGGTGTCCCGGGGCTGTTGTCCAATAGCGCGTGACAAGGCACGGCTGGGACCGAGTAGAATTGGGGCTATGCGTCCTCGGGTCGCATTTGTTACCCGGTAAAAGCTTAACCGCGTTTCGCTGAGCCTTGTTCTACGATGTAGTAGAAAATTGAGGCTGCCAAACTTCGCCTCACTTTCTTAACCATTAATTCGTAATCATTTAGAGCTTGTTCTTCTCTTGGTTTTGGCAAGAATCAAGACTACATTCGGAAAGCCGCTTCAGCATTATCGGGCTCTACACCCTGCTTCACGCATTTTGCTCTGTTGCACATTCATCGGGTTGACTTACGATATTGTGACCCGAGCGGCTACCATAGTGGACCCATTGACCGCGTTTTCTGCAGCGGGCAATGTTCTTCAATTTGTTGAGACAGGTATCAAGTTCTTGAAAGGTGCCAGCAAAATCTACAGCGCTGCGGATGGTTCTTTTGAAGAACATGGCTATTTGCGGCGCATTGTCCAGGTAGGCACCATTCTCAAATCATCTGCCTAGGCATTTCAGGCTTCATCGACCTTCTGACACGGCAACGCAGAACATACAACACTCCAATACCCAAATAGGGGTTATCTCAACGTCACATCAATCACACTCTAGCCAAGCTCTTCAAATCCTCAAAGAAGCTAACGATGAGTGTGTTCAAGTCTCATCGGACTTCTTGGAACTGTTGGAAGAACTAAAGCTGGACTCTCACAAAACCGCGTGGAAAGCTGGTAAGAATCGCCCAAGAGACATTATATGTGCGTGTCTAATATAGAGACATTGTATGATTAGCCATGGTGGCATTCAAAAGTCTAAGGAGCAAGGAAAAAGTATCATGCATCGAAAGGAAACTTATTCACGCTCGGGCTAACTTGATGTGGTGGCGTTTCTTATCTGCTTGAGGTATGTCGCGTTTACTTGCCAGGTTTACAGCTAACGTTACCTCCAAAGTTTGCAAAATGATAGCTCTCAGAGTGGCCTTCTCAAAGCTGCAACAGAGAATGAAAACAGAATCCTGCAAGAACTCCAAGGCGCGAAAAGCTGTTTAAAAGGAGATATCGTCGCTCTAGCACAAAGAGTGTCTTCCCTGAACATAAGCAGCACTCAAGCTTGTCAAGCAGTTGAGGACTTCCGCACAAATAACCAGGTGGCGCTTGAAAAGCTCTTGGCCCAAGTAGTGGAAGATTTAGGAGCCAAGATCGACGGCTTATCCGCCCTTTGGACGCTCGGAGATATTGCAAAGAACGCAACTTCGGAACAGCTGAATAAGGCAGGTCTACTACTCCTGCAGAGCCTGGACTTCCCCGAACGGACTGATCGGGTTTCACACATTAGCCTAGCGTATGAACAAACATTCGAATGGATATTGACTCACCGGGAGGTCTCTTCACACCTATGGGATGATTTTGTTAAATGGTTTGAGGCGTCAGATCAAAAGCAAATATACTGGATTAGAGGTGAGTCGACCATAATTCCTTCATTGTTGCAGACTGAATTGGTCGTAGGCAAGGCCGGATCCGGCAAGTCCACTCTCATGGCATTCCTTGACCGAAGATTACTTGAATTAAGTGCAACTTCCAGCTCCAATGACTGGGCAGCGGGCGCTCGAGTGCTGCAAGCTGCCTGCTATTTCTGGCACGGGGGCACAAAGGCACAGCGTTCTCTTAGCGGACTGCTTCAATCTTTGATCTACCAACTCTGTCTCAAGCGACCCGAAGCACTACTCGAGGTTATTAGCAAACAGCGCCGGGACTACTTCCTCCTACAAGCCGCCCAAGAAAGGATGTGGAGTACAAAATCCGGATTTGGAGCGAATACTTTCTTTGGAGGGCCGGATGGTCTCTCTATAGCGCAAACAGTGCCGTGGACCTTAGAGGAGCTGAAGACATGTCTCAACTCACTCTTACAAAATCGTCAAACCTTGACAAGAAGAGCGTCGGATAATCATTTCAGATTCATGCTTCTGATCGATGGGCTTGATGAGTTCGATGGGACTGACCAGGACCGTCAGAATTTGAATGAACTGCTTGTTTCGTTGTCTCAACGATCAAACGTGAAGTTTTGTCTGTCAAGCAGACTTTGGGTTATCTATAAGGTTGCATTTGAAGGCTATCCCCAACTCCGACTCGAGGATCTGACACACAAGGACATCGAGGTGTTCGTCACCGGGAGCTTGCGTAAGAACAAATATTTCGAGCAAATGGAACTGAGAAGTCCCAACCTCATTTCCAATGTTACTACCGAGATAGTACGGAAAGCAAACGGCGTATTTCTATGGGTACGCCTCGTCAATACTATCTTGAAAGTGGTAACGGATGGCTGCAAGACTCCCCAATTACTGAAGATTTTGGACACTCTACCGCCGGATCTTGATGACCTCTTCACTCGCATGGTGAGGTCAGTGAATCCATTGTATCAGGATGAAGCTTCCATTATCATGCAGATAGCATTATGCAATCTTGGCTGGCAGCACGAGGTCATAGAAGTGGACCACAGAAAACAGCATTCGTTTGATGGGCCGCCGCTGGATCTACTTAATCTGTTCGGGGAAGACCTTCGCCCGGATTTTGTGACAGCAGCTCCTGTGCAACTTCTCGATTGGACGAACCAGCGAGAAATTCAATATTTGCTACACGTTCTCGACCGTTTACTAACTAGTCGGTGTATGGGTCTATTGGAATGGTATGGCCCCGCTCCTTTGGATCAATTCTGCCCTCGCAAGATCGACTTCATACATCGGACCGCAAGAGACTTTTTGCATACGCCAAAAGCTCAAGGAATTCTCTCGGAATTCAGCAATGGTTCATACGACGCTCATCTCTTCCGCTGTAACATCTTGGTTTCAGACGCCATGAGCCTTTCCATTCCTCCAATGTGTGTTCAGTCCCACTGCGTTCGATTGCACAACCTCTCGTGCTTTCTCGGCCAAATCAAGCAACGTCCAGGTGGAGAAGAAATGTTTGCTCTATATGAGGCTTTTATTGGCAGTCTTCAATTATCAGAACAAGACTAGGGCCAGCTTAACAATGCACTAGAGCAAGAACGCATACCAAATGTTCCGCCCCTATTGCTGGAAGCGACCGCACGCTGGCAGAAGGACCAGAGTACAGCCATGAGTCTAGCAATATTGTTTAGCTGGACGGATTACATTGAAGCTAGACTCACCAGAGACATGATCTGTGAGAAAGTAGGACGACCGTTACTCGACTACGCATTGATACCCTGCATTCAATTGTCAAAAAATGCAAATCCTACAATCGTTGCACACCTACTTCAACTCGGCGCCGACCCCAATGGGCAATATTGCGGAAAGGATCTATTGGTAAGGTTTATCCTTAGCTTGCAAGATCTTGACCATTGTGACCAGACGCCAACCATCATGACAATCAAAGCACTTATAAAACATGGTATTGGCCGATCCATACGTTTGTCTGACTTGCAAGCTCAGCCTTCCAATCCCAAGATTAAGGTGTTGAAGGTGAATACGCTTCAGGAACTTCTTAAGCACTATCAAACACATCGTCCGGCTGGATTCGACGAGGATGCTCACGATGTTCTTGATGTGCTGGAAGCAATCTCACGTGCGAGACATTGGGCTCACGCCTTTCGATTTGAGTCAAAGGACCGCAAGGTGATGGAAGAATTTTGGTCAGGCACTTACTTACCAAACAGTGCTGCAGAGCCGCGGTTGCCCGCAAGAAAGAAGAAAGGGAAGGCAAAGTATCGAAGAGAAAATTAGGAAAGAGCATGTTTCCTATGTCCAATATCTTCATCAGTCCAAAAGGACCCAAGGAGAAAATTGGCTCGGTGATTAATGCTGAGTACAAACAAAAGAAGCATCGACAGACTCAGGTCATTAACCTTCATGGACTCCTTGTGCTATCAATTACAACCCTTTCATTTATATACCTTTCCATCCTTCATCACGAATTTCACTTTTCTGATGGCCCCTATATCCTCTGTCGGATTACCATCTAGAGCTATGAGATCAGCTGCCCAACCTTCCTCTACTAATCCAAATTTCCTCCCGCAAAGGTCTCCACCACATGAATCCCAGCCATGTAGAGTAGCATTTTGAAGGACATCCAATATCGGTATACCCGCTTCTACCATCAACTCTATCTCCCGCGCGTTCTCGCCGTGAGCGATAGCACCCGTGTCGCCACCAGTTGCAAGTTTTACGCCTTTATCAAAGGCGGCTTTCGCATGATCAAGGACAACCTTCAAATCACGCTCTGCGTCTTTATCTCCTCCTCCTCTATGGAGCTCAGCGTCGAACACGGAAAGCGTTGGGACGAATATCGTGCCATTTTCTTTCAGAGCTTGCAGGGCTTCCTCGCTGGGCTTATGGCCATCGTAGGCTAAGCCATGTTCGACTGAAGTAACTCCAGCTTTGGCAGCCATGATGACTCCTTCGGGGCTCAGTGCATGTGCAGCTATGGGTGCTTTCCCTCTTTTTGCCTCTGCTACCATCTCGTTCATCTCCTCCTGGGTGAACTGAAGCAAGCTGGGGTTGCGGTCTCCTGAAAAAAAGTTACCCGATGGCGGGAACATAATCTCTTTCGCACCTGGCCAAGCTGCAGGAGGAAATCGCAGCTGCCGTTTGCGGTAGTCGGCGTAGAACTTCACAATGTCTGCACCAGCACCAAGTCGCCGACGAACAGCAGCTCGCACCCCGTCCACTCCTTCGGCAGCATCAGAAAGCCTAGGTACAGTAGTACCTCCCGGCATGCCATTCTCCTGCCTGATCTCATAGCCACCGCTGGAGGTGATGCACTCTGTGGCGACGAACATCCGTGGGCCGGGAATGATGCCACGATTGATAGTGTCTCTGAAATGGACGTCTGCATCCCTCAGCCCTTCGGTACCCAGGTCACGGTACGTGGTGTAGCCCGCGTCGAGCGCGCTTTTGGCATGATTCGTAGCACGAACGATCCTTTCAATGAAGCTTTCATCTCGCTCTTGGTTGATAGATGGTGTCTCGGAGTAGGAGTGGAGAAAGATATGCGTGTGAGCATCTACCAAGCCAGGGAGCACTGTAAGGCCTCGAAGGTCAATGGTGTTCGAGCTCGATATATTATGAGAGGGTAATTGTTTCTCTCGCTTGAAAACCTTAGTGATAAGGCCGGTCTGAGTGTCAATCACAATAGAAGTTTCTGAAACGAGCTTCTTATGCTTGGAGTCGAAGAGAAGTGATGTGTGGACCGTGACTTGAGAATCCGGCCTCCGAGGCGCTACCTCAATCTCTTTGCGCATGTTGACTCCAGGATGTCGTGTCGTTCCCCACGGGAATTGGAGACTTCACAAACTATTTTTGATGGATGAAAGGATTGAAGGAGGCTCAGTCGTGGGGCCAACAAGGTATAAGGTAGGTTCTTAATCGGGGAAACAAGTTGCCGACAATGACGAGGACTTATTAAATGCGACAAATTGATAATATTCTTCACACGATAATCAACAAATAATAAGATATTTCTCGATTTTATAGAAAGCAAGTGCTTTTCAGAGATATTTGGATTTTTTTTTCAAATTCTTGATTGTACTTTGTGAGAAAATGATCTGTATAATATTTTCAATTTTGGTATTCTCGCGTGTCAAAATCGGCTCAGGGTAGGCTCAGAGGCAGGGCTACAAGTCGAATGACATCATGGCGCCTTTCATCTAACTTCCTATTTCAAAGTCGAGAAAGAGGAGGAAGCTCAATATCTGCTTTAAAAGTTTCCAGACAAAGATCCATCTGGAGTAGAAAAATTCATTCCACAGGAAGGCAAGAAAGCTTTCGAAGTTAGATACCTTGGCGGGGTACTGTAGTGCGGGGTAAAATATCAGTCTCTCTCTTTGATGCTCGTCTCATTGCAAAGCAGAATTCTGAAGAGTAGCGATCTCTAAACTTACAAAGGACCTGTTCATATAGACAGCGAGTCCCAAACAACAAACCCTAGATTTCATTTGTCTTGGCATTCCGCCCGCGAGTCAGAAAGTTGGATTGGCAGCGTACCAGAGTTGATCCTTTTGTCGAAAAGTATGCTTGAGGTTCATCGCATCTCTGTTAAAGATCCCATTCTTCAGGTTCGCAACTAGTATGCCACAATCATCAATACTTACTTCATTGTATTGAACTGAATACATTCGAGTGAAAGTTTGTTTTGTTCAAGCGAGCTGGATCATGTTCGAGTACGTGGTGGTCTCATTCTGGAAGCGTGCTAGTTATCTTCTGAGATCGAAATGTCAGTGTAACTTACACAAACCTGCTTCTCCGAGGCTGTCGTTGAGGTGCAGCCTCAACAACTAAATTATGCACAGAGGGTGCCATTCAAGAGGCATCTCCGAAGTCCGTCAGCACGAGAGAAACGGTCATGACTAGCGCATGTCCAGATGTTCAGTCGTGGGATTCATGAGCCTTGTTTTGGCCCCTAAAGCCACTTCTGCAGTTGCTTCCTTGCGGGAAATGGATGTCTCGCAGCCACCAATCACAACTAGACGAGGGACAATTGAAGCCGCATCCAGCAGCCCGCGCAGTGCCCGGGCAATCAATATAACCAAACTTGGCAAACAAAAGAAAGCCTCGAGAACGACAGTTATATCATTGGATGGCTTAAAAGCCTCATGGGGGACCCGAGAAACACTGATCACGAAAGAAGCCGGAATGATGTAAGTGAGTATGCAGTGTTACGTTTTTAGATTGGGAGGGTCGTTCAAATCTTCCCCGGCAGCATCTTGTTCACTCCTCGATAGAAAATGCTGCTCGTTCTCTCGCTCCTCTTGGTACCTGTGCTGGCTCAAAGGCCTAGCAATGCCTCACTATGCGACTATTATGCCATACAATTATTCGGCGCGAATACGACCAGTAGTCAGTTTAGTCTAGTGCAAAATATCGTCGCTCTCGCATTTGCTGGGGGGTCGGGCGTCGCAAACGCATCTTCAGCTCTTACTGGAAATTTCAATCCTGGATCTTTCCTCAACCCAGTAACATCGCAAGATATCAACGTCGATTTAAGACCTTGGTTCAATGGAAGTATTGACTCTACGAACGTGAATGGCGACCCTTCCACGGTCAACTGGCTTGATGGAGGAGGACAGGCTCCATTGACAGCATATCTTTCCGGGAAAACATCGAGCATTGTACTCGGAAACACTACAAATGAATAGTACGACGATCGATTCTCCTGCCAATAAATGTTTGCTAATTGCCATCAGTCAATTATTCAATCACTGGCTCTCAGCCTTTAGCCACATCTTTGGCTGCACAATTCCTCCTCCTTTACCACCATCAACTGGGCCCATCTTGAATTTGGCTTACGTTCACAAGTTCATGGACCTCAATCAAACAGACATCGGGTATTTTATCGACCAACTCGCGCTTTCAGCAGCACACTTTGGATTTTCACAGCAGGACAGTAGCTCGCTGTCTACACAATTGAATGCCAAATACAACGTCCGATGCTCGCCGCCCGTTGGCACACAATTATATAGCCTTTGTCAGGATGAGACCTGCCCACTGGATCCAAGTCCAGACTGTGCTGCGTACGTGGATCTTGGTCCGAGTGGAGTAGTTTCTTCTGGGCCTGCACCAAGCTCTACATCAGCACAATTCACCCCCTCGACTGTCGCCACCCCATCTGCAACACATTCCCCTACCACGACAGCTACGTCCTCTCCGACTTCAACTCAGACTTCAGCCCCTCCATCTTCATCTACCCTTACTTCTGGAGCTATTGCTGGTATTGCGATAGGTGGCGGAGCTTTGATCTTCGCATTCATTCTGGCGCTTGTATATTTGCTTAAGAAGAAGAATAAAGTTGAAGCTTCAGTCTACGAACCTAGTCCTTCAAATCCGAGTTACATCACCCCTGCACGTACGGACCCACATTCGAGTTATCATTCAAACCAGATAGTGCAAGGATGGAATGGACCACCAATACCAGAGATGGAAAGTCCCGGGAGCCCGGATCCTTATCAGCATTTTAGTCCGTAGGATATAGGGCGAATTGAGTGCATATCTTTCTGTTACCACTGTGTATAAAATGCCGAGATGGATGTTGTATATGGGTATCCTGATGTTTGAATTACAGTTCAATGGAGCACCGATGTGGAGAATAAGGGAAATAGTGTTCTACAGTAATGGAAGATAGATTCCGTGTATCGCACTCATAATCTTTTCCCCAAGGACATCTGGTCACTGTTGGTGCAAAGCTTTCATCAGCGCAGCTTGCCGTATCCGGCTGAACTAGAGTGCAAATTCTTTAACGCGTCGAAGGAGTAGATTGAGGTTCGACCTTTGTGCAACTGCGCCCTTTTCCACATCTTCGCTACCGAACACACTGAAGGCGCCATGCCTAACCCCTATTGCAAGTAAAGCTTACATTACCTTCCCTAAGGCCAATTCTCAATTTTTCTGAAACTTTTAATTCGCACATCAAGGACACGAATAGCCAAAGTATGTGAGTCTTCGTCTGTACTCGCTGGCTGTTCCTCGTCGATTCACTGGCATCCGCCTCCAGCATCTGCGCGCAGATCCAAGCCTGTTCATCAACCTGGGCGTTCTGAAGCTTCCGTTTGTTTTCCTCTACTATCGATCGTACTCGGTAAATCTGTCCTAGATACCCGCAAAGGTATCCTTGAGATCGATCGTTGACGCTCCATCACGCAGAAACCTTTGATCTTGCTCCGCTGGTACCTTCCACGGAAGGGAAACCGCTCCTTGTTCGAAAGAATGAAAGAGAATGAGCTCTTCAAGGCTACCATGGAGAAGATTCCTCAACCTCATCATGTGCTTCAGGGGCCAGTTTGCCCGAAGATTGTACATCCAGTTCAGGAACGCTATATCACCATTGGGCTGGCTAGTCACTGCCATCTGTACACCAAGTGCCGTGGTCCGAACTTTGTTGTCCAGGCACTTAGCCATGAATGTATCCATTGCCGCGCGGTTACCTCTCGAAATGTTCATGAAACAAACTCTGTCCACTTTCCAGTTGATGTAGGTGTGCGCCTCAAAGGATTGGTCGCGTCGCTTATCATTTATCGAGGTTATGGATCTGTGGATTTCCCGGCTTGTTGCGAAGTCAAGTTGGTAGTGTATGAGAGCTTCGCTCCGCGATTCGTGAGAGACGTGGAGGATAGAGGGGATGGGAGACGCCGAGATAAAGTAGAAATAGGACCTTGGGTAGCCGAGGTGGTCTAGATTTGGGACTAGCCAGTCATCGCTAATAAGCTTTGCCCTTCTAATCCAGATATCCACATTGCGCGTGATATGGGCCGCTTCTTTCCACTACATGAAATTAGTACTGAGATTTCTGCATGCAACATTTCCTGAAAGTGCAATGCAGCGTCCCTAACATCTGCCGAGCACGATTGAAAAGAGAATAGGTTGCTGACGATCTTGAGGCGGAGCTCTACTGGCAGATTTGGAAACAAGGTGAATGCAAGGACCATGTTGGGACTTTCAATGAGTTGATTCGGTGTCACATCCTCGCTCGTTGGATTTGTGGACATCGCTGGTAGATAGTTGGATCCGGTACTGTTGTCACTTGTTAACTAAAGATGGACTTGACCACTCTGATGCTTGCGATTTTGATACCTGATCGCGTTTGGAGGCTTGAAAAGTGACACAGTCTCAGAGTGAGGGGCAGTCGAGACCCCTAATCGGGATTAGGACCTAATTTTAAGAACTCAACTCTATGGATTTAATTTCTGCTTATATCCCTAGATTCCATTCGTCCCCCTATTCTATCTTTTCTTCGCTATTCCATAAAGGTCTTTCATCTTGTTTTCATGCACAGAGAGAGCTCTCTTTCTAGCTGCATCTGACAGAGACAATGGCTAAGCAGCTTGCTAAAACTTCTACACATGTTTGCACCAGACACAATTCGTATTAGGACAGCAGAAAGATAAAAATCGTTGGGACCCTTCTACTTTAATACTCAGAGAGCGATGTAGAAATCAGAAACTTGGCAAAGATGTGTTGTATGACTTTATTGGAGAATGTTTCTTTGTAGGCTATATGCAATGGAATGCCGTTACAGAGCAACAGCACCACTGGTGGAAGGGTGGTAAGCCACAGCCACAACATTTCGTGCTGATCTAGTCGTTCATCGAGATCTATTCCGTTGTCAACTTCGTCATGAATGAATGAATGATTCGAGACCGTAATTTCCGGGCCCGGATTCGAGGTGACAAGACGACTCGGAATCAGCTCTTGTAGGTTGCGAGCCATTGTAATTTCGGCGTACATCTTGTCTCTGGAATTCTCGACGACAGTCATGATGTTCGTGACCGCGAACTCCTTGGCGAAGGGCTTCCAATGCATCGTGATTCCTGGACCATGCTCTATGAGCGTCTTGGCCGTCACAGACGAGGGCCAATCCTTGTCGTTTTCATCCCAATGAATGGAAGGAAACAGTATGAGGTCGAGAATCCCACAGAGCCACGGCTTAATCGTTTCCGAGAGAGGAAGTGATCGAAGCGTTGAGCGTCGGCATCGGCCATTCAGAGACGACCTCAAATCCACTGCAATAGCCAAATCAGTGAGGCCTTCATGCTTCAGCAAATCAAAGAAGTTCTCGGAGCTTTTGACATCGTAGGTATCGGGGTTCATCAAACAGAGCCTATCAGCCTCCCAATTGATGTAGATTCTGGGGTCTTTGGCGAAAGTCAAACCACCCTTGACAGTGTGAGAGAAACCAAAGCTTAATTTGTAGTGCTTGAGGCCTTCCTGCCTTGACTCTTGGCAGCAACTATAGACAAATCAGTACACGCTTTTGACAGGGTTTGAGAGCGGATGAGTTGATTGGAGGAATTGAATCACATCTTCTTCGACAAGCAGCTCCCATTGATAATCACACTGATCTCGGGTCCTAGAATAAATAAGAAACAAGGGCAGAAGGTTACGTACTGAAGTACAACGGGTGGAGGGCTACCGGACTTGAAATAAGACAATCGACTCATTTTGTCGTATCCTGCATCGGTGTGATAAAGGTCAACAGTTGAGAAGAGTCTGATTCGTGTGATCCAGATGTCGACATTTCGGGAACGAAAACAGGCGACTCTCCAGATCTTCAACCTTAGCTCGATAGGCAGCTTTTCAAAGCAGGTGAATGTGCTGTAAACATTGTCTTCGGTCTTTGTGCTGTTATTGCTCCTCGTTGGCAGAACGCGGAGCTTGTGGTAACTATTCAGAAGCTGGGACATCTTGTACTGCTAAGCTGAGGCAATTGTCAGCTTGACAAGCGCCCTAAATGCCCAAGAGTATATGTACCAAGACCAATGAGTACGAGCAACCTCTGAAACGATTGTTGTCCCGGAAGCACACGCTCAACGAGTTGGCCAAGTCTAGCGCAGAACTTGGCCTTTGGAAAAGGTGGCTGCTGCGTCGCATATTAGACAGCTATTATCGCAGCGCGGGTAGTCACTCACAAGGACAAGAAGCGGCTTTGCCAATGGTATGGAAGAGAACTGACGAGTTGAATAGTGGCTGCGAAGTTTCCCGAAGTTGAAGTCGAATCAAGAGAACATTGACGGAGCCGAGGGCCAGGGCCGTGATTTTGACGTGTATGTTTGCAGCGAAAGGCTCAATGCGTAGAGAGTGTCGAGAACTTGAGTGCTTGTCATTCGATGTGATATTGCGATTGATGAAAGAAGATGAGCGTGGATGATGAAGGATTTAAAGTTTGGAGGTTGGAAAGTGAGCGCGACAAATCGGCTGCACAATATTTTTGTTCAACTTCACTTTCATTGGCCGAAAATACAAAATACGGCTGACTCTCCAATTCATCAATACGTAAAACCCTTCTGTCTTATCTTTCTTTATCCCGTCGCCTTCCAATTTCGAAGAAGGAATGTTGCTTTCGATTCATACCCAGCGGTATCTCTGCAACAGTTCGATAAGGTGCGAGTGACAAGAGCAGCAGTCCCGGAGGCTTTGTACAATACTCGAGAACGAGAATTCCTTGAAAGACAAGGTGGCGATCATCGTTCGAATCTCAAAGAATTTGCTGCAAATCTCGATTGCTTCTCGTCACAGTCCCATGCTGACGCACTGTCTTTGGAATGTTTCTCTTCATCAGTCATGTTCAATGCTAGACATTAGTTGACCTTCATTTGTTTTATGATGATCCAATCTAGAGTTTTTCTTCATGTGTCAATAGAAAACTGTTTGGTACTCTCATGCAAGCTAGCAGTACTCAATGCCCACAGAGCTTAAGTCTCTTCATCTTACATATGCTTGCTCTTTCTGACATTGGTACATTGCCAGCCGGAAGTGCAAAGATGAAAAAAATAAAATAGACTGGAATCTGATCAAGAGAGGCTGCAAGGTATCTTGGTATTAAAAGAGCATTTGAGACAGGGAAAGCAACCTGATAAGAAATTTTCTCTGTACTAGAGATACAAGCAATTCTCGGTCGCAAGCTTGCAAAATAGAGAGATGATACAGGATATCGATATCAGTCAGTGCACTTTAATTCAGTAAAGAATCAAATCTTTCTAGTTTCGAGAATACTTAGGCCAGAAACTTCTCAAGCAGTGTAGGCAGTGCGGGTTTTATATCAGTTTCAGCTAGCTGTGGCGGGGGCAGGGGAGAAATAAAGTACAAGTATTTGCAGTGAGACATCTACTTGGGACATTTCCCCACTTTCTCATGAACATTTTCCTTGTGGTGAATAGAAATGAACTCTCAAGAGTGCCTTCCACACACTCGCGGCAATTCGGAATTAAGATCCTAATTCAACAGCTCAGATGTCATCATGGTAGAAGAGAGCAGCAAGAGAGAGGAAACTGACTTCTCCCAAGACCCAGATACTCGTGTGAGATCCCGCTGTGGTAATCTAAAGAGGCCATCGTTCTATCTGATAGTTCAAAAGTTAATCAATCCGACAGGAGAGGAGAATGTCAGTAGTTGAGCTGTACATGAATGTTGGTATCGAATTGCAGAGAATCTTCTGCAGTCACGATGCAAAGGTGTGGTTGAGGAGATATGCTTTGTAAGCAGATACAGCAGATACAACATGTCTCATTGGGTGGACCAGGAGCACGACGATTCGATGGAATTGCCGAGCCGGGAATATTTTAAGCTTCTTTCAAGACATCTCCTCTCAACTTTTCCTTCTTCATCCTCTCTCAAACAAAGTCCCATGCCCCTTCCCACTTTCCACAATGTACTGTGGCGCTCATATCCTGAGTCGATTTGCGGGCAGTCCTGCACAACCGAGTCTCGTCCCAATGAGTCGCTGTCAAATCGCGACCGGAACACGCCAAAGCTTGGCACAGGGCTGACATGAACGCCAAAGGCGGGATTTTCAACGCCTCCAAAGCAATCCTTCGGCTTTGGTTCAGGGGTCTTAGATTACTTCCCGTCGTAGAGCTTGATCATTTCTTCAGCTTCGGGTCCTTTCAATTTTGGTACATTCTTTTCGAGTTGCTCCACACTCTTTTGGCATCATATCGTGCAATTTTCTTTAGTATGAGTTCATTCATTTCTCTCCTGGTGCTCACTCTTTCGCACCTCCCATTTGGTTCAGCTGAGACGCCCCCGACATGCTATTATCCAGACGGTTCAATCCCGACCGACTATCTTTGGGAGCCATGCACAGGTGACAAGTATTCGTCGTGCTGTGTGCCGAGCGAAGGAGATGTCTGCCAGAAAGATGGCCTTTGCTATTACCCTGATGAAGATTTGGTATACAGAGGTACTTGCACAGATCAAACTTGGCAAGACTCCGCATGCCATGTCGGTACCTGCGTAACTGGTAAGTTGTATCAAAAGCAGGAGCGATGCTTAATCTGAACAATGAACAGGCTTCGAGACGACATGGCAATGGGTCGGACAGTGTGTTGCTTCGGGATCTACGTCTACTGTTTGCGGATCAATGTCGGATAGTGCGCATGTTACGCCGACTTGCAACGGAAACGCTGTACTCAATACACTATTCGTTACCACCACCTCTATGAGCTCTGCGCATGTCTATACTGCACCACCTTCGATCAACACTGCTCTCTTCTCTGTCGAGACTGATACATATACAACGACAATCACTGCGAATGCTCAATCCACCACGCTCACTAGCACATATGAAAATACCAAAACAAAAACACTTAGTCAAACAGCGACAGACACAGGAGGAGGTGCGTCAGCTACGACCACCGGAACGGCTACAGATGGGGCAGCTGGAACTGGAGAAACAATCCAGAAGAGCAAGACCGTGACGGTCTCGATTGGAATGCTCGTGGGAATTGTCGCTGGCCTAGTTGTTGCAATTGCCCTCGTAATCGGGATCATTTTCTTTATTCGTCGCAAGAAGCGCGCGTTCAAGAAGAGCGAGGCCATCAAACTAGACAATTCCGACTACCCTCCGCCGAATGGACCTGTGGGAGCAGACCAAGTGTATCCTTACGAGGCGCCGGTCAATGAGATCACATCACCGGTGAAGAAGTATATGTATACGTCCCCGAAGATAGACGCTTATGAGATGGACGATAGGACAGCAACGATGCGAGAGAAGAGGGGCAATGGGGTCATGGAATTACATGCTGATGATGGTGGCTTGAGAAGTCCTGCCCCGGCCTATCATGAAGCGATGATGCCAGTGGAGCTAGATGGTACGTCGAGTCTGAGACATGTGAGCAGGAGATAGAGAGTCGATTAATCCTGCATGGAGGTGTGTCTTGATATGAGTTTTGGCGTTGCAAGAACACGGCTTTGGCGGGGAGGAGGACCTTGCTGTTTACATAATGTTTGATGACAATATATCCATTTTATAAGATCTTACCAATAATTGATTATACTAGATACTTCCCGGGGATCTTTATGATACTTTAAAGTCACTAATATTGCTCTAATATTGCTTTCTGTCGCCTGCAGCCTAGACCATGCATTTCTCCAAGTCTTAGAACATAAGCGACACTATTTCCATGTGATAAGCCACTCAAATAAAATTAATTATTGCCCAACTGTCCTATGAAACTATTCCTCTTTGAAAACTGGCTGCATTCAAAATTTGGATTCATTTTCAGCCATAGGTGGTTCAGTCTCAAAATTCTGCCATTGTTTTATCTTCAGGGCCCCATCATGTGACTGCATCTCGTTTTGTTGAACCCTAACCTCAACCTTGGATTCTGAAGGAGGACTGTCCAAAGGAATGTTTGAAAGTTTGCAACGAAAAATCATATGCAGTAAGTTATAGACAACAAATTCTAGACGAATAAAACATTACCTAGGTAATCCTAACTCGTTCAACATTGTTCGACAATGCGATGAATTCCTGGACATTTCCTGGACAAGTTGGCAGACTTCTGGTTAAGTTTAGGGTTAGGCTTAGGGTTAGGATTTGAAAGTGCGACGTGCAACAAAATAATTTGATTGTCACGTGTGGCCCTGATCTTGTTTGAATATCGATGGAGTTCAAGTTTAAATACACCTAGCAAAAGGAGTAACAGTGATCAATAATAATTTCATGTATATAAAGACATAACAATTAGGCCGTCGAGGAATATAGTCTGAAAGAAGCGCATCCTGCACATAACTCAGTGGGCCGAGCTGGTGAGTCTCGCTTGGCGTCAGGGGTTCGCTTGCGAGATACGTTCAGCGTGATCGACTTGATAGCTGTATAAAAGAGGCGACGCTTTATTGATTAATCAAATTGATGGCTGTTCCATACAATTGCTGACTCGAAAAGTGTGATAAAATCTAGAGCTTTCTCTCTCTGTGACAGTGTGATCACCAGGGGCTGTGAATTCGTACCAATGAAATGTGATCGTGGCTGAAACCGGCTTTTGGAGCCTTAACCTCAGCTGAGAATCTCAACTCAGCTGCCCAATTTACAGCACTTTAGATGCACCACTTTGAACACCATCAAGATGGACAGTAATAGTCCCACCAGTACCCAAGTATTTAATACTCAAAACTCTCAGCCTAGCAGCCTTGTCCCTCCAGAGCTACGACCCGGGAAGTTCTTTGGCAGCCTTTCGATTCCGCCAAAGCTAGCAGCCAGCCCACTACCAACGGCAGACTCTTGTCCCATTTGCCGAAATTTCGCGACCGATGTCTATCAGATCAACTTGGTCAAAGTCAGAGACCGAGCCAGTGTCGGTTGTCTAGGATGCAAGTTAATTAATGCCGCCTTCAAGAGATACATGCACGAGGTCCAGGACGCTGGGAAATTGACCGCCAGGCTCAGGTACTCTCTTCGAAGTAAAACGCCAGAGTCAATATTCTATGCTTCTATTCGTATCCAAGGCCCTACGATTCACATCGCATCGACTGGAAGTGATGAAGATTCTGACGATTATGAGTCGGATGATGACACAGATAGAAGATACGAGGTCTTTACAACTGCTGAAGTGGACGAAAGATCGCGTGATGGGATTCGACGAGGGCGAATAATCCTTTCGAATCCAAGTTCAACTGAAGCCTTCTCTCTGATTTCCATATGGATGCAAGACTGCTGCAATGATCACCAGGATTGCGCTCAGAAGGAGACCAGAGTACCCACTCGAGTCCTGGACATTGGTTCAAAGACAATTAAACTCCTTTCTAGCACAGGAAAAGCGGGCCGTTACTGTGCCTTAAGTCACTGTTGGGGTTCTGCTTCGCACAGCCCTCCGCGAACGACAAAGGCAAATCTAGAATCCAATCAATCGAAAATCGAGGAGAGCTCACTTTCCAAGACTTTTCGAGACGCGATCGTTCTTGCTCGACACTTCTCCATTCAATACATTTGGATAGACTCTTTGTGTATCATACAAGATGACAAAGAGGACTGGGCAAAAGAGTCTTCAAACATGGCTTCGATATACGAGAATGCGTACTTTGTCATTGCAGCGACGCAAGCAGAGCATGGTGGCATTGGCTGTTTCTCTCCTCGCCCTCCCCCATCGGTCTCTCTGTGCCTTAACGTCGCCCAGGCGAATGGCGAGTTCGCACCCATATACATCCGGGAGAAGAATGATCACAGGCCTTTCAATCCTCTAGCGGCATACAAGGCTCGTGCTGATCAGCGATATCCTCTTCTATCACGAGCATGGTGTCTCCAGGAGCGACTTCTTGCGACTCGTTTGATCCACTTCTCGCGCGAGGAACTGTTCTGGGAATGTCGGACTACCACTTTATGCGAGTGCCGATCCCTGATCTCCCACGAGGAATCTTCTTACGAGAATCAGATCGGTTTCAAGCGGAGATGGGCAATGAATCGTGGTCTTAGAGAACTGTTCGATCTGTGGCATAAAACATTGCAATTGTACAGCTCACTAGACATTACGTACGAATCTGATCGCCTTCCAGCTTTGTTGGGCCTTGCAAACCAACTTCAAGAACGAGGCTGCGGGGAGTATATTCACGGGCTTTGGAAAGAGAACCTTTTTGCAGACCTGATATGGAGAACATCCACACGAGGGACGAGACCGAAAGAGTGGAAGGCTCCATCTTGGTCTTGGGCTTGTGGAGATGGTTTCAGCCTCAAGTTCCCCATGCAGGAAAGCAACTCACCAGAAAGTCTCCTTGACGTTGATCAACCTTCGAAAACTGCTGAAGGGGCAATTCTCAGGTCTACACTCGAATCACTGGATTATGGGCAACACGGACTAGTATTGACTATATCAGCACCTGCAATCAGTGTTTCGCTCTGCCAGCATCAAGCAATGTGGACACTGCGGAAAGCGAAGAGTGAGCTTTCATTCTCTGCTTTCGATTGTGTCGACGACTTCGACTCAAAGGAACTTCCTCTGCTTTGTGCCTGGATTGGAACCATTCATGAGGATGATTATCGTGCAATGCGTCCACAAATCCTGCTTTTACAGGCGTCTAGAGGTCTTGGGGGGAAAGAAGCGGCTATTGGCTGCTATGAGAGAGTAGGGTTATTGAGTCTTACCGGTTATCGATTCGATGAAAAAGAACGTCTGATGATTCTTGATTGGTTCAACAGTGCAGAGTTGCAGCGCTTTCGAATCGTGTAGTAAAACTCAACTTCCAGCCCTCTGGTCAGCTTTCCAAAGTATTCATAGTCAAATGCCTCTCATCTACTAGAATTATACTATGATATGAGGGCATATAGCATGATCAAACGTTCAACAATCCGACCTAATACATTATCATTAACATTATACCAAATCATTTCACGCCTTTCCACACTCAGAACAAAAGAGAAGCTCCAGCAAGCCCAACGACGACACCCACCAACTCCAATCTGACTCTGTCAGCCCCTCTAGTCGCAGCACCAGTATACTGCACTGGAGCACCACTTGTAGTCGACGTCGGAACCCCTCCAATGATACTCAAAATCACACTCGCCAAGTTCTGCGTGCTCGTCACCCCTGTCCCAAAAACCACGATATCGCTCGCTCCCGAGGCAAGAGAGATCGTCGACCCACTCACCGTGATCGCCGTCCCGCCAGGAATCAACGTCTGAGACCCGACCACATAATCTCCTTGAGAATTCGCAGTAATAATCTGGCCTGCAATCACGAGCGGAGGTTCGGCGACTGTAATGGGCCCAGAGCCAGGCGTTATGGTTTGTGAGCCGACTACGTAGTCTCCTTGGGCGTTGGCCGTTATTGTTTCACCATTAATGGTGATGGGAGGTGGGATTACAAGTTGTCCGTTACCTGCAGTTATGGTCTGGCTGCCGATAATATAGTCTCCTTGTGCATTGGGGGTTATCGTTTGGCCGACGATGGTGATTGGGCCTCCTCCAGCAGTGATTGTTTGCGTTCCTATAACATAGTGTCCTTGCGAGTTGGCGGTGATGGTTTCTCCGCCTATTGTGAGGGGAGGGAGAATAGTTGTCCGTGCACTTGGGGGTGTCATAGTTTGAGTACCGATAACTATCATGGTCGGGGTTATACTTGGTGCTTGTACTGGTGGCTTTGAGGTTGAGTGAACTGGAGGAGGGGCATTTGAGACCGGAATAGAACTCGTTGCGATGATGGTCGCCACGTTGGAAGTGGAACTCGTTTCAACAGGCGGGCTGGTGATTTCGGATTGAGCAGTCGGTGTTCCTTGTGGTTGAGTAGGGGTTTGGACTGGTTGAGGTGATGGAGTTGTAGGCGGAGGAATTGGTGGGGCTGAGGTCGTCTTTGGGACTGTGAGACCTGGCTGCACTGTAAGAGCTACTGGTGGATCAAAAACGCCAAGGAAACCCATTACGCACGTTGACCAAGCCGGTAGCAAAGATGTGAAGCCATTAGGTAGCGATAATTGTGGAGTACAAAGATTGGTAATCACGCCCAACGAGGGGTCTGTCTGGCAATTGGTTGTGCACGTACACTGCCTATCTGACTTGTCAGATAAACAGACAGCTGTGAGTGAGGTGAGATGGAAATGTACTTACGGACCAAAGTCGGCGTAATCGATAGTTGTCCACTGCTGACTGTCTATGGTCGTGAGATTTCTGTTGATGCTCGTTGTTCGAAGATAATCGGGAAGATAAGTCCCTGTCACATCATACATTCCGCCGACTTGTCCACACTCGTTCCACCCATACACGCCTGTAAAGCTGGCGTAGACAAGGGGAGATATACTGTTATTGTTAGTCACATCTATATTCAAGTGGCACGCAGTCCACTCACAAAGTGTGGTTCTGAGAATCGACAAGTTTGGTCACTGGCGGCGTTGGAGCAGGTGTAGGCCAATATGAGAGTTGAACCCCCTCCGCATATATTGTGCATTGACCACAGCAAGGCGTCGAAGCTGAGTAGTAGAACAGTCCGCTATCTCCTGCCGATGTAAATGACAGAGATTCAGACGAGTATTGATTGGTGCAGGTCGTGAACAGACAACCATCCGTCATCAAATCTTGGAAGTTGACAGCCGCGTCTCCAGCACTTCCCCACAAGAATTCTCTTTCGGACTTCAGAGCATAATAGAGCGAGGTCATATATGACTCGGAAGCTGCCGAGTTCGAGAAGGTGCTGCCGGCGAGTACCTTTTCGAAAAGTGCAATGTCTGTGTTCATCTTGCTGACTTCGGAAATTGACGCAAAGTAGAATCCAGACAACCCGGCTGTTAGGTATGCATCAATAACGCCGGGTCCAAGATATGACCAGGTTGCAGGTGTGCAAGTGGTAATCTACGTAATGTGGTCAGCACTCCGACATCTCGCTGTGAAAAGGGCAATACCGACATTCATACCACCCAGTGATGTTGTAAAGTTTGTCATCCGTGTAGTGGAGGGAGATATTGACGTAACAGAAGTGCTCGACTTGGTGACCGAAGCAGACATCACCGAAGTGGATGTATTCGAGAATCTAGGATCTATAGAAATGTGAGGCCAAGGCGGAATGGATGATGGAATTTACTGACAAAGTTTTAATGCATCGCACCCACTGATCAACATGACCAATTTTACCACGACGCAGACTCTCTCTGTAGAAAACATTCTAATTTTTCAAAATAATGAATTAGCGCGCCGTTCAGGTCATAATTAGCAGCAGATAAAAATACTTGGGACCTTTGGGCGGGGTTCCTCTTTGTACATACGCGGCTCCGTTGCTGTGGCTGGAAGGATACACACCGACTTACGAAGTTAGCTGTGGACAGCCTTGGCCCGCATACTCGCATCATTTTGAATCAAAAGCAATCGCATTAGAAAGTCGAAGTCAAATACTGGGAACGAGAGAGACACTATTCCGACTATGGATGGAGTCGGCTGAATGTGTATGTGGTGTCTCAGAACCAACAGTCACGTCTTCTTCAGCCTCTAGATCGTAGCCGCATAGCGGGTGAGCGTATGAAAGTTTCTCAAGATAGGCTTAGAAGGTGAAGTACATATACTCGGGAACACTTGTCTATCTCAGTGGTTCCTGGCTCATTTGGGAGATGGGATGATCTGAGATTTAAGGTCATCCATAAGTACGACAAGTAACAAAAGCTAGTATACTGATAGCATTGAGATGGATGCTGCTGGGAAGAATGATGCAAGACACTTCAGGTCATCGAATTGGCCGGATGCAAGTGTGAAGGTATCATGTTTGAAACTATCCACGATGCCGAACCCAAGTGTAGAACTCTTACGAGAAACCAACCTCCTCGCTGCTGAAGTTCATTTCTTCTCATTTGCGAAGTATCATCCAGGCTCGCCAAAGGCTGAGACATGAGTTGATCTCCCCACACCAGGACAAATGCGGTCCGCCTCGTACTTGGCAGAGGCTTGCACGTTGTACGATTGAAAAAGATCAGATGGCAGATAGACTTGGAAAGACTCAGACGCGGATCTCGTCAGCATGGTTGGAGCTGACTGTCAAGGGGGATTTTAGATCAAATATATACAATGCACAGGTATGAGTTCGAGCGACAAGCACACCCAAAAGCTCACTGAAGCCCTTCCACTTCCACCTGAGGTCAATTGCGTGGCGGAGAAATAGTATTGAATTGTGAAAAAGGAAACAAATGGCTGAAGTGCAGGGACGAGTCAGGCGCCAAGACCAACTCTGCAAGGTGGCAGATTTCAGCTCATCACGTGAATGCTGCTCAGTTCCAGGGTCTGACATCTCTACTCCGCGATGTGGAATTCAAGCGATAGGTCGGTATTTGAGCTGCTCGAGCTGAGCCTTAGCTATAGAGCATCGAGCCTAGATCGATAATAATGGTGTTTGACTCAAATGGGATCCTCTACCTGCTTCCCTACCTACCTAGCTTAAACTACCAGTCTCATAGACATCTGGTTCAACATCTCTATCTCTGTATGGCAGGAGAACAGTGGCTTGAACTTGTGGAATACGTGAGATTAACCGTCTGTCGATGGCTCTCTTCATTCCCTGCCGCAAATTGCGCCGTAATTGTTCCTTTCATACCATCATGCCGGTCTAGCTTTTCATGATATTTGCATCTTCCCTGATGCACCAAGCCAGACTCATTTCTATACCAGATCCCAAGGCCTAAATCCCAGGGTATGATGTCCCTCCCCAATGCTCCATGCCCGAAAACACCAGGACCATGCCCACCAAATACTCCATTATTGCATCTCATACATCATGTAAAATCATCAAAATGGCGGCGCACTAGCACTCCTCAATAAATCCCCTGGTCTATCTTCAGCCCTCTCCCCAGCCCTCCTAACCTGCCTCTCCATCTCCGGCAAAAGTTCCGGAATCCTAAATGGTTTCGTAACAACACTGTCCATGCCCGCCTCCTTCGCCATGGAGATCTGCTCACTCCTCGCATTTGCCGTGACAGCTATCACAGGAATATGGCCCACAATCTTTCCTTCCTGCTGTAATTTGCGGATCTCCTTGACGCAGGTAAGGCCATCCATGACGGGCATCTCGAGATCCATGAGCACGATGGAGAGTTCAGTTCCCGATGACTCGAGTCCGGTCCAGTAGCGTGTTATGGAGAGGAAGGATAGCGCTTCTAGACCGTGATTCGCAACGTGTACGATGCAGCCTGCTGAACGAAGTTGTTTGGAGAGGACTTTTTGGTTGACAATGTTATCTTCGACGATCAAGACGTGTTTTGGAGCTACTGGCATTTGAGGGGCTTTCCTTTCAGACAAAGGCGCAGGACCTCCTCCACTTTGTATTCGAGCCAGAGCTGCAGGGCTGATGATTTTCGATTGGGCCTTCATGTCGATGGAATGTGCTGCTATTATTGGTTGCGGGGTTTCTGGTGGATTGCAGCGCCGGGCTCGGATGAAAAAGGCGAATGTGCTACCTACTCCTGCTTGGGAAGAAACTCCGATTTGTCCTCCTTGAAGTTCGGTCAGCTCGCGAGAGATAAACAAACCTAGACCTGATCCTCCGTATTGTACGTGGGTTCTTGGAGACGCTTGTGAGAACCGCTTGAAGAGCGCTTGCCTCTCTTGGTCATCTAGTCCTCGTCCACTATCTTGAACCTCAATATAGAGGTAAACCATCTCGCCCGATCCCCAAGCACTACCCAACGACAAGTCCTTTCGATTGGCGCTTCTTGGCAAGTATTGTATGCCATGCTTATCGAGTGGGTGTTCTGTTGAAGCGGCCATGTTGACGGTAATTTTTCTGTTGGGCCCGGATTGTGTGAATTTGATGGCATTTGTGGTCAAATTGATCAGTACCTGGAGCAATCTGCTAGGGTCAAGTTTCACCCAGTCAACTGCCAGGGTGTTGTAGGAAGGATCGACACGAAATCGAAGCTCCATGTCACTCTTCTGGACTTCGCTGTCGAACATCTTGAGAGCACTCTGTACTACTGAGATCGGCTGTACTTCAATCGGAGTAATGAGCAGAAGGTCCGAATCTAGCTTTGAGAGTGTCAAGATATCGTCGATAATTCGTTTCTGGTGTTGAGCGCACAAGACCACAGTTTGTGCCGCATCGGCATATCCATCAGCAACTTCTCGAGGAAGGGTGACATTCTTGGAGTCTCCTTCAAATTCCGAGAGTGACGTCGCGATGTAATCCGCACACTGTATAATTGCAGATAAAGGATTTCTCATTTCACTTACATGTTGATCAGTATATCTGTACGTATGGGGTATGGGGAGAAGGCATACTGGGAAGTCATGTCAATAAAATTCTCCTGCTGGCGTTTCAGCTCAACAGCCTCGAGCATTTTTCGTGTCCGGAAACCTTCCATCCATTTTTGTCGACTGATGTCCGTAAGACACCCTAGAATACCAGTGACCGTACCGTCTTCGGCTTGCTCAGGATAAGCTGCAGCGATGATCCAAGTAGAACCTTCAACCTTTTCACCAGCAACGAGATCATCTGCTACGAATTGTGGTCTCAGTCTGAGCTCGAAGTTTACGGGTTCTCCAGCAAGAAGCTTAGCCCATTCTTTGTCCATCACTGGGTGATCGATCTCAGCTATGACGTTATACCAGGACTGTATCCATGTTAGGGCCAAGTCGAGAAAGAAGAGCTCTATGGATGCCAACTCACCATCGGGTAGTGTACGTCACGTGGATGGCCGGTCATACTGTTTTGGTTGTGAATCTTCAAAGCTTTTGTGAGAAGACAATCCGACTTACGTGTAGTAGTCGTTGTTTGCATAGACCAAGATTCCGGTGGGATCTATGTGGAACATGCCAACAGGTGCAAGATCAGCCATTCTTCGAAATCTGGTCTCGGTTTCCAATGCCTCGTGAGTCTGTATTGCGAGCCTTTTCGACAATAGAGTTCTGTCTTGGGCAGCCTGTTCGGCGGCCACCCGCCCGCGGCGGATCTCTTCCTCGAACAAGACAGCAGACTACATTCGTTATGAGCGTATGATAGAAATGGGTAATGAAAGATATACGTACCGCCATTGACGTTGCTAGTTGTCGACTCAACAACTCAATGAAAACTTTATAGTCATCATCAAACCGTTTCCTAGGGTTTACACCTAACATCAGGAACCCAAGAATATTGTCCGCTGTCGATCGGATAGGAAGAAAAATGGCAGACTCGCAAGCATGCTCGCCATTATTGACGCGAATTTCCTTTGTCATCCAAGGGGGTAATGTGCCTTCTTCAGTCGTAAGCAAAGTTGCTGATTCTGACCTGATGAGGTCGTAAAAGTCTGGAAGAAAATCTTCCATTTCTCTTTCTGTGGTGATTCGAGTGGGAATGCTCGGACATGTTTCTGGTACACGAACAAGACCTTCAAGGGCCCAATTTTTCAGATTCTGACTCTGTTCTGACGATTCAGAGAGAGTTTCGTTGATATCGCCACCAGCAGAATATAGGATACCAAACGGCAAATCAAGATGGTCCGCCTGCAACCCAAGCAGTAATTGCTGCCAGAAATCTTTCGGCTCTCTAGATGATGCTATAAACTGACCTAAGCGCAATAGGAAAGCCATTCTGCGATCTGCAATCACTTGTCGAGTAGTGTCAAATACGGGATTATAGCTAAGAGAGCGTTAATGGCGATCCGGTGGGCATACAAATAATGTTCAAAAGCAATACTTACAAGCCAACTACACCACGCTCGAGGCTAAAGGGAATGATAGATAGAGAATAATATGTTTCCTCGAGATAACCATGTCTTTGAATGTAAAATCTGGCATCGTCGACCACATAGGCCTTGCCAGTCTCGTACGCAGTATCGAAAGCAGAAATGAAGTCTCCTGCCACTTCTGCCCAGGCTTCAGAAAATGTCTTGCCCATCATCCCTGGATGTCGTTGACCTGTGACAACGACATACGGTTCGTTATAGAGCATTGTTCTCTTCTTTCCCCAGTACATGGCAGCTGGCCTTGGATCGGTCATAAGTATGTTCGCCATACGCCGGAGCTCAGGAGACCAGCTGTCGACGGCACCTAGCTCTGTGGATTCCCAATCAAAATCTAACACAAACTGCATGTGGGGAGTCAGCGTCATGGCAGTCTTAGGGCGTGTAAAGTCGATACGGCCAGTATAATCAGACTCTTCCGCCGAATTTTGCTTCAATTGCTCTGGTGGGGCTGGAGAGGGGAAAGTCGGTATATCTTTTTCCCTGCGAAGTCTGAACGCCGCCAGTTGGTCTTCCAGGTCGTCATTTCGAAAGGTAGACTTTTGTGCGTAACGAGACTGTTCGTGGCGATCGATGGCTGCTGTTTGAGACCGTCCAAGACGAGGTATCTCGGATTGACGACGATTGGAGTTAAGAAGAGCGGTTTGACTCTTACTATCACCAAATACGACTCGCCATCTGTTCTTCAGTATTCTCGCGGTCCATCTGATTCCGCAGTATGTAGTCTGAAGGAGACTTCCTCCACTGTGTGTAGACGCCGCCCAATCCATAAACACGGTATATTTCGGATCGTTTGTCCCCTTGCCCTTCCCTACTTTTGATTCCAGCAGTGGTACTTCGCGCACACTCGCATTGTAGTAGACCGGTATCCTCTTCATGGCGCTTGTCAAGTCGAGAACAAATACGGCTCTCTCGTCTGTCTCGAGAAGCTCGATAGCTCCTAATTTTGTAAAGTCGTTCGGGAGTTCGACAGGAACAGTCGCGGAATGGGCTTCGTCCTTCACATCTTCTCCAACAGCAGAATCTGCCATCTTTTCCTCCTTTTGTTAGAGCACCAATTGTCTCTCCAACCCTCACTCAGCGCCTCCCAGCCCCGCCCTCGCAGAATTGTCGGGAGTCGACAGAGCCCTTCCGTCACCAGAATGCGACACGGTGTTCGACTACAAGAGAGGGCGTTCCAAGATATGTAGTATATCATAAAAGGAGTGTCAAGACCACCATATCTCACTTGAGGCGCAACAGGCAAGGAAAAGAAAGAGATAAGATCAATACTTCCTCAGAGCGCACGGTGTTGGCGGCGACGATGCCGCGTGCATTTCCAGGTTCTCGGAATCCAGATCGCGTTGGAAGCATACTAAATGCGACCTAAAACTCACTAAAGCCGGACGCCGCTTCCAAGGCGGAGACGCTGCCGGATTTGTTTGGGTTTTCCTGTGTGGTGATGTTGGATTATTTGCATATCTTTCGTTGAGTCCAGATGGTTGTCGAGGTCGGAGTATGTGCCTTTTGTCTTACCTTTGATCGTGGTGTAACCTCTGAGCACGGAGGACCCAGCGACCCCTGGCGAATGCGACGGCTATCCTGTTCTGGGCAGACATCCATCCTGATGTTCTGTTTGCCGACAAGACCGGCAACATCAAGAATAGAGTTTTCTACTGCAAAGTCCGCTGGCGGGAAGAGAAGATGGTTGGCTGGAGCAATAAAAAGGATGCCGCGATGAAGCTTGAAGTATCAAGCCACTTCCGTCAGACGATTGATCGGATTTGAATACACGTGATAGCCTACTCTACCCCTTTCAAGACGAGAAAGCTCAGTCAGAGCTTCTCTTCTCTCAATATTAACTTGCCTTCTCCTGAACTCTCAGATTTGACTTCTTGTCTCTTCAATCTCCTAGCTATTGAAATCGTTCTGTTGAAAAATTTCTGCCCAGAACTCCCAGATTCTAGGTCGAATCGACTATGAGTCTACAGGGGGTAGAATAACATGCTCATTGAATCAATAGCGTGCGGCATAGATACTTGGTTGCACTTGACACCTACGAAGTTCTCTGGGATTACCATCCTGAGATTGCAATACGCACGAAGCCGAGTTCCCACCATGTGGCCATCTCCCAAGGCACTCCATCTCAAATAGTACAAGCATGCTCCTGCATCTGGGAATCCTCAATTTTTGCTGTATATGACATCTCGTTATTCCAAAACAGAATCGAAGTTATGATGCTTCTTCTCATATCTGCTGTGTAACAGATCAATGTGTTGAGATGGAACACATATTGCTCTCTACAACAATGCCTCCTTCGATCCTAGAATTCAACCCTTACGTCTCTTTCAATCAAACCCAAAGTCTCAAAAAAGAAACCTTACAAAAGCTCTCTTCTCGCAGTAATTACATTTCACGATTACATCCTTCTCTTCTCTCTCCACACAAGGTGCTCATCTCCGAAACAGCTAGATGACTTCAACAAGCATTTGAATCAACCGATAAACGAAAGGGAACTAGAAGAGAATCGGAGCTTACGGCTGCGAATTGTAAAGGATTCCGATTATAAGACGGGCTCTGAGTAGAATCTTAAAGGAACTTTCGATACAATAACCTCAGATTTGGCAGGATTTGCGGGATTCGCGCGATTCGCGCTATTTGCACAAAACGCGCATTTTGCGAGCTTTGCGCCATAACCGCATTAGTTGTTGATTCAAAGATATTTACGGAGAATGATATATGTCAGTCTTTATTTATTCTGCGTTCATCAAACTCACTCTTCGACAATCTCACACAAATCTCCTTGTACTAGATCGAAATATGAGAGCATAGTCGCCCCGCACCTGGAATTTGCACAGTCTCTACCAGCATGTGTTTCTTTGCAAAGATTTGTTCATTATTTTCAGTGACGGCGGAAAGCCTAAAGATTCTAGTCAACTAGAAAGATACTTCACTCTTAGTGACCTTAGCCAAACAATTTCCTGGTGGATTGAGAAGTCCAATATTGTCTCAAGCTACCCCGCCAAGCATAGGGGTTCGCTTAGATAACTCAGACGTGGACCAAAGAAGGGACATTGAGTGCACCAGGTGCTTGAACATTTTACTCTCTACAAAGATACTCGTTCTAAGAAATCGAAGTATCTGACATATATAATAATACAATGCAAGAATTGAAATTGAGGCGGATTCACTCTCCAAGGCTCAGCCAAGTTCTCGCTAAAATTGGACCAGCCTATACCCCTTTGCCTGCTGGGCGTTCGCGCTACTCAAGTTGTCTTTCACAGCTCGCAAGCATCGTGACCGTCTCCATCATCGTCATTTCCAGAGTCATCTCCATCGTCTCCATCGTCACCGTCATCCCCATCATCCCCATCATCCCCATCATCCCCATCATCCCCAGAGCTAGCTTCGCTGGTGCTTGCTGGCGACGAGGAGCTCGTTGTGGTGGGTGGAAGTTGCATAGAAATTGTGGTAGCAATAGACATTGAACTGCTTCCTTTGATCATTCCAGGAGTAGTAGAAACTCCAGTGGCCGTAGTAGTGATCTTTGAGGTCCTAGACATGGAACTGCTTCCCCGAGTTACAGTCGCCATTGTCGTTGGCACAGACGAAGTTGCAGAACTGGTCTGAGTTCCCCCACCAGCACCCCCACTATACACCGTATTGCCACCCGGCAGCGCGCTTATTGGACCTTGGAGCCCAATATTCTCATAAGGCGGCATGATCTCAGGACTCAAATTGTTCTTCGTTCCCATTTCTCCGTTCGGAGTACCGAAAGAATTCCAAGCACAAGCTGTACCGATGCCGTTACAATTGTCGAACGACTCCCCTAAAGCATCAAGGTCCTCCCATCCTTGAATAAAATCTCCATGTCCGCCAAAACCGGTCGTGTCACCCATAGACCAAACGACCGTAGAAGAATCGACGATACCGAGACTGCCGGTATCAAACCCGAATTCGGCGCCGATGTGAATAAGAGCAACAGGATGGGAGGAGGGACACATGCCGCCTTGTGTATCGCCCTTGGAGGGATCGGGATAAGACATCTGTCCAACATCAACACTATCTCCATGATTACTGCGACTTCAAGTGCAGACTCACATGACTTTTGTGATCAGGACTATCCACGTTGACTCCGTCCCAACATGAAGGGAAGTGAACATGCAGCGTCAAGTCTCCTACCAAGGTTTTTGGGAACCCATACACCTCGCCATTATTTCCCGTCTCATACAGAATAGCTTGGTTTGTCTGATCGGACATATTTTGAGTTCTGCTACGTATTAGCAGAGTCTATGGAAATACTAGAACAAGGTACCTTCGAGTGGGATCCCCAGCTACCATTCGAAGACCTGGAGGAAAGGGCTTGGCATCTGTTGGGGATGGGCAATACCGGACTCCTGCTTGGTAACTGCATGTGTATCTTTTGTAGTACATGTTCTGCCCACTATCAGCTTGAGCTGGCTTGCTGTTGGCGAGAACTTACCGCGCCAGTGTATGGAACCATTTGAAACATGCCATTCTTCATGTTGTATAACTGTGGTGCCCACTACAAAGATCAACTCTGTTCCGTTTCCAGTATTCCCGTACTTACGTAGTTGCTATGATCAGTGTACTTGTCACAAGTGGTAGCCTTCGCATCAACAGCAGCATCGATACCAAGCATAGTCCTGTTGAACGCAGTGCCCCCCGAAATTGCGTGGACATGACCGGATGGCACTCCAGGACTGATGATAGGATCTGATCGTTGGGTAGAAAGGGTTCCACAATTCACCGTCCAGAAATCGCCTGCGTATGTGAAAGTCAAGCTACACAGTAGCGATAAAAGAGTGATTTTGAAAAACATCGTGTTCGCGCAAGTAAGGACTGTCAAAGAACCAAAATCAAACGAAGAAACGAAATTTAAGGATAGACTGACACAGATCTGTCGAAGAAGAGAAAGGTGAAGAAAGAAGAAAAGCAAAAAGTTTGTGTGGGGAAGTGAGGATATATGCAAGTTCATTGGCATATGGTAAGAAACGCATGCGCCCTGTACTCCCAAGGTCGCTCTACCGGTTGGCTGGATGTTTCAAATAGTGAGTGTTGCTCTGCTCCTGCGTGCGGCCCGGGTAATATAAATGCCTGCTTGTGCGCCCCTCCAACACCTAGCTAAGGATGCTCACTTTTAAAAATTACTCTTGGGCAGCACGTTAAAAAGAAATTCGGTCTTTAATTTTCATTTTGTAGGACCCGCACAGCTTCTCGTCACCGTAGTGAGCAGTGTGGGGATTGACTCGGGATTTGTAAACGCTCACGCCAGTTGACCTGGAGGCCTATCGGCATCAATTTGATATTTGCAGTCATGGTGGTCTTGAATCCGAATATCCCCATGTTCGGCTTGAGCCCCCAAAAGCACAGGGCTGCAGCACTCGGGAGTCCGACTACTTTTCTGTACCTCCCAAGAGCCCGAATGAGGAAATGCACAGCTCAGGGGGCAAGATCACCTCGCTTAAATCACCCCTGAATGTTGCTTCAGTGCCGCCTACCCTGCCTAGCAATGCAACCCTCGATGCGGCCTTGAAACAATTCTTAGAATGAGGGACGACGCCACGAAATAAGTTGTTGGTAAGTAAGATGACTCCAACAGCAGCTGACCAGGCCATTTTGAGCAGCTGCTCGTGAACGGCGGATTTGACTACTGCCGAAAATATGTTCTACACGTAGCTTATGTTGATGCACTAGAATCATTAGAGAAGTCTCCTGTCGAACCTCAACGACGAAAGACACAGAGCAGCTTCATGTAAAGTTGCTACTTGTGTTGGGCTAAAATTCTCTACCTCCGATGATTGTGAAGGTTGAAGTACAGAGACATGAGTACCGGCCAGAGTTGAGGGTTCACTTGAAGTAAACGATGTACATATACAAGTCAACATACTCGTGATATATTTACATATATTGTACAAACTAAAGCAAATATGATGTAAAGCATATTTGCTCAAGCCTATTCTAACAATGTCTGAGGGGGGAGCTTTCACTTCGAAGGCCATGCAACTCCTCGAGTCGTTGTAAAGATAATGCCCTTGAGCCAGAGATATGCAGCGCCATTCGCGATTCCCTGGCATCGTCATGGAGGCACTCGAAACGCTCATAATATACTGCAAGCTCGACGTATGCGGACGAGTGCAAGCGGATACACATGTTGGACATACAAAGTGGCCTTGCCATTTCCTGCATGGTGCCCAAATGTTCTCCCTGGCGGATTAACGAAAGCAGGCGCTGCTTCGTTGATTCTAGTCGCTGAATCTCTCATAACCTGTCAATCCAACTCGCTGGATCATCATCGTTGATGTTTTTTGGCTTCTTGACGAAATCGATTTTCGGCAAATCGGACTTATTCACCTTTGAAGGTGTTGATAAGGATGGGTCGTGCTCGAGGGGTTCCTTTGCAGCACCTTTGAGACCCTCTTGAGCTTGCCTGTCCAAGAATGACTCGTCTTCTTCGAGAAGTTTTGCAATGTTTTCCATCTCCTCCTTAGTGATAGTTGTCTTGACATGCATAGCTTTGAGAATACCAACGCGCCATGCTCGGAGCATTCCAGGGTAGGTTAAACCCGACATAGCATATTCTTCGTCCGGGATCACTTGCACGATTCTGATATCTTTTTTTGACCTTCGAAAGAGGAGTAAATCATCATGAATGAGGTATTTCTTGGTCTCTTCAGGCTTCCAAGCTCTAATTGTTGCCCATGATAGATGTCCATCGTTCATTGGCTCGTGTTTCTCGTTCGGCGAACTTCCTATGTATGCCCCTCCTGCATCAATAAGACGCCGACCCTCGGAAGTTGATGTCGCAAGGCCAACTGCGTACAGAATCTTGCTAATGCTTTTTTGGAATATCACATGGCGCGGTAGCTTGACGTTCACCGTCGGCTTCTTGTTGAGCGAGGAAACCCCAATCTGAGCAGAAGGATCTTCAGCTCTTGGAGGAAGAATTGCCCCTGGTTTCAGGTGGAGTAGACGATGCTCTTTTTCGGCCGATTCTGCTTCCAATTTTCCATGCACAAGCTCAACGAACTCTTTTGCAAGCTTGTGTTGAGCTTTTCGCTGTTCCGGCGACTTCATGTGCTCACTAACCAAGGCATGAATGTCTTCGAGAGGCATGAACGTAAACATCTGAAGATATTTTTCGACGTCCGCATCCGCTGTACCCAAGAAATATTTGTACAATTCGAAAGAGCTTGTTTGTTCTTCATCCAACCATACAGCATTTCCTGCACTTTTGCCAAACTTCTGTCCTGATGATGAAGTGAGGAGCGGTACGGTGAAGCCGAAAGGTTCTCCGACAGCTGCGGCCTCGTCTTTAACAGTCGGGTTTGGGTGGTGGGTCGAAATGTACTTAATTGCATCAATACCAGCTGTGATGTTCCCATACTGGTCAGAGCCCCCTATTTGAATTTGGATTCCTTTCGTATGAAACATGTGCCACCAATCCCAGGCTTGCATGAGTGGATATGTGAACTCTGCAAACGACATACCATCCCCTCTACTCATTTTGTTCTTCACCCTATCAAGATTAGTATTCTAATCAAAAATGACACCTGTGGCTTCCGCTTACGTCTCCCGTGCCAGCATAGAGCCCAACCGCATGCCGGGACCAAGGAGCTGAAGAAACTGGAGCATGGGCAAAGTATTCCACCACGCATTGTTATTGATCAATTCCCGACGCCACGCCCATTCCGATTTGTAGCCATACTTAGCGGCGGTTATTTCCACATTCTTCCACAACTTCTTGAGTTGAAGGTGCATATTTGCCATATTTGCGGTTCCAACAGAGGAGTGTTGTTTTTCTCGAGATGTAAGACGGTCGGTGGGATCTCCAATCTTGGCTGTCGCACCCCCAAGAAGAGATACTGTATGGTAGCCATGGATATGCATCCAGAAAAGAGCCATGAATGGTATCATGTGTCCAACGTGTAATGAAGAAGCAGTAGGGTCGATTCCAACGTATGCACCGAGTCGTCGGTCAGTCATCATTTGATCAACGTGTACTCGTTTCCTAGACATAGTCAGTATATAGTGTTTTTCGGAGGGTATAACGTAATATGGTTCATACCCAGTGAAGGTCTGGACTAGGCCTCGCTCTTCAAGAATCGTGAGCATGCTCTTCTCTTTCCCTGACTTAATGCTAGAAGCTTTTTGTGACCATGCCATCTCTGCATCTGCCATTTTGGCAAGGTATTTCGTTCCAATCCATCTTCTTATGGTCTTACCAGAAGCATTGGAAGCTTGAAGTGTACACCTGGGGCAGACATAAGCTTCGGGTCGAGAAGAAGCTCGAAGGAAGGATCGCGAAGCCATTATGGCTGGGGAAGAGATCGTTATGACTGCATGAGGAAAAGGGGCACTAGTAACGAAGAGAGCGAATGTGAATGACCGTACAACGAATGGCAGATGAAATTGGTTGTGATTCTGGCAAGCAGCCAAAATTGAGTGTATTTCCTTTCATAAAAAAAAGTTAATGGTAGACGCGACCCGCGCCCGCGCTTCTGACCTGCCGCGCGCTTAGTCATCATTAACTTCCTTCCTGGTGTTCTCCACTCCTCCACTCCATGACGCACCAAGAACTGCCACGTGAGTGAGGCGTCCTCGACCTGCATCGTCCATGCATGTTACACCGTCCTCGGCCTCTTGCATTGGTCCTCTGACTTCGTAACTTTTCTCCTGTACGTCTCATTCTTTTCTTGTCCTCTTTTCTCTCATCTTCATCTACCAGAATCTTCAATCTATCTTGTCCCATTCGATCCAGTAACAGCCAAAATGACTGAAACTTTCATCAGTCAAGCCGACGGCAACGAGGTTTTTCAAGCTCAATATATTCCTAAGCAGAAAGGTCCTCCTTCTTCCGATGACCCCAGCATGAAAGCATTCATATCGACCTACCCATCCTTGGGTCAGGTGACACAGATTGAGAAGAACACCAGCGTGTTCACGGCTTTGCTGGAGGTCGATGAGAGTCGAGCGTCAGATCCATGGCACATATCCCTTTGGCACTCTGATGGTGGGGAATGGAGAGAGGTTCCAATGGATCCAGTTCTGGGCGAGCATGGCCGCCCCACCGACCTTCAAGCCTCCAATTCCAGTCTTACTCGTTTATATTTTACGACCCCACTTGCAATTCACCTCCCAACGAACTTCACTGTCAAGTTCCGGAATAGCTCCGACCAGCCATGGAAGTGGGTAAAAGATCACCAAGGCACACAGGATGGAGTAGTATTATTGAAGACTGTGACGAGTCAGCAGGCCATATCGAGTGAGTTGGGGGACTACGTTCAAGGACTCAATCCAGCATTGAAGTCAAAGAACTATCGAAGTCAATCACCTGGAACGACTCTCTGGTCTGTAGAAGCTCCGATCGAAGCTGCACATGGAGCGAAGTCGACGTTTAAGGATGTCAAATTCGGTCTGCCATGGGGTGCTGGGAAGTTCTCAAGGTAAGTCAATGTTCATTGAAGCATATTCTTCTCTACGGCAGGAAAGCTGCACTGTCACATTATCCTAAACGGAATGCTGGATCGATCACCTAGTCGTTTACTAATATCTTTTAGGTGGTTTGCTCTGATTCGGATATGGTCTCCGTGGCTGGCCCCGCGACAAGGCAAAGACCATTTCGGACTAGATAAAGAGGCCGTTATGTGCTCTTTTCTGAGTACGGGAGGTAAGCACTTAGTGCTACTTGCTATCAGTGGCGTAGACGATATTATGACCATGTTCACTAGCGACAGTGAGGGTAATGTTGTTATTCGCGTATGCTTTGTTTTCGAATAATACTTCGAATAGATTCTGACAAAGGTCAGATTCGCAACGATAGCGACAAAGATGGAACCGCCAAGGTCCTGGTTGGTCTTGGAGATGACTTCGAATCCGCAAATGCTGCCGTAATGTACCACGCCAGAGGCATAGTCGCAATGGCAGAAACTGCTAGCGGGGAGCAACAGAAGGAAATGGCAGCTTTGAAAGAAGGCAATGAGTTTACCAAAGTATGGGCTGAGAATTGGTATGATGGGTTGACATATTGTGCGTACTCAACGATCAACAAGTTTTATTCGCGTAGCTCACTTCTAAAGGCACCTGGAATGCTCTGGGACAACGACTTACCGAAGAGAAAGTTTTGAAAGCAGTCACAACTTTAGCTGAAAACAAGATTAATATCACGAATTTCATTATCGATGACAATTGGCAATCCATCGACTACCGTGGCCATGGTCAATTTCAACATGGCTGGGTTGAATTTGAAGCGGAAAGGGAAGCGTTTCCAAAAGGATTGAAGCACTTGGTCAATCTCATTAGAGAAAAGCATCCGAGTATTCAACACATTGCTGTTTGGCACGCTTTGCTTGGATACTGGGGAGGTCTTTCTCCGGACGGCAAACTTGCCAAGACATACAAAACAGTCGAGGTCATCAGAGAGGACGCCGAACGTAGAAACCTACCGCTCGGAGGCAAAATGACGGTTGTTGCGAAAGAGGACGTTTTCAAGTTCTACGACGACTTCTATCGCTTCTTGTCATCTTGCGGCATTGATGCTGTTAAGACGGAGTAAGCGACCTACCTTCAGAACATCTACTCTCACTAATCTTTTGACAGCGCTCAATTTATGACTGATACCTTCGTATCCGCAGAAGCTCGACGAGAGCTCATTCCTGCTTATCTTGATGCCTGGACTGTCTCTACACTTCGACATTTCAGTGTGAAAGCTATCTCTTGCATGTCGCAGACACCACAAATTCTTTTCCATTCTCAGATGCCACAAAACAGATCACCATATCTAGTCCGGAATTCGGATGATTTCTTCCCCGAGATTCCAACTAGTCATCCTTGGCACGTCTTTGTCAATGCTCATAATGCTCTCTTCACCCAACACTTGAACCTGATCCCAGATTGGGACATGTTTCAGACAGTTCACGATTACTCGGGCTTTCATGCAGCAGCCCGATGTGTCAGCGGAGGACCAATCTACATCACTGATGTACCAGGCCAGCATGACCTTGATCTCATCAACCAGATGACAGGACCTACACCTCGCGGAAAGACGGTGATTTTCAGACCCGATGTTGTCGGAAAAAGCTTAGACCAGTACAATGGCTACGATGATGATCATTTGCTGCTCGTCGGTACGTATCATGGCTCAGCAGTAACGGGAACTGGTATTGTGGGTATTTTCAATGTCTCTCAGCGCCCACTTACGGAGCTCATCCCACTCTCTAAGTTTCCTGGCGTGGTGGAAGCGCAGTACTATGTCGTGCGAGCTCACTCTAGTGGGCTTGTATCGAAACCAATGCAAGTCGTTGATCGCAACGCACTTACTCCCATTTCGCTTGGTATTCGCGGGTACGAAATCCTTTCCTCGTACCCTCTACGAGGATTTGTGGACAAGAAGGAAGAGACAACGTGGATTGCAGCTCTTGGATTGCTCGGAAAGATGGCTGGTGCTGCTGCTATCACAAATAGTAGGATGACAAAGCTGGAAAATGGGAGAATCCTTGTGGATACTAACGTGAAAGCTTTGGGAACACTAGGCGAGTCGTCTGATCCCATTGAAGTGTTTCGCTGATCTTATCTAGGCCTTTACATTTCTACCCTTCCAACTATCTCCTTCAAAGACGACATGATGATCACGATACAAGGAAAAGTTATTCCAGTGCATACAGTGCAGACTAGTAAGGTCGATCCACACGTCCTCGAAATTGACGTAGCAGCTGCTTGGAAGGAGTTAAATCTTGATGCTGGATGGAGCAACGAGGTTGAGGTTAAGACCTTTATCAATTCATCTTAACTGTGCTTTGGCGTTGAAAAAAGGACTTTTCGCTCACACAAAACTCCGGTACAGCCGTGCTACATTACATAGACTCAATCAAAAGCCTGATCGGAAGTCTCTCGAAAGTGTTGTTCGCCCTCATGTTAACTTCCAGACTTTCTGCAAAATCAGGATTAAATCCTTCATCTCTGGCTCACAATACCAATGCTTGACTCCATCGTAAGTCTTCGACTTCAAATTAAGTCCCATACCCAACAGCGAGTGGCGCATCTGTAATGCCCATTCATACCGCACTTTCAAATCTTGGTCTCCATGACCCAACAGAATCGGCATGGTTGTTTCAATATCGAGAATCCGAGATGGTAACGACAAGAGCGTACGAACATACTGGACAGCCAATCCTCGTCTCCGAGTCACCTGCTTCTCTTGCTCACTCGTTACCACTTTCCTAGACCGTCTCCTCAGGATCCAAGAAAACATCCAAGAGACCTTTGCCGCACAACTCAAAACAAAGTCCCACATCAATCTCCAAGGCTTCTTCCATCCCCGTTCCCCCTTCTCCACAACCTCACTTTCCGCCCTTAACCCCTCTTTCTCCTCCCCCATAACCTCATCAATCTGCCTCCTAAAAGGCAACCACCCACTCAACCCGACAAACCCCCCAATGCCCCCCAACTCCCCACTCAAAACAGCAATTACCCCCATCGCACTCCCCTGACTGAAACCCCCCAACACAATCCTCTTCCTCACCCCCACCAACTTCTCCTCTGCCTCAACCAAACCCTTCAAATAAACCAACGACTCCCTCATCCCCACAACCTGCTCATCTTCCCCCACCGTCCTGTCGCCCCATTGATGCACATTGAACCATGCGTGACCTTCTCGTCCTTCCAACGCTGTTATCTTCTTCAGACTCCCAGACGGGAACACGACTCTGACTCCGTCCAAAACGCCTCCTTTTCTAAATTCATTCCTTAACGTCGTTTTCCTCGGTGGGTTTTGAAGATTGAATTCAAAATCCAGAAATCCCTTAGCAAACTCAGGCCCAGAGGTCGACGTCCCGTGGATGAGGATCAGGGTATGCGTATGTTTTCCCTCTGGATGGATAATATATGGCTCATCGTGGTGTAACATTATTGGTTCTGTCAAATTTTCCATTGGGATGTCTGTAGATTGATGGCCCGAGAGAGTCGGTTGGGTTAGACCTTAATTAGACACTGTAGAAATGCGTGGCGCTTACAAGCGCGGGGTTTTGCTTCTTGCGGTGAGGTGAGACTGCAGCCGAAATCGGCTGCGGGGTTGAGATGGGAAGTGAGGATATATATATACATACCTCATGACTATAGTTTAGTATCGCATAAAGAAGAAACGAACGTGCTGGAGTCACTCTAGGCGGGTGCGTATTGTTCCAGCGATGGTAAGAGTCAGAACTTAGGTATCAACAGCCAGCTTTCACAACTCATCACGTGTCAGGACAAGCACACCAAATCTGACAAATTGTTTTCCCATGCGCGTCTATGTCGCTGAATCTACACCTTTAATATTCTCTGCTGAGTCTTCCCATTACAAGATACGGCGTCCGTAAAAGCAAATAGCCACATGACGCCCCGCCAGAAACGCTCTAGAAATAAGCCCACCTCACCAAGTAGCACCACACCCATATTTTACAAATTCGCAATAGCTTTCATGAGCACATTTAGTCCCCTCTCTTCAATTCCATCCTCAGCCAGAGCTTCCTTGAGAATCCAGCTCACGTCACTTTGTACACCAAGCGGGATATAACATCCGCTTCTCGCTTTTTCCAAACTCTCCTTCAGCCTGCTCGTGTGTTCCCATTCGCGAGCAGCCACTTCAGCACGGTCGATGACCTTATTGGGAATGCCACACATGGCTGCGCAATGCATACCGAAACTGCCTTCTGCCACACCGTCCTCGAGCTTGTACAAGAATGTAACTTGACGATTCTCGTCATCGACGTGAATTTGCATTCGCTTCGGTGCGACTTCTGGATGGCCCGCAAACTCTGTTGCAATAGAGTGATAATGAGTGGCGAAGAAACCAATACAGCCAATATGCGAAGCGACGTGATGAAGGACAGATTGAGCAACAGCCACTCCATCATATGAGCTTGTTCCACGGCCCAGCTCATCGAGAATGACAAGTGAGCGTGATGTAGCCTCGGAGAGAATCTTCTTGGTCTCGGAAAGTTCAACAAAGAAGGTACTCTGTGCAGCGAAGATGTTATCATTAGCTCCTAGACGAGACATGATTCGATCACATGGAGTCATGGTCGCAGATACACAAGGCACATAGCAGCCAATCTGTGCCATAATGACAGCTACGCAAGTCTAGGATATGTTAGTCGTAGTTTTACACAGTCAAACGAGTAATGCTTACCATTCTGAGAATTGTTGACTTTCCAGCTGCGTTTGCGCCAGTCAACAAATCAATATTCGGGACATCACCACCAAGCTTGACATCATTCGGAATGAAGTCAGTAACATTTGGTAGCATGCAAGGGTGGCGAAGCTCCTCGAACTCGACAACACTTCTTTCAGATTCAACAAAGGTTGGACGGCAGCTTGGCTCTCCAAGAGCTGCAGACGCAGCAGCAAGACTGATGAGGCAATCAAGCTGTGAGATTACCTTGACGGCTTGCAACCAAGTCATGTAATCTTGGTCAAAGCGAGCGTAGAGTCGACCAGCTACTTGCTTCATAATTTGACCATGAGTCTCTTGTGCCTCCTGGAGTTGCCGGATGAGACCTTTCAGTTCTGGGAAGTAATACCGTTTGAAGCCTGCAGCCGTTGACATGACCTGCCAGCCATTGGGTGCTTTGATTGCTGTCGGCACCTCAATCTGATACACCTCCTTTCCAATGTTCTTAAATTGGATCTTTGCTGAGCCGCCCAAGTCTTTTCGCTTACGTTTGAGGAGATCCTTCAAGTCATCTTCGAGCTGCTTAATTTTGTCCTGGCTGTCGTCAAACTCCTCCTCAACACCGCTTGCTGGTACGAGAAGCTTCTCCTCCCTTGCCTTTTCATGGTCAAATGCCGTCTTCCAGAATTCCAATGGCTCCTTGAGATCTGGCATAGAAGCAATGAGGCGATCAACAATTCCATCTCCTCCCTGGAAGGCAGAGAGCAGATCCATAGTGTACTCTATTTGCCCAAAACCATCGATGACTTTGACAAAGTCTTCCGGTCTGCAGGATCCTGCGTGTATACGGGAAATGAGTCGCTCAAGATCTGGCATCCGAGTCATCGAAGCAGTAAACTGATCGCTGAGGCTACGATCTTTGTTGAGCATATCCACAGCATCCAAACGCTCGTTGATTCGTTCAGCGTCTGCCAACGGATGGCAAACCCACTGTCGGAACAGTCGTTTACCAAACGGTGTTACACAGCGGTTGAGAAGAGTAAATAGTGTTCCGTCGGAGCTTCCGTCAAATGTGTTGGCGAAGATTTCCAAATTAATCAACGTCTGACCATCCAGGACGAGCGTGGTACCCTTCTGGATCGGGCTGTACCAAGTGAAGTTACCCTGGGTCAGCAGATCTCGTTCCAGCTTGAGTGTTCTGAGGTATTGAACCAATGCACCCGTGGCAGACATAACGAGGTCCTTGTCTCTGGCTTCTTCCAGCTTCTCTGGCCACACTTCCGCTCCTCCAGCTTCCTGTGAAACGAAGTATCCGCTGCAGTCAAGCTCTCGACGAGCAATTTCAGCTGGCCAAAATTCTTTACCAGGTTTGAAGTGATTCCAGATCGTAGTTGGACTGGTATTATTCTTCAAGATCCGTAGAGCCTTTGTGGATACGCATCCCTTCTCCAAGAGAAGTTCTTGGGGTCGGGTCTGGGCAATGAAAGTCTCGAACTTCGTCAAGTCCAAGTCATCAACGAAATCAGAGAGGAAGAATTGTCCAGTCGCAGTATCGACGAAAGCAATACCAAAAGCTGGCAGCTCATCCACGGTAGACTCCTTGATAGCAACGCAGTAGGTGGCCATATCATCCTGAAGCATGCTGCCTTCAACCAACGTGCCTCTCGTAAGAACGCATGCCAGCTCTCGACGGATGATTTTGTCTTTCTTGCCTTTGCTAGTCTTCTCTTCAGTCTCGCGCATTTCTTTACCAAGTGCAGACTCGCATTGGTCAACTCTAGCGATCTTGTAGCCCTTTGCTACGAATTGGTTGGCCCAATGATCCAAAGACATCTCTGGTACTCCAACCATGCGCATATTAACTCTGTCAGTAAGCTTGAGGTCAAATAATTGATGGCCAATCGTGGCATCGATTTCGTAAAGCTCATAGAATTTGCCCTTCTTGAAGAAGACGACAGTATCCCAGAACTTTTGCTTGATCTCCCAATACTGCTTCTCGAAGGGGGAGAACTTAGCCCAAGCGTTGGGAGGGATATAGAGAGTCCTTGGATCATAGTCTGGATGTCCAATAGGATTGCGATCCATGTCTTGTAAACTAGCCAACCATGGATAGCGCTTCTCAGGTTCGGTCTTGCAAGCTTTCTCCTTAATCGGCTTCTTATTTGATGCCGGAGTCTTTGAAATATTGGCAGATCTCGGTTGAAGTGGTGCAGTATTTTCGGGATCGTACTTCCACTGTTGAGCTGTGGACGGACCTGGGATGTCCAAGTCCTCGTCCTCATCTTCCTCGTCATCATCCTTCTCGAAAGGTGTGGGAGGCGCGATTTCGGGACGCTTTCTGGACGTCGCGGTGGATGTTGGGCGCTTCCTCTTCTTTGATGGCTTCGATGGAGCATCAGAATCGTCGTCGACCACGAAATCGTCCATCTCATCTGCAAAATATCAGCGCTTGCTCTTCGAAAGTTCAGGATCTTCTTACCATCATCATCTACTGCTCCATCTAGACCACCAACAAAATCATCCTCAGAGTCTGATTCCACGACCTTTGGCTTTGATCCCCCTCGCTTTCTTGAGTTTCTGGCAGGTTCGAAAACATCCTCTTCGTCATCTTCGTCGTCAGACTCCACGTAGCTAACAGCTTTCTTGGCCTATATGATATTACATATTAGCAGAGTCTCTAGAATTGGACAACGTTCTGTGGTGAAGTACCTTTCGTGACGGTGTTAATGCCATGCCGTTGAAAACCTGGACTCTCTTAGAAGGTGTCGAGGGCGAAGGTAACCCAGATTCTTCTACCTCTTCCGGGACTCCTCCGTTTTTATTCTCTTGAGAGCTTGACAGTTCCCTCGTGTCACTGCTTGGAACGGGCGTCATGCTCTTCACTGCAGATTTCCTGAACGCAGGTTTCTTCACAGATGCTTTAGGTTTGGCCATCGCGTTGACCTTTTCCGAAGTATCATTGGCTTTCAAGACGCCGTTCGACGATGTGTTCGACGAGTTTGGAGTACTGGATGGTGCCTTCGAGAAGAAGCTCTGGATTGACCGTTGCTGTGACGAGCTTGAGGCTTTCTTCAAGGAAGCAGGCGGCGGTCGTGCCGGTGTGGCGTTCTCTTGCTTGACCATGATGGCGATGGTGATTTATCAACACAACAGGTAATGAAGGTGATCAGAATCAATTGAAGTTTAAGAAGAATGTACGATTAAAGAGAAATTGGAAAGCATCAGAAGCTTGGATGTACTGGGGAGACGCGCTTTGAGATTCGCGCGATAATACGCGTTGCTTACTTCCCAATTAGGAATAGCTTATCTCCTCCCTTTTCCACAGCATCCCACCCTTGCAAATGCTTCGGTCATGCTCGAGCTGTCGAGTATCATCCTAAATGAGTTCTGTACATGAAGTAATGACATGCTTATGCCTTCCTTGAACACTTGCTTAGATGCATGCGCCTTTGAGTTGTCTGTCTCACTGAGGAACATGCAAATCCTTGTTGGATGGAGGAGCTCCTCATACTCAATCAGATGTTGTATTGCGAAAGCTATTCCTCCAACGGAGTGTCCCATAATCCACAAACTTACATACCCTCAATTCTTATGCTGCTGATGTTCTATGGTTTCTCTGTCTTCCAGTACTTTCCTCTTTGCTCCTTGCGATAGCTGTCCCGGGGTCTGGCCTTCTTCGCGTGCAGGGGGCTTGTTGGATCTGCAAGAGCTCTCTGCTCCTCTCTCTTCTGCTTGCGCTCCTCATAGCTTCTCGGTCCACCGTCGTTGGATTCGTCAACCTCATTGTGGGATGACAGGGCATAGTGGGACGGCAGGGCGGGCTTCGAATGCCACGGAATTGGTGGTGGAGTGGCCGGGCGGACGACAGCTGGGACTGGCGGAAACATGGCTCTTTCAGCACGACGACGTTGGCGATTGCTGTCAAAGTCCGTCTCCTCTTCGTACATTGGCAGGGTTGGGCCAATCGACTGATATGCTTCTTGAATCATTGGAACAGAGGGTACTTCAGAATATCCGTCGCTGTTGAGAACCTTTGTGAGCTATGTCAATGACTGGGTAGAGGGGTATGGGCGGACCTGTGAGATGCAAGCTCTCTGTTGGCTTCGTACTCATTTTCGAGTGGTGCTGGAGTCTCAGGGCTGAAGTTTGACACGCTTGAAGATCCTGACAAGACACTGCTGCTGTCCATGTTGGTGGGTGTTCGAGGGTGGCGTGCTTCCTGGGAGGGGGACATCTTCTTTGCTTCAGACGATAGTTCTCTCTTGACGTGTCTTCTGCTCTCAGACTTGCTTGTTGTTGTTGGAGTCGAATCTGGTGACATCGTTGCTGTCAATCCTTGAAGGGTACGTTCCAATGATGCCAGCGGGCCTTTGTTTGGGACGAAGTCTGCTATTGTTCGTGACGAAACTAGAAGTTGAGGGTTGGAGTCAACAGCGTATGACTTATGGCTTGTTGTTCCGACCTTGCTTTGTTTACGTGACGAGGTAGACAGTGTAGCGTGATGTTCTGTTGGCTTTCGAGACAAGTGCAGTCGAGACTTGTTACTCTTATCTTGTACCGCGTGAGCCTTCTTTCTGATGGCGTTTCTTCTGGTGATTCCGTTTGTTGCTTGAGCTGAAGGAAGACTATTCAAACACTGAAAATTGAATACAGCGCTTTTCGAAGATGATTGGCGGGGGTTCGGGATGGTCTTCTGAGTCCCTAGCGGTTCCTTTCTAGACCCGAGACTCGTTGACGTCTTACCCGACGATGTAATGCAAGCGGGCCGGTAAACCTTCTTGATAGGCGCAATCTCATCTTTCAGACCAATGACAGCCATTGTTGATGAGAGAATACTTCCTTCATCAGACGCTACTTTGAGGTCCAGAGATTGCAGGTACTTCTTTTCTTTATCCAAAGTTATAGTTGGCGATTTTTCCTTCCTCTGAGCAACAGTAGCCATGGTTGATGAGAATTTAGGGTCGCCATTGGAGGCTGGACTTGGGCATAATGAATCGGAGTGCATCATGCTTCTATCTGAATGATTCGAAGGCGCTTTGATACCGTTGCTCGCCGCCCATGGGGTTGGAGGTCTATTTAAGATGCTCTTGAAATTCACTTCCGGAGGACGACTCGAGTCCACTGCGGATGAAGTGCTGGCCGTGTGATCGAGATTTGGCTGTTGTTCGCAGCTGGACTGTTCCTGTACACTATGTTTGATTTCATGATCAATGGCGTTGCCCACCGTCACCTCCGAACGACAAGCATGATAGCAGCCTTTGTGATTGCAAAAGTGCACTTTTGCTGGACTTGGAACGTCGTGACCGCCGCCTCTAGCGGGGTCATTCTTTGCTTCGAGTGAAGATCGAGGAGAGCAGGAGCCTTCTCTGCTTACTTTGGCAGAAGCAGGGAGATCCTGCTCACTACTCCAAAAGCCTTGTCTCCTTGATGAATTGCTCCAGCTAGATGATGTCTCCAGAGCTTGGGCGTCAGTCTTCACGAACTTTTTAAAGTTGTCTTCAGCTTCCTCATGACTTAATGTGACACGCCCACAAGTCTTCTGAAAGCTGGATCGTGCGTCCGCTGGAAGCTTTTCTCTTATGTTTCTCAAGACTTTACGGTTTTCATTGACCCTTAGTCCGCCACTCATGACGGTCTCTAAGTCTTGTGTCGTGTCATCCTCATGACAGTCTTTTTCGTCATCCAAGGTCGTGTCTCTTTGGTTGAGCTTCCTCTTGACCCTTCTTCTTTGAGTTGCCGGAACTAGTTGATCTCCGTCATGACCAGGGGCATTGATGCTGGGAACTCTTTCAGATATATCTGTAGGACTTTGCTCATCAAAATTGGTACTCTCATCGTTGAAGTACGGAGCATCATAGACACAGTCGGAACCAGTACTACCATTCAGAAGACCCAGAGTCGAACTTCGAGTGTCCGAAGCTACCAACTTTCTTGTTCTTTTCCACACGCCAACATCAAGAGCTGGCCTCTTCTTGATGCCACCACCAATGATTGACACAAGCGAACCATCTTTGGATTTTACATGGCAGGGAACCATGGCCTCGTTACATTTGTTCATCCATGCCAGTACGACTTTGATGGACTGCCGAATTATCTCGAGAGGTGGATCGATGTCACTTCCCGGCAATTCAGGAAGTTCCTTATCATACTTGCTTGGTGTATCTCCTCTGGATCTCTTCTCAATCTTCGTTGGAGACTCCTGATTGCTTTAGCAAGATTCAATCTCACGTACGACTTCACCTACCTTTTTGGCATCAAGTGCTTGTTCTGCCGCCCGCCTCTCCACGTCTCTTCCTTTCTTCTCCATACTCGCACTCTGACTCGGAGTCACATCCATCACCATGATATCCTCCCTACTCAGCCCACCCTTCCTAGATGGCGGATGTTCAACCATCGATTCCTTTAATTCAATAATCTCATGATCCAATTCTTGCATGATTTCTCTGACGGCATCCAGGCGCAACACTTTTTCGACAGCACCTAGTCGTCTACGCACTGCGCTCGTCTTTTCATGTCTCCACTGGTAGCAATCGCCGAGATTAGGCTCGATATTTTGATGTAGAGCTGCCAGAGCCCGAAAGACTGGTTCCTTAAGTCCAGTATCGTAGCCTCGGATGAGGGGAGAGAGCTTGGTACAGTATTTGCACATTGCGTCTAGAGTTGCAAATTGGAAGTGCAATTTTGAGATATCCGAAAGCTCGAGTTGGCGGAGCAGCCATCGAATGAAAAGTATTAGTATTCATGGTTATTATTGTGGTGGTGACAATGGAGAAGTGAGGAGTCATGGTTACTATTGTTATGGTAGGTATTGACTGAATCATAATAGCACAATGCTAAGGGTTGATACCAATTCACTCTTGATGCGAATAATTTCATGGAGGTGAAGAAGAAACTTTAGAGGAAAAGGGCAGTACAAGGAATGTTCGCTCTGAAATACTAGAACTCTTACAGAGCGGTTCGACATATAGGACAGGAGACTTGCTTGTGATCGAGATATTCTTTGCCACTCACTCGGCCTTAAAAATATGATAGGTTGAAATATATACGTGAATACAACTCACTGTGTTCGAAAAAGATAGGTATATCCAAGAACGCCATGCCACAAATCGTCGTACCATAATGTACAATCTACCGTCAAAGAGACCGCTCTAATAGTCCCGAACAGTAAGATTAAACCGCGGTCTTCTCGCTCTCATCACTGCCCTTCCTCTTCCCATACTTTTCTGCACTCAACTCCTTACCAACAGAGCTCTGCAACGGACCTCCACTATGCGGCAAATGGTCGCCCACCATATGGCCTCCCATCCCCGGAGCGGCGATCTTAACCTCGTCGCCCTCCTCACCACGACTCGGTACACCATTAATAACATCCGACCTCGTAGTTCTCCCCATCGGACCACCAGCCTCCATCGCGCTGCCTAAGCCACCAAGATCAAAACTAACCTCCACATCCTCTCCTGTCAGATACAAATACCAATAAATCCCACCCACGAAAACTCCCCCACCGAGCATATTTCCAATAGTCGTCGGGATCAGGCTCTTCCAGATATAGTACCCCACCCCAAACGGCGCTCCATTCCAGATACCAATAGGAATGAAAAACATATTCGCAATAACATGGTCCAAAGCCAGCGCAACGAACGTAGCAGTAGGGAACCAGATCGCCGCAATCTTGCCCCCGATATCCCTCGCGCTAATGCTCAAAAAGACCGCCATGCATACCAACCAATTCGCTCCAATGGCTCTCAGGAAGATCTGATGCCAACCAGGCGTAACGGCTTTCATGACCGAGAAATTGATCGTTTCGGTTTTGTACGCTGGGATATCCGTAAGAACGCCTCCGTAACCGATGATGATCGCCATAAAGAAGAGCATGCCGGCCAGGTTGCCGAAGTAGGAAACGACCCAAGAGATCAGGACGTCTTTGATGGAGACGCGGCGGTGGAGGAAGGCGGTTGTCATGAACATTATGTTTGAGGTGAAGAGGTCGGCGCCCGTTAGGACAATCATGACGAGGCCGATGGGGAAGAGGAGAGCTCCCACTGATCGGATCAGGCCCGGGGCATACTCTTGATACCAGGGCGCGGTTTCGGTGCTCAGCATGACTGCACAGCTGTGGTATTGTCAGTCGCGGGAGGTAGACACTTTCAGAGCATGCAGTGGTGAAGTCAAGTAGGAGCCTGCGACAGGAAGAAAACCTACCCGAACCCAAGAAGCGGCCCTGCCATGACTGAATTGAAGAAGAGTTTGTCGAGGCGCATGTGTGCTTTCTTGGTGCCTATCCGGCTTACCAGCTCGACTGTCTGTTGAGGTGTGAAGGCATCCATCTTGAAAACCGTTTGACGCAGCTCTCCAACGAACCGTTATATCGAGGACTAAGAAGGTACACAGAGGTCTAGAAACAGTCTCGCAAACTGCGGAAGAGACACAAATCGATCCAAAAGACTAAACGCTGACGAAGAAGACAACAGAAAGCAAAGAAGATTTCTGGGGGCATAAGTGCGATATGAATACATTTCCATCTCTAAAGCCTTCAGCTAACATCACACTCCGGAAGACTTCTCCGTCACAAAATCCCATCCCAAAAAAATTCATTGGCTCTCAAAACATCTCATCGCAGATAACTAACCGCATCTAAATCAGCAAAATCCCATCCAATACCCAAGATACCGATCTCAGAATCCCGGAGATCGAAAATATGACATCATCCCGAGTCAGAATTTGGGGACATCGAGATACTGAAAGCAGCCTGCAGCGTTTTCTCTGTACGAAATGCCTCTCTGATGCATGTGCTTGGAGAGGTAGATATAGGAAAGATAAGGATGGAGATGTTGTGTGGTTGGAAGCGTTTGTAGTTTGTGAGCGGATATTTTGGGGCCCAGACTAAGGGACTGCTTATCTGGGATCGACAGAATTGGTAAAAGGCTACTACAACGTCATGTCTGGTACTTCTTGGCTTATTGCAATGAAAAGATACTGTAATTGAGATGATGGAGTAGAATGGCAGTTCTTGGCCTATGTGTGTGGCTGCGGGAAAGGCTTTAACATCGAAATGTCTCAATTGCATTCGTCGGACGCGGACTGATCTCCATTAACACAAGATGCGAGGCTTTATATACCCAGCGAGCCTCTCCAAATAATATGCAATGCCAGATAAGCGAATGTTTCATGATTTCCGCGGAGCCCCCTTTCCTGTTGATCGAAGTACGAGGCTGTCACGTGGTTATATAATGCAGATCGAGACACATGGAAGGAAGGTGGACGGCACAATCATTGAGGAACTGTCCAGGAAAGCCCAGTAGTCCTTCCAAGCCACATGTACTTCCAATGATACTGGCCTCGCTCTCATCCCACGCATCTAAGCCTTGAGAAGCCAGCCTCCTTCCTGGCTCGTCCGCATATCACCAACTATGCAGGACCGGACTGTGAACCGGACGAGCCGTTGCATAGCCGGTGGCTACGACGTGCAACAAAAGATAGAAAGACGGGATTGGGCTGAAGAGTAAAAGTATCGATAATCTCTTCATGTTTTGGGCGTGTTGCTTGAAATTGAGCTGGGCGTGCCGAACCGGTGGCGAACACCCCCGAGGGAACTCCCGATTTCGGGACGGGAGGTTCCTGAACACGGGCTCGAGTTTTCGGCCTTGGTAGTGAACGGAATAGTGGCACGGTACAGGTATGGAAGGTGATTGACATGTTTTGGAAATTGGATATTCATGCTAATACTATATAATCGCCCCTAAACGCAACTGTAAGCTGGAGACCACATATTAGAGCGGAATCAACTCACAGCTCAGTCTTCCTTTCCGTCATAGTTTGTCGCTCATGTAAGGCTTTTGGCGGCGTTGGGAAATAGCCTTCTAGATCCATCCACTCGCCCACAAAAGCGGTCACCATCCTGGCCCAATCCTCCACCGTAGCACCATCCAAATGCTCGCCATCGTCAGCCAAGGTATGCCATACGTGTGGGAAAGGCGATGGTATGATATGGAGAACTTCGACTCCACGCGCCATGAACGGAATGTGGTCATCTTGTATGCCTCCTTGGTAGAATTGGTTTGCTGTTTTACCTGCCTCCGGCAGGAAGTTGGCGTCTGCTGCAGACTGCATAATCCCTAGAGAACGAAGCCGAGATTCGATACCAGATAAATGCTGATATGCCCAATGTGTGGTTTTAAAATACGATGGTATACGTGGTTTCGCAGTGCCCAGTAAGTCGAGAAGGAGGAAAAGGGTGATCGAGCTGAGGACTGTGTGATATGTTGACATTGCTGCGTGAGGTGTGGTGTCCCATTGCTCAGCCAGAGATCTGCGAAATTAGTACTCATATACAACTCAATTCTGCGTTCTCCTACCTGGCTCCATAAAGCGAGTCTGAGTCCGTCCAGCTCAAGAAAGCTTCCTCACCATCGAGGAACAGGATCTGGACACCCTTTTCTTCGTCCAAGCCGTTCGTACCCTCTGCTTGCATAGCTTCCCATTTCTTCGTCAATGCTTCATCAACGCTTCGAGCAGCATGCATTATCATTGCACACGGCGCAGCACTGTCTGTCGCTCCGATGAAGCCAACTGGAGACAGTTTCGAATCATAATGTGCGACCAACGCCAGTCTTCCAACATCTCCAGGCTTTGTCCATGGCGGATCCCTTGTAATTATAAGATTCGCAAAAGGAACATGTCTCTCTCCAGTCACAGGAGTCGTCGAAGTAGAATTCTGGAACTCTACGTTCCATTTAGGGAGGTTCGTGCTGAACCAATTCACAAAATGTTGCTGTACAGCCAAAGACCCAGGTGTACCAGGCACTCGAGGGATCAAAATCGGAGCAAGTATGGAGCCAGTCTTGATATCGAAGTCTGCTCCGGCCGCTGGCAGATTGCGAAGCGTTTCGTCTGACAAAGGAGTGTATCCGATTACCCCAAGCACTGCGCAAAGTCCGAAAAAGAAGGAGAGGAGGACCGTCATTGTATCGTCGTGAGAGGCCAGTGCCTAGATTGCTATGTGTAATGACTTCGCACAATCATGATCAAATTGATTCTGCGAGAAAGCTCAATCTTGCGCCGAGGTCGTGTTCGATATCTGTCAACAAGGTACGGCAGTGAAAGGAGCCCTTCTATTCGGCATGTCGCTTGGGCGCTTAGCGCGCTAAAATCCCTTCTACTCTTGATGGTAAACTTTCGAAGCTCTTCCATCTTGCAGAGCTTCCTTGACACAGCAGTAATTGCTTTCAAGCTGTTTTGGTCTTTCACTTGTACAATGAGTTGCTCCCGACCCTGACCATTATCAACGATCCTGCTCTGATGGCACGTGTTCACCCCTTTTTGTCCGTCAACGATCTCATCATGCCGAGGCTTAGCCAGGCCATTCTATCATCTCCCGTTTTGAGGAGTAGAATATCATGTGCATATCGAGTTCAGTCACTGAGTAGATCGCTCCAGCGGGGCATAGCTTCAAAATCTATATCACCAAAAGTCGCCAAAACAAGAACCCGTCAGTCCATGCTCTGAATGGACGGCTAGCTTTAGGACAGTCTGACAATTTACTCTAGAATTTCCCGAACGTTTGCTTATATACCACGCTGGGACTGGTCGTACCGTCTTTCTCGGCTGCTTGAAAGTCACCACAATCTTCATCTTCTCATTCTTCTCCCTGGTCTTTGCACCAACGCACTTTTATGCTGAAGAACAACCAGTATGGGTGGCTGGTGGTGGTAAGTGGTGCTCATATTCTTTCTCATATTAAATGATTAAGATATCATGTGACGCTAATGCAAAACAGTTTTGCTTTCTGGCATCATTCCAATGTTATCAGTGGCATACATGACGAGTCCATTCGTCACTTACATCCATCTCCGGATTCCACAGTTCGCTCGTAACTCACGAGATATGTTGATGAGATATTCGAAGAATTTGTCCAAGGACGCGGAATTGGACATCACAACTATGAACTTCATCGGCAAACCAAGAGTTGCACGTGTGAAAGTGGCAGAGCTCTATCCTTGCAATAAGAGATTCGGATTGGCCAACTATGAGAGAGATACAGAAAAAGCAAATTCAAAAAGACCGTTCTGGATGGGAAAAGCGGTTGGGCTGTTTGGTGTGCATAATACGAAGAGTAATGTGAAGGAAGGTCAGGTGTGGGAGAATGTCAAAGCTGCTATTGAGAAGAATCGAACATGATGGTGATTACACCAAGATCACGGCATCTGAAGAGAATAAGCTTGATCAAGTAAGTCCTCAAGGATTTTCTGATAAATTATCCCCACAAAGCGCGAATACTCGATCAGGCAAGTGCCTCTCCCCAAACTCTTTCCACCAATACTTGATCCCCATCAAAATATCTCGTCTTCCATGATTTATTCCCAAAGGCTCTTTACCCAGTCCGCAACACGCTTGTATGATCCATATCCTATAATTGGAAGTCAGAATGTCTCAAAATAAGTCAAGCAATCCGATTCTACTCACCAGAGTATTTTCCATAGCCCCCTGCTGGTGGAGGGTAGGAGCCATAGCCTAGGTGCTATATTCAGCTTCTTGCTTTTGTTTCTGTTCAAAGGGCTATGTTTCACCTACCAGAATATGCGCCATAGCCAGCAGCGTCACGCCTTTCCTTGTACGAACCATATCCAGAGTACTTGCCATACCCTCCTGCTGGAGGAGGGTAGCTACCGTAGGAAGCATAGCCTGGGGATGCCTCACGGTCTTCGAGAGGAATTGGTGTGGCAAGTGCTGCTGCTGGCAGGAGAACGAGTGCGAGGACGTTTGAGATCTTCATCTTGCTTAGATGTTTCCCGAATCTCAAGTTGTAGTTTGCTTGATTGTATGCAAAAAGAGGAGCTGGATGAAGCAGAGTTCAAGTACAGTCTGGAAGGGAGATACCCCGCTCTCCCATTCTGCACATTCCTGGATGGTTGGTCAAATTCAGCTCAGCCCCATCGGTGCCTCTTGACGCAATTCTCTGTTTCTGTTAGTGATCTAAACCAAGTGTGTAGCATAAAAGTCAAGTGATGGTAGTTAGTCTTGATCAAGACTCTTGGTACTCAGCCCCAAATTTTGGCCCCGTCTTGACCTATGTTCAAGTGGTCCCGTCTCTCTATTCATCCTTTTTCCAAGACATGCAAGTGTTCGGAGATCGATCAACCTCCATGGTGGGACTGTCAATCCCCAGTTGAACGGGATCGTGCTCAAAGCTAAAGTCGCTAAGGCTGCATGAGCTCTACAACCACCTCGATCTTCAGAGACTCAGGCGTGTGTAAGGCTGACACGCAGCTATTCTATTTGTTAACGATCCCATCTTCAATTGGATGATCAGACAATGTTTCCATAGCTGAATACCTCATTTTTCGTTTTCTTGCTCTGAGAACAATCCAGCCCGCACCCAAGCAAAGCACATGAAGGCTTTTACGAACCCGTCAAGCCATAAATCGACATCTTGCACGTGCCAAGACCGAGCTGAATACAGCCCCAGATTCCACCCATCAGACTTTGCTGTGGCGCTTTTGGCGACCTGTTTGCATTCAAGATTCAAGCCACACCAAAAGTTTATTCGGTTCTCGAATTTATGCTTTTTTCTTGGGTTTTCTGACGTGCGCGGGGTAGGCTAAGTATAATTGGTGAATTTTTCATGGCTAAGCCGGTTTGTTTTTCAGCTGAAGCCTTGGAGGGACGACATGCCCGTGTTGAACGGTTCAAGATCAAAGCTACTCTTTTTGATACGGGCATCTCATATCGTCAATTTTCAAACATCAACTGTTCGTTAAATTTCATTTCGCAAGACGCAATGTTGTGGTTCAAAAGAAGCCCAAGATTTAAGCAGCTCTCTGCAGAGGAAGATTCGGAAAGCTTGATCTCGGACACACAAGAAACCAAAGATTATGCGGAACCTCCTGGCTATTGTCCCGTAGCTCGACCATGGCATCTACTATTCTTTGTGTTATTGACTGCCGCTCTCACGTATCTCTACTCGCTATTCACCGGAGGCTGGTCTATCAATGCCAGAAATCAGTGGCTCGATCATATCTCCAATTATTGTAAGTGTCTAACACTGCATCTTCCACCTCAATCATCAGCTAATTGACCATCAGCGCCGTTACTTGAAGATTTCCGTATCGAGTATTCAACAGTTCGCTTCAATGGCTCCCTTCTCCACGAAAACATTTATCGCCAGCCAGCATCTCCAGCCGTTGACCAAGCATGGGAGGATCTGGGCGTTGATTGTCTGTCTCTAAATTGTTCACTCCCTCTCCCTATGTCACCACTAACACGACGCAGATCGAGCAGCAATAGTCCCACCCCACCTAGCCGCCAAATCCGGGCTCCTCGAATCTCAAGTCCAAGTATCAGACAAATACGGAGGTGGATATCCTGCAAACGTCGAAGGATTACACCATCTCCACTGTTTAAACCTTCTTCGCCAGTCGCTATACTTCAACTACGAATACTACAGATCCAAAAGCGAAGGAGCATTCATCAACTCCGAAGACATTCTGCGATTTCACGTCAGTAAGTCTTCCCTCATCTCTCCCCCGGCACCTAGAAATTAACACGGGTTGCTAGCACACTGTCTCGACATCCTTCGCCAACAGCTCATATGCACAGTCGATATCGGGGTTTTAGGCCAAGTATGGTGGAACAAGGAATCTCCATCTGCATACCCTGATTTCGATACGGAGCATAAATGTCGGAATTTCGACGCAGTGAGACGGTGGGCTTTTGAGCATCAGGCACCGGAGGTTGTGCCGGATGATTATTTGAGCCCGCCGAGGGGAGAGTGGGAGGTTTATGAGAGTTTGCCTTGATTGGAGGTGGGGTTGGGATTTATGCTGGCGTCACTATCAGTGCGAGAGGTGAAAGTAATGATATGTCACTCTGTCTTAGATGACAATATTTGATATGTTTATTTTCTTTCATCTTGTCATCTCTATATACCAGCCGAACCCTGAATTTACGGTGAACGCTCAACTACTATCAAGACCAGGACAGTCCTCCGAGGTCATTGACGTGATGCTACTGTACGGCGAAGGATCTGTCCAGATGATATTGAACCTTCAAATTGTCAGCTTCGTCTCTCACATTCCCTTGCTCCTGTGCAACCTCCAAGCATAAACATCTCAAAAAACCATAGACTAGTTAAAACTCACGAACCATCAGGATAAGTCGGCGCATTATTATCCCCTAACGCATCCACGATATTCGTCAATTGCCCATGCTCCCAACAAATCAAGATGTTCCCCGATCCGGTGTAAACATCCACCAGAGCAGCGACGCACTTCTGATCATCGCGATCACAGGACGTATCGACTGTTAACCCGAGATCGGTGGCGAGAGGTTGAACAGTCATCAGAGGACGATCTCTTGCTCCGCCTATTTCGAGTTGTCGTGTCAGTAACACTTTCCAATTATTTGGAAGGGGGAAAGGAAAAGAGACAAACTAGCTTTCGGTTGCTCGGCAATGATATAAGCAATATCATACGAAGACGAAGCACCGAACACAGTCCTCAGACACTGTGCTCTTTGCATGCCCTGCGCACTCAGACCATCACTCCCGTCTGACGGTTTCTCGCCATGGCGAATCAAATAGGCCGTTGATTTTGCCGACACAGTAGCAGCAGCTAACGCCGTTACCAAGAATCTTGCATAGAACATCTTAAGCAAAGAAAGAACTCAACTCCTCGATTGATGATGAAACGAAACATCGTCACAGACATCACCACCACCAGTATTTATACCCCCTCCCCTTCAAAACAAGGTACCTAGTGGTACCTATCCTATCTCCTCAAGATCGGCAGATCATCTATTTAGCGCCCGGCAGTGCGACCAACGACGTCGCGGGAGTGCAATAAGCTTATTCCACGCTGAAACTTCAGGCGAATGGGATCCCTGTAGTGTCGCATGTGGTGTACTTAGGCTGTTGAAGGGATTTTCTGGAGGTGGTTGGATTTGGAAGGTGCGGATGGAGGAACAAGAAGAAGAGGGAAATGAGGCACGTGTGGGCGGTTTGAGGGGTTGATGTCTTGATGAGGTTGCGGATCGATGAGAATGGGTTGATCCGTGGTCGTTTGTGGTGAGCACGTGTGGTGTTTCTTGGGTGTTAAGAGAGACTTTCATAGAAGTTTTGGACGATATTTCTTCATGTTGACTTCCATTTCCAACGCGATTAGTCAGCGTCGTCTCTTCTGCTAAGTATTACCTTACATTTACCTCGTTTCAACCTCTACTTAGATTGTTTAGTCATCTTTCTGCTCTCGCTTTTAGTCACTAATCATATCATAACTGTCGTGCAAAGTTGCCAATCTTACCCGACTACATCTTGGGAGACCAAGTCGACTCCTCAGGAACCCAGACAAAATCCCTTGAAGACTAAATCTAATTAATCTCAAAGCAGCGTACTCCGTACAACTACAAAGTATCCTGCCTGGCTACCAGTTGGGCCTTAGGCCGCAACCTAATATATTCGCTTTCACGAGCCTCTTGCTCTATAGTTAGTCGGGTGTACGGACGAATACTCTATTAATAGACTTGAAGAAAATCTTACGATGTTATGTATCAAATGATTGTTCATGATTTTTATCTTTCTGCAGCCTTACTTTTCCTTCTTCGTATGCTATTAGTCTTTTTTATTACTCTTATCAATGTGACCAAATCGGCTCGCTTCTAATAAAGCCATTTTCAGCCAAACCAGCCAAGCGACGAGTCAATCCAGCCTCATATTCACACTTGACGAATAAGTTCCATCCTCGTTGAAACCCTTCCCCAAAATGAAGACAAGCTAGCTGAATGAGAAATTATTGATCATGCAGAAGATAGGTGAGGCTGTGTGAATAGGGGACATAAATCTCTCGATGCCGAACTTCGCCTTGACTGCAACTTTCTCAAAGTATAATTTATGTAGGCGACGTCTTTGAGTCTCTCATTTGCTGAATTGATTCTTTTTCAGGCCCTTACCATGAGTTTAACTTCCACTCTTCAGACCGTGACTAGTTCAGGTAATCCTACTACTGTTGCACCCACACTGACTTCAACACCTACTATCACCGCTTCTGCGCAAACATCAACCGACCCTGCATTTTTCGGTTGGGGAAGCGTGGAGGGGGATTTCTTCTCTGGGACACCAGTCTGTATGTCATCAGACATTGAAGTCACCTATAAATTAAACCCAGCTAACATCACCTAGATTCCATAGGTTCATGCGAAGCTGGATCGACGTTTTCGGACCAGTCGACTGTCGCAGCATGTTGCCCGACCGCTGCGTCCTGCTCGATTTATACCTCTTGTAGTGGAGATACTGTGCTCCTCGGGCTGGGAGCAACGAGTACATGCGCGCCTCTTGAAACCTGCAAGACGGACTTCATCTATCCGATGGGTGTGGAGGATGTCGCTACGCAAGGGCTGTATTGCGGTACTGGTGTACCTGCAACCTGGTTTCGCTCTCTACCTAAACCAGGAATTGGTATGTTGGCAGAGTTTGACCTGGGAAAAAAATGGCTGTGCTGATGGATATATCTGGTAGCCTATTCCAGCGTGAACAACTCCTCGCCGATCCAGACCGGCAACGGACTACCATGGGGCGGAATCGGCGGGGGAATAGGATCTTTGATCATATGCTGTATCTTCGGGTACTGTGTTGCCAAGGCCTGCGGTGGTGGTCGTAGAAGCGGCTCTTACCCATCATCTTCTGGACATTCACGTCGTGACAACACCTCAAATGGAGTAGATGATGATCGAGAATGGAGAAGGCAACAGGCCGATGATTTATTCCGCCAGACTCGAGAAGATGAAGATAGGAGAAGGAGGGAACAAGATGCGCAGGATGCGAGAGACAGACAAGACGAAATCAACCGGCAGAACCAGCAGTACAATTAACAAGACTTTGGTTTAGGAATTTCGAGGTAAGCACCTTCATTCTTTTGCGACTAGAGCCGATCCGTAAAAAGCCGGAAGAGGACCACTGAGCAAAGTCCAGCTGACTCATGAGCATTCAGAACTCGGGGCTCTGCTCAAGCCAGAGCAGCGACCGCTCGCTGAGGTTCAAAGACGGAAATTGAGTCTGGCGGGCAAGAACGTGATCAGAGACTTCAGAGGAAGTTCAGAAGGATTCAGCAGCTTCGATGTTCTTTAGCTGTGCTGTGAATACTTTCGGAGGGCTGTGAAATGTTTGCTCAAGCTGGGTTATTGACTTTCCTCACCTGTTAACCTGTATTTATCAAATTCTGAAGTAGCCCTTACAACTTCATATTTCAGGTTAGGTCCGAGATTACTCTCCTTCTTGCTGTCCAGCCGCTGTCTTCGTCGGATTCCTCGTCCTCATCTTCTTCGTCTTCTTCGTCCGAATCAGAATCTTGGTCCTCATCATCCTCATCATCCTCATCGTTCGCCCTCTCGCCCCTCTCAACCATACCCTCCACCTCCTCTACGCAACTTGCAACAAAGTCTCTAACAGATTTCCAGCAATTTGCACCACCTCCCTGCCAATAAGCCCAGTGCCAGTACATGTACTCTCCTTCTTCAATCTCCTGACCTTGCTCAATGGCGCGCGCTTTGTATGCAGCAGGAGTGATGATGTAATGCGTGAATCCATCACAGTCTTCATTTCCTGATTCGAGTTGTAACATTGAACCTGCTGGATATTGGTCTCTCAGACGGCAGTCGGTTATGTCGTCTCCGTGCGCCACATGCATGCCGTCAAGACCCAAGAGACCACCACCAAAGAGATGATATCCTCCTTTGAAGCTGGATTTATTCAGATATGTTCTTGATATAGGGGCAGTCCAACACTCGTTAGCTCGAGGATACCTCTGGGACCACTTACCCGTTGGCAACCCGAATCATGTCTTTGAAATCCTCTGGCAGCTCTCCACACTTCTTTTCGGCACGTTGAATCTCCTCCTCACTGGCAGGCTCGTACAGAATACCTTCAGCAGACTTCACCTCCATTTGCTTGTACTCCTTCCTATTTACTTTCCATGCCCCTTGAGCAAGTCTATTCAATAACTCTTCCCAGCCAACTTTCTCGGGTGCCAGAGACCACTGCCTGAGACCACTGCCTTCCTTTCGTCGCTCGCAATTCCAAGGTCGCAACAATTTCTCTCACCATCTCATCAGCTACTTCCTCTCCAATTAAAAATGGGTTTCCCTCTTTTCCACGTTCAGCCAGCAAAGGCAAAACATCATAGATCCCCGGCATCATCAGATAAACATCTAATTCCGAACCCGTCGCAAACCCATCAATCCTCAACCCCAAACCCATCATCTCAGCCGCAGTCTCCAACTCCCCAACACGAATCGCAACCTCAACAACCAACCTCCTATACAACAAAGCAGAATGTCTATACTTCCCCTCCGCTCTCGCCTCCTTATAATCCCACTCGGAAACACAAACCTGAGGCTGTGCATAGAGTTTCTTCGCCGCCTCAAGCGCTTCCCGCAGTCGCTCTTCCGGAGGATACTCTCCCTGCGTCTTATCCTTCGCAAGAAGCCTCGCGCACATAGCTAGCATGCGTGGATCGTCGCTCTCTTTCCAAAGATGAGGATCTTCTGGTTCTGGGAGATGGCAGTGTTCGAGCATCCAGCCCGTGCGAGTACATTCGCGGTATTTGCCCCATTGTCCGTGGGCGATATGCGCTTCGTCAGATGCGCATTTGTGACTGCACGAGCGTCGGAATGGAGGTAAGTTTTCGGGGCGGGGACATGTTTCTTGGTGCGTTTGCCATAAATACTCGAGTGTGAGGGGCGTATATTTGAGTGGGGGGTCCTGGTGCGGGGTTGGGGGAACAATGGCGGGAGCGTGTTTGTATACGGCAGTGAGGAGTTCGTGAGCTTGTGGGATGTGGTTGGAGAGGAGTAACAGGTGTACTAAGCGGATGGTTTTGGTGATAGCATCATGGGGGTTGACTGGTTCTAGGTAGGAGCTGATGAGTTTTGAGAGGGAGTGTTTGGCGAAGGATGTGTTGAGATCTTCATCTTTCCAGTAGATGTCCATGATGAGATGAATATGTGGCTATGATAGTGTAGTATCAGCAAGCTTATACGGAAAAGGGTGAAAACGATGAGAGAGGTGTGAAGTGAGGTCGTGAAATATAGGCATCTCCCCTAAGCGAGGGACTAATCCTCAATTGGGCGTGCGGCGCAGAACAGGCAGCCTTTTGACTTCGCCGTACAGAAAAATATTGGAATGCTTCAGATCTTTCACTCACCGAGCTATTTAAAAATACATTCGCCAACTCAGTGCTAAGTTGACTTGCCATCAAGTAAGACTCCCACTTACACTCACCACCGCAAATACCCGGTGTCTATTAGGAGACGAAAAAGTTATAGTTTCCATCGAGATAGTGATATGTCACAAAACATAACCTTTATCTCAAGCAGGTACATACAGTGCTGACCAACAACTATATACAAGAAATCGCACCCATAGAGATCCACACCAAATGTTCACCTCGCTCTACTAGAGACCCACTCCTCAAAATGTCCCTCACGTTCAACCCACGTTAACTCATGGCAAACACTGACCTAAATCCACACATTAGTACCCTCTCAATCCCTCCACAACAGACCAACACTCACTATAATAAGCACCGCTAGCCTTACACGTCCCACTCGCACAAGTCGTCGCCCCAGTCCACCCCGTTCCACCACACTGTCCATAAAGTGGCGCAGTCGCCCCAGTAGCGCTTGCCACTGGGGTACTCGAGACTTTCGTGCTCGTCGCTAGTGTTGTTGATGCTTTAGCTGAAGACGAAGCGGCTTTGGAACTTGATGCAGGAGAGGAAGATGAGGATGCGGGAGCACCTCCTGCACCACAGACGAGAGGTGTGGGACCAGGAATTTGGTACGTTGTTAGGGTTTGGTAGATGTTGATTAGGATTCCGGGATCGGTGCCCTTGGTTTGGTCAGTTGGGGAGAGAGGATGGATAGGAGAGTGGGAGACTAACTGCGTATGTACCTGGGAAAGATACAGTTGACGGTGTTGCTGTTCCGGAGCCTCCTGATACGTTAATTTGTGCACATTCCATCTGATGATAGGTAAGTCTTTGACTTATGTTGTTCGATTAGAGGACATACGTAGAGTTGAGCCCCTGGGTAAGACGATGCTATAACAACCGTGAGTAAGGATTTCGGTGAGACCGAGAAGGTAACCATACCGGCATGAAGAGCAATCAGTTCAGCTCGAAGAAGATATTGTCCATTTTCAATGCACGAAGGAATCTGGATGTTTTGGACACCCGCGTTGGCGATCTACATGTATCAGTTGATGGCATCAAAACCAAACGAGAAAAAAGGAGACCGACCAGATCGGTGGTGGCCCAATCTTGAGCTATCACGACTTGTTAGCAAGTTCTTTTGTAGTTTAACTTGTGAAGAGCTTACTTGCAACGTTCAGCCCTGCTTCGGATATCTTGAACCATCCATCTCCATATCCAACATCAGATGTAGCGTTCGTTACCTTCTTCATATATGCCATGACCGGGCCCTTCGAACATCAGTTTCGTACTTTTGCAATGCTCGTCCAGCGACTAACCTTGTGACTTGGATCAATTACGTAGACGGCATCATTCGCAGCAGTGCCTATGCCCGATCAGTGGTTGTTTGACAATTTTTCGAGAAGGAAGCGCACTTGTCAATGTGTGCCTCCATGTTGCTTGCACAGTGTCTCCAGCATTGACATTGATCACGTATGGCGAGGCTGTTGTTGGATTTGGTCCGCCATTGCATGCTACGTCGTTGGTTGTGACATCTGTGATTGGCTTTGTGTACGTTTCAGCTTGCTGATTTTAGACTCAGATAATCATCCAGCTCATGTACTTACGCCGTCATAAGTTGGATCTCGTATGCCGTAATTGATGGCTAGAATTTATCAGCCTCGTCTATTATGTGCGAGAGAGAGAAAGGCTTACGATACGTGGTACCGGCTGACTCAAGTTGCACGAAGATTGTATGCGCTGACGCAGCTGAGAAGAGAGCCGCCAGACAAAGAAGTGCTTGGTTCCTCATTGTAGCGAGAGAGTGACAATAAATTGATGGAGTCGATTTGAGCACGAAAGAGAAATCTACGGAATGTAGACAGGGAATGACAGGAAGATAAACAAGTATCTACTTTACGAGCAATCTAGAGCCTTGAAGACATACCACTACTTCGGGAGAGCAGCCGCATCACCAGTTCCCCACACTCCACGTTTTCGACCTAATTCATCTTATTTCATAGAGAACGCACCAATAGAAAATACAATTGCATAAACATAAATTTAATACAGGAAGAGATAGAAGATCAAGACTTCGGTCGCCACCTTCCGGTGGTCATAAAGAGGTAGACTCATGACTTGCCAAGGTCTCGCAATATATCCGCAATCTATTTCATGCCACATGGCCACCCCAAATCTCGAATTTGCGGTCGAGTCCGCCGAGAACCGAGCGAACACAGTAAAGATTCAACAGTGGAAAAATATTTCTCGTCTCCACCATTTGAAGATATTTTTAAGACTAAGCGGCAGTTGGCGAACTCAACCATGACTTGCTTGTTCGGAATATCCCCACATCTGAAGCTCCCCAAATGTTCAAATTGCACAGGAACAAGCTAAGATCAACACTCGTCGCTATTGGGAAATTCCGTCCCGGAGACGAGTGCCGTCGGGGAAAACGGGAATGGGGAAGCTGCACGAGGGGTCGGCTCGCTTGGCTAAAATGATCCTTACCAACCTAGGGCTAGACAGAAGCTTCAATTGAACGAATTAAGGAATATGTGGAGAGATGTATGAGAGTCTAGATCAGAGCCAGTGTCAAGCTGCGTTACAGTGCTTGTGCTCTATACAAGCTTTGTCACATCTGAGCTAGATTCTGGTGAAACTCAGGATCAACTCGAAGCCCGCATTCCAGGCGACTTCTGTCGAGCTCATGATTTCGGCCAAGGGAAGATGTCCATGTGTGTAGCTTGCTAACATCGCAGTTCTTGCCGAAGTAACAAATTTGTAACGGGTCAAAGTTTTGCTCCCAGAGCGAATGCTACCCGCCTGCTTGTGTTTGTTCGGTATCCCCAAAAGAGAGTAAGGTAAAAACATTCGATAGGTACTATGACTACATCTCCGTCCTACAGTTTCTCACATATCGTGCTGCTATTGTCATTGTCAACCTTGAGCAATCGTATCCTGGTCTATAAGCCGACTCGATATGTCGACCATATTTGCATCTGCAGGTTTGAGACGATCCACGATCCCATTACGATTCGACGCCTGCGTAAATGCACTATTGAACATGTCCGTTGAGTTGACGAGACTCTTAGTAAGTCTGCGACCACTTCAGACAAATCTGCGAGCTAGTGCCATCGATTAACATAGGCATACCCGTACGCTCGTTCTGAGTAGTCGGCCCATGAGCCTTCTCCGGCACGTCGACGAGCAGGCGTATCGGAAATCTTGCGCGCACTAAAGCGTACCCCATCGTCCACCCCGGGGAGATTGGCCCTTCCTATGAAGCCTGAAAATATATCGTCCTTGAATCTGATGGACCCTCTCTCAGCTGTAGCGTGAATCATGCCCTCCGTCTCGCGGCATTTCAATCTTATTTGATACACACGTGGCTGCGCAACTCCTGTCTTTGGCTTCTTCGGTGGGCGACCTCGGCCTCGGAGAGTTTCAGCTTTCCTCTTAGCGGGTATGGTTGACTTTCTGTCGCTGTCAATGGCGTACTCATCCTCGTCGTCGTCGTCGTCGTCGTCGTCGTATTCTCGATTATCATTGCCGTCAGACTCAGACTCACGATCCAGCCGAGAGATGTACTGCTCGAGGGCGTTCTTGTCCACACTGATGATCATGACTCCCACAAGAACTCCGAAGTCGAAGCAAGCTTTGAACATCCCAGGTTCCTTGGTCTCGCATATGTCAATACTTAGGTCTGTTGGCTGAACCAGAAAGCCCTTTTCAACCTCTTTGCAATCGACCATATAGCTACCGACTGGTGAAAATGTCTCCGGGTTCTCAGATGCTTTCCTCAGCTTGAGAGTATCCATATACTCCGAATGAAGTGCTTTACGCTTGTACTCTCGCTCATCTTTCTTGGCACGAAGCGGCTTCGCCTCCTTCGCAGCATGGCTCTCTGCTGCTTTCCTCACAGCTACTGGATCCCAGCCCATGAAAATGGTTTGTGTCTCAGGCCCAAAGCCCGTCTCATGGTATAGATCTGCGACCTTGCTGGCAGCTTCTCGCATCTGATCGGCCCAGCAATATGAACTGTTGCGATCTAGGGGTATACCAACAACTGCAGTCGTTTTCGTACGATCCGGGTGCCCGAAAGACAAGAAGTACTTGTCCATGACAAACTCAGGAGAGCGGGAGAGTTGCTGAGGAGTTTGTCTGCTGAGCCATCTTGCATGCAACTGCTCGCGTACTGCGATAATATGGTCGGGAACCTTTGCGCATTTTCCAGCTTGGAGAACTTCCTTCAATAGAAGAGCTCCATTTCCAGACATTTTATTTTCGTCTACCTCAACACCATAGTGCTTCAGTTGGCCACGGACGAACTGATCACGATAGCAGGCGTTTATTAATCTTCGTCCTTCAGGCTGGAGTTTTGGTAAGAACATGGCCTGGAGAGAGGATCCTTCAACTCGTTCCACACGACCAGGCATAGCATAAAACTTGCCGTGCGAAGATTTGAAGTCATGTTTCGCTTCATCCATCTCGGCGGGCAAACGCTTTCTGGATCTGCGACGAATTCTCGGCTGTTCAACAATAAGGTATGCTGCATGCCATATTCGCAAGTTTCAGGTGAGGATTAGCTTTTCCTTGTTCGCTGCAGAGAGCGGTTGTTGCGCTCAACTATCAGTATTTAAAGAAGGTCGTTATGTGTAGCTAGGCCAAAGGTTTTCGTCCAATTCGACTTTGAGATTCTCGAGTAAAGCTTTCGTCCAAAATAGTCGTAAAGTATCAGCCATTCAATGCGATGTCTCGCAGATGATATATAAATTTTAGCACAGGGGAAGCGTTACATCGCGTTGTGTCGCGTCACTGAAAGCCATAAAGCGCGCTAGCTTACTGTAGCGTGGCCGCGTTCTTGATGCCAAGAAACGTGACTCCATACCTACAACAGGTACCTAGCTTGTCAAGCCTGGTTCTTTGCTCGAATGTGAGATGGCTTGCTTGATGTTCAAATGAGCTCTAATCATGTCGCTGCACCACGAAAAGTTCTTGAATAAGAGAAAGTTGTGTCACTTCTAGAAGCGAGAGACAAGGAGGTGGTTAGTTCAATCATCATTGTCAATGCTAGATATTGCCATTGCCGTTAAGTTGCTATTATATAACCATAAGCCTTGTACTACTTATCAGTACTCCTGTAAAATTATACCCATTTCCGTGAAATCGTGACTTCGTACCTCGTATAAGACTCGGATGGAGACAACCAGAAAGAGCGATTAGCGCTTCTCATCAGCCTTTTCCAAGCCCTGCGTCGTCTGCATCGTATCCACAGTCTCCGCAGATCCATTTAACATCATCTCCACCGGTTTTCCCAAAGCCCTCAACCTCTCCCCATATCTCCACAAAATCAACGGAGCCGGAATCCCCAAACCCAAATAAATGAAAGCCAACAAGCTATTCCCCCATCCATACCCAAACCTCTGATACAAACTCGGAGCAAAAATCGGAAACACAAATCCCATCACATTAGTCCAGGATCTGGCCGCCGCATTCGCGCTCGCAGCATGCTCAGCAAATTCATCAATGAGGTACGCATACATAGCATTAGAACCCATCATGATACCCCCACTGAATATCGCCGCCCCAATATCGGTCACGATCCAGTGCCAGTGACGTTCCGCTGACCAGCCATACAAGAAGAGTCCAATAGGAGTAAGCAGAGTCCCGGGGATCATGAGTGGGACGCGGTATTCGGGGACTACTTTTCCACTTGCTTTGCCTTTGAGATGAGCCCAGACACGATCTGTTACTGGGCCTCCGACTTGAGTTGCGATTGTGGAACCTAATGCGATGGCGATGTAGTTTAAGCCTCGCTGGGATTCGGTCTGGTGGTATTTGTCTGCGAAGATGTTGGCGAATGTGGCGAGAGCGAGACAGTAGATGCCGAAGTTGTAGGCGAGGAGGAGGGACATGAATTGGATTATTGGTCGGGTGACTAATACTTTTATGGGACGCGTGAAGGACACCATGAGCTTTTTTCCGAGGGTGGGGTGCGAGCGCTCGAATTGGGTCGAGTATAGAGGGTTGCCTGTTGATTTCCGGAGCTTGGCGGCTTTGCGGGAGAGGAGGACTGGGGCATAGGATTCATGAACGAGGAAGAGAGACAGAAAGAGGATAGATGAGTCGAAGAGAGAGACGGTCCAGAAGAGCCAAGGCCAGCCGACGTGTTGGGTTATGGTTCCGCCCAGTATGGGACCTATTGCTGCCCCAAGAAATGGTGCAAAGGTGACGATGGAAAGGGAGACTCCCCGTTGGCTGGGTCGCCAGAGATCTGCTGTTGTGGCAGATGCGATCTGTGGTGAAGCTTAGCATTCGACTTGGTATTATTGGTAGCAGACTTACTGCTATACCAACACTTCCACCGAACCCAGACAGGAAACGACCTGCGATCAAGATACCTTTCGATTTGTTGACAGGACATAAAGCGTTCCAGAAAATGTACCATACATGGCAGAATAGCCAAGCAGGTTTTCTTCCATACATCTCTGAAAATGGAGCTATGATGAATGGTCCAAACACAAAGGCCAAGAGATATATTGAGAGTGCTAGTTGAGTAGCAGAGGCTCCGAGACCAAGGTCTGTACTGATTTGAGTAAGAGCAGGAGCCATCATACTAGTCGACATTGTCGAGACCAAACCTCCAACAGAGATCAATGTTGTCATGGCCATGCATCGGGCGAATGGCCAGTTGTAAGGATCGTTAGGATCATCGTTGCCATTCCAAGTAACCTCAAATGACATCTTAGCTACGTAATGATGGAAATATGAGATGTTCCTACTAAGGTATCATCCTCATCACTGCTCTGATATACATCTGAAGACTTCTCTTCTACATGTTTCTCTCGTTTCGTGTACTACTTGAAGTCAGCCCCGTTGGGGACGTCCGTAGATGATAAAGCTGCATTGAGGAGGCTCTCCAACCACTGTCGATGATATCATAGATTGAGCTCGCGTCGGTACTTCTGGTGTTCGGCGAGTAATTGTTGGGAGGCGTCTGTCGTGTAACGGTGACATGTATACCTTCCCAGATAAGTACGGTACCGGACAAATACAGCATAACCGCAGAAGAAGGATGATACAAGCTGCGATTATGGTTCGATGGTTGGATATTTATAATCTCAAGCTTCTCGTACTTCGCATTTTGAACTCCGATATCCGAGAACACAAAGTTCAAGGTTTACTTTGATCCCACATAGCGATATCGCGATGGAGACAGTCATCAAACTTGCGCCAATCGTAGAATTTCTGCCTGCAGTCAACGGCTTGATCAAGAGCCGATATTATCTTATCGGATCAAAGTATCGTGGTGACTCGGTCATTCTTAATTCTGAAATGATCGAGATGACTGTACTGTCTTTAATGTAATTGATAACATGCGGAAAACATGACCTTGCGTCGTGAAGGCATCCAATGGAGTAACATTCAGGTACCAAGAACGTGAGAACCTGGTAGCCTGGAACTTGGTGTTCCAGTAGCACAGCACCAGCAAACAGAAAAGAAAACATGGTTATGGTCTTGGCACTGGCCAAACTTTTGACAGCCTTCCCAAAGTCTGAAAGCGGAGTGAGCTCCAGGCAGTTACTCCGTATCCGTGCCGCTCTCGCTCTCGTTCAGAGAGTTTAGGTACGCTTCAACAAAACGCAAGAAGATCAAATTGCGTGATTGAGATCCAATTGACACGGAAGATGCCTTGCCCACTGGGTCAACAGCGTTCGCATACTTTGTAAGATGCGAAAATCATAACCTACCCAGCTAGTGGAAAGAGGGAAAGTACTTCATGAGCTTCAGCAGTTTGGCACCGATGACTCAGCCAGCGCTAGCCCAGCCTGGACCTGACTCGTTGTTTTCAGCCTTCTGTGTATATGAGGAACTACATCACGGGCCATGAAGCGGTCCATCTCCACAGCAGTGGACGGACCGGCTCAGGCCCACTTGTCAATTAGAATTGGAATCACGGGCTCTGAGTCTCTGACAAGCAAGCGCCACCTGCGAAGACCATCGTCGGGGAAGATCCACCAACGATTCCCGAAGATCTGGATGCGGGCGGATATGTTAGCTCGAGCGCCTCGATATTCCTTGCGTTGGTTTCTCAAATTATCTGTGGTATCTTCCCGTGTGCTCAGGACTCACTGAGCTACTGACCATTGCTTTTTGAGTTCGAAGCTTCATCATTTACATTGTCTCCAGCAGTCGAGTGACTTTGCTCTTCAGGCGGGTTTCGCGGCAGATCATACGCAATTATGTATCATATAAGCAGTCTTCAAAGCTCGCAAAGAACTCTACCCCAAGAGAGAGTGATCTACTGAATGCGCGTCTCATTCCCAGGCTCGAACATCAGCACTCGAAGTGCCGGGGTAGAGAAAACACATTGGGAATTCGAAACCGGCAAGCCCGCTTCCTGAACTTTGTTCATTCCAGAATATCACCTCATCTTCGATGGTCTGCTCCTTTTCTCGAACAATATCCGTGGTCTATTCTAGAGAACGTTAAGGCATAAATCGAGATTTTTCATTGAAGACGCGAGATCTCGAATGGCGAATTGTTCGCCTTCCGCGACATCGAGATGTACTCGTGGCTGAAAAGCCTCATATATTCCAGCGAGTCGGGACGCACGCATTCAACGGGCCACCGCGGGGCACATGTCGATCATTCCCCGTGGGCCGGATTCCCCTGTGAGAATCCTTTAGCACTTTAGAAACAAGTGTTTTAGCGTGCCCAGCCATATAGAACTTTATTTTTAGGAACTCGATCCAGCTGTTCTTGTGGGACGGCACAAGTCTGTGCTTCGATCTATTCGAGTCAGAACTCATGAAGATGCACGAATATATACACATGGCAAAGGCCCCAGCAAGCCGCCGAACGCCCATTCGAATGATTTTGTTAGAAGTCGTACGATAATGATGGCTGTGGTGAAGCAGTCTCTGCGCCAGGACCTGCTCCAGCATGTTCCTGCAGAGATACCTACTGCGGGGCTCGTTGTTTCTACGATTTTGTCCATGTTCACATTTGCAGTATTAGCAGTCTGTTTAAGTAAGTTTAATTATACTCTCGTCCAGGAGAGTTAAACTCTAACAATTCCATAGCGAGAAGAATACAGTCAACCAAAGACTGGTCTAAGATCCCTTTGACAAGATGGCGTAAGTATGCGTAGACGTCTCTGAGAGCATTATTAACGCAAGGCACAGTGGTTCTGGCAATATACACGGACTCAATGGTCTTCATCTTCACGACCGCTATATTGGAACACGGCTTTGGCCTGAACTCCACCCAAGCGATTTGCTCATCAGCGATCTTGCTATGTCTTGTCTGCTACATGTCTACGAAAGTATTGATATATTACTTCCTCGTTGAGAAAGTAGTGAGTCTCACTCTTCATCTCTTCGGCAACCAATTGTTAATAAAATTTCTCCAGTATATTATCCGCCGCGTCCAAACACCACGACTCAAATCTAAACTCTACTGCTTCAACTGTTTTGCCATGCTACGTACCTCTCTCTCATCTCCCCATCATTCACATTAACTAATTCCCTCCCTTAGTGCCATACTGCATAGTGGTTGTCCTCAACTTCGTCTACAGGATCGCCTACTTTCATGCCGATGGAACTTGTTTGATCGGAATGGAAGCTCGTGCGATGCTGCCCTTGATCATCTTCGACGCAATCGTGAACCTCTACCTAACACTCCTCTTCGTCCTCCCTCTACGAACCCTCTACTCCTACAAAAACTCTCCAAACAGCTTGCTCCGAACCATCGCCATTCGTTCTTTCGTCGGTTCTCTCGCTACCTTGACGAGTTCGGTGGTTAATCTGACGGTACTGATGGTGTTGAAAGGAGAAGCAGCGTGGATATGCTTGATGTGTTGCAATGCGGATATTCTGTTGTCGGTGTTGGTTTTGCATTGGGTTACCAGCAAGAATAGCAATGGATCGGGCTCCTCAGCCGGTCATTCGGCCTCACTTCAACCTGTCAATGGCAACCGTGGTCTTGCTGCATCGGCTCTAGACCCGTTGAGTCCTCATTCGTTAGTCGATAAACTGCATACGTTCGAGATGTACAGTGGTGCTAATAGCAAAGATGGTCAAGTTACTACGCATATTTCTGCGAGGGACGTAGATGATGATTTGTATCGATTGGATAGTGGTAGTGGTGGGGGATTGAAGAAGGCGAGAGGCGCTGAGAGGACGACGAATCCAAGGCTACGGTTGCGCAGGTGGTTGAGATGGAAAGTGGGCCGAGGACAGTGGATGACGGAGATGACATCGCGGATGTTGTAAGGAGCGGGAGTGGAAACAGCACGGACGAGCTGGTTGATAGATAAGAGAGATTAAGTTTGGGGCTTGGAGGTAATCTGATTTTGGCGCTTGGGGTGGGAAGTACCAGGGTTGGGTGGTCTCGGTGGGCTCTTTTCATGACCATTCTCTCGACCATAAAGCAATAGATGGCACTTGTATAATTATACTTTTTGATTTATTCCATATTCTAGAATTTTTACATTTCTTGCATCTGTCGTTCTTGAATCAAAGTATCCAAATGCAGAATTACATGTCTAGCTGCAGGTGACCTGTGACAGCTCATTTATAACTTGACGTTGCTTTAGAGACCACATGCAAAGGGCGTAGAATCAAAGACAGTTCATGACCGTCATACGATCCATGCACCAGATCTGATCTGATGACTCGACAGGGACGGCTTTCAATTGTTTAAACAGCGGACGAAAAGCCGCCTTTTTCATTACAGTACTTGTATTACCGCCGTTCTCTACCTCGAACTACCCTCTCGATTCCACTTGCAAATCATAAATGACTGCCTTGCTCCAGGCTTCTGGCTGTCGCTTCTAGAGCCAGGGTATCTGTATCTCCAATAATGTAAGAGTTGGGGCCACCGCGAACGGCCCACTCGCCATTTTACACCAAAACGCGCCTCTTTTATTAAATTATATTTTTACAACCTTCTTATAAAATTCTATAAAATTAAAGATTCGAATTAAAATTTATATAAAGTTAATTATATAAAGAACACAAAATTTTATAATGCATTTTGCAAGAGTTGTTTAGAGGTAAAGAGAGAGGAGGGGTAAAAAAGAAGTGAAATCGCTTAATTTATATGTAAATTTTGAATTTTTAGAAAATCTTCTACTTTAGCTACGTACCGTTTCTATAATTTCCTTTTAATTCGATTTCTGAATCGTACAAAATAAAATTTTAATACTAATTTGATCTCAATTCGTTTTTTATTATTTTTTTATTAAAGCATTGTAATAATATACTATTTTGCAAAAGGGGTGTTTTGGTGTAAAATGGTGGGGTGGGCCGCTCCCGCTGGCCTCAGCTCTTACCTTCATTTTCCAGACAACATAGATCAAGTGACCAGAGCCCCCAAGAAGAATTAATTAGTGGCCACAGCTGTAGTACCAACCGCATCTTCTTGCAGATAAGACGGAATATTTCAATATCAATTCAGTGTCTCCTTTCGGTTCCGCTAGTGGGCAATAATTAAAGTATGGCTAGTGTGCCTACAGCTAAGCTATATCTCCAGTGCTCCTTCCGCTTTCTCCAACTCTCCACCGCACCTTCCTTAACACCAGATTCTTATGACATCACCCTCACTGCACGACTCTGTGTCCACAACTTCTAAGATAACAGGATTACTGAGAAACGTCTCGCAAATTCTTAGGCTACGATCCGCGATTGCGCTCGGAACAATACTCTCCATCGACATTACGCCTCAAAGCATAATCACATCAAACAAACTCATTCTTCATACAGTTCGCTATGGGTTCCACAATGGAGAGCCTGAACAAGTCGTGTGAGGAGAACTTGGCCCTCCAAACAACAGAAGAGACCACTGCTGGCTCTGCTGCCACCACGCGCAACCAGTCGACCAAGTCGAGCACCGATGCATCGATCTCCGTCAGCGAGCTTCCTGGTCCTGCACCAGAGCAGTACGAGCAAGAAGGACAGGACCTCGTCTACTTCCACCAGTTCGCCAAACTTCCAGTTGAACTGAGATTGAAGATTTGGTACGTCTAATATTAAATTTGTTCCGAAGATACTTTGGATTACGCTCTGATTTTCCGACAACGTTCCACTTCTCTCCTTTTCTCCATCCTACAGAATGTATACCGACTTATCAACAGGCGTGAGACTTTTCCACCAGGCCGACATGTCAACTTGGAGACAGGTTATGGGGTAGACGGTGCCTTCGTCGAAAGTGTCTTCGACCTGGTTGGTCGGGATCACGAAGCCTTCCAATTCCCTGACAGGTTTGCACGGAAATACATCCAATTGATTCAGCGACCCATGCCTATCGCATTGAGCGTTAACCACGAGAGCAGAAAAGAGGCGCTCTCTCAATACGTCGTTCTCTTCCAGAGCGACGTTCCCGAAATCAAGGCGGGTCGGGCTAAAGTTCAAGACCGACCATTCTGCTTCGCCCCTGCTCGAGACTCTCTCATAATTGCACCACATTACCTCTACAATTCTTGGATGAACAAGTGGCTGGCGTACATCGACCAAGAACTACCCGGTGGACTGGCTTCGATTCGATCTCTGCAAGTCGTCGAGCAATCTTTCGCTCAATACGTTTCCGACTTGTCAACACTGTGGGGAGGTCGCCAGGGTGCTGAGAAAGGTGGTCTTGAGTGGTTCCTCAACTTACGAAGACTACAAATCTCTACTGAAATTCTGACGCCGGACACTAAATACACAGTCCTTGAGCTAAGAATCAAGAAATGGTACGAAGCTCAAGGATCAAAGCTGCATATTCCGACGATCGTGGTGGACCGTAATTTTGGTTGCACCCAGCGATCATTTGGGCTTTGGAATGGAAGGAAACCTAGGGATCCTGGGATGGCGAGTGATTAGGCATCTTTTTGTTTGTATGGCAAGAAGCTGGAGATTTCATGAGATGAATTGTAGAACTAATAAAGCATGCGGGAAGCAGGAGTGGACAGTAACTGCTATTTTTGCTGGCGACAGAATGTCTCAGAGGCGAAGAAGACATTTTGAGACCGATTCCGGTAAAGCAGAACCAGAGCATGGCACCAGCAAGACTCATACTGTAATTAATAAAGATATCTAAAAATAGATTTCTCCATGCACGGTGAACACCGTATTAATTTTTTCTAAGGTAATTTTTCAGAATAAAGTAATAGGCTCTACAGGGGAACGTCCTTCTGAGCCTTTCTCAAGAAGAAGTATTGAGTAAGGCGAGTAGATTTGAGTACCTTTGCTTTGTGTCTTTCTAGTCTTCCATGAAATCGACTTCCCATAATTTCATTGGGTATAAGGTATTGATTTTGAAATTAGACATGGTCTCCCAAAAGATTTCCTACATCCATTTGCTCATAAGGAAATATCTTAGAAAACAATTGATACAGGCGTCCCCAGTCCCTTAGTAGTACACACTTAGCTCCCCATAATGTCCCGCAAAGTCTGGAACAATATATCTCAATTTTCACAATATACAGTAATGTTGAGAGTCTCACGACGTCTCTCGCTGAATGACCCCGCACTTCCCCCACCAAGCCTCTGACTAAGCGACTACAGTACCTTCAAAACCTGACATAAACTCTGTGCCTTCCCAGCAAATCTCTCATGCCAGGATAGGAAGGTCTCGGTACTCGCAATGACCCGAGATCTACCATGTTCCTGCATGTGCAACGTTGTAACAAACATCCAATGACGAAAGACAAGCTTCTCATCAAATAAAGGTAAAGTACATCCATCCACCTTACCCCGCGCCTAATATCAACCTAGGTTCAACCACCTCTCTCTCTACACTCCACCATCCTTTCCAAAACACTCGTTAATCATGCGAAATCTAGACTTTACACTGCTCTTCCTCTTCTTCATAGTCTTCTCCCTCCAAACCGCCGCCCAAACCGACATCCTCCAATATGTCGACCAACTCATCGGCACCAACAACGGCGGCAACGTCTTCGCAGGCGCCACCCTCCCCTACGGAATGGCCAAAGCAGTCGCCGACGTCGACGGCCAGAACACAGGCGGCTTCTCGACCGACGGCTCGAACGTGACCGGCTTCTCGCACATGCACGACAGCGGAACGGGCGGGAATCCTTCCCTAGGAAACTTCCCCCTCTTCCCGCAATTGTGTGCTGAAGATCAGGTTGATAATTGTGAGTTCTTGATAGAGGGCAGGGCGACGCATTATGTGAATGAGTCGGTGGTTGCGACGCCGGGGTATTTTGCGCTGGATTTGGTGAGTGGGGTGAGTGCTGAGATGACGGTTAGTCGACATGCGGCGTTGTATCGGTTTACGTTTCCGGCGGATCAGAAAGCCAGCAATGGATCGGTGTTGAGTCCGTTGATTCTGTTGGATTTGACGGATCTGAGCGCGAGTCGACAGAATGCTGCGGTTATCTTGGATGAGAAGACTGGCAGGATGATGGGGAATGGGACGTTCATTCCTAGTTTTGGGAGTGGGAGTTTTGTGTTGCATTTTTGTGCTGATTTTGAGGGCGCGACGGTGAAGGATAATGGGATCTGGGTTAATAATAGGGCGGGGACGGAACCGAAGGAGTTGTTTGTTACAAGGGGGATTAATTTGTTTTATATACAGGCGGGGGCTTGGATTCGGTTTGAGGCGACGGAGACGAATGAGATTAGCGCGAGGGTTGGGGTTAGTTTTGTCAGTCCTGAGCAGGCGTGTCAGAATGCTGAGACGGAGATTCCTGGTCCGAATTGGGATTTTGATGGTTTACAATCGAGCGCTGAAGATGCTTGGAGGGAGAAATTAGGTGGTGTCACGATTGAGGCGGGTGGGCAGGATGATAGTTTTCTTACAAATTTCTACAGTGCTATGTACAGGACGATGATGTCTCCTCAGAATTATACGGGAGAAAATCCACTGTGGAAGAGCACGGAGCCATACTATGACTCCTTTTATTGGTAAATCAATGCCCAATATTCCTGCAACTCTCTAACGCAAGCAGTATCTGGGACGCCTTTCGATCTCAACTCCCATTCTTGACTATCATCGATCCAGACACGCTTTCTGAGATGGTTCGTAGCCTGATAGACACATATGTCCATCTTGGCTGGCTTCCTGATTGCCGTATGAGTCTTTGCAAAGGCTTCACTCAAGGCGGATCAAACGCAGATGTGGTCCTCACCGATGCGCATGTCAAAAACTTGACAGGTCCAACGCCAATAAATTGGAATCTTGCTCTACAAGCTGTGATCAATGATGCTGAAAATGAACCTCTGGATTGGTCGAATGAAGGACGAGGTGGTCTTCAGAGCTGGAAGACACTCAACTACATCCCTTACCTTGATTACGACTATCTCGGATTCGGAACCAATTCTCGGAGCATTTCCCGCACACTCGAGTATTCTTACAACGACTTCTGTATCTCCACATTCTCAAAGTCTATGGGATTAAGTAACTACACAACCTATCTCTCCAGGTCCTCGAACTGGCAAAATCTATACAAATCCGACACGAAGAGTTTCATCAACGGCAACGACACAGGCTTCACTGGATTCTTGCAACCCAAATATCTTAACGGAACATGGGGCTACCAAGATCCCATCCTCTGTTCACCCCTCGATTCATTCTGTTCCCTAACCGACAACCCACAAGAAACATTCGAAGACTCGATCTGGGAGTATCAATTCTTCGTCCCACACGACATCGCAACACTTATCAAACAGTGGGGAGGCGTCGATGCTTTTATTTCTCGCCTCAACTTCCTCCACACCAGCGGCCTGACAGACATCGGCAACGAACCCTCGTTCCTAACTGTATTCCTGTACCACTACGCCGGCCGTCCCGCTCTCTCTGCAGATAGGGTCCGAAGCTACATCCCCTCCCAATTCAACGCCACGACCACCGGTCTCCCTGGCAACGACGACACGGGAGCCATGGCATCATTCACAGCTTTTTGTCTTTCGGGACTGTTCCCTAATCCAGGGCAAAACGTCTACTTCATCACGCCTCCTTTCTTCGAATCCATCTCTTTCACGAATCCGCAGAATGGGAAGGTGGCGACAATCCGCAATGTGGGATTTGTTGCAAATGCGAGTTTGTATGTGCAGAGTGCGACGTTGAATGGGGTGGGGTATAATAAGAGCTGGATTGGACATGAGTTTTTTTCGGAGGGGTGGACGTTGGAGTTGATGTTGGGAGATGAGGAGAGTGAGTGGGGGACGAAGGAAGAAGATTTGCCGCCTAGTGTTAGTACGGGGGTTGGGGGGATGATGGGTTAGATGGAAGTTGTGGGTTTGAGGAGAGATGTTGATGCTCTCTGAGACATTTCGCTTGGGTAGGCGAGTGAAAAGGGGGATGATGTTTCTGCCTTGACAATGTGCTATAAGAGAGAGGATAGGGAACTGGGTACAGGTGAGGAAGATAATCCGTCCAGGCAGCGGAGAATCCGCCTCCAAGAAACAGGCCTTGTTCCGTTGGTGACCTCGATGCATTCAATCACAAGTCACGTGGCAACCGGTGCTCTTCATCTGTATCTACATCGGTAATGGTAGAATAAATGAATGTCTAATGTCCCACTGCTCCTGTGTGGCACTTCTTAGGTTCGATCACGTACATATTCACCTACTCTTAAGTCAGTTTTGTTGCACATCTCAACTGTTCCGCCCAGGGCCGTGATTCCGCTATCAATTCCACCCATCAAAGAGCCTCCGCTCCACTCCGCCCATTTCGCCTCCTCTCATTCACTTACTGATAAGAAAGTGGGCCCTCGATAACCTCATCTCGCCATCACTCGCCTCTTCCACACAACTCCTCCCCCTCTCGGGGAACGGGACGGCAATATGCAGCTCCCAAGCAGCCGCTGACCAATCTCGGGCACATCCACCAATCACTCCCCTCAATTCGTGATCAACGACAGGAACAGGAAGGCGGTGACGAAACGGACGAGCATCGAGATTAAACATATCTGCCAAGCCTAACGCTGATAGGCAGGACGGCTATGCTGCCCTGGACGATAGACAAGCTTTGATCATCAAATCTTGGCAACCATCTCCGTGCACCTTCCATTTGTGCTCGATCAGCGCGGGGCAGAATGAGGTGCAATCTCGAGCGAGAGGAAGAGCTGCGCACGCGAAGAATGCTGGTAATGTGGTTTGTACATATACCACGCGACGCCCCCTCCGATGTAAATATGGAGGAGAGCTTCCATTCCTCGTCGCCAATTCCTTCTCTCTCTCCATCTCGATCATGTACGCCACCACGGCTCTCCTGGTGCTGTCTCAAGCCATCGTCCCCACCTGGGCTGCCCTCCACGAGAAACTAGCTGCGGTACCAGCGGGGTGGACGCAAGCTTCACTGCCGGCGGCGGATACGGCCATTAGTCTGACAATTGGACTAACGCAGCAAAATATCGAGCAGTTGCAAGCGAAGCTGCTAGCTGTGTCGACGCCGGGCAATGCTGAATATGGACAGCACATGGATGCAGATGAGGTCAACGCCTTCTTTGCGCCTGATCCCGCAGGCGTTCTCGCGGTGCAGAAATGGCTGAAGAGCTCGGGAGTCACGCAGATCTCGGAAGATGGCCATTTCATCACGTTTGCGACGACGGTGCAGAATGCGGGCTCGTTGCTGAATACGACGTTTGCGACCTTTACGAGTGGGTCCGTGTCGAAGATTAGGACGATGCAGTATTCGATTCCGGATGAGTTGGTGAAGTATATCGATTTGGTGTCGCCGACGACGTATTTTGGGAAGACGGTTGCAAATGCTCCGAAGTATGTGAGAGCTACTGAGACGGAGAAGACGTATCCTCCGTCTTCTTCGGTTACGGTGGACGCGTCGTGCCAGACTTCGATTACGCCGACTTGTATCAAGGAGCTGTACAATATTGGCAATTATACTCCAGATCCACATTCTGGTAGCCATGTTGGATTCGGTAGCTTCCTCAACCAGTCTGCTTTGTATGCGGATTTATTTCAGTATGAAGCTCTGTATAATATTCCACAGCAGAACTTCTCAGTGGTCTTGATCAATGGAGCTACCAATGATCAAAACGCAACAACTGCTCAAATTGGAGAAGCGGATCTGGATGTCCAGAATATCATTGGAGTCAGCCATCCCTTACCAGTAACCGAATTCATCACTGGAGGAAGTCCACCATTCAGTAAGTATCCCTCACTAGCAAAAGCACTACAAAGCTAACCCACTCTAGTCCCCAACCTCGACGAACCAACCGCAGCCGACAACTCCAACGAGCCCTACCTCCCCTACTACCAATACCTGCTCTCGCAACCCAACTCGGCCCTCCCGCAAGTAATCTCCAACTCCTACGGCGACGACGAACAGACGGTGCCTTACTCCTACGCCGTCCGCGTCTGCAACATGATCGGCTTCCTCGGCCTCCGCGGCATCACGGTCCTCGAGTCCGCGGGCGATACTGGTGTTGGGGCGCCATGCCTCTCCAACGACGGCAAGAACACCACGCAGTTCACGCCCCAATTCCCCGGCACCTGTCCGTATATCACGGCCGTGGGCGGCACCCAGGCCGCTACGCCCGAAGTCGCGTGGGTTGACGGCAGTGGCGGGTTTAGCAATTATTTCCCGACGGCGTGGTACCAGGTCGCGGCTGTGGAGAATTATCTAGAGAACTATATCTCGCCGGTGACGAAGAAGTATTATGAGCCGTATACTAATTTCAAGGGGCGAGGCTTCCCAGATGTGTCGGCGCATAGTTTGACGCCTTGGTTAGCTCCCTTTTCCTCCTTTGCTTCCTCCTTTCTTCCTCTCTTTCTTCCTCTCTGCAGAACTAACAAAGAGGTTGATTCAGGTACCAAGTAATCTACGCCGGCCAACCCTCCGCCAGCGGCGGCACATCGGCCGCCGCGCCCGTAACAGCCGGCATCATAGGCCTCCTCAACGACGCCCGTCTACGCGCCGGCAAGAGCCAACTCGGCTTCATCAACCCGGCCCTCTACGCCTTTGGCTACAAAGCGCTGAACGATATTACGGGCGGCGGCAGCGTGGGCTGTAATGGCGTGAATGGGCAGACGGGGGCGCCGATTGTGGGGGGTGGGGTTATACTCTGGGCGAGCTGGAATGCGACTGTCGGGTGGGATCCGGTTACGGGGCTGGGGACGCCGGATTTTGGGAAGTTGGTGGAGTTAGTGCTTGCTTGGTAAAGAGGGAGGGGAGAGAGGGGAGAGAGCGGAGGGGTATATGTATATATAATGATAGAGTTGGAATGGGGTGTTTATACTATGTTGCGTTGAGAATCTTTGTGTGAAAATGAGATATTGGTTCGCTCGCTTGCTTCGGGCTCCACCTCCTATTTCACAAGATTCTCGCAGTGCTAGTGTTGTCAAAGGAGTGCTGTGTTATGTTGTCTTGTGGCCAGACATCGCTCGCTCGCTTCGAGCTCAACCCTTATATTTCATTAAAGGAGTGTTGCGTCGTATTATGTCTAGACATAGCTCGCTCGCTTCGGGCTCAACCCCTTATTTCACAAGGTTCTCGCTATTCTAGGTAGTGTCGTCACTAAAGGAGTGTTATATTCTGTTGTCTGGTGTTTAAACATCACTCGCTTGCTCGCTTCGTGCTAACCCCCTATTTCACCTCACTAACGTAAAGTTCTCGCTAAACTTAGTGACCCCTTAGTTGCACTACACTACTAAATACATAGCTCCCCTCCCCTCTTCATAAAAACTAGACGTCCACCTTCTCTTTTAAATGAGTTAAATCAACACATCTAACGCAGGTGTAGATGCAATTGATATCTTTTATATCTCTTTCGTTTCATTTGGCTGTCGCGATCTGTATTGATTGGTAGTCAGATGGAGGGATGAAGGGATTTCAGGGTCCAGCGTTAGTGCGGGGTAACTTTTTACACTACTGTACCCCGCTGTCAGTTGGTGTTTGTGAGACAGACAAGCTTTCGTGAGATCCTATTGTAAGTATATGTGTGTTTCGTTTTATACGCCTCATTTTAATTCATCTATCAACCCTTTCTGTTTGTGTTTGTCTCACATCTATCCAACGCCGTTGTTTCTCGTCTCACAGCTTCTTTCAGCTCTACACCCTCTTCGCGTCGACAATGTCTCAGCTCAGCCCTACCAACCAACTGTCGTGCAACACTCCTCATTGGTTTTGTTGCACGTCTCTGTGTCAGCTCGTGTCGTGTGTGCTGTGCAGCTGAGCTGAGCTGAGCTGATGTCATCGTGATGCCTGCGTGTAGGTGTCACGCGAGCAAATACCTAAATAGTGTCGAGGGGTGTGGAGGGGTGGTTACACAGCATCAACATATATCTGACCTCTTCCCACGTTCCTTAACATTTAATTCTTCTTCCTTTTCACGACCCTCGGCAAAAGCCTTCAATAATCCGCATAATGGTAAACCCTCAGTCCAGTCAATCTAACATCACGGTGCAAACTAACAACAACAACAACCCCCAGGCCCCAAAACCAACAATCTACCTAATCCGCCACGGCGAAAAACCCCCCAAACTCCCCTCTGGCAAAGACGCCGATGGTCTGTCTGCTGAGGGCCTCGAGCGTGCGCAGGGTTTGAAACGGGTGTTTGGGCCGGGTTCGGGGTTTGATATTGGTTGTATTGTTGCTGAGCGGCCTAAGAAAGGTAGTTTCTCCCTTTTTAAGTTCGAGAGGAGGGGGTGGGAATGAAGGGGAGAGAGGGGCTGATAGGGTTGGTGTGGTGACAGATGGATCTCGCGACCGTCCATATGAGACGATCGAACCGCTCGCGGAGGAGTTGGGCGTTAAGGTCGATAAGAGTATTGAGCGGGATGATGCTGCTGAAGCGGCGGAGAAGGCGAAGGCGTATCGGGGGGAGGGGAATGTTTTGGTTTGTTGGGAACAGTATGTGCTTATTTGAAGAGAATACTAGGTAATCTTACTGATTTGGATATAGTGGGGTCCTGGGCAAGATTGTAGAGGCGTTGGGCGTCCCGGGTGGGGCGACGTATCCGGGGGATAGGTTTGATGTTATTTGGAGTGTGAGTGAGCCGTATGATACGTTGGTTTGGGTTGGGAGTGAGGGGATTCCGGGGTTGGATGATGGGAGTGCGGGTGAGAGTGGGAGTGTGGGAGGGGTGGGACCTGTTGTGCCTGGGACGGAGTGAGGGTTGACTTGAAAGTTTACTTGAGGTTTACGGCAGGAACTTAGGATATAAAACTCGCATGCATGATAGTATGATAAGTTTGGAGCGTTTAAAGTTCAAAAATAGCTTGGATTGCTATGAAACTACAACCTGAACCTTCTCTCAACTCTTGCACTCAATACAAGCCTTCTCGATGCACGATTTCTTTTGAATGCACTACCTTTTTTTAAATGCATTTGCTCATAGAATAGTATGGCTATATGCGCAAAAAGTGATGCCAAAAAAAAAGAGTTTTTGTCGGAGGAAAAGTTTTTATTGAAATAAAATAAAAAGTGGAGTTACTTCAGCTTTGTTAGGAACACCCGTGGGTAGAGTAGGAGGCGGAAATGCTCGAGGAAAGCCATGGATATCTTTTTTTCTTGAAACTCAAGCACTCGAGCGTTTCTTTAGTAGGCTAGAGTCGCTTCATAGCCTTCGAGAATAAGATTTTGTCCTTTCTTATTTCTCTTTTTCTTCTTCTATTAGTTTTGCTATGCTATTAAAATTTGGTTTAGAGAGCTAGTGCATTTAGAGAGTAGGTAAAGTCAAAGAGTTATTGCTGGAGCTGAAGGTGGCAGATTGTGTAGTTAGTATGCTAAGAAAAAATAGGAATTTGTCTCAGCCTTAGTTTTGTGATAATATAATGTGCTTTGCCCTTCACGCTATCATACTATCATAAGTGTGACTTTTATGTCCTAAGTTCCTACCATAGAGGTTGTTGAAGAATGTCAGGATTATTAAAGTCCTACTCGAAACTCGTTCTTAATCCTCGATCTCAGTAGGACAAGCGCCTTTGATTTTTCCTTTCATCCTATTTCTCACCATACTTCCCGCCAAGCTTTCAAAAGATTCGCCACATAATCTCCCTCTATCAACTGACCCATCTCCCTCAAAGCCTTACTCCTCTTCTCCGTCTCTCTCGTCTCAAACACTACATCCCTCTTCTCACCGCTCCCCTGCACCTCCCAAAAACCAAGCAACTTCCTACTCGGATTCCTCTCCACATCCGCTTCACTCTCCTTCAACCTCTTCAACCACTCCTCCCTCCCCACAACCTCAAAACCCAGTCCCGCTTCCTTCAGCCCTTTCAAAAAGTCCTCCTTCCACCCTAACGACCTCGGAGAAACTAAATTATACACCAACCTCTCCTCTCCCTCCCCATCCAACCCAGCAATCTCCACAACAGCCCTCCCCAACGTCCCCAAATCCACCCACGAACACCTCTCCCCCGCTAAATCCGGCAAAACACCCGTGACCAACGCACTCCTGACCATCAACGGGATCATCTCACTCTCATTCCACAACATACTCCCCTCCCCCTCCCTCATCGACGGCACAATCTGTCCAATGCGCAGGATATGCGCGTCAGCGCCGTATTCCCTAGCAGCGACCTCGAGGATGCGCTCGCCGATGAGTTTAGAGCGCGCGTAGCCGGTGGCTGAAGCGTGGTGGAGGGAGGGGATGGGGTGTTCGGGGATGGAGCCACTGGGCGTGGATATTGCGACGCCGACGCTGGAGCAGAAGAGCAGCTTTGAGGAGGTGGTGAGGGAGAGGTTGATTAGGGAATGCAGGGTGGAGAGGTGTGGGGCGAAGATTGAGAGGGGGAGGGCGAAGTTTACGGGCCAGGCGCAGTGGATTATGTGTGTTATTTGGAGAGTGAGGGAGGATGGGAGGTTCGTGATGTCGTTGGGGACAGGGAGGATTTTCGGGGATGTGGAGAGGTGGGGGAAGCCTCGGGCTGAGAGGGAAGTTGAGAGGCGAGAGAGATATGTTTCAGAGGAGGTGGTGCGGATGGGGCATATTATTTTGGAGACGGCGGGATTGGAGATGAGTTGGTTGAGGATGTGGGAGCCGAGAGAGCCTGTTGCTCCTGTTAGAAGCTTGGTGGAGTTAGTATATTCTTGTCTTTGAAGTGCATGGAGATACTTACAACAACACAGCTGCCACCTTCCTTTTCAAAAGTGACACCCCTCTTCTCAAAGACAGAGAATCTCTGAATCAACTCTTCCATCTCTTTAATTGCATCTTTCTCCTCAACCTCGCTCCCTGTCCGCAAGCTGATCAAAGCCTTGGCCAGCCCGGAGACATTCTTCGAATCATAAACCACCATACTCGGACACTTCGCTGCATTGCCACCTAGATCCAGGCTCTTGATAATCACCGACCTCATCTGAATAGCTTTCAAACTATCCACTCCACCAGAAAAGAAGTCCATCTCCTTACTTTCAAGCACAATTCCCATATCCTCAAATATCTTCATAATCCAGTCCTCCATCTCTTCAACTCCAAGGACCAAACTACCCTCTTGCGAACATTCAAGTCGAACATACACCTCTTCAATCACGGACGCAAAATCTCGATACACAGCCGCTCGCTTAATCGAAGACTTGTCAGTAACAGGACATTCGACTTCCTCACCTAGCACAACGATCATCTCCCTCGAAATCTGCGAAAATCCCTCAGCCTTCGAGTTCGCATCTTCAATCACAAGCCACACCCGATCAAGAAACTCCTCATCGCTCAAACCCCTTGCATTTGCGCCTCGAAAAAGCAGAAGACCAGGCACAGAACGATCAACACCGAACACGACCGCTTCTCTGACGAAAGGATGCTGGGTGATACGCCCTTCGATCGCGAGCGGGAGCACTTTCTCGCCGTTCAGCAAGGTGATACGGTCGTCGAGGCGGCCGATGGGTTTCCATGCGTTTGAGATAGTGGGGTGAGGGATGAAGAGGTCGGATGTGTGGTATGAGTTTGGGGGGTCGTTGGAATTGCTTTTCATTTTGCCGACGTGGCCGTCGAGGACGACGCATTCGTGGACTACTTCGTGGGCAGGCAGAGATGGGGGTTGGGAGGGGAGAGGGCGCATGAGGATGAAGGGTGCGATGTGAGGGGGTGGACGGAGGTAGTTCCATGCGTTGTCTCCTGGTGGTCGGTTGAGGGATGTTAGGATCATTGCTACTTCCGTGCTGTTCGCATTGTTAGAGTTAGAGTCAAAGTCACACAAGCGAGCTGAAGAAAGGGAGAGACTTACGCGCCGAAAACGGTCCCGAATTTGATTCCTTCGCTAACGAGTAAGTCTCCCAATTCATCAGGTGTCCTACTTCCACTACAACTAACAAGCTTACATCTCTTCAAGACTTTGACTCCCTCCCCATCTTTTCCGCCTTCACACAACAATTTTAACACATACGGAACCGTCCAAATGACCTCAGCAGCCTGACCATCCAACACCGCGCCTTTAATAGCTTTCGTCACGGTCTCATTAGTCTGTGGCATCAAACCATTGAACATGAATATACACTTCCTCACAAAAATAGCTTGGATGAAAGATATGAAGCCATGAGCATGAAACAGTGGCACGGATTGAAAAGCAGTCAATTTCTGCGCAGTCCGAAAAGTGGCGAAGAGACGGGCATTGCGGTAGTCGATTGGTTTTGGCGTCCCGGTGCTACCAGAGGAGTGCATCAAGATCAGAATCTTCTTTTTCTCTGCTTCGCCGTCGATATTGTCTCGTCTGAATTCTGGGGTCTGGATCGAGGATGGGGTATCATATTGTGAGCGTGTGAGGATGGGGAAGAGTGTCAGTGGGAATTCGCGGGAGGTTTTGGTGGCGAGGGAGAGGTATTGTGGCGCGTGGAAGAGGAGGGTGGCTTTTGCGTTGGAGAGGAGAGATACGCATGCTGAGACGGGAAGGCGAGGTGAGAGGATGAATGTTGTGTAGCCTAGGCGGCCGAGGGCGAAGATGGTGAGGATGTAGGAGAGGGTTGAGGGACCGTAGATTGCTGCTACGGTATCTTGGTACTGTATTATTAACGTTTAGCACAGTTTTAGAACTCGAGATACTTATGTCAAACAGAAATTCAAGGCGCAAGGAATTGGAAAAGAGTAGCAAGAACACAAGACAAACCACAGGTTGAACACCCATCCCAATCAAGGCCTTCGCAGCTCCGTCAACCAATCTATTGAGCTCCTTTCCAGTGAAGAACTCATAATCGTCGACTCCATCTGTCGTCTTAGGATACGCAATGAGAGGAACTTGTTCCAAGTCTTCTGCTCGCTCTCGAATTACATCGTCGAACGAATACAGCTTCTTTTCCTCGAGTTTAGCTCGCAATACTGGCGTATCCTGGGGTTCACTGATATCGCCCATCGTCTGACGATTCTCCTTTTTTTTTCCTTTTGCGAATTCTGTGTCTTCGTCCTTCGCAGCAGCTTTGATTCTCGTATAATAATCCAACCCTCGCTTACCCGGAACCCCAGTACCACCTCACAATCGTCAAGAACTGATAAATTCAACAAAAGAAGAAAGAAGCTTCACCATCGAGATTACTGCAAGCTTCTAACGCCACCTCATCAAGCTTCTCCCGTCCTTCCCTCTCTCCTCCCCGCGTAAAAAAAAAGAAGCTATCGACAAACGCAACCCCACTATCGCAAACTCGACCCAAAACGGACCTATCTCCTAGCTGCTGCAGAAAGGAAGCTTGCTTCCGCCAGCCGTTTGTCCCGGACGTGCAGTCAGGGTTCATGACAGTGGGGCGGGCCGGCGAAAGGATCTGAATCCCTGTTTGACGCTCTAAGCGAGGGACCCTTGGGGTTCAAGGGATTCGAGACATGGAGGTGGGATTGGGAAGGTGGGACGGCCGCCGTTGGGATGACAGGGTCGTCGAGAATCGTGTGTTACCCGGGGTGCCGAGTCTGTATCATTGGGATTTGAATGGCACGCTGGATGAGGAAGGGTGAGATTGCGTGGTTTCTGTCTTGGGATGAGGTTGGATCCTTCGACGATGTCTTGAGACGATTTTTTTCGATTGATGCAGGAGGGGGGAAGCAGGTACCCGAGGTTGGGAATGGGGTGATTGGAAGGTCTAGATGGATTTGCATAGGATGATTTTTTGAAGCATTTGTCGGGTTTGCTTACGGACATCTCGACTCTAGAATCCTGAGGCAAGTGTCGAGAGAACGAGTACGAATATTGGAGACGAAGTCGTCTAACTAGCTCGGAGGGAGATGTGCTCGATCGACGAGATGCTCACGCAAAAGCTGGGTCTTCATCCATGTCGACACCTGCATAATATCTTGGACAAAAGATCAACACTCTGATAAACCAAAAGTAATCACGGCGCCGACCTTCTAGAATTGGGAATGCTTGAGAGCCAAGACTTCTGGAATCTAGATTTCAGACGATCCGATGGTCTGGTTCAGATTCGTAGTTTGAAACTCTCGAGTCTCACCCCGCGGTGTCCTATAGTTGTGAGATTTTGATATACGTCTATCTTAGCTTATTTCTAGAGTGGCTTTAGTGAAGACCGGATCTTGAAGGTTGTCAGAACTTAGAATGTAGAGTGCCGGCACTTCAAGAGGGGAGAAACTAGCTTTAGGCAGGAGTTGGCGCGCATGGGATAAATTACAAAACAAATATACAAAATGATGCTATCAAGACGATCTACATTGCTAAGCTAGAACGCCGCCGAAACAAAACGCGCCCTACAAGTTTCTTTGGCCCAAGTACAAGTCGCTACACTAGCTATCAATAGACTTAGCAGTCTCAACAACTTTCTCTCCCTCCTCTGTGTCGTTCAATCCAGCGACAGTCCACTCTCTGATCTGATGTCCCTTCCACATCAACAGAACAATAAATCCAAAGCTGAAGACATCGAAGAAGGCCATCATGCCATATGTCCAGCCTACATTCACATCCGCAATCCACTCGTTGATGTAGAACGCTACACTCAAGCCGAATAGTAATCTCAGACAGTTGCCCGTGATGCTTGCTTCCGCTGGATGCTTGACGAAACTCTCACAGATATAGTTGACCGTGATAGGAATCATAGCTAAACTTCCAAAAGTGACAAAAACTTGACTAACGGCAATGACAATCCAATGCATATGATGTTCTAGCGCTGCGCCGAAGATGCCTAGACCGATGGGGTTGAAGATGAGGGCGGGGATCCAGAGGGCATGGAGACGATATTCTGGCTTCCAGATTCCGCCATTGCGGGCTGCGATGTAAAGTGGGAGACGATCTGAAACGAAGTGGCCGTAGGCGAGGGCGATGAGGATACCGATCCAGTGGACAAAGGAGAAGTATGCGTTTTGGATGGTGGTGAAGCCGTATCCGCCGATCTTTTCGGGCTTCTGGAGGAAGACAGGTGTTACTGCGTTCATTGCTACAAATAATAGGTCAGTATGTGTTGATGAGAAAAGTAAGAGGTAGTGCAAATCTTACCGATGTAGAAACCAAAACTGATGAGAGTGAAGACACTCAGGATCAAAGTGACAGGTGACACAGCAACGAGGAATGGAATGGCTGCAGTACGGCCTGTCTGCCTCCATGTTGACTTTGGTGTGACTTTGTTTCCAGGAAAGAAGGTAGCGATTCTGTTGGCAACGAAGCCTTCTGGCGCTGGAGCGTTGACGGCTTCAGGCTCACGAACCCAAGATGTCTCGTGCATGAACAAGAAGCATAGGATAACTGTGAAGCCAAGCAGACCAACAGTCCACCAGAATTCCAGAGTCCATGATCCATTCGAGGAGATGAAGGCAGACAGAGTTGGACCAGCTACACTTCCAAAGTTCAAGCACCAATGGAAAGCAGTGAAGGCACGACCTCTTTGGTGCAAGAAAAACAAATCGACCAAGATTCGTGGACCGAGAACTCCAGTGACACCTCCGAAGAAGCCGGAGAAGAATCGAGAGACGATAAAACTGTTGAATTGGTTCTTGTGGGTCATCTCAGCGGCCCACACTTGTGTGAGCAGACATGCAACCAATGTCCAAAAGATGGTAGAGCTTCGACCAAGCTTGAATGAAACCGGTGCGAAGAAGAAACCTCCGGTAGCCAGCCCAGCTGAGGCAGCGGAGTTCTGTAAACGTGTGAGTTATGTTTGGTTGCCAGGCATCGAGGTTCAACATACTTGCCATGCGATGTGAACGGTTGATTGCTTGTAGAGAGTTGATTGTGATTTGACATTGAGCTGACCAGCAAGGGGAGCGACGAAACCTGCGAAGACGGCGAAGCAGAGTACAGCGACGATGCCGAGCTTCTTGCTCATCGGCCAGTTCTTTGACTTGAATTAGAATTGATCCTATTTCCCCGTATAGGAGCTGAATTATGGTGAACTCACAAGAGGATCGCGAGGGTCGTCACTCGGTCGAGGAATGAGGGTGACTCCATTTTGAACATGTTCATGCTTCGCATCAGGAGTGCCAGGCATTGAGGAAGCATCCATGGTCTCCACAACTGGAGGAGTGGTCTTCACTTCTTCATCCATCTTGAGATCTTTGGGGGCAGAAAATATCTGAGTAGAGGGGCTCCACGTGGAGAAGTACAGAGCAACGTCGAATATAGATGCAACGATTGACCCAGGAACTCGGTCGCGGATGATCTCAAAAGAATGTGGTTCGAGGACAGTTAGGAAACGATCGGACACCTTCTTCTTCCAGAAGGACGTACATCCGCGGACGACAAGCACTCTTATCCTGCGGCGTCAATGTGCAAACGTTCTAGAATTTGCACACAGGCGACATGGTTCGTTTCTGTCCTCCCCTGCGATGTCGCATGTTGCCATTTCATCGTCCCTTGTAACCACGATATTGATCGAGAGAGAACATGGATTGATTCGATAGCGCAATGTGTGTGTATCGGTGTGGATCTCTGATGAAAAGACATCGAGCTATGCGACTGGACAATCACTTGGAGTTTCCGGGAGTGTGCTTCCTCGAGCAGGGGAAGGAGATACCAACGCCAGGAGTGATGTGTGTTTTGCTAAGTGTAACCGACAGCTGCATGCATCGCCGGCACTTTAATCAATCCTTCTCGCTACCACCAATGAGAATCTTCTCAGTATCCAAAGAGGTTCGTCTCCGACATCGATTATCGATGAACCCAAGATCTCAATTTGTGTTACCTGAGAATTTGGTTGAATATTTGCGTCGTCAGCACTCAGTTCCAACCACAACATGCTACTCTCTGGCATAAACAATTTCAAGGGTCCAATCCTGACAATGGAGACCTTGGAGTGTGGCGTAACCCGACGGTTCAGTTAAGGTTACTTGCTTTGTTCTTCGTCGGGAGCGACGGCGGGTGGCTGTGGCAGGCGAAACTTTCGTCTCCATCACATCCCACATCCCACATCCCCCATGCCATCTCTTGTCCAGCTTGGTACCGCGGTTTAGTTTGCGGGAGTCTGTTCTTGGAAGCTTGGAAGAGTTTCTTTTGACAGCAAGTGCTTGCTTCCTCAGGAAAGATTTGCAAGATTTGCACACGAAACGCTAAAGGCGCCAGAAATAAGGGGCATGATAGCGGGCCAAGCCTGCCGAAGGATTCACATCTACCCCACTACACCCACTACGAGATTGCTCAGGGCTTGTTTCCCCAATCAACGCCTTGGCCATTTCCTGACCCATGGCCTGTATTTTACTGAACTGTAAGCGAGCACGGCCCATATCTCTCTGGAAGCCTTTGAAGCATTCTCTAAACAAAATCAGATGGTGCGGCATAGCAACGCTTGCACTACGGCCGCCATGTCAAGCTTTAAGATAGTGAAGTATGGGGACGGAAACACTAGACGATTGATACAGATCGACACACTTGACATACATCCCCAATATATTCCAGACACTGGGTCCGGGGTTGACGAAAGTTCGACAAACTGTCTCTGTTGTACCCTACTAAACAGGAATTAAGAACGAGGAGAAGACTCCGTCGTGATGATTCTAAGTCTAGTGCCAACCGAACGCAACAACGTTGCAGGATTTTCTTCGTATAGACCATCGGAGACACGCGTGCTTCGGGACTCGCAGGAACGTATGCCAGCCACCAACGAATCAACGGGCGGGAGGCGTCCTCATACCTTGTCGAAGCCTCTGCAAGGTTGAAATTCCTTTTGTTCCGGGAGCTATAGTACTTCAAAAGTACAATCCCCGGCCTCGTCGCCCTCTTTATGGTCTTGGTCCGAAAAGTCGTAACGAAAGGATCCTCGATTGACAGATCTTTTGGAACGTATTCCTTGTCACATATTCGGTTAGGAAAACTTGAAGAGAAGATTGGTCACTCACGGCCCAAAGATTTGAACATCCCACGCCAAGGTGATCCATTCGTTCCGTTGCAATGCAAGGTCTGTTCTTCCAGTTCGAACCAGCAGGGACCATCCTCAGTCCAGTGTCTGGGAGAGAACAATGAGACACATCATTCGGTCCGGGCTCCTTGGTAGAAGATTAGACTCCCATGGCACCTTCCACGAAGGGATTTTCTGAACCGAATGAAAGTGTGGCGCCGGCATTTTGGACGCCCTCCATTGACATTGGCTCAAAGGCATAGTTGCGAATCCGTTTTCAAGTGAAGCTAACAAACCCCTTGTATTTGTGTTCTGTCAAGTTCCCTTTCTCTCCGAAAGTGGGCCTTCGTGGGATGATTTTTGATGAAGTCTCCTAGTCTTCCACCCATCATGCAGTAGGAAGGGATGTCCACTGAGTTTCACCGGTCTTCGACCACCCCAGCAGCCAGTCGCGCAATCCCCAGCACAGCAACCTCGTAGATGTTCGTGAGCAGTTACCGAGTTCAGTATTGTAACCTGCGATCAGGGTCTTCCAAGGGGCGCAGGATCTGGTATTCGGTACAAAGGTACTTACATCTCGCTGATCGTTACTTCTCTTCGACAGCATCTCTGATCCTATGTCTTACAGCTCTTACCCTCGAGCCAACTTCAGTCTTTCGTTCCTGTCAGCACGTCCCTAGGTATGACTGCCTCGCTTGAAGATCCGGAAGCGGTTGCGTATAATCAAAGAGTCATAATTGCTTCAACGATCGTGGTGTTTCTCGTCTCCAATGGGTCCTATATCGCCAGATTGGTTGCGAGGAAAAAGTCGGGCGGAAGATTCCAGGCGGAAGATTGGGTGATGGGGCTGGCCCTACCATTCTCTTATATTCCGGCAGCATGTTTGCTTTATGGTGAGTGTTTCCGTTGTCAGAACTCAATTCGTCTTACATCTGACATCATTACAGGTCTAACAGTTGGCTTTGGAAAGCATGTAGCTGACGTCTCGAAAGCGGACTTGAGAAAGTTTAATATTGTAGGGTAATCGATGTATTGGCTGAAGAATTAAAGCTGATGTGAGATAGTCTCTATTCGTGCTTCAGAGAGGCAACCCGCCGTGCCTGCTCTGCGTCAAGACATCCATACTGCTTTTGTATTCCCGATTATTTCCAACTCGAACTTTCAAACGTGTTGCATTTGGCGTAAGTGCTTTTTCTTTCAAGTGATCATTGCCAGAACTCGGAGCGCTGAGCTTGCGAAAGCCTGTAACAATCGCAACTCAAGCATCATCAAATCTCACTTTAGTCACGAACACAGTTCATATCCCTCAACCAGAAAAGTTAAATGCTAACTTTGATCTCAGGTCTGGCTCTTCACACTTGGATGGGCCGTCGCTGCCTTCTTCTCCAATCTGCTCCAATGTCTACCTGTCGCCTTCTTCTGGGATAAAACCATCCCAGGAGGAAAGTGCTTACCAAACGCGCTCATTAACATTGGAATGACTAATGGAGTTCTCTCTTTCGTGGGCGATCTCATCATCTTATCGCTTCCAATCCCCATGATCTGGAAACTTCAGATCAATGCTAGGAGAAAGGCGGCGCTTAGTGGTATGTTCTTGTTGGGAGGATTCGTGTGCTTGACAAGTATCCTGCGATTCGTTGCGCTGGCAAAGATCAACATCAAGGATATTACTTGTGAGTTGTCTTTCTTTTCAATAGAATTGAGTGATGCTCTCTGAGATCTTAAGACTAACAACCCAATTCGCAGTCACGCAAGTCTCCCCTGGTATCTGGACATATATCGAACTCGGTATTGGTATCACTTCTGGCAATCTACCCCTCCTCCGCCCCCTCTTCGGTCGCTTCTTCTCTGGCAACTCTCGCAATGCTTCTTCCGCGACACCGTATGGTGGTCAAGGCTCCAAAAGCTACCCTCTATCCCGCGTCACAGATCGATCACACAATGGTGAGGGCTTTCACAGAATGGACAAAGGGACATTGGATGTAGATGTGGAAAGTGTTGGAGAGAGCGGAAGTGAGATTGAGTTGAATGTGAAGAACAAAGGATCTTCTAATGCGGAAGTTGCGAGTGGAGGACATTCGAGTAAGGATGGCGGGTTCTTGGGAGGTGGCATCAACGTCCGGACAGATGTGGACCTACGTATCGAAGAAGTGAGGGCGGAGATTGCGAAGGAGACGCTGAAGGTTCAACAAAGAGCGCGATGAGAGAACGAAGAGGGAATTGGTCGGGTGGAACTTGTGTATAGATAGCATTCTCTGGTCTGGTGTTATGTGGAAAAGGCCTTGTATTTATGATGATACTCCATGTATGTATGTATGTTAAATGAAGACAGGAAGCCTTTAACTCAATGAGAATTGATACCATCTAATCCTCAGTACAACTTACTCGTTTCTCTGGTGGCTCAGCAAACAAAAAATAAAAGCATCTCCCAGTCGCAGTCTCTTGTCTCGAGCAATATTCACAGCCACTTGTCTAGGCACTGAACGCTGTGCCACTCGGTACCGAAACCACCCAACAGCACGCTCTCTTCCGTCAACCTGATAAATGTGAACCCTGCCGAAGGCACATCGACCTTGAAACCAGTCAAAACTTCGACATGTCGATCAAGATTGCTCTTTGTTCCTGGCCTTGGTTTTTTGGAACAACTGATGTGAATGAACGCCTGCAGATCAAAGTAGATGTTGCACGTCTGGAAAAAGCAAGGCAGAACTTTATCCCACCAACCGCGTGGAGGTAGACAGTCACGGAGGAGCTTCCGCGTGGTGATTTCGGTTGGGTACTGGTATATAGCTTGGCCTTGTATCGAGATTCAATTTAGCCAGAATGATATGCAAAATCTGGTGGAAATGGTTTGGCGAACTTCAAAGTTTGATGACAAGGACAAAATCCTTCGCCAGGTACCTATTGCCGACACTTTTGCCGCTCTATATTCACTAGCGAACTTCCTATCTCGACTCAAGCGTAGAGTTGTTTTATCAAGTGTTTGGCCCCTATTGAACCCTCTTCGAGCAAGTTTCGAGTTTTCGACTCTTAGAGAATAACGGACCCATGGGTAGAAGACAACTCTTACTCACTTGGCTCGTACCATGGTTTGCTTTCCGTGTTTCTCCAGAAACGTCCAACTTTTAAGTCGCACTTGAGTCAAAGAAGAAATCACCTGCCTCTATAGACTCTTTACCTCTTCAAGGCTCGACCTCTCTACCAGCCGGCCAAACAATTTTACTCTCATCCTCCGCGCTCCACCAACCTCTTCCACCCTTGACGTATATCTCATGTCTCCTTTCCAGCGACTTCTGCTGTCTGCTATATCGCCAACCATACTCATCAATCGTCACCAGATCGGTAGCTTCTTCCCAGGGAGTCGAGAGTACATTCAATGCGTCAAGTCTCGCACGATCCCATAACACGTAGCCCCATTCCCGGAGAGATTTTCGCATTTCACAGTTGATGAAGTGAGCTCTTGTCTCTTCTTGATTCGCCCAGAACCAAACATCAGATGGCCCCGTGTCTGGGTCTTGGAAGAAAGGAGATCTTATCTTCTGGATCTTGTCTCCCTCTGTGTAATCCTCGAGCCAGATATTATCGTTTGTGTCATTAGCTGCAGTCAATGCTTGGTGGAGAAATTTGTCGGTAGACTCTATGAGGTCTGGATAAAGGACTTGGACTTTTTCGTTATATGTCTTCGCTAGAATGATGGAATGGAGACTCGCGAGGCCACGGGCGAGGATGGTTTCAATCTCCCCAGGCTCTGAGATATCAGCACGAGGGATACGGTAATATCCAAATGTGACGTCGTGTTCGACCATCTCATTGTAAACTACAAATGTAGAGTTAGTTGTAAAGACCCCAGAAGTTGTGGTATGAATACCTTCGGATACTAACTCGAATAGATAATTGTGGATGCACGTCAACTGCTCATTTTCCCATGGCGCAAATTTGTTGAAGAAGAACTCCTTTTGCTCCGCTAAAGATAACGGCGGATTCTCATAGTCACGGAAGAGATTGCAGTACAGTTCGAATCTATAGAAGGCTCGTTGGATCCGAGCTACCTCAGAAGATGTTGCGGGGTAGTCTCCACCTTCATCCAGGCAACATCTGGGGATTTCAATGGCGTAAGTCTCGGTGAAAGAACGAACATGTGTATGAATCTTGCTGAGTCTTAGAGCATCTGAGAGTTTCCAGGCTCGTTGAGGAAGTCTGCGTGGTTCGAGATTTGTAGATATCAATTTCAAGATGGCTTCTCGAGTTGAGGAACCTAGATGTGACGACCCTAGTACTGCGATAGCTTCGGGAAGAACACCGAGGTCAATCTCCGACACTAGAACGTGTTGCGTGATGAAATCCTCGGCGTCTTTAAATATGTGATAGAAGAACGAGCAAGCCAAAGCCATAGACCTCAATGATTCCACACCACGAAGATCAATCATGATTGTTTGCCATATCTCCGCCGGAAGCGTTTCGAAGCTAGATTTGCTTATCGTTCGTGCTGACTGTTCCATATTGATCGTGGCGGACTGCATAGACGGATCTTAGTGTGAATGCTCCTTGTTTCTATGTTAAATGATACAGGAGCTTGAAAGATTCATGCAATGCATCTGCTGTGCTGATAAGGACGGCGGACGACTGAAATCTAGGCCTTTGTCACTGGCGCCGTTTCGCTAATGGATCTTACGCGAGCCCCTGAAACTTTACCCCGCCATACCCCGCCGCAATTTTCACATCGACAAAGGTTGCAGTCGTCTGAAGTTTGGACCTTGAAAAAATAATGCAGGGTTTTGCTTGCTGATAGAATAGTTCTGTTGTTAGCCTCGCAGATCTCTAGATCATGTGTAACATAGGTAAGCAGTAAACCTAATAGAGCTCGCTTACTTACGTCAATCTGCATTTTGACATGTTGATCACTCTGACCTCTTGAGAACTTTATAGAATTTCTTTGATACTTTTCATGCAAGATAATAGGGAAACTTTATTTTATTATCCAGCAATTTTCTTCTTTCAAGCATGACTACCTCTAAACCAACAATTATCCTCCTCCCCGGCGCATGGCACCCACCAACAGTCTTCGCACCTCTCATCAATAAGCTCACAAGGCACGGCTATAAATGCATCCCGCTCCCTCTACAAGCCACCGATCAAAGTGAAGCCGTTCCCCCTCTCCAGAAGGATCTTGACGCCCTTCATCAAGCAGCGTCTAGATGCATTAATGATGGCGAAGATGTGATGGTCGTAGCTCACAGTTGGTCGGGCTTGATTGCAGGTGGAGGACTAGATGGATTAGGAAAAGTGGAACGGGAGAAGGAGGGCAAGAAGAATGGAGTTGTGAGGATTGCGTATCTGTGTGCTTTTTGTCCCGTGGAGAACGTGAGCTTGATTGATGCATTTGGGGGGAAAGAGCCGGAGTTTTATAATGTGCAGGTGAGACTTGAATATTTTCTTTCGTTCGCCATAGCTGTTTCAATGCTTCATATTTTCGAGTTTCAGGGAAGCTCGGGAATTATTACTGACTCTCAACAGAAACCATGGGTCAAAGTCACCGGTCCAGAAAACCTCTTCTACAACGACCTTCCACCAGACCAGCAAGCATACTGGGCATCCCAGCTCCTGCCACACTCCTACGCAACCAAATTCCAAGGCACGAAAACGGTAGCATGGAAGAAGGTACCTTGCAGTTACTTAATTTGCGAGAATGACAATGCGATCCCGTCATTTGTGCAAGAGGCTATGGTGAAGAAATGTCAAGAAGAAGGGGCGGAGATGGAGGCTGAGAGAATCAAAAGTGGACATAGTCCGTTCTTGAGTAAGGTTGATGAGACCGCTGATTTCTTGAGGAGAGCAGCTGGGGAGAAGTTGTGATTGAGACTCGAAATCACTAATATGTAATCTTGCTATCGGAATCTTGCTGCTAACAAAGTAACATGAAGAAACTGTACTTGCATAGTGCTAAATATGAGCCTCGAAGAATATCCAATGTTGCACCTGTGCTAGGGCGTTAGTGGTTGTGATACGGAGGAAAACGTCTGCACGTCTCTTGCAAGATTTCATGTGGAGGATGTCAAGAACAAATTTGTACTTTTTGGAAGCTGTGCATCATCTTCATTTCCAGTAGTACGTGTAGTGTTTGGTGCCCATCAAGTCATCGCCATAACCTTCGCCTTTGCCTTGCCCTCCAGCACCAGCAGAAACCACCAATGGTAGAAAGTGCTCCTCCCCACCTCGAGGATGTGCCTCCTCAGCCCCCATCCAATCTCTCCAACTCTCAAGCAGCTTGCCCCTCTCTACAGCATCTTCCTTTGTAACAGTTGCTGTAAGGCGATCACTCCATTCCTTATTCCTTCTCTGAAACCCAGCATCATTTGCAGCACCAGAAAACATCAATCGCAGGTTATGGAAGGTCGGCATGCCAGAACCGATAATAGCTATGCCTGAATCGCGAAGAGGTGCCAGAGCACGGCCCATGGCGTAATGTTGTTCTGGGGAATCGGAGGACATGATGGAGACTTGGACGATTGGAATGTCTGCTTTGGGGTTTATGAGTAACATAGGTATAAAGACGCCATGATCCCAACCTGCCGATCGTCAGCTCTATTAAGCATTTCAATATATAGGGTCTGGTGCTTGCCTCTCTCCCCGTCCATCTTCGGATTCAAACCGGCCTTTTCGAGAAGTCCGTACACTTCTGACGCCACTTCCGGGCTTCCAGGGGCGTCGTACTTCAATTTGTACGTCTCTGGTGGGAAACCACCATAGTCATAATATAGCTTATGGCTCTTCCCGTTGCTAATAGTTGGTCGGCGCTCTCTCCAGTGTGCAGTAATGAGGACAATAGCGCGGGGGGCAGAATCGGTACCAAGACCAAGCAGGGATGGCACTTTGGTTTCCATTGACTTGATCAATGCAGCGTGTCCAGGATCGTTCATAACTGGCATAGGTCCACCGCCATGGCAGACTGCGATGACCGGTGCAGGACTCATAGTGGTAGAGGCGGAGGTATGGTTCAGAGAGAAGGTTGGGAGCTGGAACAATTTGGCTGCGGAAAGGAGTGCCGCTGATGTGCGGTTGCTGAATTGCATGCGAGATATAGGAATTGTTAGTTGAGAGGTCAGTTAGTCTGGTAGAGCAGAGGAGAAGAGATACATGGGCAAGCTTCCTATTTGAAGTCGTGGTGGGACAATTTCTTCGGGAAATCGAAGTCGGGAAGAAAGTTCGGAACAAGCATTTCGCCGAGCCGAAGTGTCATCGGCTGAATAAGCTTCAGTGGTCAATTGAGAATCATTACTAATAATGAAAATCTTGCCAACAAAGATAATTAGAGTTTCATGTTATTTCATCTAATCTTACCTTCTCCATAAAATGTGAACCGGGAGAGCCGGGTGTACAGTATGATGATGGAAGTGGTAACTCTGCTGCCATTAATCATTATTGGCGTACAAGATCCGCACGAGGCGCATTGATGGCTTCGTTAGCACACGACCGCTTTAGCTGTAATGACCAATTCCAAAGTGTTCGAAACCTCATTGTCTTGATGCGATCGATTTGAGTCCAAGCCCGACTTTCCTTTTCAGCGCAGCCTTATCGACCATCAGTCATTGGATTGCTGAGGATCATTTTCTATAAAATTGTTTACGACTGCTTCCTACTAGGATGGACAATATATCGACTGACAGATATATTGGCTATCGAGAGTCTTTCAAACAGTTGATTGAAGACCTACGACTTGGCTCTACCCATGATACGAAGAGATCAATAGATCATATCAAAGATGTCAAAACTTTCACAATTTATTGCATTTATCATGTAACGAAGCACAGATAAGTTATAACACAGGCGATGATATATCCGTGTTTACACACTAAGTGGCCCAATTTCGACAATGTGATATGCAACGTGCAGAGAAGTACGGGACGTGGTATTGTTATATGATTGCGTACATGAGTTGATACTGAGCAGTCAAACAACATACACTGTACAAGGGCAGATATCCCATTGATCAGGAGAATAAGACATCCACGAAAGTACCCACCCAGACCCGTTGCATAATTGGCACTCTGATGCGTTCGAGAGTAAGCTTGATGTTTTCGTCGACATCTCCGTGTTCTCTGGGACAGCTTCTGGTAGGGTACCCTCTAGATCTGGAAGAGGCATTGTTGGCGCTTCCACTGCCGCTTCCCGGGTCAAGGGGAATGTCTGCTGTGATGCTGGTGTTAAGCCCTGAGCTTGCTCAGCGCTCACTTCACTCGTGTCTGTAGGACCATGGGATTCATGACAGAGCGTTGCTGTCGCCAATCCATAATTATTCATTGCTTGGTTGTCAGAGCCCGAAGTAACAGCAGACATCATGTTCTGCTTTAGAAAAGTTTCCAGTTGCTGTGCAATGTTTGAGTCAGGAGAGCTTGCTGTATTTGATGCTGGGTTGCTTAAGAGATCAAGTGTGATAGCAAGACATCTCTGAAAGAATTGCGTTTGTCCCTGAAAGTCGGGTGGAGGGGGAGAGTCAGCTTCGGCTTGAGACGTAGCGACGCATCCGAAGAGCTGTAGAACTCTCTGCTTGTTTCGAATGGTGGAGGAGATAGCTTGATCGTACACTGTAGAGAAAATAAGCTCGTGCGTGTGTGTTCAACGAGATACTCACGTGGATTCGGAAGTGGTAGATTGGGAAAAAGGGTGGTTCAGTAGACATACCACTTGGCTAGCTCGCGCTGGCCTTTGCGTAGTCTTTTAAGCTCGGTATCGTTCAGCTCAGCTGTCGGCTTCGTTATACCAGTAAAAGCTTGGATGTAGACAGATATCCAATCTTTCATTTCATGGTCTTCATTCTCCAATGACCATGCTCGCGTCACGAGTCTGTTCAAATTCTCGTTCAACTTAGCCTTCGTATCGCAGTCAATGACATCGTCAGTAATAGTCCGCGCCTGAGCATTGCAGATCTTCTGATGCTCGTTTTTGCTTGAAATGGCACCATCACCCTCGAAAGGCTGATGACATCGCTGGCATCGCACAGTCGTGTGGTAGTCTTTTATATGGCTATGTGTCTAATTAGTCAGGCGACTACAAAACAAAATACTCCAGAGACAAACTTACTCTAGCATGTAATGACACTCACTAAACCCTGATGTCTTGGATACCCGCCCGTCTTTGAAACAATGTGTGACGAAACACTTTGCATAGAAAACACATTTGAGCTTGGCCACTACACACTTGTCTTTAGATGCTCGAGAAGGTGCAGACTTATCATGACGGCGTGGCTTCTTACCGCCGCCACCATCATTTCCTTGCTCTCTACTCCGTTTGCTTGAGCTCCCGTCATTTGACTCTGTCGAATGTGAGCTACTGCCGGTGTTCTGAAACAATGAGGATGATAGTGGATGTGAACCCTGGTCTGCTCCGTCCTCGTTGGCGGCATCTCCATCTATCAGGCTCGAAAAGGCATCACCAGTGAACAGAGGGCCGAGAAAATATAGCTTGGGTACTACGTGATAGGTAATGCGACGGGCTAGCTCAGGCTCGCTTTCCCAAAGAGATTTAATCCTCTCGTCAAAGATCTCATGCAAGTCGGAGACGCTACCTGTGTCCGGTTCCTCGTCGCTTAAGCCTATGCTCGATCCTTTGTGTGATTCACCTTTGATCTCTTCATCGTAGAATGAGTGCTCAACCGGGACGATGGTCATACTCGGTCCGGGATCTGGTTCGGAAAGCTGAGTACTTGTGCTATCCATGATTTCATCTAAACGGGCAATTTGCTTCTTCGCACGACTAGGCCTATTTGCAAGAGCCACAAGGCGACTTAATTCATATGCACTCGACTCGGGTTGTTGTGATGTCGATTTACGGGTTGAAGGTCTGGAAGGATAAACAGAGTCGTGCTCCGTGTCAACATTTTGATCTATGGGCCACTGATAAGATGACTGCGGATAAGTCTGATCCTCCCTTTGGTTCGACTTTGAGTATGTCTCTTGTTGAATTGTAGGTGGACAATAATATTCCAGGGGGGCTTGAGTGTAAGAAGCTGACGCTTGCATTGACTGCCCGCTGTCGTAAGAAGCAAAAGCGGCTGTGTCTGCGTTTTGGACACTTAATGTATGCGCAGGCATATCAAGCGGAACTAAATTGCGATGATTAAGACTTTGAACCCAGCATATAGCACAGAGTGGCTTACCACTACATATCTCTGGATGCTTTTTCCTCATGTGAGCTTCCAGTCGTCCCTTACGCTTGGCTTTCTGCCAACCGTAATCCTCGACCGGACATTGATTGAGATCACCATGAACTTCGTCTACATGACGAACCCTATCCGCTGGACGTGAAAAGGTCTTGGTACAGCCTGCGATGGGACAGATGACTCGAGGGCGGTTGCTCATCGTGCCGAACATTCTACTTCGACGATGTTGCAGATTGAGTCCGTTTGGAATTAGTGTAGCGATGTATCACCTCGCTGTTGATGCACAAATGGTTGCTCATTTAATCCTTCAATTGATCACTCAAGTTCGTGCCTCTTAGGCGACAGACAACGATAATCTAGGTCAGGTTGTGGCCAGGCGTGTGTCATTCTTGAGCTGAGTGAGAAGTATGAGCGGAATGGAGTCATATTGTAGGTCGTGAGAAGTATTTTGTTATGTTGCTAATTGCGATGCATCGGAAGTCCGATATTTTGAAGTTGCAAGAACTTGCGAGTGGCGTTGCGCTCACGAATCAGAGCGGTTGCAGCCGTTGCAATCCTTGCTATTTCATGAGCGGAGAAAGGGTTACTGATTGACAGAAGGATCGCGAGTTTAAATGGCATGAGTTAAACAATCGTTATTCAGATGCTCCGTTGAGGATAGACTGGAAAATGCCTCGACGTGAAATTGTTGTGAAGTTTCCGAACAATCTACACGGCTCTACTCAAGAGTCCCCAATCCTCCTTCACCAAATCCGCAGCCTTCTCAGCAACAGCATAAACAGTAGCCTGCGTATTTCCCCTCGTAATCAACGGCATCACACTCGCATCCACAACCCTCAAGCCCTTCACCCCATAAACCCGTAACCTCTCATCCACGACACCTCCTTTCTCTCTCGGTAGCATCGCGCATGTGCTCGTAGGATGCCACATACTCGTCCCTGTCCTCCTTACATACTCTTTCGCTACATTCAAATCCGTAAAGTAGTGCTCCAGATTGTGTTTCCCACTTGCGGTGTTGATGGCCGTAATGCATGAATTGATTGGAGAAGGAGAGGTGAGGAGTGAAGACAGCCACGAAAGATGACGAGCGTATAACTCGAGATCAAGAGGGTGGGAGAAGTATTTTGGATCGATGATTGGGTCATCTTTTGGGTTAGGAGAAGAGATGTGGACGCTTCCTCGAGAAAGTGGTTGAGAAAGTGTGAAGCTAATCGCAACAGCTTTTTTGGGGTCCAGTCCGATGGTCTTAAATATTGCATTGATGTAAGCGCCTGATGCTTCGCCTTCGGTTTCTAGGCATGATCGTGCAATGTCATAGTACTGCTTTGCGAGTGGGAAATTTGGATCCGATACTGCAGGGTAAGCATCGAAGAGTGATTTGAGAGTTGTGGCACCGGCTGGGTTGAGGAGGTCAACAAGAGGAAGATATGCGATTGAGGAGATACCTTCGATAACGGTATGCCCTGGGTTTTGTTTGATGTACGAGGCCAATGCTGCGTCGATTGGTGAAAGATCGGTGTCGAAAAGTGTTTCCTCACCGGGATCTTCGTCGGCGATAACAAAGCGGTTCATGAGATGGTCTTGGAGATGCTCTCCTACATGAGGATTGTCAACCAAAAGTTTGATACCGTGGCTTTCAAGCAGGTCCTTGTTGCCAACTCCAGAGAGTTCGAGAATCTTGGGGGATTGAAGAGCGCCGGCTGCAAGAATAACTTCTTTGGATGCCTGGATGATGACGTTTCGATCTTTTTGTGAGAATTGAACGCTGGTCGCTACGACTTCGGAGTCGTTGTTCTCGAAAATGATTTTCTCAACCAGACAACCAGTCAAGACGTGGAGGTTTTGCCGAGTCGCAACGGTTGCATAATATGCTGATGCAGAATAGCTACGCTTGCCCGTCGCTGGGTCAATGCTTCTTAATGCAGGAAATGCGCCACTCCCTGCCCCAGAGAATGGGTCTGAGTTCATCCGAAGCCCTTTACTATCAAGCGTTTCTTGCCATGCTTTGGCAACCAGACTTTCTGGTGTATAGTAGAAAGATGTCTGAATGGGTCCAGAAAAGGACTTGTCGGGCCAAGTAATGCCCAATTGCTGTTTCGTTGAGTTTGGTACATTTTCCACCGAGAATGTTTTCGCGAAGTATGGTTTCATTGCGTCCCAACCCCAGCGATCGTTGCCCAAAGTTTTCCAGGCATCGGTGACAGTCTTTGATGGAGGGACATACATCATCACATTGATTGCACTTGAACCACCCAAAGCTTTACCTTGGTTCAAGCTGATTTGTCTGCTATTGAGCTCTTGCTATTTGCGAGTCAGTGTGTATCCTTGCAAGTGTTATTATAAAGACATACTTGTGGTGTGGTCTTGAAACCCCAATCGGCACGTCCTCCAAGATTAGTGGCCATTGCGCCCGGGACTTTGATCTTGGTGTCATCGATGAGATTCTCTCCAGCTTCGAGGACGAGAACTTGTATATTGGGATCTTCGGAAAGTCGATTCGCTAGGACCAAGCCTGCTGTTCCACCACCAACGATGATAAAGTCGTACTCTGAAGCCATATTCTGAGATGCAATCGAAAAAATGGATAAGATATTATTCTGAGATCATCATGAGAATTGAGCCATGGCCGAGATTATATGGCAACGGGTGCCTCACTCCAATCGAGGAAACAACCCGATACGCGTTCTTGAAGCTTAAAAATAAGATACTAGCGGTTACCAATCAAAGCGAAAGCATGCTAATTATGGCTGCTTATCTTCGGCAATGGGAATCTGATACCCTGATGCTTTGCCAGGTGCATTCACTTTTTCCTGGTTGATACGCTTCAATGCATTACTACTCCGACGCATGCAGAAGAAGCATCACTTTCTAGATAAAAACAAGTGCTGACGTAAGTTCAACATGGAGAGTAGTTTTCAGGCTTTGCGCCCTGATTCGCAACGTTACCTGAAAGCATTACACGATGGAACATTTGATAAGAAGATCAGAACTTGAGCCTTTGTCGTCGTGCAACACCCATCATCTAACGTCGTTTATTTCTCAATAATCAACATCACACCTCAAGCACTTGCTCGAACAATCAAAATTGGGCTGGGCTTGCATGTCTGAACGACCATTGACCAAGGATCTCGACCTCGAAGCGGGAGCTGAAAATTCACGTCGGCCGACATGATATCTGCAGGCTCACTGGACTGACTGTAACTCGAGACAACTGAGGGAAATACACGAAGCATTGAAGTTATGTCGATGAACATTATGAATAGTACAGAAGAACGAAGTCTGCGGGAATGGTGTTTGGGGAGGAGGAAAACCGTGAGGAGCAAGTGAGGTGATGAAATATTGACGGGTCACGTGCTTAGCCTGTGGCACAGCACACCCGAAAAGGACTAGCTGTCGATTTCATAATAGGCAAAAGTCGATCTCACTTATACTTCTTCCACATCATTTTAAACTTCATCTCCAATGTTCTTCTTCTTCGTCTTTCTTCGCGCAATGATTTTCCCTCAAATTGACATGTCTCCCGGCCGGAATATCACTACCGGCCGGTCTCTGCGATTCTGTGAAGCCACAATCATGAACGCGTTACCGCAACGAGTTAGGCTGCCAGCCCGAACTTTAGGTTCTGGATGGGCCTCGGTATCTCTCCTTGCGAGTCTCAGAGATCGTCATCGAGAAACAAAGTTCTAGGAAAACATCTGTGTGGAGTTGGAGCATTTGACCTCGGCGAGTCTAAATTCACATTCACTTCATAAAGTCTCCTTTCTTCCCATTTCGTACAGTTCACAAATTGCGTCCATTTTCGTCTTTTTAACTCTACGACTTTCCTTCGTGGCGTTTAATCCTGGGCCTGTCTCAGATCAGTTCGTCAGCATCTCTCCACTTCCCTTGGAAAAGCCAAAATTTCTTCCTGTCTCTCAAGAGTCCCAAAATCACCGGAATGGGCTCAATTGAAAGGCCATCCGTCGACTTCGACGTGATCATCATCGGCGCTGGTATATCTGGCATCAACGCAGGATATCGTGTGCAGACAGAATTGCCAGGATATACCTACACAATTCTTGAGGCCCGTGATGCGATTGGGGGGACGTGGGATTTGTTTCGCTACCCCGGCATACGATCCGATTCAGACTTGCACACATTCGGCTTTCCATGGCGACCGTGGTCCAAGCCCAAGGCTATCGCAGACGGCACGTCAATCAGGAACTACATCAAAGAGTCTGCAGAGATCAACGGCATTGATCGCAAGATCTTGTTTCACCACAAGCTCCTTGCTGCTGATTGGTCCTCCCAAGACCAGCAATGGAGCTTGTCTGTTGACAACCATGGAGAGAGAAAGAAATTCAGAGGACGATTCATCATCATGAGCACAGGCTACTACGACTATAATAAGCCACTGAAAACCGTTATTCCAGGTCTTGACAACTTCCAAGGGACTATCATCCATCCCCAATTTTGGCCTGAGGATCTGGATTACGCAGGAAAGCGAATGGTCATCATCGGAAGTGGTGCCACAGCAATCACTTTACTCCCAAATCTTGCAGAAAAAGCAGCTCATGTCACAATGCTCCAACGAAGCCCGACCTATATCCTCGCCCTACCAGCTGTCGACCCTTCAGGAGACTGGATGAGGAGATGGTTGCCAGCCTGGATGGCACATACTCTCGTGCGCTGGAAGTTCTTGATCCTTCCATTCATCTTTTTCAAATTCTGTCGTGGCTTTCCCAATGCTGCTCGTAGGATCATCCGTCGCAACACCGAGAAACAATTACCAAAAGACATGCCCCACGACCCAAATTTCAACCCTTCCTACGGACCTTGGGAGCAACGACTATGTGTCTGTCCCGATGGAGACTTCTTCAAAGCGCTTCAGAAGGGCAATGCTGACGTCGTCACGGATACGATCAGGACCGTCACCGAGACAAGTATCAAGACCAACTCAGGCAAGACCATCAACACCGACATCATCGTCACTGCAACGGGTCTCAGAATCCAGCTCGCTGGTGGTGCTCGTGTTTCTCTAGATGGCAAAGCAGTCAACTTTTCCGAGAAATACATGTGGAAGGGAACCATGCTCCAAGATCTTCCCAACGCAGCAGTGGTACTTGGCTACACCAATGCATCATGGACGCTCGGCGCCGACTCGACTGCCCGACTTGTCTGCAGATTGCTGAAGCAGATGGACAGGGATGGTCAGACCAGTGTTGTTCCGACACTGGAGAGCTCGAAGGGAATGAAAGACTGTTCGGTCCTGAATCTGAATTCGACGTATATCGACAAAGCGAAGGGTGAATTGCCAAAGGCGAGCAATGTCGGTCCTTGGCAGCCAAGATCGAATTACTTTGCCGATTATTGGGCTTCGGTTTATGGAGGTCTGTCGAGTGGATTGCAATATACGAAAGCTCTGAAGAAGGTGAATTAATACTGACGCACAAATCATATACTTGCTTTTAATGATAATTCTTCCGCTGGCGTTCAATGCATATCGATGGACAGTTCTTTGCGTCTTGCTTGGCAATGCAACATTAAAATGATAATATGATTATTCCTGTACAGTTCTCGTGTGTCTAGATTTGTATAAAAATTAGCAATCAAGCAAAGAAACAAGCCTCGGCATTCAAAACTAGCTTTCTCGCAAGGCTGGAGTGGGGTTCTTGCCCCTTGTCCCTCGGGAAGATCTCCTCCCCTTAATTGCTTAAGTCATCTAGCCTTTTGATGTTTGTCCAAGCCTCGGGACATTGCTCCACTTAGTGTATTTTCACGGGAAAGTTTCCCTCTGCAAAAGTCCGAATGCTCCACTTCTTATCGCGAAACTTGCCTTATGTCAGCTTTGCGGTGAACTGACTTACAGTACATGAGCCGAAGTACTTCCTTCTTATCAGATACACAGATTTTTATCACATGTAGGAAATGCAGAAAAATGTAGGAAAAACATGAGTTCATCTTCGTTGTCATCTCATTCACTGTCGTCACCCTCGCTTGCTTGTTTGTGAAAATCTTTTTGGTTCTCGGTATAAAGTGTAGCAGATTTCTCTGTTTGATACCCTCCAATTTTTTCTAGACAGGAGCCCAGTTTATAGATTTCTTTCTTCAATCATACAGCTTGATAGATATGGCGTTCAACAAGATGCTTTCCTACGTTCATCCACCTAAATATGTCCAAGCTGCCATTCTGATTTCTCTCGGTGGCATCCTCTTTGGGTATGTGCCTCTCCCACTCTTCCTCCAAATCCCGATGACTTGCTAACATGGATCCAGACTCGATACAGGGACAATTGGACCTTTGACAACCATGCAACAGTTCACCCAAACATTCGGACCCCTTTCCTCAACTGTCCACGGCCTCGTCGTGTCTACGATCCTGATTCCCGCCGCCATCTCCTCTTTCTTTGGAGGTCATGTTGCCAATTCGCTGGGAAGATTAAAGACTGTAGCTTTGGGTGCGGCGATATTTGGATTAGGAGCTGGCATAGAGGCCGGGAGTGTGAGATTGGGGATGTTGATTGCTGGTCGAGCCATAAAGGGTATTGGTGAAGGGTTGTTCCTGAGTACCAGTGTTGTGTACGTTTTCCTTTCCTCCGCCCGAGAGCAAATTTCTTCCAACCTCATCAAACAAGAAGAAAATTAACACGACCTTGGTACAGCTACATCACGGAAATCTCTCCTCCACGATCTCGAGGCACCCTAGCATCGATCCCTCAATTCATGACTACAATCGGCGTCTGTGCAGGCTACTTCACTTGCTACGGCTCCGTATCCCTCACTTCCTCCGTCTCCTGGCGCCTCCCATTCGCGCTCCAATCCCTAATCGCCTACACCTACACGCTCTCCACGCTCCTCTTCCTCCCCGAATCTCCACGCTGGCTCACCGCCAACGGGCACCACGCCTCCTCGCTCCTCATCTGGCAACAACTCGGCATCGAAGCCACGGAGCGCGAAAAACTCGAAGAAGCATCCCGCGGCGAACTCAGCGGCAAAGTCCGAATCGGCGATATCCTCGCCGTTTTCGGGAAAGATTGTTGGCGGCAAACTGGGTTGGGAGTCTTTTTGATGGCGATGCAGCAAGCGTCCGGCATTGATGGGGTGCTGTATTATGCTCCGCTTCTGTTTTCGCGTGCTGGTTTGGCATCGTCGACCGCGGCTTTTCTTGCGTCGGGCATTTCGGCTTTGCTTATTTTCTTGGTTACTATTCCTGCGTTCCTGTTTGCGGATTCGTGGGGGAGAAAGACGTCTGCTGTTTTTGGGGGATTGGTGCAGGTTGGGTGTATGTTTGTGATTGGAAGTTTGTATGCGGCGGGCGTGGTGAAAGGGGGTGAGGGAGCAGCGAGATGGGTGGTGATTGCAGCTATTTACATTTTCGCATTGGGGTTCAGTGGGACGTGGGGAGTTTGTTTTAGGGTTTATGTTAGTGAGATTCAGAGTTCGAAGACGAGGGCTGGGGCTAGTAGTTTGGCGTTGAGTGCGAATTGGGTAGGTTTTCTCATCTAGTCGTCTTGTGGTCTCAAGTTGCTAACACGAAGCTAGACAGTGAACTGGATAATCGCCTTTACGACACCGATATTCCTGGCTCGCTCCTCTTTTGGAGTCTATTTCCTGTTCGGAAGCACGGCGCTACTCACCGTCGTGGTTTGCATTTTCTGGATGCCGGAGACGAGGGGTAGAACACTAGAGGATATCGATGCTTCCTTTCGAAAGAAGAGTGGCAAGACGTTGGATGTTGAATTGAGGGGTGAAGGACTGCTTGTTGGTGAGCTTGAAGGGAATGCGAGTGGAACTGAGAGTGAGAGACAGAACGTAGGTATCAAAGGAGGTGCGACAAGTTCAGTCAGTGTGATTTGAGAGACATTAGTGTCCAAGTAACGGAGAGAAGTTGACGGATGCATGGATCTTTTTGTGGGAAGTCATCATACGGGTCGAGCAACTACTTGTTACTTCTCGGATTAACGACTTTCCAAGACAAAGTATCTCAGAGCAGACCTAACTCTTATAAATTGGCGTGTTAATAATTGAAAAGATCATCGATCGAGCAACCAGCCTTGCTCTATCAATTCCCGTATCCGGAATCTTGCATCGCCGAATCTTGTTCACCATCTTCGTCACCCTCGTTACCAATGTCGTCCCAATTCTCAGTGGACGCAGGAGAGAAGACCGAAGCGGGAGGCTCCGACGCCGTTATATCAGTCATATTGCTGTCCATGGAGAGTCTTCTTTCCTTACCCTAAAAATGTGGATTATATATTAGTCTTCTGCTGCTCACCTATCTCTATAATTTTCAGCTTTGATCACGTACCTTAGCACCGGTTGGTGGCGCATCATATATTTGCGTTGTTGGCTGAGGGCTTGAGGATCCAAGCCCAGGGGCTGTGTTTGACATCATGGGCGATGAAAATGCGCTCGCATATACTGTCTGGACCGGTGGAACAAGACCCTTTGCCATCGTTTCTACATTCCTGCGCTCAACTTCTGTTTTCGAAGGACGACCTCGCTTTTTTAAGTGTGTGTACGGCGTAGAAGAAACCATTGATCCACCATTTGGTGGCTTTGGCCTTATGTCTCGAGCAACCGGTATAGTCTCCAATCCAATTTGTCGTCTCTTCATAAGTGGGGGGCTTGGATAATCGAACGTGCTTGAATCGGGCTTGCGTTTCCTAGATGCGCTAGCTTGTTGTAGTGAGTTGAAAGCGTCTTTGCACTGTTTGAGAGTGCGTCCTCGAGGAATTAGCATATCTTCCCAGGGAGGCTGCTCTGAGGTAGCGTTTTCCTGGTAGAAGTTGTACAATTTGTCAATAGGAATGACGCTAGCTCTCATAGCACCCGCGATCAATTCCCGGTATTCGAATTCCCTGAAATCCTCTCCGCCATATGTTGGGGGAGCTAATGGCAAAAGAAACCGGCTCTCAGGCTTTATCGTGGCTGGATTAGACACCACAGTTGATGCGGAGGAAAGTTTCATTCTGCCATCGCTTCCAGACTTCCCTTGCGAAGATGCCTTTGTATCCACTTTGTCCTGAGAGCTCGTTGTTGTCGAAATCCTTTGAACGTCTTCGGTATGACTTACAAGAAGATTCCTGGATCGAACCGTACCGATTAGATTGATTGCTCGATCAAAAGCAAGATGAGCGAGTAGTCCCGCAGGTATCGATACGAGCATCAGCGTTGAATCGCTTGCAAACCCCGCTTCAACTCTGACTGCATTTGCCAATGCAGGCACAGATCTCAGCCATTCTGCAAACAACTCGGTTGATAATTCGGAGGGCTTGACAGTTTCAGAAAATCGAATACTTAGAAGGAGTCGAGGCCAATCCGGCAACTGGTTCTCTGGTGATAATGATGTTTCAGGCGTGCTGTCTATATTTAGAGCTGCCTGACTACTCAAAGTAATTGACGGTGCAGGAGATGGCATCGACGCAAGCCCCACGGAGCTCGAGTTCGAGGCACCTTGGCCAGAAGGGAGAGATGGCTTTCGAAATTGCTCTTCATGTTCGTCGTTTCTCGCTTTTGACAGCTTCCCAAGACGAATGCTAGGTGGCAACTTTGGATTCTGGCTCAACACGAGGTGAACCGGAGGTTTTTTGAAACGCGAATCCTCAAGTCGCCAATTTTGGATGTAAGAAAATATTGCGTTGTAAAGGTATCCAATAGTGAAGCCTGGCAGAGTTGACAGGAGACGCAACTTTTCATTGAGTGCGTGAGTAAATGAGAACTGGCCAACTCCATTGGCAATAACGTTGAAAGCACAAGCAGCAAGCATTTCCGTCACACCATTGCCTTCGTCTGTAGTGCACACTCCAGCTGCGCAGCAATCAAGAAGTATGAGTACGTCAGATTGAGACTCTTCCAAAGTGCTTTGGATACCAGACCATCTGATCGTCGGACAGCGATCCTTATGACTGTCCCGGAAGCTGTCAGGAAGCTGTCAGTACTCGTAGAAATTGTTCAAAACTTCAAGGTCGCTGACCCAGCACTCACCTAGTCCATGCCAGCTGACCATGATTAGTCAACCTCCCATGCCCACCATAATACACGATTTTGAGATGGTTTACTTCATCCGCAGCCAGAAATTGCAAGATCTTCCCTTGAAGTCGGTTGTGGCAATTTTTAGCTGGGATCAGCCATCTGTCCACGTCGTAGCCGTAAACGAACTCAAATATATCTGCAAGCTCCTGAATCTCCAAGGAGACAGGAAGTTTGGGATCCTCTTCTTCCCAGGAAAGGAGAATAACGTCCACTTTGTTGTATCGAGACGTTTGATTGGCGGGAAATATGGCATTCGCAGCCTTCTGAAGGCTCTGTCCAAAGTCTTCGAGACCCGTGTGGTCATTCAACCGATCGAGATCTTGAAACGATGGAGGTTTCTTCTTGCGTGGTAACAGGTCCTTATCAACCTCCAAAGAATCGGTGCAAGATGAGAGAGATTGTGATCGCCGTCTTTTGAGAGGTGACCCGAAACTCTCAGGAGGGCTCAGCATAGATTCTGTCTCAGAGACACTAACATTGGGGCCTTGACTCGGCTTGAAATCAGTCATTGCTTGCTAGGCAACAAGGGTCGTGTGTTTTTAATATGCAAACCACAATTCCATGAGGCTGGTTAGAGCAGAGCGATTCAGCCCCAGCATTTTGCAATCAACAGCCTCGTCTATTAATAGTGCAAGCCAACCGAACGCCACATAAATTTCTTTGACACTCCCAAAAGCGTTCGCAACCAGTGGTAGAAAATTGGTAATTGAAGAAGCCTTTTAGGGTGACCTACTTAAGCTTATTATTAACATCTTTTGCAAGCTTTCTTCATTACTGCATTGCTGGCGGAAACATGTGACCAAGATCACGCTATCACGTGTACGGCCCTGATACACAGGTAGGTAGAAGAAGGGAGGAACGGAACACACGTCATTCCTTTGGCAAACCTATATGTGAAAGTAGTTTTTCTAGGCAAAGAGCGAAGCTAAAGCACTACCGTACAGAACCGATAAGGAAACCTACCCCACATTCCGAGCGTAGCCGTATTCGTTCTGAAATATGCGGTTATTCTAGATTTGGACTAAGCTGAAATTCTGAAGTCCTTGGTTGGAATTATTGAATGTTACCTCTGGATGACGATTTAGTAGGAAATATCTGGGAGCTCCAAAATAAGTCACTGATCAATTTCTTAGGTTTTGTTTTACATGTTTATGTAATGAAAGCCGATAATCCGGAGTCCAGCTCCGAGGCGTGTCGCTTCGCTTCGCGCCCTTTCTCTGACTCTTCGCTCCCACCCTTAAAAGAATCTCGAGAATCTTGGGATTTTGTTACACAAATCCTTTCCGTCCCTCAAGTTAAATTCCGTTAGTGACAATCCCGAATTTGCCATTCGCCATGTCAGATATCTTGTCGGCTGTTGAGCTGCTTCGAACGAAAAGAAATGATTTCTTGCCCAAAGAGCCACGGAGCTCTCTCTCAATATCACACCCAGTCCTCGATTCAAATGCCCCTGAGGGGCGGAAATCTGTTTCAGCCAGCTTCTCGCAATTGCCTGTTGATGTTGAAGATGGAACCTTGAAACAAGGGCGCGTTATACTCATCATCATAGTCCTGACAGGCGTCAATTTTCTTGGCAGTCTGTGCAACGGATTCATCACTATCGGCCTACCAAGAATGGCATCAGATCTTTCGTTGTCACAGAATCTCATTTTATGGCCATCCGCAGTATACTAGCAAGTCTTTCCTGTCATTCAAAGACGGTTCTCAATACTGACGATAATAGCTTGACGAGCAGTTCCTGCCTACTCCTGGCAGGCTCTATCGCCGACGTGATCGGTTCCAAACGTGTTAATCTGCTAGGTTGCTTCTTGACCAGTATCTTCATTCTTGCATGCGGTTTAGCTCGTACAGGCATTGAATTGATTATGTTTCGCGCAATGCAAGGAATTGCAGTCTCGCTTTGCCTGCCGACTTCCGTGGCTATTGTCGCAAATGCCGCTCCAAGTGGCAGGAAACGCAATATCGGATTCTCTTGTCTTGGTTTTGTGCAACCAATTGGATTTTCCATGGGTATGGTGCTTGAGGGTGTTATTCTTGACACTGTGGGCTGGCGATTCTCGTACTACCTTTGTGGAAGTCTTTCTCTGGCGCTTTTTGCGATTAGTCTATGGGCCTTGCCCAAAGATGCTGCGATTGAGGGGTCTATTCTTAGCAAGTTGAAGAAGATTGATTGGATTGGAGCATTGATAGCCTCGACATCTCTCGCACTTTTCTCCTATATTCTTGCGTAAGTCACTCCTCATTCTGACCAAAGGGAAACATCTGACTCTGAGCTAGGTCACTGAGTAGCTCTGTCTCTTACATCTCTCGCCCGGCGAATATTGCTCTGTTGATAATCAGCGTTGCTCTCATCCCAGTATTCATCATTTGGGAAGCGCATCGCGAACGCTTGCGCCTTCCGGCTCTCATTCCTAACTCGCTTTGGAGAAACATGGTATTCACTAGTGTCTGCCTTTCAGTACTATTCTCCAATGCCGTTGCAAATGCAATGGAGGTCTTCTGCTCGCTTTTGTAAGTTCGGTCCCAGTAATATTCCAACCATACAAAGTGCTTACACACCTTTAGTTTCCAAGAAGTTCAGCACACATCAGCCCTAGGAGCTTCCTTGCGCATACTGCCTTCTCTTGTAGTAGGCTTCCTGATTCAGCTTACAACAGGACTACTTATCCACCGGACTAGCCCTTACCTCTTGGTCGTACTCGCCCTTGTCCTCAGTGCCGGATCTCCTCTTCTCATGGCCATCATTTCTTCGCACTGGCCATATTGGTATGCGGCGTTTCCCGCACAGCTTCTCTCGCCGTTGTCGTGTGATATCTTATTCACCATCGGTCTACTTGCTGTGTCAGAGGAGTTTCCAGCGAATACGCAAGCGCTAGCGGGGGCTGTATTCAGCACAGTCGCGCAATTTGGAACTAGTCTAGGACTCACGTTGATGTCTGTTGTAGCGGCTTCGATTACGGAACATGAAGCGGAGAAAGGAATAGGAAAGGAGGAAGGGTTGTTGGCAGGGTATCGGGCAGGATTCTGGACTGCTTTTGCATCGATGGGAGTTGCGTGCATTGTTGGTGCGTTTGGATTAAGGCGAATGGGCAAGGTTGGGGTGAAGAGAGATTGAGTGACCTCACGCAACTCGGTTCTTGTTTTGAAGACCTATTGAAACTAATCTATCTCACTACAAACTCAATAATCTTCATAGAAGTATTCTGGTCGTGGAGGGGTCCTTCGCTCGCTCCTCGGCGCTGCACTACGCGGCTTCCTCGGCCGTATCGAACTCTGACATCTAGGGCACGCCTTCATATCACAGCTCGGGCATTGCAACAAATAGGTCCAGACTTCAGAGCATTCGGGGCAAGCTGTGCGACCTTGAACTTTTGGCCACCAGCCATCATGACGGAAGGTTGATGTAGACGCTTTGCGACTTGATGTAAACGAGCCATCACTATTGAGGTGAGGGTATCGTTCCCGGCTATGTTTGGCTTGATCATCGAGAATCTTCTGCCACATCCGGGCCTGTTCTTCTTGCCGTTTCTGCTCAGCTGCTCTCTGCTCTGCTTGCTGCTTTCTTAGCGCCTCTGCCGCTTCTTGCTCACGTTTCTTCTGCTGCTCTTGCTGTTGTTTCCAAATTTTTGCTTGCCTCTCTCGTTCTTCCTGCTGCTGCTTCCAAATCTTCGCTTGTCTTTCTCTCTCGACCCTCTCCTTCTCTTGCATTTCTCTCGCTTTTATCCTTTCTTCGATGACTCGTATCTTCCTTTCATCAACCGAATCCGCAGCATCGATCTCCCCTTTCGCCGTCTTTACTCTGTTCTCCTCTTTCTCCAAGTCCGCTTTCTTTAAGCCGAGTCGCCTCTCTTTCATATCTTTTTCAATTCTTCTCTCTTGCCTTAGGATAGAGTTGCATGCTTTCTCCTCTTCACCGACCTCTGCCTTCTTGTATATTGGTGACAGCAACCATGTTCCCCAACTATTCTTCTGTGCTTCTTCTGCTGCCTCAGCTGCTGTAATACTATCCAAATTTTTAATTTGTTGCTCCAACCTTCGAATATCTTTTCGCAATTCGAAAAGTGAAGAGTCGAAGGCGGTTTTCTTGGTTTGCCATCGTGCAGCACGTTCTTGTTTCGATTTTCGAAGTGCAGCAATTTGTGCTGCTTCGCTGAGCGCTCCCGGTTGCGAGTTCGAAGTAGGAGTTGGACGGGGTGTTTGTGTGGTTTGCGGAGTGGGACGATTTCGAGCTAAGGAAGGGTAGATGAGATCGTAGCTTCGGCGTTTGCTTTCGTCCTTCAATGTCTCGTAGGCTCTCCCGAGCTTCAATGTTTGATTTCAGCACACAGCTTTTGACGACCGACAGAAATATCAACTTGACCTTGGAGGATCACGTACTAGTTGGAAGGCTTCAGTAGCATCGTGCTTGGTATTTCGATCTGGATGGAGCTTTAGCGCTAGCCGTTTGTATGATCGATTGATTTGCTCCGGCGTAGCAGTTTGCACCACTTCAAGGACCATATAATAATCCTCTGTAATTGGTGCTGGTACCATGACTCAGATTAATTGCTCTCAGTTCATATCCACTGTGCGTTTGCAGCAAGACTAAAGCTTGATCGTAGAGCCTTATAGTTGCACAGTTGGTTGTCAATGCAAGTCAGGTCGCACTGCGCTTCCCGTGACTTTGAAAGCCACCAGAAAATAATAATTCAATTACGGCTATCACGTTCTGAATTGTTACAGAAGGAGCGTATCCCTGACTTGAACAAGCAGCTCTTTACTAATGATATGAATGAGCCTGTTCATCTTACGCAATTCTATCCAACATTGATTCCATATGCTTCTATAGCGATACCTTGGAACCAGCTACCACCAGATACTCCAGTCCGCGACAACTATGACTCCATTTCGGTTTGGCCTTCAGATTTTAGTGGGACAAAGAACGTGGATATGCAAGCTGAAGCCCGGAATTTATACATAGGAACTGCAAACACGAAGATCGTGCAATCAAGACATACGTTTTTCGAACAGTCCAGTTTGAGGAACTAGTCCTAGATTTCCTCTTCTTCTTCAAATGGCCACAGCATTCGTTTGGTTACCATGAAAACTCTGTCTGACTGTCTTGCACTGGCGTATCGTATTCATCATTCTTTCTGAGTTTGTCTATTTCTTGAGAAGTCTATATCATTGGGAACCTTCTTCTCCTCTCCCTCCGGATCTTAATTATCTACACCAGTTCACTCAGCAAACTTCATTCGCGACCAATCCCTAAGGGCTTTCCACCTTCCGCACAATGAATCATCAATTCCTACTTGCCCCTTTCTTGGCTTTCTGCCTCCACTTGAGGTTTGCGGCATCCAGCACGCTCTACACAGCTACTTGGACTGTCTCTGATGAAGCTATGATACAAGAGGTTGTTATAGAAGACCATTCAAGTCATGTCTCTAATTCGAAGTAGTTCACGAGCACATCCATTGTACCAGAAGATATCCCAGTCGGTGCTACCGTCTGGGCAGGCCTTCGAGCTGGAAACGACAGCAGCATCTTTCCACTCTTTAACGCCTCTTGAACAGGTTCTACAAATATCGAATACGAATTTCCAAGCAAGTAAGCAACACTCGGTAGCAACTTACCCGCCGCATAGTACACTTTTCATCTAACCCTGATCCAACAGTATTAGCACCCACCCGTCACTCAATCAACGTAAGTCTACGGTATTCTTTACCTTGAATTGTGAATTTGGACGATAAGCTGACTAACAGTGGCAGGGAAAGCTGGCTTTACAATTGACACTTTTTCTACCTTCTGGTATAACACCACCACTGATTTCTATATAAATGAATGGAACACTAGCATCTTTGTTCCAAATGCTAGGGGTTTGGTGTTTCCGAACCACAGCGAGACCTCGCCAGAAGGTATCTCTTCCCCATTTATTTCATGCCGCAGGGTAGCTAATATCGGCCAGGAATCTTCTCATACACCCAAGTGAGCTTTACCATCCTTTCCTATCATCTAGCTACATGCTAAGCTATATATCACAGGCTGTTCTAGCGATCGAACTTCAAGACGGTGTTGCCTGGGATTGGAACTTCACCCTCTTCAAAGACATCACCATAGTCTCAAGCACTAAAGATCTCAGTTGGTGTGCTAAGTAAGTGTTTTAATGTCATCTATTCTGTTTGAAGTTTCATACTAATATGCAAGACCTCAATTGAATGGTCCACCTTTGACTGGCTGGAACACAAGTATGACTAATCTTCAAGGTTCTTTTGGGAAGGATGAGGGGACAAGTAAATGCACGATTGACTTTTTCGAGTTCTTCTCGCCACTTGAAGTGATCCAGCAAACTTCAGAATAATCGAATCTGCTTCCTGGAGGCTTGCAGTTGAGGTGGTTAGTGGTGGCTGGTATCGATTGATGAAAATGAGGGGTTAGCCAGAAACTTCACTTATATTACGTAGACTGGGATGGACTTTGGCAATTACAGACTGATTCTCAGTCGTTTCGGCATTAGTCTATAGTCATTACAATCACATCGTTTAATCATCTCTTCTCTCGTTTCATACCCCAACAGCAGCTCCTGCGATAGCCCCCGCAAGTAACATCCACGACGAAGCACCCGTGATCATCGCAGCATTATGCGTAGCAGTGCCGCTTCCGGACGTACTCGAACCACTTCCTATCGGACTCGAACTAGCTCCGGTTTTGCCACCAGTTGATGAGGCAGTCGATGATGACCCTGAACTGGGCGTTACTGTTGCATCGATCACCGCCACAGTTGCGGTGTAGATATTCTTTGACAACACAAATCCATCGATCGGATCTGTACTCGTGCTTGGGACCAGATACGTAGTGCTACTATCCGACACGGAAGTTCCGTTTGATGTGGTAAAGGTTTCCGAGCAGGTGCCGGTGGTTGGGAAAGGCGTTCCAGTCAGAGTACAGCCGGTCGTCATGTATGCGCCGACTTCCTCGAAGATGATTTCCATAGCTAAAGAGGAGCTGATCAGTTTCTGGAACATTTATACATTGTATCGAGGAATACATACTCTTTGGACTTGTGACAAGAGTCATGGATGTCCAGCCCGAGTCTCCGAAGCATTGAGACGTCGATTCGGCAGCGCAGAATACGCCATATGTCGATTCAGCTCCTGACTATGCAAGTTAGCTCTTCTCTCTGTCCATTCGCTTTGCTTAAACTCAGAATCCCACTCACAGATCCCAATAGCGTTCCTGGATACGCAAAATAGTCTGTGGAATCCTCGGCTGAGTAGTCAACAAAAGGGATTGCCTGCCCAACTTGGTTAGCTGGCTGTACTTCATTACAGGCACCCACTTCAGCCATCTTACCATGTCAGTCCAATTCTGGTTCAACCACCATACGGAGGGCTGTGCTTTGCCCACTGACACAAAGCCCAGCGCTGACAGTGCGAACGTGCTGAAATGCTTCATCTTTTCTTGTAGTATCGAAAAAGTCAAGTTGACGCTTCAAATCTAAGATCGTTCTCGCGAATCTAGAAGTCGGGCAACACGATCTTTAAGAGATTCGATGCGGACATTAAATCGGTATGACTCCTGGGGCACAGCTTTAAGTTTATTTTAAAGTATACTCGCTAAGTCGGGGACACTGCCACAATAGGGGTTAGCGAGCCCAGAACGGGGCTAGCGTTCGGCTAAATTCGTCTGTAAGATTCGAGTTTACAGAGGAGGAAATACGAGATGGAAGAATTACACGATCAGAGCAATCAGATTCGCTATGATGTTTGAGTTTCGCGATCTTATCGGGAAGCCCGATATCTGTTACTGGACGGCGCAGCTAAAAATTCTTTCTTGAGGGGTCAGATTTGGAGAATGGGAGCCATACTTGAACTTGTAGAGAAGAAAATCACCTGTAGTTGAGCTCAATGTAAAGCTTCGAGATCAAGTTAAAAGGGGTTAAGTAGCATCATTTTTTTGGCAGATTCGTAGAACTTCAATTGCCCTTACTCCCGCTGATGACATGATTCTCTTTATGTGTTGAACTTTGTACCGAGTGCTGTAAGAAGGATTGACGCAACTTAGCTTGCTAGAAGAAATCGTGCCAGAGACAGTCCACTTAAATTAACAGAGGAAAATGTCTTCAACATACCATCTGGAATACTCTACACAAAGAATACTCAGCAAACTCGGAATAGCATCACGTGAAGCACTTATCTCCTTCCTCATGCAGCTCTATCGTTGACCCCGCAGCATAGTGGGGTCACTTATCAACCTCATGAATTGACATTTCCTACCTTCTACCACTAAATCTCAAAATGTCGACCAACGGAGAATTAGTAGCTTCAATTGAAGCTCTCCTCGCAGAAGCTAAATCATACAATGAAGAGCAACCAGATCGTGTGGTGCGAGCTAAGATGCTTGGCATGGTAGAAGCGCTGCACTACCGACTGGAAAGCCCAGCGGAAGCTATGTTCAGACAGCTCACCAATGTATGTATTCTCACGAGTCAATGATTAAATTTAGCTGATGAAATGAAAGTATTCGGAAACATCAGCTGTCCGAACTTTACGCCAAATGGGAGTCTTGGACAAAATACCCCGCCAGGAGCCAATTACAGCCAAGCAACTCGCTATTGTCACGGGGAAGAATGAAGAAGTACTGTGTATGTTTTCCAACACAGGGTAACATACAAAACAGAGAGTTCTGACTCTGATGAAAGCTCGATTAATGCGAATCTTGACCTCAACCGGAATCCTAAAATCGCACGGCGCCGATACATTCTCCCATACACCCCTCTCCCTAGCATACCTCGACACCCCAGAAGTCGAATTCTGGGACCTATGGTATACCCCCCGCCCAATAATCCTCCAGCAAAACTCTGACAACCCCAGCGTCGATGAAATCGCCCCCGTAGCCTACTCCCTACCCGGCTACATGACAACCCACAAACCCGACTCGATCCTCAACCCGCGCCTCTCACCCTACTCATGGGCCAACAACTCCGAAGGCAAAGTATTCTACGAAGTGCTGCTCGACCATCCGGACCGGTTAAAGCGCTTCAACACCGCCATGACGACGCAGGAAAACGCGTTACCTGTCCTCGGCATGTTCCCCTTTGCTTCCTTGCTGGATAAAAGTGCAGATCACGACCGACCGTTTATTGTCGATGTAGCGGGTGGGAAGGGTCAGAGTTTACTGCAGATTAAGAAGGAGCTTGAGGCTGCGGGCGGAGATATGGGGCGGGGGAGAGTCATTTTGCAGGATCGGAAGGCGGTTCTGGATGCGGTGCCTGATGAGCAGTTGTTGGGGATTGAGAAGATGATTATTGATTTCTTTGAACCGCAGCCTGTTAAGAGTGAACAATTTCCTTCTAAATTACTTTGTGACAAACTAATGGTGGGTTAGATGCGCAGATCTACTACCTCCGCCGTATAATGCACAACTGGCAAGACGCCGAATGCCTCACGATCCTACACAACATCGCCTCAGCCATGGCTCCGGACTCGCGTCTCCTAATCGGCGAAATGGTCGTCCCAGAAAAGCCTGAAGGAGTCGATAAAACGGTGTATTGGATGGATCTCTGCATGCTGATTATTGGCGGGAAGGAGAGGTCGCAGAAAGAGTTCTCGGAGTTGCTAGATTCGGCTGGGTTGAGGTTGGTGAAGATCTGGAGGCAGATGGTGGGCAGTCAGACTGTTATTGAGTGTTTGCTAAAGTGAGGAAGTGGGTGGTGTGGGACCGTAGTGTTGTGAGGTTGAGTAGTCCAAAGAAACTCAACTTTTATAGATTTTTATGGAAAGAATTGGACTTCTGGTTTTGAAGACTAATTACCTAGGTACCTGATAGTATTCATACCTTCAACACTTGTTGAACAGTTGAGAAAGCCCAGACGTCGTCAGTACAGGAAGCACTGGCCTAGATCTATGAAGGCTTAAATTCATTCAGATGTCAAGGTAATAATATCTTCTCTACCTAGCTCAGAGATTATTCCACCTTATCATCGCGGGTGTAAATCCATACAAGCAAGATATATTTCCGCTGAAACGCCTCTAAACCTTAGCCCTTTTCCGAGCCGCCTTTCCCTTTCCTTTCCCATTACTCCTAATTCCTTCCTTTCTATACTCATCACCACTAGTACTCTCATCCTCGCCGTCACTTTCACCCGCAGCAAGTATCCTCTCTACAGCAGCCGTGACATCCTTCTTCTTCTTCTCCTTCCGCTTCCCACTCTTCCTAGCATGCTTAGCCTGTTCCTTCTCCGTCCACCCAATATCATTCTTTGCTGCCCACTCTCTCGCCTCATCCGAGTACGTCCTCGTCAACACGCTTCCTTCCCTGGCCGATTTCTTCGCCTTGAGTTTATTGACAGCGTCTTTCATCCTTTTGCTTCCCACTGCTCTCTCTTTACCCACGACGCCGCCAGCACCAGCACCGACCGCTCCTTCGAAGAAACGCGTGATGTTACTTTGAGTTCCTTCTTGTTCGCGGCGATTCATGTCTCGGATCACAGGGACGAGAACTTCGTCTGTTCGTTCTTGGGTCCAGCCTATGGTTGCCATGAGGAAGTCTCGCAGTCGATCCAAGTCTGGAACACCCCATTGGAAAGGTTCAGGATTGGCGTCTACATCTGGTTTCAAATATGCTTCGGTCACTGCTGGAGAGGGAAAGCCTGGAGGGAGGAAGAGTTTCGTCGCTTGTGATCTTCTGAACTTTTTACGGAACGTCGAGGGCTCTGTGTTGAGGGGTTTGGAACTGTGTTGTGCTGATAACCACCACTCTTTGAATTCTTCCAAACCTTTCGTGGACGGAAACTCTGAGAGGATCTCGACTGCGGTGACGGGTCCTATGCCTGCAAGACCTTCTGTGTAATCCGAGCCCAGAAGGTGTGCGAAAGCAATGAGTTGATCGCGATTAAGAGATAGTTCTTTCTCAATGTCGTTGGAAAGGTAGCACTCGACTAGTTTGTTGCTGTTGAACAAATTCTTGTAGACTCTCGTGCCACCAAAGAGAAAGATATCACAATCATCCGTGACAACACCATCGACTAGACCCAAGCTCACCAATTCCGCACACTGGGCTTCAGCTTCCATAGGAGCAGTGACGTATGGGAGGCCGAAAAGTCGAAGAAGCATCTGGCATTCAGTGATCATCTGATTTGTGACCTCATCTGCATCTCGACGATCTTTCTTTTGTTGGTTGCGAAGAGCTTTGATATCACGCTCGTAGGCTTCTTGATTCTCCCGCTCGGATTTGTGATTCAAAGTACTTTCGAATCGAGCATGCTCTTCCGTTTCAAGAGCCATTTGGGCAAGCATTTCTTCGTCATCCGGATCGCTAAGATCGAATTCGGCATCTTCTTCGGCTCGCTGACGTTCAAGAGACTCATCGGTGGGAAGGCCTGGAACTCCGGAAGCAGCAGCGTGATCTGATGGAAAAGCTGCCGTAGAATCTGGCATATTGAAATCTTCGAATGTTGGACTAGGACTCTTCCTTGCTGCAGTATTTGTTGAAGAAGCTTGTCTGACCTCACTATCGTCAACTGGCAATTCAACGTCTTCAAAGTCTGGTTCAGGTGACGTAGATTTCGAAGCGACAATGTCCGTTCTATCGCCAGATGAAGTCATTGTATCAATCACCTTCGCAGACTTGGTGGTAGCATCACCATAGTTACTCTCAGACCAGTCGATCTCTTCAGCTTCAGAGTCCTGAGCCGGTTCATTTTCTTGCTCGACTGATGGTTGCCTGTTCTGCGGAATCTCAGACACAGGCGGTTCGGCCCTAATATTCTCAGCCACTTCACCAAACGTTTCGGATTCTAGGTTTGGTTTAGCTTTTGGCGTTGGCGGCTTATCCACGACTTCAACATCGCTTTCCTCGTCTGAAGAATCAATCTGGATGGGCGCGTTTTGTCTCCTGAACTGGCGTTCCTCTTCTTCAGCGACTTCTCTGTCTTCTGCATTCAATTCTTGATCTCGTTTCTTCTGTATCTCAACCTGTGATCGAATATCTCCACCGCTAGCCAACCACGGTGGTAGAGGCCTAGGAGCATCGTCCTCAAGGTCGTTGTCAAAGCCACCAGCCATGCCATCCTCTTCTTCTCCCTCACCACCTTCGGCCACTGCATCAGACATCTGGTTCTTCTTTCCAAAGATAGAAGTCTTGAAATCTAGTTTTTCAAATGGCAATGGGCCATCAAAAGGGTTTTTCAGATTCGAGACAACTGGCGCTGGCTTCTTCGGTCTGGAATCCGGAGCTTTCTGTCTCCTAGCTTTGGCGAGTGCAGCTTGTAGATCCATTTCCTCGTCACTGTCGCTGCTGATGTCCACAGCTTTCCGTTTTGGCACAGCAGCATTTGCTCGATTGTTGACAATATGTGCAACCATTCGACCACCAGAGCTTGTGATGGGTTTTGGTTCTTGTACTGCCTTCTGTTGGTATTCTGGCATCATGATATCTTCAAACTCTTCTTCCTCGTCGGACTCCTCTTGTCGGTGATTCTTCTGGAGAGATAGTGCGATAGCTTGATTGATGTGATCCTGTTCCTCATCCACATGTGATCCCACATCCACGTCCTCTTGTTGTAAAGACATAGCAATAGCTCGATTGAGTTCCTCATCTTCTTCGTCAAATGTATATCCATTTCCATTGGACGACTCTTCCATTGGATTATCGTCAACGAATAGCGAAACTGGATCCTCGAAAACTTCTCGAGTCTGTCGCCCATTTCTCGACTCATAAAACTTCTGCCTCTCTTCATCAAATTCCTGAGCTCGAGGATAGGTTTTGGCCTTCGGTAATCGATTCAGACCCTCAATAGGAACATCCTCAAAATCATCTTCGTCTTCATCGCTCACCAGATTCTGGACCGTTGGATGCAATGCATCAACATCAATCGGCTTCTCCCTCTGCCCGACCGTCTTATCCGTACTCACAACACCCAACGCCCAACCACCCTCAACACCATCATTCTTCACCAACACATACTCCCTCCCTCTCTCCCCAGCAATCCGGCCTCCCCCAACACCCGCCATATCGTTCATCCCATTTAAATTCATGAGCCTCTGCGTTAACTCATTCCTCTCCTTCACTCTCGCGATCTGGAACTTGGAGAACTCCATCCGATCCGGAAACATCTCCTCCAACTGCTCCTTACTAAGCCCCATCCTCAACCTAGACCTCAACCTCGCCGCATTCAGGATATTATACCTGTCCCCCGGCGGCAGACTAAGGAAAAACTCGCCGTTAAAATCAATCTTGCTGAAATCATACAGATTGACATCCTCGCCATCATGAAACTGCCTCGCATACTCCTCTAATTCCTCGGCACTCATGATTCTCGGGTCATTTGGTTGTCCCATACCTTCGATACCGTTCGTTAGGTCGGGGAGGTGATACTGATCCGTTTTCTTGAACTTGCGCGTCTGTTGGCGTTCGGCGGCTGACATGCCCATCTCGCCCACATACACCAAATCCTCGGGAATGGCTTCTTCCTCATCTTCTATACTCGGCAGACCGTCCCGTGCTCTCTCCCTATCTTGTTTCCGCTTCTCTTCTTCTTCTTCACCTCTCCGCTTCATCTGCACCGCCAGCAACTTCCCCGCTGTCCTCACAGCATCTTCTCTCCTGCCCTCTCTTCTCCGTTTCCTCCCAAGCACAGTCTGTCGCTTCAACGCTGGTGCGCCGCCATCGAATACAAAGACGGGCTTGATGCCGAAGTAGAGTAATTTGCAGATACGGCGGAAAAAGCCCACGATGTGGGAGTTGCGCAGCGCATTGCCTTCCTTGTCGCGGACCGCTTTCAGGAATTGGTAGATCCAGATCGAGGCGTCGACTGCGAGGCGTTTGCGATTTAATGTCGGCAGAGGAGTTGGGCGTGCGGAGGGGGCGAGGATGGGCCAGAGGCCTGTTACTCCCATGGTGAGGGCAGTTTAATGGAGTGTCGTGGACACGAAAGGTAGAGGTAATTAAGGAGTGGCAGTGGAAAGAGAACGATGAATCCAAACACCCATCGTCATGACCCTTCTACTCTGCTCGCACATCCCATCGACTTCACGGCGCCTGGTATTGTGAGAACATGAACAAGCTCGAAAGTCCTGACGCCTGAAAAGACAATGACGCACCGGCGTTCGCGTCTTCACGTGACACTTACTATCTTATCGCCGAACCCCTCGTTTTCTCCTCGATCAAAAGGAGAACCACATCTTCATCTTTGTTCGAAAGAAAGAAAGGATGTTCCCAATGGCACAAACAAAAACCCAAGCAGAATCCTACCTCGCCTCCCTCCTGGGCAAAACCCTCCGCGTAACAACCACCGACACGAGAATGTTCTTAGGACAATTCAAATGCACCGATTCCGTTCGTCCCCTCCCTCTTCCTCTTCCCTTTCCCCTCCTCCCTCTTTCCTTCTCACCCCCTAACACCCCCACAGGACCAAAACATAATCCTCTCCCAAACCTTCGAATATCGACTCCCGCCTCCGCCCAAAGAACCAGGAACAACAACGCAAGACCTAACGTCGCGGTACCTCGGCCTGGTGGTCGTGCCGGGAGAGTATATTACCAAGGTTGAGGTTGAGGCGTTTGAGAGCCAGTTGAGTAGGGAGGAGAGGGAACGGTTTGGGGTTGGGAGTGGGAAGAAGGAGAATGAGAGGGTTGGAGGGAGTGAGGGGGAGGGGTGTGCTTTGGGTTGAGGGTTGAAAATTGAGGGTTCGGGGAATAATGTTTGATTGTTGGAGGAGTGGGAACTTGGTCAGTACTTGCAGAGAGCAAGGACGGAGGCAACGCATATGCCGAGCCGCAGAACACATCTCGAAAACTTCGTCAATATGGCATTGACGTGGCGACATAAGAGGTCCGGCTTTCACACCCGAGAAATAAGGCACGGCCCGAGCAGAGGAAACCTTCAATATGCACGTCGACCCTTAATCATAAGATCTACAAGCAGATCACAAATAGTCAGGCACAAGTTGCAAAAAACCTCGAGCTTTTTTATTGCCGACTACAAATACAAATCCACCCTCCAGCTCCAGCGTCCCATCATAAAGAATTACTTATTACCACCACATATCAATCTCCTGCAGCAGTGAAACCAGCAGATCAGGAAAAACCAAGGAGATCCTGGGAATAGTTCGATAAAAAACCAAAGTGACTCCACCCCTTCCCTTCCCTTCCCGTTTGTTTCTTTACGCGGCAACAGTCTCTTGACGGCCTCTAGCCTCACCATTCAGAGCACTATCCTGGATAGAAGGAGCAGCAACCTCCTCCTCCTCCTCTTCCTCCTCATCCTCATAATCCTCACCGCCCTTGTGAGCACTAGCTGGGACCCAGAGACCGGACTCGCGGTCATTCATTGGGGCATCTTGACCAGTGAGATCATGTCCCTCGGGGTTACGCTGGATGTTGTTACGGCGACGCTGAGACAGGGTGCGGGCACGGGTAGACAGCTTGGAGGAAACGGCCGCATTGGCAGTAACCCAGTTGGTGAGCGCGTCCTCGCAATCTTGGATGATGGCCTTGGAGGCCTCGTATCCGTCATATGCTGCGCGGGTCTCGCCTGGGGTGACGGGAGTGTCGTCAATCAGCTCCAAGAGGTGCTTTCCGTAGCCTGCGATGATGGCAAGCTTCTCGCAGTGCTCGCGGAGAGCATCGAATTGGTAGGTGTAGGCAGCCTTGAGCTTCTCGCGGGTGATGTTGGAGAGTTGTGCTTCGGCGACGAGGGACTCGGCTTCGGCGCGGACGAGCTCTTGCTCGAGAACGACGATCTTGGGGGAGTTGGGCTCCTTGTACTTGAGCTGGGCAATCTGATCGGTGATCTTTTGCTTGCCTATTCACGTGATTAGCATAATACAGATCTCTGTGAATTGTGAATCTTACGGTCTCTGCTGGGTTGAACGGAAGCCTCAATGTTTCGGATGCTCTTGATGGTAACACGGTATTGATCATAACGGTCAATGTACTGATCCTCAAGCTCGCCAATCTCGTAAATCAAGACGCCCAACTTGTCCGTGACATCCGAAACATCATCATCGCAAGCCTCACCCCAGATAGAGAGTTGTTGCTAGGGAAGATCAGCAAGCTTCTTCAATTTGCGCCAAATTTCCTAACTTACAGCAACTTCCATGCGCTCACGTCCGACGAGTTCCATGGAGCGCATGACGTTCTTCTCCATCTTCACGAGCTGGGAGAGCTTCTTTGCGAGATCAGGGCCGAATTGACCGGCAGTTTGACGACGGAGAGCATGGCCTATTTCGATACATGTTAGCACGAAAATATCACAAAAGGCATCGAAAGCAGAAGCCACACAGTCGAGGGTAGCAGAGACAGTCATTGCGCATCGTGGCGAAGGACCTGAAGCTTGATGGGAGCATGCGACACTTGTAGGCAGGGCTTGAAAATAGCAACATGCCACTTTCACCACGACCCATTGACCGACTGAATCTTGATCTTTGGTCGCAATCCTCCCATCCAGCTTCAACCCACTGATATATCGTGGAGTGATGATGTATTTGTATACAACGTCATCGAAAAATGAGAAGGCTTCACTGACCGATACCACCCTTTCCGAACAATCTGCCCGACTTTGTGCTCGACGATGGTGGAGGAGGGTTCTGGAGCTGCGAGGCCTGTGAAGAAGTATCAGTAGGTATTCCTTTTGCTTATTTGTCTCGTAGCGCGTGCCGAGGAGAGAGCTTACGGTAGGAGCCCGCGATTGTCTCATAGAGTACGTGCGATGCATTGCGACGAGTGTTGTAGGATCTTCTTTCTCGTTGTTCTTATTTCGTACAGCGGTAGTAGATAATAACTATCGAGAAGGTGCGAGAGCTGTGATTGTGTTTTTGAGGGAAGGAGTTGTTTGCGTGAGAAGAAGGAAGAGCTTCGGTGGTGGTGTTGTGCCCTTTAGCTTCACTTTACCTGTTGACGATCCTCCATATGACGAGACATGGCGGTGACGTAGCCTGGGGCGCATTCACAACAACGCTAGCCGCGAACTAGCCACTACGCAGCTGCTCTCCCTCACTCAGCCAACCGCTCTTCCAAGCTGCTTCCTTGCAGGTTTTTGGACCCTTGAAAGTCCCTTCATTCAAAACGCTCCGAATTGAGACAGCTGTTCCCAGTTTGATATGATTTTCACCCAGGATATTCTCCTCGATCCGTGCTCAATTCTCAATCCGGATACTTCACATCGTCAGTGGAGAAATCGAAAAGCCACAGTCTAGAATTTCGAGCCTCAACCGAGGAACCGTCGACGTCACAACCTCAAGCTCTGGGAAATTAAACAATCTTGAAATTCTGAACTGGCGTACGCTTATTAACTACATGCAGAATGGTTCGAACTCTGTTCCTCCGCGAACCGACGTCTCCGGTACTTCGAGCTATTGTGGCTGTGCCTGACTACCTGACTAATTTGGGATTACCGCCTATCACGTGTGACGATCATTTGTCGATCCATGGTTGTGAGGATATACCGAAGCATGGGAGGGATTCTGTGTTATGACTGACGAGGTCGTTCATTGACAACACTGCACAGGAGCGAAGGCGTTCTTGCAAAGAAAGCCGCGTTATCTCAAGATTTGCACCAATTGTTAGTCAAAGCCATTAAGTGGGGTTTGAGCTTTGTCGTTCTGGCTATCACGCAATTCATCTCGAGTTACACTTTTGCTGAGAATTTCCCCAGCTCAACCTCAAGTGAGACATTGATATTCGGATCGATTTGTCCCCATAAGTTCCATTGTCTTCCCTACTTTTGATGTCCTTCTTCTTGGGCTCAACTGCTATTGGTCAACCTGCAGAGGTTGCTCCAGGACGAGGCTGACCTGCATGACACCCATGTCCAGCGAGGCGGGGAAACTCAAGATGCAACTTCAAACCTCAACTTTTCACCAGCTCGATCCCTCGGACGTTCTAGAGACAAGTTTGTACCTACTATTTCACATTGTGTTTGTCATGCGCAGTATTCACAGAGGCTCAGTAGGTCGATGCCCTGCTCGCTGATACTGCTCGGAATCACATAGTTGTATTATAAATCCACAGCCTCGTCGCTCGTACCAGGATATCTGAGCACACGATAAGCCAAAGACACCTATCTCTGTGGTGGCAGATGAGGTGTTCGAGTCAATTCTCAAGATCCATCAGAGGAGACAACTATCTTCTGCAAAATGGGGGACTTCCGTCAATCTAGGAGAAATTGGACGGCAGAGGTTGCCGAGGGGCTCGTTGATACGTGCGTCTCTTCCCGCGACTGTCCATACCTTGATGATAACATTATTCCAGTTCCCAAAGTATCTTTATTGCTGTCATGGGCGTCACCGGTGCTGGGAAGAGTTCATTTATTTCCCTGTGTAGCGACGAAACCGTCGAAGTTGGGCACGATTTAACGGCTCGTGAGCTGCACCCCAATCTCTCCCCAGATTCTTGCTAACAAATTGGGGCTTTAGATACTAGTAGAGTGGACGTCTATTCGTTTAAATATAATTCATCAACCACAGTCTATCTCATCGATACCCCAGGCTTCGACGACACGAGCCGATCCGATACCGAAGTCCTGCAAGACCTCGCTGCATTTCTTACGAGGTCCTATGTCCAGAAAGTCAAGCTTAATGGAATCATATACCTACACCGGATTACAGACGTGAGAATGCAAGGGTCCGCGAAAAAGAACCTCATGATGTTCAAGAAACTATGCGGAAAAGACGCTCTGAAGAACGTTATCCTCGCAACCACCATGTGGTCACTAGTCGATAGAGAGAAAGGAGCAGAGCGAGAAGCACAATTACTCTCTACACCAGAATTCTGGGGCTGGATGAAAGACCAAGGAAGCACCGTAATGCGACATTCGGGGGACCGACGCTCGGCAGTAGAGATCATCGACCACTTCGTCGAGCAGAATGTTCCTATGACGCTAGATATCCAGGACCAAATGGTGAACCAGAACCGGGATCTAGATCAGACCTCAGCAGGACAAGAGCTCCAAAGCGAGCTGATCCGCGAGCGAGAAAGATTTCAAGCTGAGCTCCGTCAAGTCCAGGAGGATATGCAAGAGGCCATCAAAGAGCGCGACGCACTCGCCGAGGAAGCCTTGAAAGAGGTTCGGGACGAGTATATGAGTAAGATCGGAGAACTGAGTCAACAAGGCGAAGAACTCAAGATTAGCATGCAGAAGCTGCACGAGGCGAATTACAAGGAATTAAGGGATCATATGATCGAGCAGGTGGAGTCTCACAGGAGGAGAGTTAACGCGGCGGCTGGGAGACGAGACTGGAATACGCCCGAGGCTCACATGTTCCAGGAATTCGAAAAGGTCAACTTATCTTCGACGCCGGCGACTCCAAATGCCTCTTCAGATGCACCATCCGATCCAGAGATGAAATTCACACTACCTCGTTTCGAGGCAGACAATAAACCCAAAGAGCCGATCAAGTTCAAAGACGCAGTAGGACGAAAATTCAGCTTTCCCTTCCTATTTTGCGCCACTTGGGGAGTACGTTATCACTGCTACACGTTTTAAAATTGACCCTCGACTCACGAAAAATAGGGCATGGAAGAATTAATCAAACAAGCCTTCCTACACGTTGACCTCATCGGACCGCACGTCTTTGAGGGCCATTACGACTTGATCGGACCAAACGGCGAAATCATACTGCCGCAGGTCTGGGAATCGATTATTGAGCCGGGATGGGCTATTACCATGCATAGTAAATAATCATATATTCCCCTTCCCTAACAACGTCTTGGGTTTCTTTCTGTATTAGATATGCTTGCTTCTCCACAAGCACCATAGAATTGAAGTGAGCTGATTTGATTTGATGTAGTGTGGCCACTACCCGAACCACAGAAAAGTCCTCCTTTCTCAGGACCACCGCCCATCACGGTACAGCCGCTGTCCTCGAGCACTCCTCCGAAAACAAGCAGGAAAACTACGACGGCTGCTGCTTCTTCTTCTTCTTCGCCGCTGGCGTGGATGGCGGGGACGGGAACAGGGAAAGCAACCAAAGCCGGGACGTCCTCGTCGAGGAAGAAGGTGAAGATAGATCAATGAATCAGTGTATCTTTCCATCATACTTTCGCCTAGTAAGCAACGCGTATCTATCGAACGTAGAATAGTGTGTAACTCTTACGCCCGGCCCCCAAGCGACATTTCTCTCCTCTGTTTTTAGACTAGCTGGCTGGCTTTTATCGACAAACCCCCAACTCCGAATACCTAAGTATAGCATAAGAAACCCATCATCAACGAAAAATAAAAAGAGTAGCTAGGAATCTGAAGTTCTTATATAATCTACTTACACCCAGCAGCATGAGTGTATCCCTCTTCCGCGCCATCTGTTGCAGTCAAGGTAGAACGTGCTAGCCCACCTTGACTGCTATCTCACCTCTCTCTATATATATAGAGAGAGAGAGTAAGATATATCTCCCTATTCGGACATAGCATTGGGATGTAGTGTAGGCTGTTCTACCCCCTCCGCTTCTTGGATGTGAGGTTGTTGAACGTCGTGAGGTTGGATGTCGTCACAGTCTCGGGGTTATTGGGTTTCAAGAAGGTGGTGCAGATGGGCGAGAGGGGAGAGGATTGGATACGGATGGGGATTGGGGGGTGTGGGGTTGGGGTTTTTGGATTTGGGTGGATGGGTGGGGAAATGAATTGGGTTGAATCGGTTATCGGATTTTGGAATCTATGTGACAGATCGTTATTTTTCGAAGTAGATGGATCGTTTTCTGTGCGGAATCAGCCAGCTCTCGAGTCTAGATACAACTCTCACTCCATCCTCTAAATTAAAGATTCGAAGGCAAATCTGTTCTTCCAACTTCTACAACTCTAGACTTCGCTAAGACGGAAGGAAAGAAAGAGAGGGAGAAAGGAAGCGCTACTGCTAGTGACAGACTCAGTATTATTTCTCTGTGTATCTTATCTAGGTACGTCAAGCTAAAAAGCTAGCTGGTATGGTAAGCAAGAGCAAGGAACTGCAATTGGAAAAGCATCCTCTCTTCCCTTCCTCCCTTCCTCCCTCCTCCCACACATCTTTAACACCATCTCACCCACACTCATCTCGTATACCTAGCCGGCCTAATAATCTTTCTCTTCCGTCTACCCTCCTCCACCACTGCCTCTTCTTCCTCATCCTCCCCGTTCCCCTCCTCCTCATCACCATCCTCTTCCATCTCCGCGGCATACAAATCCTCCTCCACCTCTGGCTCCTCAACAACCTCGACCCTCGCCGGCGCAGCCATCTTCCGCATCTTATTCGCCCTCCCCCGACTCCCCCTCGGCCGTCCCCTCGCCGCCTTCGCCTTAACCCTAGCACTCTTCTTCCGATCCGCCACCCCATCCAAGGCATCCAGGGCCTCCTCCCCCACAATAACGCCCTTCCGCCCCTCCTTCGCCTTCGGCAACGTCTTACTCAGCCCATGCTTCTCCGCGAACTTCTTGCCGTAATTAAACAGCAGCTCCTCTCCGACCTCCACATCCCTTAACGCGACGAATTTAATGCGATGCTCGCCGTTGACGAGGATGATCTTCGCTTCGCAGTTCAGCCCGTTCTTGTCGTACTCCGAGTGGTTGATGAAGCGCGTGTTGTTGCCCAGATGCGCGGCGTCGATCACGTAGTCGCGGTTGAGGTCGAAGAGGAAGGATTGGAATTTGCGGTCGTAGGTGATGCCGCGGCGTTCGGCTTCTTGGGAGGAGATGACCTGTTTTTTTGTGTATATCAGCATTTTATTCCATTCCAGCGAAAAAAAAGAAAAGGAAGGGAGGGGAAAGAAAGAAACTCACTTCTCCAGTATACTCGCTAATAAACTCGCCCTTCCGAACCGGTTCCGCAAGATACAAGCCAAAGCCAACAAGTTGACTCTCGCCCACCACGGTCGTCTTGTGCACGCCGCGCTGCAAAGGCACGTTCTGGCAGCCGTGGGTGAAGAGCGCGTCGTCGTGCTTGTTGGCCGGGTTGATGCGCGCGTGGGCGCCGCAGGAGATGCATTGCGGGCCGCATTCGCGGTTCATCTGGATGCAGATGCAGGACTCGGCGACGCAGGTCAGGCCGTTTCCGAGGCAGGAGCAGCCGGTGAACTTGCGGGGGCAGTCGTCGGCGCAGCCGCAGAAGCTCTCGCAGAGGATGTTGGCTCCGTAACAGGGGCACTTGGATGTACAGTGGCCTTCGTGGGTACACTATGACAGGGTAAGTATCATTGAAACTTTCTGGATAATTCTGAGCTTACTGGATTGGCTTGTGATCGTTCTTGATGGAGGTGAGCTTTGGTCATGTCGGCGAAGTTGTTGTGAAGGGTCTTCTTTCTACCATCGTACCAATCGGGACGCTTTGGACGTCCTAATGGCTCCGGTACCGTCCTGGTTGTATCGTTATGTTCTTCATACTCCTCGATTGCACTTTGGGTCTGCCAGCAAGGGAGAGACAAAGCGAAGGCAATGTGGCAAGCTCGGTGATTCTTATCAGTCATGCTAATCAGCATTTCTTGAAGAGCGTATATATCCTTATCGGACCAGACAACCTCTTCAGAACTTTCGTCATCTTGGTCATGAATTCTGTAGCACTCCGGGGAGCATGGATGTTGGTTCCTGCTAGGTCGTCTTGGGAGATCAAACTCGGGTTGAGATGCAGCGTCGGCTTTCTTGCGAACGTCGTAACGACGCAACATATCGTTATAGGGCAAGCGAAGAGACTGTCGATGATCCAAATATTCCGGCTCTTGATCCTCATCATCAAAACCACCAATGGGAGCTATCTCTTCGTGGGTATAGTCTGCGTGGGTTTGACAGTCAACCGCACCACAGATCAGACAGGTCAGTTCCGCGTAGGTACCGAGTCGTTCACCTGGAGCCATTACTTGGTTCTCTGGACTTGTTTTTGCCTTCTTCAAACCGTCCACCATGTCTTTCAGAAGGATGGCAGGAAGCATGACGTTAGGAAGACCAATCTCGAAAACTTTGTCGAAAGCCTGCCAGAACAACTTTGCACCACTCTCGGCCTCTTCGCTTAGAGGGCCACCGAAAGATTCCAGAATCATTTCCCGCTCCGTATCTCTCAATCCCAGATTTTGAGCTTCCTCTTTGTTTACCATGTACCGAATGACGATATCCATATTGCATTGAATATCGTTTTCCGCAAGAAATACTTCCAGATAGGCTCTGATTCGAGATGCCCGTTCGGATTGTCGAGTAGGTACAGTGCGGCCATGACTATACGCTTCTTCCAGCTCTTTCAGCAATCTTCTATAGTTGGTATCCTTGTCCCCTTTGGCAGCATTGGTAGGTGCGGTCGCATCTCCCAAGTATGGAACGTATTTGAGCATAACGGAATCTGGAGACAGAATGTTACGGGTGACATTTGTATGCGAACTGTACCTCGGAACTCGTGGTGTTTCTCCGCAGATAGCCTTTGCAAGTTGCGTGCTCTTGCTCTTAGTAATCTTGCTGGATTTGGGATAAACCTAGATACATTAGTACAAATTGAAAATCAAGAACAGCGTGACAACTCACAAAAGAATCCAGGGCTTCAGCCACAAATCCATTTGGAATCTTTTCTTTGGCTGCAATTTGGACACTTTTCAAGGAAGCAAAAGGCGAGACCTTATCAACTGCCAGATCGGGGGTGCTCTGAATGCCTTCTCTAGCGTCTCGTAATAGCCATACGACCGACTCTGAGTGATCATCACTCATGTCCTGTTGTAGGGATTGTAGAGAAGCTGTGATCCACTCGAATTTGGGGTTCTCTTCTTGAGATGGCTGCTCTTCCTGCGATTGTTGCTCTTGCTGAGATAGCTGCTCTTCCCGAGACGGTTCCTCAATAGAAACATCCTGGCTACCGGAAGGTGCACTTTCAGCTTCAACGGCAAGGCTGTTTTCCTTCGCTCTTGCGCTTCGTGCCTTCAATCTGGGTATGAGCGGCGAGCTTGAATTAATAGTAGATTTGTCCGATTCTCTCGTACTCCGTGCGGATTTCCTTGACGGCGTAGGGGAAGTGCGGAGATTTCTTGACGGAGACACGGTGGCGATTTCTTCCTGTTCTTCCTCTTCTGACGATGTTGAAGGTGAAGATGCCTGGTGCTCAGGTTCAGAAACGTGATTCTGGTCTGACTCTGATTCAGGCTGAGAAACGGGTGCTGTTTGCTTGCTTGATCGTGTCTGAGATGATTCTTTGACTGGAGGGGTTGCCTGGCTGCGAAACCTGGTGGACCTGGATGCTGAATTCACCTGAGGTGCCTTTTGGACACTCGGATCAGATGGAGGGAGCATTTCAGGTGTCTTTCCTTTGCTGCTGGTTTGTGGCGGTGGTTGAACTTGAGATTTTTTCTGCACACTTGAGCGAGGTGATTCTTTGATTTGAGGAGTTGGGGTTCGTTGAGCGGTCTCAGTTTCCTTGCGAAGAGCTGCTGGTGCTGGACTGTTTGTAGGACTGGCTACCGTGGAGGTATCATTGCTTGGCTGGTCCGCTGAAAGTCTTGAAGCTGAAGCTGAAGCAATCGATTCTGAGCCTGAAGCCTCTGGTATATCCTTCCTAAGATTTGCTGGAGGTGCTCGCGGAGGAGCAAAAGGTGATGTTCTCGGCGGAGGTGAAGGCGACATCAAGTCAATGACCCCAGTCGAAGTTGAAGCTGGAGTTGGTACAGCCTCGTCGTCAGAATGGGTGAGATCCACGACTTGTTGTGCGGAACCTGAAGGTCCAGATGTTCTACCTGCTGGTCGTGTGTCAAACGAGTTGCGAGATGAGATTGAAGCTCGAGGATCGTTGCGGGTGGCGCGATATGATCGCGACCTTGCTGATAGGTAGCTCATGGCGGCGACAGAATTTCAGCGCCGTGTGGTTGAAGGTGAATGTTGGAGTGAATTTGAGGGTGAAATCTAGTCACGTGACTAGATGTGAATTTGAGAGGTTGCTTCGCCAAGAAGCTTTGAAGGGACAGACAGTATTAGATAGACGCTTAGAGGACGTTCGATGAGAGTGATGGATAGAAGGTAGCTGGAGGACTGTTGGAAGTGGTTGAGAGTTCGCGTGTGGTTCGCTCGACGCGTGAGGAGAGGAGAGATGAGGTTCGCGATTTCCTCAGAGCTCAAGGCTCCCAAGTCGCCTTCGCCCTCTCTTGCTTCACAATAGGATCGGGGTTGCTATTGTCTCGGGAACAGAGATTTTCATCGTCGCGTTCGAGTGGATGGAGGCACTTGTCGTCGAGTTATCATCACGTGGAATCAGGAGAATGAGATGAAGACGTTGAAATTTGACGATTCTTCCCCCTGTTGCACAAATTGCATAAAGTTATGTCTAGAATCGTCGCTTACCTTCATTCTTCCACTCTGCGAAAGCTCGTCCTCAATTTGAGATCAATGGCCCGATAGTATAATGAGAACACAATCGCCTTGCGATTCAATTCAAATACGAACCTTGAAGAAATCTCTCTTCGTACCTCACCTTACGGCCGTTCCAAACAACATAAGAAAGAAAGCTTCGCCTAGCCTCAATCATCGTACCTCGTATAGAAACCCCATCAAGCGTAAGCGCTTCCCTGGGCCTTGCACATACGATGTATCAATTTTCCAGAAGCCTCGCGGAATTTATGACTTGCATGCACCTCTTGTTGCATGACGCCTTCTTCAGCGTCTTCATTTCCTGCTGTGTCACATTTCTAGAAAGTCTGCCCCCCACGTTCGTTGGTTAGTGCTGACATCTATCCCAGTCCTCGATGTTGGCCTTTTGCAAGGGCTATATATATCATCCAATACTTGTAGCTAAATAAATTAATATATGAATATAGCTTATAGTTATAGTTTTATTATATATTATAGTAATCGATTGCAAATACTTGTATTCCTCGGATTTTCGCCCGTCTTTTTTTTTATCAAAAAATATAATGCGGCGTAAATGAAAATCTTAACATAATAGTATGTTTATTATAAAATATTTACATGATTGTTAAAAAAATAAGTCACATGAATTTCACGTGATTCATATCACAAAATCTACCTAAGTCGGTTTTCGTCCAAGACGCAACTAAGTTTTGCTACAACTGAACTTCCTCCCGTTCACGCCTTACGCAATCGCACGCACACGCACAACCAAGATAACCGTGTTAGCCTGTAGTTGAGAAACCATGGTTCGCCCTTCTCTCATTTCTCGCAAAGCACGAAGAGCACATACGCGGCATCAAGAAGATCTCCGTCAGCAGGGCTTACCACCTTGTAAAGGCTGCCATCTCTGTTCCCTCGCCGATATCCACGAAATCAAGAAGAAAGCAAGGGAAAGAGATTCCGATGCACCTTTCACGCCACAGCAGCAGCAGCGTGAGAATAAACCGTGTTCACGGAGCACAATCCGGAAGAACCTTCGAAACAAACTCTTTCAAGGCGCCGTCGTTGTCCCTCCCAGACATGTCGCGCACACCGAAGCCATGAGCGAAGGTGATGTTGAACCAGGCCGCTTGGTCTTTTGGACGGATGGTTCTCGCGCCGACGATGGTAGCTGTGGAATCGGTGTTGCGTATCGCTCTTCTCCTGAGGCGGCGTGGACCGAACGGTCTTGGAGTGCTCCGCGGTCCACACAGACGCATGTGCTTGAGGTGTATGCCATTTCCAAAGCCCTCGAGATGGCCTGGGACCGGTGTCGCGACGATATGGGGATGGAGCAGAGACCTAGACCAAGCAGTGTTTGCATCTACTCTGATTGTGCGGGTGCCTTGGAATACTTCACGCGATTCAGACACACTTTGACGGGGTTGAAGGAACTGCCGTATGGAGAAGAACTGGTCGGGCCAGGAATCATCGCGGCCGAGAGGTTGAGCGTCCTCAACGTTGCCGTAAAGTTACAGTACGTTCCTGGGCACTCATCTATTCAGGGCAATACACATGCGCATAGAGCTGCGAGAAAGGGCGCGAAATTTATCGTCGAAAAACGACGAGCAGGAAGGATAATGACTGCCGTGGGAGCCAAAGGGGCACGTAATCAACAGATAATATAGGATCAGGAGGCAAAAAGATTCCCGTTAACGATGATATTGTTCTGGTGTAGTGCTATCTACCTAGAAAGACAACACAATATTCCCCCGACTACTCGGAGTAGAATGGACCGAGCCCAAGCGACGAAGAGTACTCCTAGCCATAGCCTCAAAGACTCCTCGACCATGTAATTGGGTCTGCCAATCTCGCAATTCGCAAAAGCGTGGGGAGCGAAGGACATATGTTTCGGATTTGATGCCTCGTTCCGGGAACCGAAGTTTGAAAAGAGGAGGACGAAGGACCTAAAGTAGATGAAAAGTAGGTGTCAGCACGTCTGCTGAGTAGTTCGTCCGCAGACATCTGCAATGGAGTACAGAGGGTCAAGTTCTGCCGCACAACTACTACGCCTACCCAGAACTCCGGCCTCAGGGAGTCGAACCCATAACCAACGTCCGTCGAACGAGGCCACCACGCTGTCACCATTGTTCGCCCGGCTTCGGAAAATGACACGACCTACCTTCAAGCTAGACAAACAGATGCCTTAGAAGAATGGATCCAATGGCAGGGACACGAGGGTGGAATATCTGATAACATGTTCATCAAGAAGAAGACACTGCAGAAGAAGCAACTCCATCGAGGATTCGGCGGTGCTGGAAGAGTAGATGGGCTGATTCGTAACCGGAAGAAATGAAGGATGGAATGAGAAGATGGCAGGGAGCGACGGCTCTTTCTTATATGCAAGTTACGGAGCTAGTTGGGGAGAGCAGTTCCTTCCAGATGTAGCATGCAGTCGGTGACATGATATTGATGCACGACCTGTGCTTCGTGACTGCCTCCCGTCCAGACAACATATCACCTGATAAGAGACATTTGCTTACCTGCCTACCTTCTCTTATATCAATCAGTTGATCAAATCACCACCTGTGCTTGAAAAGTGCTCGACAAATGGCCTGCAATAAAGCTCGGTAGACCTGAACGCAATAGTAGAGATCTCTCTCTCTTTCTCTTTCTCTCCTTAGTGAATTGATGATCCATACATGCAGCCTCTCTCTGACCATCTCTCATCCCTTCCTCACCTCCTCACTCATCCATCCCCTCCCCAGAACTGTTCGGAGACTGAACCTCCACCTGCCTCCAGAAACCTAGGGTCAAACCATTTCTGACCTGAACTGCCTCTTACACACACACCCGAACCCGCCGCCCCAAGCCGACCGAGGATGGCGAATGAATGAATTGGTAGCCCGGAACTCTCCAACGACACCTCCTCACAGCATAGCATAGCATAGCATAGCATAGCACGGCGGCTGCGGTCCAAGGTCTATTCTATGCACACAATGTTCCGCTTGGATGTTATTACAAAAGGAGGTGGGGTTGGGGTTTCTTTTTCTTTCAAGGCGGCATATGGCTCCAGAGGGAGGGGCTACCTCATCCTCATCCTACCGGGTTTTCGATACTTCGTACCTCAGTGGGGTGGTTCGGAGACTATTTCCTCAGTAGAACTATGCTTGATTGCCTAGGTAGTTGGTGGTGGTGGCTCTCGGTGGGCGGTACCTAGGTATATTGTCGCGATCGATCACGTGTACCTTAAAATATAAAGTTGAATATTTACCTACCCAGGTAATTTTTTATCGAGTTTTGTTACAATTGGTATTAAAATTTAAACAAAAATAAAAAGGGTTTTAACGTTGTGCTCGGTAAAGCCGGTATTTAGTGAGTGTCTATAGCGCATCGCGCTAAAAATAAGGAGCAGATTTCCTGGCCGCACGAAGTACTTAATCCTACCTAGGTGCACCAAGGTGTCAGCTTTTCGCAAGGCTATATTATTATTATTATTTGATACTTGCAAGCAACCGAGTAAACAAATATGTGTGGTGAATAATGCAGCCCGTGGTTGCAGTCTGACTACATACATACCTTTGTCCTTGGATAAATAATTGTATCCCTGAGGGTTTCTAAAGCAGGGACATAGCAGGGCTTAGGACCAATAATGAGGCTCTTTTCACTCAATTTGTATGTGGAAAGTGCTAGAAGTAAAACCCTCAGGGATACAATTATTTATCCAAGGACAAAGGTACAGTACATGGTGCAGTAGTCGGTTGCGGGTACCCATATTACCCGGACCTTCGATGCTTCTTCTATTCAGGGGTGGGCGGTGCGGCGTGGATGACGATCTTGAGATAATAATATGTCTTGCTGTGAAGTAGCGTAGCGTACGGCAGCGGATGGAGCGAGAAATGTACTTGCACGCGAATGTACTCGAGAATGCAGAAAAAGGGGGGAGAGATACTGTACCTAGTAGAGCACGGCATGTTCATCCGAATGATCCGCCAATGCTTGGCCGGCTGAGGTTGCTGGTGGGCGATCACGCTTGCGTCGAGGGATCAGTTCATGGGGGGCACGAAAGACGCAATTGTTTGTTCGTTCGCCAACCAGAGAACGGCGACGTGAGCATAATAATAAACTCTTGCTTGCACGATGTATAACTCCCCGAGTGCATGCACCACCAGCAGCTGTCCCGTTTCACAATTCGGTTTCATGTTTGTCAATCGAGGAATCAATGGCAGGAAGGATAGTTCCCCAAGCCCACGCCCGCTCGGATTGGACAACGTTTTGCTTTTTTCGGGCGCTTCATCTGACATGACAGAACTGGTGGAGCGAGATCGAAAGCTCGAGATTGGAGAGAACGATGGTGGTGGTGGTGGTGGTGGCGACTCCGGTGTCGAATCGAGAGTGTTACTATTACGGCCAATAGCAGGGCCATGGTAATGCACGGGGGGGGTTCGAGGTCGGTACAACGACGACCAGAATTTCTATTCCCAGCGCGCACGCAAAACGCAGCAGCAGCACAGAAGCACAACCGACGGAGCTGAATACTTGCTCTCTCTCGCTTCCCGATCCAGATGCAGATACCGCAGTCTGCACTCCTCTGTGCAAGACACGAGAGAACGTGCTGCGTTACTTGGGATATATGGGCGAGGTGGGCTGGCCATCAAGGTGAAGTCCGAGTCGCCGAGGTGCTTCTCCCCTTTCTGTGGTTGTCGAGCCGTTTTCTGACATGAGCCGTCTCATCTGTAAGGCTGCTTCGTGCGCAAAGGAAGCAAAGCCGCGGGTCGAGACAGCGGTACAGAGCACGACGGTACCTTTTTCCAGGCAGGATTCTGACCACCCTCCTGCTGAACTCCACGTGTACTCTACAGTAGTGTCCATGTCCGAAGTAAGAAGTAAGAAGTAAGAAGTTGTTTCCTCCTGCCTTTCGACGCGCGCGTGCTCCAACGAGGCCGTCCCAAGAACGCATCTGGCTTGCTGAGCTGACCGGGAGCCCTGGGATGTGGATGTGGATGTGGTGATCCTTCGATCGGATTTTAACGCCCCTGTTGCTTCTGCTGCTTCTACTTACTTCTGCTGCTGCTTGGCTGGAGATAGTATGATTGATGATCGGATCGGTAGGGAGCAAAAGAGGAGGTCGTCGGTCCAGTCATGTCCACTTGCTATGATTGCGTTGTCTGGCACAGTGCAGGAGGAGACTGATAGGACTTGCAAGCGAGTTTCACATTGCTGGTTGCTTTGCTATTAATGCCATCAATCCTGCATAGCCGTCCCTGGAAAGCTTCCAATCTTCCAATGTGCTTCCATCGAAGGGGCACAGTCGCGCCTCCTCCTGCTGATGCACAGATTAGAGTGCTCTGTGCTGCCTCGGTGAGCCATCTGAGTGGTGTGCAGCGACGTGCAGTGGTGAGCAACCGGGATAATTAATGCTGGGCGGTCGTTCATGTGGTGGTGGTCAAGTAAGCCTGTCGTGCGGTGGAAGCAGGTTGCATTGTTCTAGTGAGCTTCCATAATCGTCCAGGGGGTCCAGCCCTGGTTCGCGCCTCGAGGTGGTGGTGGTGGTGATGATGTACCAATAATACGACCCGGTGCATACAGACGACGAGGTTCAACTCTTCTCCCGCCCACGAGAGAGCCAGTGAGAAGTGGAGAAGATATTCCAACGACCACAGCAACAAGCAGGATGCAAAATGCAACTCATCCGCCATGCCTTGTTGATTGACAGATAGTAAAGTAATTTATTCTGTGCAGCTAGCTAGACATGGACAGCCAGAGACAACGAGGTACAGGACTGTACTGTACATGCATACATACCGAGAGATAGAAGAAAAGTCCCACGCAGCTAAGCTTCGGAGGACGCCCTGTAAGGCAAGGCTCTACACAACAGTGATAATCATCATCACCATGGATGGAAAGTGTCCAGCCTATCGAGTCCCAGTATCCATTAGTCGCACCCAGCATCCATGATCGCAGGACATTGAAGATGCCCGGTCAATCAGCGGTGTGAACCAGGGTCTGCGATGACTTCGCAAACACGTGCGCTGGACTCGACTTCTGTTCGAGACGACTGAGATCCCCCAGGGCCGTGGCTGATCAGAGTTTTTTTCGCTGCCCGTCTAGGTGGTCCCATCGAAGTCATCTCAAACAGAGAACAATAGTAATGTGGATGAAGGCGTTCCTGTTGTCTCGTACCTGATGTGAGGTGATGTGAGTTTGCGACGAGCATGCGCGGCCACAGAAGAGAGTGAGTGGTTGAGTGAGTGAGTGAGTGAGTGTCAAACCTCACTCACTCACCTCTTTGTTCGGCTCCTTCGTCGATTGCCAAGCCCAGCAAAGAATCGTAGCCACCCACAGCGCTCGTTGCGCGCACCACCGCCCATCGTTCCTCCACTGCCGGCTTTGCTTTTTGCACTCCAGCCGGCCCAAAGCAGCAGGTGGCACAAAACAATCCCTTCCCCTTCCCTTCTTCCACACTGCTTCCACACTGCTTCCACTTGTTCCAGCACCACGCCGAGACTCTGGCTGCGCTGCGCTGCGCTGCTCGTTGCCCTCTGCACTCTCGACATCCTGGCTAAGGTCCAATGAGCGCTGGACGGCCTGCAGGTACGGATCGGTCAGGGGGTTGAGCAACGACGGGGATACCATTCGGGGGGGCACACACACACACACACAAACTGAACCCCCCCCAGCGAGCCAGAACCCCCCAGTGAACCGCTCTCACTTGCCCTCGCTGCTGGGATCCGATGCGGATGCCACAGAGACTAGACGTCAAAGAGGTAGAGTACTGTCTGTACTTACTTCACTTCCGTACGAGAGACAAGACACTGTACGGCTGCACTGCACTGCACTGCACTGACAGGGACCTGCCAATCCGCCCAATGGATCTTGACGGTACTGTACACTACACTACACGACACTACAGTACAAAACTGCTGCCGTCCCGTCCCTCGTTCGAGCCTCCGTTCCCCACCTTCTTCCTCCCATTCGAGTACATTATTACATTATATACCACCCCCCCCAAAGCCTCTTCCTCTTCCTCTTCGTGTTTGCTGCTTCTATCCTTTCTGTCCAGCGCATTGCAACAACGACGACGACGACGGCGGCCGTTGCTGCTTCTGATTCTCGCCCGCTCCTATTCGCCTCAGCAGTACTGCGCCGCATCCCACTCCCATCCTGCATGTTGAAGTGAACCGCGAAAGTCGCATCGATATCCCTCTCTCTTATCATCCGCGACTCAGACTCGACTCCACCTACGGTTCTCCAGACGCACGAGGCACTCCAAGCCCGTCCCTCACGATATCGACGACCGACCAGACCAGATCGACCATTGGGGACGAACGATCACCGCGCAGACTTGAGACGAAATCTTCTTGGGGGCAAACTTGGCGTGATATCTTTCTCTCGGCTGCTGGGCGATCAGGTCTCGACGAATGGAAGCACATTTGCAGCCCGTTGTCCTAGCACTTGGAGTTCGACCACAACGACTAGGATGACTTCACGGAACAGCCTGCTCCCCTCGCGGGACCAGTGCTACAATCTCACAGATGATCAATGTTACAAGATATTAGAACTCCGCGATCCGCGGGGGATCAGAGCAAATAAAGACTGGGAGGCGCTCTATCAGCCCGAACTGATACGGCATTACATGTACATGCGAAGCTTCCCACAGATAGAGCAATTGATGAAATCCAAATTGGACTGGTCGTAAGTTAATTGGGTGCATCGTGGGTGAAGATCGCAGTCGTTCTAACCATAGAGCAGGTACAAGACGTACAACCATCGATTTCGAGATTGGTTATTCCCCGTGGACCGAATCGAGCGACAGCAAGTGGTGATAGATCTTTACAATGAAGTCTCAGATACGGATGTCACTACCGCGGTGGAGACTCCTCCTGCGACGTTGCCTCGACTCGCGGCTCTTCGACCTGCACTTCAGACGTCTTCTCCACAACCACAACAGCCTACAAGTGTGCCTGTAGACTTCTTCTTCCAACCTCACCCACAACGCACTCCAAGCGGGTCACATACTCCAGATCGTATGTCGATCGCCACGATGGAAACGTGGACATCGGGGAGCACACAGTCTGCTTATACCCATAACGACGATACGTTTTCCGTTTCTGGATTCTCGATAATGACCTCGGCGTCTTCGATCAGTGATGCAGGCAAGAGTTCACAGATCTCCCCTTCTGATTATGAGGCAGAACAAACGATACAAATACCAAAGCCATTGAGACTTCCCAAGCATGATCCCAAGGCTGGATTATGGAATGACATTCTACGTGTTGTGCCTTGTGGGATAGACCACACAGCTTTGCAATGGCATGAATCATTCCCTAGCTGTGAAGGATGTGGATACTCTCAATGGCACGCTCTAATGATTTACGCTCGACATATGGACATGGGAAACTTCATCACAGCCATGAGCCAACTCCCAGGGTTCGACAAGATGGACTTTGCCGGCAACTACCCTATCCACTACTTAATGTGTGCTGGAGTGAGCATGGAATACTTTGGTCACTTCTCCCAATATGCTGGCAACACCTGTCGTCAAAACGTATTTGGTCAAAACCCAATCCACGTCCTGAACCCTCAAGATCTTGGTGACCAATTAATGAGTCTACTAGACTGGTTCAGACACAACCGTCACCCACCCGGCCTCCTTCTCACTCAACGGGATATCTACTGCCGGACACCTCTCCACGCCCTCCTCCAACGACCCCTCGAACGCACACTCTACCGACAAATCCTCAAAGTCTTCCCCTTCGCCGAGCACCAGCTCCGTTCCCTTGACACCTCCGGTAATTCCACCATCAAAATGATGAATAAATCCTCCAACAAGATCAAACTTGAGTCCGCGCCCGACTTTGCCAAGATCCAAGCTGGCATCACCGAAGTACGGCTCTTCCTCGACGAAGCTGACCAATCACAAGTCGGTCGTGTCTCCAACTATGGTTTTCACGACATCGCCCGTGGTGCTAGAGGTACCAGTTATTACGGCTTCTTCGAGTGCAGGATCTGTTTACAGACAAATGCTCACTCGAACAGCTACCTCGATCAGATTCGTTGCGCGTGCCAGAATAATCGAGACAGGAACGCCCCGGATGAGACGGGAATGACACCTGCTCATTTGATCGTGATGCGAGATCGCTCGAGCGGCGACTACGGGAAGCAGGAATCAGCAGCAGAAACTTCAGCCCTATTCCGAACCCTAATCCCCTCTCACGACGCGACCTTACGAGAAGCCCTCCACGCTCTCGACAAAGAAGGCAACAGCCTCATCTTCAACATCGCCACGCGCGGCTTCGACGAAATCCTCTCCTACGCCCTCGAGATGGAAGATCCCGGCCGACGAGCCAGCATGGTCAATTCTTTCGGCCGGAGACCGGATGGTGGCGAGTGGAGCGTTCTGAGCGCGGTGTTCTTTCGATTGAGGAAGGCGATCGACGATTATAAGATGGCGCATCCGTTGAAGGATGCTAGTCTGCGTTATCAGCATTATGAGATGTATACCCGGTTGGCGAAATGTAAGGATATCTTGAAGGCGAATGGGGCCAAGGAGAGTCCGGGGAAGGTTGAGAGGTGGAGGGTTTGGGTGTAGCGAGCCTGTGGGCGAGCGTTCGTATGAGCGTGCGTTCGATGTGAGCACTTGATGTTTTCGAGTGAGCGAGCGATTGCTGGCGAGTTCTATCTTCCTTCCTCTTTTCTTCTTCTTCACATTTTTATTTCATTCTTCTTTTCTTCGCGCAAGGCAAACAAACATAGACTTTAAAGATACCCCCTTTGTATTTTATATACCCTTTTTTTTCTGGTTTTTACACCATTTTTCCTTCTTCTCTTTCTTGTTCTTGGTTTTTTATCTCTTTGGTTTGGAAGCAAAGGAATGGAATGGATTGGATACCCGGGAAGGAAACAAGTAGGATACGACATGTTTTACGAATGGGTGGGATTCTTTTTGTATTTTTATACTTTACTTTTTTGCGAGGAAGGGGAGGGTGATGGGGGGATGGGGATAAAATAGATTTCATTGGGTTGGATGGGGAGGTGTATTTTTAGCTTGTCTGGTTGGGTGGGTAGGCGGGTGTGGGTGGGTTGGTAATGTTTATGAGGAGAGTGGCAGAGAGGAGGGAGGAGGGAGGTATATATGGGATTGGAAACATTGGGTGGATGGGGAGAAGGGAGGGGAAAGAAAGGGGAAATGTATGATATGGTATTTTGACATATGGACGGTGTTAGGGTGGGTTGGGAATGGGAATGGGAATATAGAATGGTTGGCGCTGTCTATCTATGTCTTGGTAGTATGTTGTGATGTGATATGTTTTGTGATGTCCATTGTTAGAACTGAGCTGTATCTCTTACTCAAACGACGATAGCCCATCTCGCATCGCCGAAGCCGCTTCGTTCTCCGAATCGCGCATGGTTTCGTCAAGATAAATGCCCACTAGAAGCGTAGCGCGTAGTGCGTAGTCTAAGGGGTTCTTAGCCAGATCTAACTTTCATACATACCTTCCTCTTCATCCCCCCCTCCCATCCCCCCCACGCCCCTTAACACCTGTACCCCTTTACACATATCCTCCCTTATTCCACCCTTACCTTCTACTCCCTCCTAGCAAGCAAGCAAGGCGGCCTCTTGACCCGGATTTCGAGCGAAGTTCAATGGAACAAAGAGATAGCTTATGTGGAGACATGGTTTGTTCTTTCACGTGTATTTTCGTTTCGTTTTGAGGTTAGGGTTGAACTCGTTGGGATTGAGGTTGAGGTTGAGGTTGAGGTTGGGGTTAGAGTTAAAGTTAAAGTTAGAGCTAAAAAAATACTACTTAGACCTAAAGAAACAAGAGGAGTATTATATATATATATATATATAAAACGGAGTTTTTTTGCGAGGAAGATTGTTTTGTTTATTTGGTTGTTTAGGTATCTGGTTGTTTGTTGCTCAACTTGTGCTACGATGAAGTCGGACTTTGTTGCGTTAGCGTTTGTAGGAGGTTAGAGTTGAAGTTAGAGAGCTAGTTGTTAGAAATCCAGATTAAATTCTAAAAAACAAAGGAAAAAATAGGAGATAAGGTATTCGATTCGATTCGATTCGATTTGTTTTTGTTTTGCTATTTAGGTGTTTGATGATAACACCAAGGAGGAGTAGAGGGGTCATCATAGCTTTGTCTGGATTTTATGAGTTGTTTGATTTCCCTCGAGGTTCTGAGTCTTGGATAAATAAGTTAAGGCTCTACTAGAGTTTAAGCTAGTCTAAGTGGTATGCTACGGGTCGATTCGCTGTCATAGATTTATTATGATTTTTGTAGTAGTGTGGGTGGGTTTGTGTTTTAGGTTAGTTATTGTGTAGCTATTATTGGGAGATAAGAATTATTTGGGGTTTCTGCGCGAATTGCGCGGAGAGCGTTGTCAGCGGGATGTGCGCTGTGAGCGGGATCTTGTTGTCCTGATTGTTTAGAGTCACTCGTTAGATATATTTGAAGGGTTAATCGAGACGTTCAAGACTACTTTCAAGGTCTCAATCACTTGTTATTGTGTATATCCGATATATTCTGCCACTATCCTAAAATCTATCCACTCCCCCTTCCCCACTCCCCTAACAATAATCATAACTCGTAAAACTACTCCGATCCATCCAGCCCGTATGCAACGCCAGGGCCCGCGGATCAATCCCCCGATTCGTCTTAATAAACATCGTCTCGAACGGATGGATATTAATCCCATCATACGCCCCATTGCCCTGCGGATCCCAGGCCCCCATCCTAGAACAATGCGCGTTGTAATCCGGATCCGTCTGGAACTTCATCAACATGACATCCACCTTCTTGGCGGCGCCGAACATGATGCCCGTCGCGGCGACCTCGGCTTCGACGGCTTGTTGGCGATTCGCGAAGCATTTGTTTAGCCCGACTTCGACCCAGGATGGGTCGGCGGTCTTGTAGTCGTCGGGGCGCGGGAATTGCGCCGGGTGCGCGAAGAGGACTTCCATCCAGCCGTCGTGGCGGGGGCTGGATTTGGGGGGTTGGAGCAGGAGGGACATGCCCATGCGGTCGGTGGCCCAGACCATGGATTGGACGTGTGGGGTTGGCCAGCAGTTGATGGAGATTCCTACTAGCTGTAAAGAACATCAGTCTGAACTTCAATGCATTTTGTTGAAGAGAAAGCCGTCTTGGTAAAGTAGGCCCACGTACCTTTACATCCGTAGTAATCTTACTCAACAACCTATCACTCCAGCACGCCTCCGCCCAATGCGGAATAAACGGGCCCCGCACACTGGCATTCATCATTATGAACTTCTTGTACTTCAACCACAGATCATCCTTCGTGAGAACCTCTCCATGTGCGCCCAGGTCATAACAACTATTGTCCCTCTGCACGATCTTGATATTCGGCTTATTAGGAATCAGCTGCGTATGATTCGTCTCTCCGTTGAATATAAACACAAAGTCGGCTTTGGCGTGGAGTCCGTGTTCGAGGAAGAACATCAGGTTTTGCATTGATTCATAGGACTCGCTGTAAACGTACGTTATGAGGGTTTGGTGCGCTTCGGGTTCCACTGGGGATTGGTAGTGTGGGGCATTCTTGGACGTATGTATAGGCTAATCATTTCCTTTAGCTCAAATGAAGTTTGAACAAGAGGAAGAGAGAAAGAAAGCGAGACTTACAATAGAAACACGAAAGAGATACAAAAACAATATAATCGTCCAAGCCAGGGACACGGAACCAATAATCTTGGGATTGGAAAAGAATTCGAGTTTCAAGAGATATCGTTTCAAAGACATAAGTCTCGACCCCAGAGAGACGGCGTACGATTTCTCTTCGTCCATTTCGTCTTCTTGACTGAGTAGTGGGTAGGTGGAAAGAAAATATTGATGTTCTTGATGAGGGAGGTATCTCCTTGCCACAAAACGAGGAACGCGGCGACGCGATATGGTTCACATTCTTGGATACCGATAGTTCGAAAGGGGCGAAGAAATTGATGGATCTGGCCCAATGGAGGTGGGAATGTACTTCCTTCGAGATTCGACATTATCGTGGTTTTGCTTGCCATGAGAGATGCGCGGAGGCAAGACTTTCGAAAGAAGTCATGTTGGGACCAAACTCCCTCCTCCTACACCAATGGAAAATCGTCCCCATAGCCGTCTTGCTAATAATCTGGACAATCTTCGGGTTGCACACTCAGTATCGAGAACCACCCACTTCCTCCGAGGAAGAAAAATTACTTCAAGCCCTTTCTCCCCAAAAGGACAGGATGTTAGCGGTAGTACTTCCTCCTCCCTTCCTCCCCTCCCTCTCGTCTAACAAGAAACCAGCCAACACCCATCCACGGTGGCACGATATACGTAAACAAAGTCCTCAGCTCCGGCACCGAAGGTCCCCCAGTACCAGTTCCCCACAATCCACCAGACGAGCAAAAAACCACCCTCCTAAAAGAAGCCTCGACCAACGAGCACGTCGAGCACTCATCCATCGCAGACATCGCCGCTCCACCCAGAACTCTCATCATGTACGCCTACGCCGAATCGCCTAACGCGCGCGAGAACCTCGAGTTCTTTATCGCGAAGGGTATCCACGGGCTCGCTGATTTTCTCTTCGTGTTTAATGGAGAGACAGACGCTGATTCATTGTTGCCGGTTGGCAAACATAATATCAAGATTGTAAAAAGAGAGAATAAATGTTATGATCTAGGGACGATAGGCGAGGTGTTGGCGAAAGATGCGTTGTGGAAGGGGTATAAGCGGTTTATTACTCTGAATGCTAGTATACGGGGTCCGTTCTTGCCGACGTATAGTTCGGAAAACTGTTGGAGTGATATCTTTCTTTCGAGGATAACGGATCATGTAAAGGTACGTGAAGACTGATGAGAGACTTGGAGGGAAGCGGCTGATGAAGAGTAGTTGGTTGGGACGTCGATGAACTGTAAACCGTACCAGCATGTCCAATCAATGCTCTTAGCAACAGACGATATCGGAATGGGCATCCTCCTCTCACCCTCGCTGGCAGACAGCGTGGAAGTCAACGACGTATTTGGATCTGCTTCTGACCCGACGGGCTTCACGCCCTGCTATGCTGCCATGGGACAAGCGATCCACGGCGAGATGGGGCTCACGGAACTTATCCGCAAGCAAGGTTATGAGGTCGATGTCCTGTTAACGGCTTTCCACGCCGAGACGCCAACGACGTATTGCGAGGCTAATGCGCATCCGGAGGATATTTTGTATGAGGGGAAGTATTATGGGAGTAATGTGCACCCGTATGAGTTGGTGTTCATAAAGGCGAATCGGAATATCGATCCGATTTTGTTGGCGTCGATGACGAGGTGGCATTTGAAGCAGAAGGATAGTGCTTGGGATGTTTGTGGGGGAAGAGGCAAGAAGAGAGTTGATGGGATGTAGATTAGGATAGGTATAAATCTTCGCCAACACTCTTGGTTGGTCTCTTCTTTGTCCCAACACTTCCCCAAGAATGGAGAGACGTCTCGAGGGGAAAAATTCCTTGCTAGACAAGCTAAGGATTGAAAGCCTTATACACTTGCAAAGCACCTTCCACACATTGGATGACACCAAAAAGAATCGTAAGAGCGAGAACCAAAGCAGCGACCCAGAACGTGTACCACTGCACTCGTTTGCGTCTATCGCACCACCATTGCTGGATAGTACTTGGTTCAGCTTCGTCAAATATCTGTTTTAGAATGATGAGTCGGTCATGCCAGAAGTGGAAGTTTTCGATTCGACGATCTTCTGCTCGGAGGCGTCCACATCTGAGGAGTTTCTTGTCTAGGTTGTTTCGAGATGAGAGTTTGCGGAACCTGGATTGGCATGTTAGTCATGTTTGAATCTTAAGCATAGTGTATGGGAATATAAGTTGAAGTGAAGTCTCACCATTTACGAGTTCCTGTGTCAGTTCCCGGAAAGAGGAGTTTGAGAGTTTGGATCGTTTCGTCGATAAGTCCCGGCGGATACAAGGGGCTATAAGAATCAGCAAAAGTGCAATGTTGACATGAGCACACAGTTACCTTTGCCTGTGACATTCCAGGAAGGAGGCGTGGTAGAAAATTGAAACTTTCTGGTCAAAATCATCAAAGCTCAAGTGATCCGCCAGATTTTTCGTCCACTCGATCTCGATACCACCAATCCTTTTGAGATTTCTAGCGTTGAAAACCTTCTCCAATTTTACTGTTTCTCCATGTAAGGCTATCGGAGCATTGAAATGACTGTATATGCTATTTTTCAATGCACTTGCAGTCCATGCAACATGTCCGCGGCCTGTGAAGCTGTACTGAAGACGGCCGACTGCGACCATGGTCAGAAGCCTGGCAACTAAGTCGATGGATCCGTACGATAGTCTAACAGATGAAGGTGTTAGCGAGACTTTTCACAGTGATGCGTGTTGTACAACAAGACAATGTGATCCTGGGGTATGGTCTCCTTACTCGTCTTCATTCTGAGGCTTGGGAACCGAAAGTTTCAAGCTGATCATATCTCTGATGGAAATTCGATCCACATTGTTCTTGACGTGACGAGCAATTTCCAAAATATCTCGATGGCTTCTCACACTGGCGTGTCTCCCTCCATCGTACAGTGCCTTTTGACACTGATCTGTATAGAACGAGAAATAAACATCGTAGTTGAGGTCTCCGCTATAAAAACTTGACGGATTTATGTTGATATCCCGGAGCTGCCGTAGAATTTCACATTTTGTGTGTATGTTAAGGATTGCGTGAACTTTGTCGTCGAGAGCTGCCATTTTGGGCAAGATGCTAGCACGTGATATGCTCCACAAAATCTCCCTGACGTCTTGACCGAAGATTCTTCGTCAAACAAGGAATCACGATGCGGCCTGACAATTACTCTAAGTTCTGGTCGAATGTCAAGAGTTACCATTTTATACAAGAGCAGGTGCTTAACTGAGTCGGTTCAGTGTTAGGTTGGGGATGGGCGATTCGTGGGGGCGCAAGAGGCCGTCTGGAGAGCCTGATCTCTCCTGCGATTTTTCATCATCCCCATACGTCCACTCCAACCCGCTGCAATCGGCGAATCTCTGCAGCTTGATGCTTCGCAGATCGAAATGATCTATCGAACTCAACCTCCTCATGCCCACCGAATCGCCATCGATCAGAACTCTCGTCGCAGAGCGCCATGGTTGCAAGGCTGAACACCTGGGAGAAGGTCTTTAAGCCCAATAAAACGAAGTGGCCGGATCCGCAGATCTCAGTAGGACAATTCTACCGCATAATGGGGACTTCGTCGTGATGGGAAGCCACGGGCTTGGCCCGCGAGGCATTTGCTCGAATTGCAGAAGAGATCAAGGACTACCTGGAAAAGTATAGCGATCCTGTATCCGATGAAGTAACATGGACAATGTATATGATTGGGGGAACGAAGGAGACTTCTGAGCCCACGATTATGTTCTGTGGACGCGACTCGAAGTGCCGGAAACAAGTGAAGAAGACTGTTAAAGAAAGTGGGATCTTGCAGAAACACCCGGGAGTGAGGCTTGGGGATGCATCACGACCTCCAGACTTTGATAAGCTCGTCAAGTTGGGAGGAGTGTCGTACCAGGATCTTTCCTCTGGAGCAGTGGCCTCCGAGCCTCATGATCCTAATAACTCCTTAGGTGCGAATCTCTATCTGAATCGACTCGTATTTGGGGAAGAATCCGGATCATGGTTTGGAAAGAAGCTCTTCATACCATTCCATGACAGCAACCAAAATCTAATATCGGTTCGCGTGGCTACTGGAGGTGGGATTTTACCTGTAGGAGATCGGTATTTCTATTTGACTGCTGGCCACATTTTTGAGAATGGGCAAAGATTATCCAATGCAGACGTACTAGCCGAAGTTGACGACTTTGCGTTTGATCTTAGCGAGGGAGAAGAGTCCGACAATGAGAATGATATTGTTGACACGACCAGCCGTGGAAGCATAACGCCAGACATTGCGGAATCGACCTCCTCAGACGATACGAGTACATCGAGCAATACTCATCCTGATTCTTCAAAGTTGGTCCAAGCTTCCGAGCCAATATCAAATATGCGAGTAGACCGGGCCCCTATTTCAATTCCTGATTCAGATACCCTAGAGCAGCCGTTTGATGGACTCATGCTGGTTGGTGGTCTGCTCAAAGAGACACTCCATGAATTCTGTCAAGCAGACCTCGATTACTCGTTGATCGAGATATGCACCACATTTCGAAGTTATATTGAATCGTCTGACATCTTGGCTCCTTCATTTTATCTCTCAGGTGGTCTAGTAATGGAGCCAGCGGACAAACAAGTTAGTAGTGTTACTGCCTCTGCGGGTTTGATCAAAGGAACAATGTCAGGAACACCAACATATCAACTCGTGGCAGGTGCCCGAAACGCAAAGGAACTATGGACTATTAGATTGGAAGGCACATTAAGCGATGGAGACTGTGGCTCCTGGGTCGTGGATCAGGAAAGCGGCGATCTGGTAGGTCATATTGTCGCCGGCAGCCCCAAATCTGGTGTTGCCTACGTTGTTCCTGCTTTCAATGTTTTGAAAGATGCGAAGAAGAAATACGATCTAGACCTTGAGCTCAGTACATTTCCAAACCCTCATTGGAAACCGAGAGAGCCACATTCCTCGATTGAAGATATATCAACACAGCCTCGCGAATCATCCCCAGTGCCATCGTCATCAAAGGAAAAGGCTGGCAAAGAAGCGTCAATGTTATCGTTGAGGCCGATAAACGATGACGGCAGTCTGCCGTCAAGCATTGTGTGTATATCCATTTCCATGGCTATAGATTTTACTAATTAGCATTACAGGCTAGTGATTTTCATTGGGATATCAATGTGCGATGGGATGATCCTGACTCTACATTGACATCCTTTCAAAGTGTAGTTTGCACTATGAAAATCGATTTGAATGGTGGGTGGGCTAATTGGGTGTCGGAGAGTATAGTTTGGAGGCTCGGTGCTTCCATCAGGCCAGTGAAATCTGCTGTAAATGACTTCGGATTTAATGGGCAGCCCATGAGGACAAGCGGTATGACGAGCTTAGCTTTCCAATGCATAAAAGGACGCCAGATGTACCGGGCAGTCTTCTTGGTGGCATCGGGATACGATATACCATTCGATATGGTACTAGGTGCAACAGACAGCGCAAGAATCGGTCTCCTGGCCAGGCCGAGAGAGCCCTCAGATACATCAGTATTCTTGGCTAGGTCTAGCGATTCGGTATCGCACCAAGCATCAACGTTCCTTGGCGTCCCAGACAATGCACCAAACGCATCTCAGAAGGCGGCAGGCAAACAGAATGTCACAGCGCCAAATATTCTGGGGGCCACAAACTCGGCGATGCTTGGAATTTCTGAAGCGGCAGGGAGAACAGCAAGTAGGAAAGAGGGAATGGGTCACCAAGTTTTTTTGGGGTTGGCGATGCCGAAGAGGACGGAGGTGGAGAAGGAGAGGGAGAGGGAAGAGGAGCAGCAGCTCAGACGTCAAGATGTTTTAGTGAGAAGGGAGAAGAGCCTCAGACTTAAGGAAGACAAAACGAAGATGAAAGAGGCTTTTGAGCCATCGGCAACATCGGCAAATCCCATAGCCAGCCCGAACGATGTCGAGAAGAGCCCTATCAAGTTCAAAGATGCAGTTGGCAGAAAATTCTCTTTTCCGTTTCATTTGTGTAAGAAATGGGAGGTGAGTGCTCCTAACGAATGTTGACGCGACTTGCATTTGCTAATTTGTGAAAGGACATGGAAGAACTTATCAAACATGCCTTTCTACATGTTGATGCCATTGGACCTGATGTTCAAGAGGGTTGTTACGACTTAATTGGACCCGATGGGGAGATTATTCTACGTCAAGATTGGGAGACGAGGCTCGAGCCAGGCTGGTCAATCACTATGCGCATGTGGTCCACAGCTGAGTCTGTATCGACGGCTCCCAAGCCTTCTTCTCTGTTGGGAGGAGCGTCAACCAGTAAGCCGACGCAACCTCGTGCACCTAGACAGCCGAAGCCAACACAACCTCGTGCACCTGGACAGTCGAAACCAAATTCCAGACTTCGTCACATCCTGAAACAGATGCAAGAGTATACTGGCCCGGACAAGGGTGTCTAGTCGCCCACTGCAACGACAAGAAGAAAAAATAGAAACAGACCGTCAAGAGCGATGAGATTTTTTTGATTGAAAGTCAGATGGAAAATGACAATCATTGAGAGGTTACCATTCACCGGGATAGCCTGCTTACCTATCTAGGTAGGGAGAGTCAATTGCATCTGGCAGAAAGTCCAAGTGCATTCGGTCCAGAACCTAGAGCAGAGTAGATGCATGGTCGTGGCGGAATGAAAGAGAAAATATATCATATAGTGCATTTGAGACTTGTCGGTGTAATGAGCAAGGTGAAGTGAAAACTGAGACTGATATATGCAGGGGACAAGAAGTGCCTCCGCCACAATCGAAGCAAGAAAAAGAAATCAGTCGTCCATTTTCGCAGCGCCTAAGGTTCTTCTTAAATGCTTCCTACTTCTACTAAGAACTCAATCTCTCCGTTCAGCTATGGGACGCCCCGAGGATTATGTGCAAGATGGCTATTTTCTCAGCCTCTCATACAAACGTCCGAATCGGCATGCGGCACGAGCTGTATTGAATAAGCTTGTCGCGTCAGATTGTGACATTCAACAAAAATCGCCATTGTTTCGTCTACGACCATCGGAGGTTCGTGGTGTGATATTCAGTCTCGTCTTCCAACCTACAGTGCATCAAGCAACGGCAGAAGCTACAAAAGCCAGTCTCGAAGGGGTGTTCAAGAGAGAGCTACAAGGCAATCGGGTCGAACGCACTCATGCCACAGTGGACACAGCTTTGTTTTCGCGTGTCGATTGATCTACTTAGAGACAAGATTTATTGCCGTTCGCAAGTCAATTCATGACTTCTATGCTCACCGATGGGCCAGGTTTGGAGGGGTGCATTCTCCTGGTAAGTCAATCTGAACCATTGCCTAGTGTCTCTTTTTTTTCTTGTCCCTAACAAGCATTTCAGAGATACCTCATTACGGCGAGGGCAAAGTCGGCCTCCACTCGGGACCATTGATCCAAGGATCAGCTCTTGTACGGCACCGAAAGATGTCGACAGCTCTTCCAGTCCAAATTGAAGAAATCAACCTTTACGATTATGGTCGGGAAATATATGCCACAGGACACGATTTGTTTGGCATGAAGGCACTTCGGCCAAGTCGAATTTTCATTGCATGCCCGTTCGACACATACGAAGGGACATACCGGATGAAGAAAGGAGTGGCCTGGCATGAAGGCTTAGAGCTGTTGGAGTTGAGAATCGACGCGGGTCCGAAAGATCAAAAGAGGTTGTGGGAAGAAAAGGAACCACAACACTCCATCAAAAAGCTTGGCGGTAGAGTTCTCTCGCTTATCGATGTAGAATCGAATATACGAGGAACGTGGGTAGGATGGAATAAGAAGGGAGAAGACGTCCAATGGCATTCAATCACGTATGTGTAGAGAGAGAGGGATTCCCCGGAAGAATAAACAGTTGAGAAATGGGATGTTCCATTAGCTGGCAATAAAATCTCGGACGGGAGCACGAGTTATACGTTTCCATCTAGCAAGGGCTATGTAACGCTGCAACGCGTGATTTTGAATGTGGGATTCTGCTCATGTGCTGATTGAATCAATTAATATTTGCTAAAGACCGCAGGGAAATATATCATGTCGGTATGTTTACTAATCATGGAAACCCAAGTGTTGCTTTCTTTCTAGGAAGAGGAACGAGCCTGCACTTTCAGATATCCATCCCGAATTGTTCCTTCCCTCTCCAACTCCATGAACGAAACTTCAGGATATACGGCCGATTCCTTTCTCAAGAGCGCGCTCTGCTCTTTGTCCAACAACGTCCACTCCCAGAATGCTTTCAAGTAATCCACCAATATCTTGGTTATTCTTTCCCCTCCAATACTACCCACGTCCACATCATCCCATTCTGAACGCTGGGGCTTCAAGACAACCAAATCCGAGAACGACATGTGCACGGAAGCATTCGTTTCAATCGCCAACTTCCAACCTTTGATCAGAGGCCACTCCTCTATCAGCATATCATGTATACGAGCTTCTGCGCCGCTTGCAGCGATATAGAGCGATGGCCCATAGAAGCCAGTAACGTTCACAGGATAGAAGAATGACCCATCAAGCGACGCTCCAGCCACATATGACGAGCTTTCGTCTTGCATGGCGAGGTTTGCGGCATTGCCTCCCAAACTGTGACCGAAAACTCCAAGCCTGAGAGTATCAACATTGTCAAGGGACGATGTCTCAAGCCACTCCGCGATATCCGAGACCTCAAGCTGGCGCCCGAAGAATAGTAGGTCGTCGCGCCGAACGATTGAAGCAAAGGAGATGTTGTCGGTCGTATTTCCAAAAATAACAAGCTCCCCGTTTGGTCGTTCTAGAGGCCAAGAATCATACGGATGGTCGACACCGATGACCAAGTAGCCATGCGAGGCGAGGGACGATAGGATTGTTGTATAATCAGCACTCAGACCCTGAGAGCCTGGCGAGAAGACAAGGACTGGCAAAGTACGATTAGTTATTAATGGGAAGATCGCAGATCCATTGATGAAAGTTTGAGTAACGACAGACTCCAAAGTCCCTTCTGGAACTCCGTATACAGGGTTCTCAGCCGCTGCTGTCTTTGCTGGTAGATATGGAGCTGGACTCAAAGATTCGTTGCTCTGGAGAGGATACCAGAGTGTGAGAACCGGTGCGCGGTGCTGGCATGTAGGCGCAAATGGATCAAGCCGGTTTCCATCGACGACCTGAACCCGTCTTGTGCCAACGGGATGCGCTCCGAGCGGTGGAGGCAACACAAGACGATTCGCAGCAGTGGAAGAACAAGACCAGAATAGTAGCGCAATCGCTAACTTGTGAAGAAGGAAGTATGCCATCGCTAAGCTCTAGGAGAAAGTAATGGACCCACAATTTGTAAAGGGGTAGCGGGGTGATAATCTGCTGAACCAAAATTCCACTATGTTAAAGGACGTTTCTAAACCTACTTTCTTTATCTTGAATGTTTAGACCTCTGTCATTCTGCATGTTACCCCTGCGTGATAACGTCGTAGCATCGGTGATGTAATATGTAATGCAAGGATACGAGAAGGGCTGCTAAAAAGAGATGATTGGTGCGGAATTTTCATTGGGACAAACAACTGGACCACTGAGAAGTTGAGTTTCGGAACTGAGATTCTAAACAAAATTATGCAATAACCGCGATTAGTTCTCCGCAAGCTCTAACCCTAAGTGTCAATCTTGCTGGCAATTCCACTCTCGCATCACGTGTGGCTACACCAACGACCCCTCATCAATTGCATGTATGTGCAGAAGGCACTCACTCCGCATTGTGAAAGTTCCAATCTACTATGGAAGAAGCCTTCCAATCTCCGTATCCCAAATCAAGAAGTTGCCCTCACAAAATAGAGAATTGGGTTTGTACAGCCGTCTATCCATATTTGTTCCGTTTCAGGCTATTTCGCGCGGACACCAACAAAATATCTCCGAGGCATCACGTTCCGAGAAATAGAGTTATAGTGTTGAAAATGCCTAAATATAATTCAACGTGGCCTGTTTTGGGCTCTCGTTCATATATGATTAATAGTTCGTCTGATTCTTGGGACGAATTCATTTCTTCATCTCTTCTTCGACATTGAGATCAATTCCATAAGCGGTACATATAATCTCACTTGTTGCTCTGCCAAAAAAACGCAACTCGATACATCGCAAACATGCTTCCCACCAGGCCCCTCATCGTCGTAGCTTCGATGTTGCTTTCCCTCGTCGTGGCAAGACCGATGCCCACGCCACAAATGCTCAGCACGAAGGTTGGCGAGACGAGTATCTGGACACAACTCGAGGGAACCCAGATCTTGCCCCGAATGGCGCAGATGCTGAATACTAAAGTGACGCCGGGTGGGACCGTGTGGACTGAGATTCAGGGTGGAGAACCTGTTCCGGTGACGACGACGCCTGAGAGTACTGTCTCGCAGATCAGGAGGGCGATTGATGCGAGATGGTGGTAGATTGGATTTTGGGTTGAGGGAGAGGAGGCGTTGAGTTAGGTGGCGAGAAGTATTAGGGATAATACCATGTTTGAGGGAGGAAGTTGGGCGTTGGGTGTTGATAAGTTTTGGTCGGAAAATGTAGCCAACGGGTCTTTGGTGCATTGTCCCAAAATGCCACAAATGAAGAGCACTGCCCTCCTTGAAGAATTGTACCTCTCGTGCCTTTGAGCGATCTGCTCAGTTCCTCAGGCGACGTTCAGATGGTAAATATCTCGAGCGATCTGACCCCCCAACAACACTTGTTTATGATGCTGACTAAACTATGCTTTCCTACACATGATTTGCCATCACAATGCGCTCAATCTTCGACGCTTCTGTAAGGCAGGTCGACGAGTTGATTCTCGGATCCACTTTCGAAGTCAAGTGAAGAGCTCTCAAAGCCAGCATCACCTGCTTGCAGAACATGATCCTCACCGATCTTAGATTTCTCATCCCAACTCAAAAGATGTTTCTTCTTCCTCAGAAACAGTGCATGTGCACCTGCTTGTCGAATACCCATCACATCCGCAATCCACTCCAACCTTCCAGCTACCCAGTTGATCATCACATCTGATACAAGCCAAGTGGCACCTGCAGTGTACAAAGGCCAGATGAGGAGATTCGCATACATTGCCTTGGGGAGTTGTCGTATTGATCCTTCTCCGGCTTCGAAGTCGATGCCGAGAAAGTATGGTACGCTGGCACAGATATCTTCGCAAAGGTGCATGAGGTTGGCGTTCGATTCGAGCATTTGACTCTCAGAGTAGCATTTATGGCTTAAGAGGAGTGGAGATGTGGGCTCGGTTTCGTACAGATGGCCAAGTTGATCCAGGATGAGTTCGTTGGTCAAGAGTCGTGCGCAGCGGTAATGATTCCAGGTCGTAGCTACCCAAACATTTGCGTACAGATGGTAATGATCCGAAAACACTTCATCGACTCTCTCATTCAAGTTGACTGTCTGATAGATGTAGTGTAGAGGGCATGATTTTGCCCATGCTGCAAGATCGCATTCTAGTTCATACGCCGCGGAGATCAGGCGTTGCGGATCGCTATAATCTTTCCAGCAAGACATCGATGCTCTCAAGTTGGCATATCTTATGACTAGTAATGATAGTGTTGTCCCGTATGCCTGCTCCACGGACTCGAAGTCCAGCTCATTGCTCCATTCGGTGATAAATGCCGGGACGGCGGCTTGTCGGTGCATGCAATTGATTATCTACATGCTGTTAGTGAGGAAGAAAGTCACAAGTAGATTTTACTCACAACCTGAGTTCTAAGTTGTTTGAAAAGTTGATAGCCCACCGGTGTTCGGAGAGCTTCTCTTCCTCGAAGTTGCATGAGTGCTGAAGCTCCGTCCATGTGTTTTGACCAAGTGTCCATTGATTGACGGCTGTTGCAGGTATTGACCTATATTCTGTCAGAGTGTGTCCAAAGCAGACAACGGGACCAGAAACCCACTTCGTAATACGCAAGTAGCATAATTGCTATGAACGTTTGGTCTGACTTTGCCTGCTCCATGCTCCTTAGCTGAGAACTCAATGTCCGCATCGCTGAGTTGTATTTGAAGGTAGCATTGAGCATTAAGCTGGAGGCTTTGTAAAAATGAGCGAGGCCAACAAGTCCGATAGCTGTTAAGCTGTCAGACAAAGCGCTCCCGACGTCTGTAGTGAAATAGACATCAGGGAGAAATTCGAAGCTTCCTGTTGCAAAAATGTCGTTCCCGACCACATAGTTTTCAAAGAAGAAGCAAGTGGCTTGTTCTTCTGCGGAGAATGAAGGGTTGATGGTGAGGACGGGGAGGGCGAGAGGTGGGCTGGGAGACCGAGAGCCGGAGACAACAACGGATTTCGACACGTGGGCTTTCTGACCGTCCAACTCAACGAGGGCTGCTCTCTGACCCGAGGAGTCTTTGAGGCGTTGGCGTCTAGCACTGAGACCTTGCGATTCATCTCGAAACATAAGATCAGATGGATCTCGGTAACCTTTACATGTACGCCCGGCTCTCATACATTGCGAGCACGAAGGTCGCTTGTAGTCGCACTAAAAAGTGTTAGGGCGTGGTCTAGAAGGGGTTTGTTGAGTAGCTTGCCTTCGTTCTACGCAACCTACACTCTCCACACGCCTTGGAGGGTTTGCCGCAATAGACCATGTTGAAGTAAAATGAGGAAGCCTCGATAGGTGGATTAAGATTAAGGGCCAACAAGTAACAGTGTACGCTCAGTCAAATGTAACAAGGCAAAATCTTGAGCCATCTAATATATGTCTCATTGCAGGTCTCTTCGTCGTCATCCTAGTACGAATGATCCGCAGTAGACAGCCAATTAATGCCGGCTATCAAATGAAGGCCCGGACTCATAGGGCTATGCTGATAGTTTGAATCCACGAACAGCCTCACTAGAACCCGATTCTGGAAGTTTATGCTGCCACAGTTGTGCATTTTGTACGAGGATTTGCTTGATTTGTCGACGGGAAGATCCTGACTAAGAGATGCTGTGCTCGAGGGACTAACCCGTTATGGTGGTGCTTTCGTAGCGTCCATTCGGCTCGCCCTTCCTCCCGACACAACCATTTTTTTCTGTCAGCATCTCTGTCACTTTCTCCACCATTTCGTGACACCAACTTTCACTTCATCTTATGCGTCAGGTATGAAGCTTCGCTTAATCATCTCGAGTCACTCGCGAAAAACGAAACTTAGTCACCCTTGCTTCGTCCACATCCGTTTGGAATTTAGCACCTTCGACGTGAGGGATCTCATTAACCTCCGTATTAGGAATTCGTTGAGCCTCGAAGTTTTCGTCGCCCAGGGCAATTGACCAGACGATTGATGGTTACATCTCCTGGTCAAAATCGTCTGAAAAGTATCAGACTTCCAATCTATAAGATGGCAAGCACGAGAGACCTCGTTCCCAAATTCTCTTTTTGGATCTTCATCCTCATAATCAATTGCTTCTACAAGTTTCGCCTTTACTACAGATTCTTCTCTATCGACCCAAGTTGTCCATTCACAGGCCATTTTCCTATCTCTAGATCATTATGGTGTCTACCTCCGAAGCCATTGCCTACGCTGAGATCTGTGTCTATATCCCCACATTCATCCTAACTCTCTTCGTAGTCTTCCGTCATGGCTTCAAGAGACAGGCTGGATGGATTTACCTTGCTATTTTCTCTCTCATTCGCGTTGCTGGTGCGGGATTCAAGATCGCCCAGTCGCATAATCCAACCAACAAAACCGACATCGAATGGGCTGCTATCCTACAGTCTGTGGGTTTGAGTCCTCTTCTCCTCGCAAGTATGGGTCTATTGAAACGAGTGTAAGTGATTCTTGCCATATCTGTTACGAGTATGTCCTGATGATACAATAGCACCGATCAAGTTTCGAATCATGTCCGCAGCGAGAACAACATATTCAGCAACGTTGCTGCCAACTCGGGAATTGCGAACATCATCACAAAACGTGCCACAGCACACTCTCGACGAAGCCGCGTTATACAGATTGCAGCCCTTCCCACGATGATCGCACTCGCGCTTGCAATCATAGGTGGGACAGATGAAGCCGATTCAGATGCCTCAGACATCTCGAACGGCAAGAAGTACATGAAGATCGCCGTCATAATGTTCTTCTGCATCTATCTCCTCCTATGCGCACTTACGGTCATCACCATGACGGATGTGGGCAATGCGCCTCGTGGAGAGAAGCGGATTTATATTGCTGTGCTAGCTGCTCTTCCACTTCTGGCTGTTCGTCTCCTCTACAGCATCCTCGCAGCATTTGTTAACAACAACGACTTCTCAATCTTCGGCGGAAAGCCATTGATACAACTTTTCATGGCCATCATTGAAGAGTTCGTCATTGTTCTTTTTTACACGTTAGTTGGCCTTACTTCCAACAAATCTGAGTATTGATTTCGCAACATACTCTACTTGTGGTATCATGGGTTGTTTCAGGCGAAGATGATCATAGAACAAATTTGTAACGAGAATGTTTTGTTATTTGCGTGATAGATGGGGATATGTTGTAGGATTCGACGTGGGATTTGCAAATTGTTTCCTGGTTTTATTCTCGTTTATCTTCTTTGAATGTAAAACTTAGATCTGATCGTTGAACAGTAAAGTGCTATAAGAAACCCCTTGTATCTCAGTGTCAAAGACCGCTCTCAGTAAATTAGGGTATGCATCACGTGCCTTCAGACAAGTTTGGCTTCTTAGGTGCCTAGGTAAGTACTCAGATCTACAGCCAATCATTACGAAGCAACTGATTAACCTAATGTCTTTTTATATCTCATGATTCTCATCAGGCTCCTCGTCCCCCAATGTATTGTTACGAGCTAAGCCTATTCTGGTTGGCAGCACGTAGCGCCGATATGGCACGCGAAGTTTTCCTATTCCGGTTTAGGCTTGCTTCACACTGCTCAACTTCTCACTCAGAACGCCCAGACTTGCATCTTGATTGCCTTTCTTGGTCACCAGTCCATTCCGAATATGCTGGCCCATATGAGTCCAACATTACGCACAGCGAAAGACTATGAGACTCGATTCCTTCCAACAGCGGGAGCATCCTCCGGTAATATTGAGCCTTTCTCACGTCTGCTGCGTCTCGTCCCGAGGCTTACCAGAGATTACGAGTATCATTTCGCTACACACACCCTTCTGAACGAGATCCCATCCAGCCTCGGTCATCTGTTCGCTCGCTCGCTGCAATCCTGCTAGATCTGGCCCAAAGCCAAATGTGGGGTGTGTAGAACTGCTCAGCGAAGCCCATATATCCGAGGGCGCCGCAACGTCGAGGACTTGCAGGACTTGGAGGCTTTATATACAGCCCAGTACTTCCCGACCATACCAAGATTCTTTCAGCTCTACATGCTTGATCGATGATCTCTCCAAAAGTTCGAGGCAATTGGGTCGGTAGCATTGTTGCACGAGCGGGTGCATGACTTCGCCACCCACAGCATCCTGAGCCCTTGCCTAATTCTCTGCAACAACAGCATTTTTAAGATTTTGTCACAGAGCCACTGTTCAACATGGTAATTGTCTCACTCGTGGCAGCTGGGGTTGGTCGTGCGATAGATGCATATTCCGACAGAAAGGCCAGGAGAGGAGAACGACGACGCAGTTCGGATAGCCAAATAGATGGAGGTCTTTTTTCCTCCCTGCAAATATTGCTGATTAAGCTGATTGTATGTTACAGAGATTGCCGTTGTTTCAGAAGATGTAGAACAGCAACGACGAGAACTGGAAGCTTTCAAGGAGCTGCAAAACTATGCTAACTTCCAAGATGATCTGTCAAGCAAAGTCCTTGATGATCTTTCCCGAGAAAATGCTTCTATCGCATATAGTGACCAGTCACTCCCGCGACAGGACTCTACCAGCTATAGTCCTCCAAGGCCAGTGATTTCTCGGATTCCCAGTCGCCCAAAGCTGCAGTGGCCCATTATCATACCTCAAGGCAATACGCAGAATGGAAACAGCTGCTGGGTTCGAGCATACCCACGACCCTTATTGGAATTAGGAATTGATCAATCTACTTTCCTGAGCTTCTTGGATTCTTTCGATGTGCACATGAAGGTAAGTGTTCCAACTGCCTTTCCGACCCCACAATAACACGTTGAAGCTATCGACTCGTTTGGAAGCGGTCAATGTTGCGAGCACTTCGTCTGGAATAGGGTGGCGAGATGTCCCTGGAAGCTTCTCAAGATCGATTCCCGCCGCCGTACAAGTGATGAAGGCGCATCAGAGGGAACGAAAGTAAGTGAGTTGAAAAGAGATCGTGCTTGCACTAAGAATCGAATTAGGAGCAATTCTTTTCTCAACCACGTTAATACATTGACGTTCCGCCCTCGAGGCTTGTATGCTATAATCATTACATCTCGTTCAGACTCGCCCTTGCAAGTTATCACTGTCGAAGTCCCGCCTCCGAAACCAGTTCAATACTTCGACACTGATGTGGAGATGTGGACTGGGGACGACTCGAGTAAATTACCTGAAGAGGACTCAATGATTGCAACTTCGGACACAGTCTCTAGTATGCTATCCTACCGTCAATCCGACGGGTACAGTGCTATGAGTCTTGACTCTGCCCAACGAAAACGCTCTCTTCAGCAGGTTGGTCATTCGTGTAAGATCATATATGAAGCCGACTGACGGACATGAATCAGGTACCGAACGCATATTCTCCTAGCGAAGAAGCATTTGAAGGAATATCCGATGCAGAGCAGTCAGCTCCTCGAAGTCCTTTTGCCTCTCTCCTCTCTTCTGTCGCCAAACATAGAGAACGGAAGAATGAGGTCGTAACCAAGCGCCTTCGCAAGGACACAAGACCCTTCACTCGACCAAGTATAGCACTTACGAATGCGTTGGATAACGTGCTCAATAGGCCCATATCGAATAGTCACAACGTCACACCAACTTGGGAGAAAATGAACATGGAGGCGGCAAGTACACCATCTTGTGTTTGGCTGCACGTCAACTAACCTTTCCCGCCATCTGGTAGGATGCGTTGTACTTGGTTATTGTCAATGATCCAGAAGAAGAGATGCCACAACCTGCGAAATCTATGGGAATGTACAAACAACCCATGAGCACCAACAAGCAGAACCCCAGCAAGCGAAACGTGAGCAGGCAGATCAAAGGTGGCATGATGCGACAACCACAATCCTCTGAAAGCAGCTCGTCAAATCGCTTCGTCTACGACCCCGTTTATGACACACCTAGTTCAGCACCACCTGCATACAGCGAGAAGCAGTGAGGGCTTGCCCAAATAGTCACGTGACAACGAGACGCTTGACGAAGTTGCGCTTTCATGTATCGCTGGACGTGGGTTTATGTTTGCAGAAACTATAGTTGGTACATCAAAAGATTATTAGACAAGTGTATGCTGGTATAGAGGTTCGTGAACGTACGAATGATTCACGTGTTCAATAACTAACATACTAGGAAGGTAGGTAGGATTCGAGCACTACCAAGAACCGACTAGATGGCCATCCCGAGACCAACTAGTCATAGAATTCTTAGTACCCGCTAATAATCTGCTCTGGAAGAATAATGGTCGTGGGATACAACAAGTCTCTGGTAGCGATCATGTTGGTGCAAAACTAGGCGCCTTCGTACCCTATTTAGCTCTAGGTACCGTTAAATAGAACAATGACACCAACGCACATAAACATGCTCCTCCCTCTAGAAACACAGAATTCAACTCACCTCCAATTTCAATCCAAGATCAGTACTCGCAAACATGTCTACCTCCTGGTTCTCTTAGATGCCGCCATCTTGGAATCTTACTAGGTAAGTGGGCATGCATGTCTGGCCTGGCGTACTTTACTGATCTGTATCTATGTAGTGGACCACTGGAAAAGTTCGAATTCTTTCCGAGACTGCCAGTTGAGATTCAACTACAGATATTTCGCCATGCCAGTTGTGTCCCACGCATAATCGAAGTGGAAAAACTCTGCTGCAATAATTTACGCCACCGTCGTGGGAATGGATATAGAATCGCTGCTAAGTCTCGAAAGATACCTCCGATACTTCAAGTTTCTCGTGCTAGCCGAGCTGAAGCGGAGAAGTTTTACGCGAAAAGATTCGTCTCCCAAAAGAGGAAGCAACAAACACAATACATCTGGTTCAACAACGATTTCGACATTTTGTTATTTGGAAAAGATACTGACGCACTGATGATGACGCACGTTTTCCGTGACGAAGTTGGATTCAGCAACGTCGCCTATTTAATCGGGGACCAGGATGTAGACCCTAGGTACGTATTCCCGTCAAGTATCATGGGGGCCTTGCACGGTTGTCTCCAACATGATGGTCTTCTTGGGCGTCCTTATTTCCAGCCTGGATGTCAAGGCCTGAAGAACGTCTTTCTTGTGCTACGTTCTGATGTCTGGGATGTTCCTCATGGTGAAGTGGTGAGTGTCAAAATACTAAATTTGCCCCGAGTCTCTCGCAGCCCCAGGCTCAACCTCAAGCCTGCATCTATAGTCGTATGTATTAACTCTTTGTTCATTTTTGTAGGACGCGAATGTTACCTTTCGAACACCAAGACTCGAAGGCCGATCCGAAAACGCTATCGCTACAAGAAGCAGGTTCGAAAGTATCCTGAAAGAGTGCACATCTGGAAATGGTCTTGATCACTGGGCCCGCTCCAATGGCTACCGTCTGAGCGCTGAACAAGAAAAAACAGGCATAATGGTAGAGAACAAATGGACCAGCGCAGACGAGATGCCGCAGTTTCACTTTGTCAACTTCGCGCCGATGACCACAATACAACGCCCCGAGATCCTGGACGGTGTTGTTTTGTGTCGATACTTTTATGACTGTCTGATCCGAAACCTCGACGAGACAGCTTGAGACGCAATTTATCAACGACATGGTTTCCGGCTGCAGACAATGACTATTTCTCAAACGGGCGACAATGCTGAAATAGGCATATATCTCAAGGATATCAAGAATTTGAAGAATGCGGGAAGGGTTATCAACACCGCTGCAGTGAGTACGTATTTATTCTGCTGTGACATGAGCTAATTAGAGTTACAGGTCGAAGCTATGAAGTCAGAGGTGAGGGAATTGGAAGCTAGACGGGAAAAGCACGAGTCTAGAACTGAGACTGAGACTGAGACTGGAACATTGAGCACAGTGCGTGAAGGATAGACTTTGTTTTTGTAGAGAGCGTAGATAGCAAACTAGGTCTGTCACTTCATTTATATTAGGACTTCTTGTGTGTTTCGAACTCGATTTCTTGCGCCTACCCGATGAATAACTAGTGGGTTGTTGGCTCCGATAGTACGAATCGAGACTGGCTCTACTTGAATACTTTTTCAAGTAAACAAGGTCAATCGGCACTAGCACTAATATTTGTAGCGTGGAGTCGAATTTTTTGGGTCAGCTTTGTTTGATCTCTTCCCCACCCCGTTTCTCCATTAACAAATACTTCACCGCAACTCACACTTCACGACCCGTACTTGACAATCACAACAGCCGCACTGCTTTCTCGCGCTGATTGTAAATTGACTTGCGCGTGTTTCTTCTTCAGAGATAGACAAAGAAGCTGAGGCTGCTACCTAGACTATTTCCTTCTTCGAGAATGGCTCTTCATTGTTGATCCTAAGCAAAACGTTGGTTGTAACAGCAGGTCTCATCCAAGGAATGGTGCCGAGTAAAACAAGACGGAACTCTTACGCATACGAGGAAGCTGTGCGAGAACGAGGTATCGAACCTAACACTCATTCTACTACAACCAAAGACAAGCCCCAGACGCTTATACTATCCAATATCTACAATTTACCAAGAGGAAAAGACAAACTCAACCAATGTGTCCATATCATCCAACATAGCCCTGAACCAAAGGCCTACTCGGCTCGTACGCCTGATTCCCAGCATATTGTTGTCCCTGATATCCATATCCATGGCCCTGATTCTCCTCATGCAAGTGAGCTTGTGGCGCATACTCTGTATTACCGTGATACTCGGGGGTCATCTGTATGTTCTGATATCTCTGTGACCTGTCAGCTTGCGTCTCAACAAAGAATGCGCGTGGCGGGATTGAGGAGAAGCCCTCACCTAAACCCTACTCACCTGCGGACCCGTGACCCATGCCTTCCCTCCTTTCTTTGCAGTTCTTTTGCTCATGAGCAGGCCTGGTACGGAAACTATTCCTTGGATGATGTCGAGGAAATTGATAGCTTGTCCGTAGGCTCTGAATCCCATGAATCCGCCTTGGTAACCACCATGTCCGAGTGGGACCGCGGATTCAGCGGAAGCTTTGAAGATGTATTCTTGTGTTCGATAAATAAAGAGGAAGGCGATGGAGAAAATGACCATTTCGAGGCAAAGAATGAGGTTGGGTAAGCCAATGGAGAGGTCGTTGTAGGTTATGTGGTTCGTTGGCTTCAAGTCATTATTGGAGGTAAGGAGGGAGAATATTATCTAGAAGCAAGTCAGCTCAACAATTCACAGAGGCCGAAAGGAATGAGAGGGATATACAGTTTGAACGAAGTTGAGGAACACAATCGCCTTGAAACCAACAAGCTTGGACAGCGGCTTTCGGTGTTTGATGGTAGGCTTTAGGGCTTTGTAATATCTCAAAACAGAGGAGATAGCAACTACGGTGGACAGAGCAGAGAGCACAGTGACCCAGATGTGGGCGAAATGGATGCTGTTCGATGTCTCGCAGTATGAGCCGGTGGCTTGCGTGATTTCGGTGACAACGAGAAGGACGATCATAACCACTGGGAACTGGAATGACCCAATTGTCGCTGCTGTATACTGTTTCATTGTGCCTGATGTTTGAAGGAAGGTTTGTCGTTCATTGTCGTCTTCTTGAACGTATGCGCAAAGGAGGAGGAAGAAAGACGCAAGGGCAAAAGCTTCGTAGGCAGATTCAATTGGCTTGAGATACTCCGCGCCATCGTACCAGATAACAGAAAGGAAGGATAAAATCGCAAAGACTGGGATCATGAAAATGATCCGAATGATACTGCAAAGCTTTAGTCTCCGACAGGCGCAAGTGAATCCCAGAACTTACTGTCTTTGCTCTTTAGGTAAAGAGTAGTGTGTGGCATGTCGGAATATCAGATAGAACGACAACACGCAAGCAAATACTGTGCATGCTCCTGATATGATTGTAATAAGCTGGTGGAAGCTCAGGCTGCCGACAATGGGAGATTGCGCTTGAGGACGGCGTCAGCGAAGGGAGAAGACTCGGTCATGTATAAACATACCTGGATCTGTGACGGTGGATGTAGGGCAGGTGTAATTTGTCGAGCTGCCCATGTTGTTGTGTGCTGGAAGGGAGTAGATGGAAAACGGTAATGATGCAAGTCAAGACTGAAGTAGCTAGAATGCAGAAAAAGGGAACGAGAACTTCAGGAAACTGGCCATGCCTTCTTATATATTCAAAACACGGCTACTTTCACATCGGAGGATCATCATTCATCAAGCTTGGGCCACGAAAATGGGCTGCAAACTCCTACGTTTTCAGGTTCTGACCGACGCGACCAACGGCCACGGCAGGCCCAACTCACAAGGCTGAGCCTCTATCTGGCATCGTGCCCTACCCTTTGCGGCATCCTGAGCGGGTTTGATGTGTGCTTGCATACAGTTCGAGGAGGAAGGCTGAGTCTGTCGGAGATTCTGATCGTAGGTGGCTTGGTCAGCATTCAGGGGGCAAAGCTCATGATTGGCTCAGAGTACGACTTGGTCTTTTCCCCTTTGGGCAACCAGTGCGACGACCAATATCAGGTCGAGCTTTGCGTTTGGAATATCATCTTTTCACATTTTCTGGCTAGCTCAACATCATCAATGATGCGCAGTGATGGACATGACTTTTCACCGTTGAGGCTTTGAATGCATCTTCTCAAGTTTCAAGAGGATCGGCTGAGCACGAATGGCTGGATCTCCATACCTGCCAAGCATAGCTATCATTGAGATGGGATGGCTCGAGAATCCGATCGTAAGTCAGGGCGCAGTAGTAATATGTTTGTCTGATCTCTAAGTTATGCACTAAGCATTGCTGGCTCCATTGCAGAATCTGGAAATCAGAGGAATAATAGATACTCAAAATATAGATCCAGGAAGATTGAAGTAAGATTTCCATCAAAATCGCAATATAAAAAAGCTTTGGTCCAGAATTTGGGGACATCTGTGGGTTGAATTCCAATTGTGAATCAAGATTGATAATTAATGTATGGATTAAATGAAGTACGATGTGAAATCCCTCTTAGCTCGAAGGATCTGTTTTCCTATTATTCTTTCATAAGATTTGGAACAGTATGATCTTCTATTTCAGTTCCTAAGATGATTTTATTAATGGAACTGCACATAAAAGAATTACTATCCGTACTAAGTGTGGTGAAGTCCAACGCAGATATACTTAAAGTCAGATCATTCTCACACATGCCGCCTGGATACGGGCTTGGTAGACCATCTTTCCCGAGCCTAAGATATGTAATCAACTTCCATAGTCTGACATTAAAAGAAGAACTAACATCGCCCTGTCTTGGCACAGAAAGCCAAGCAACAAGTTCACAGTTGGGATCCGTCAATTATAACAGCGAGGTGGAGTCACAGCAGATTGACATGTTTGAAACAACATGGTGCAAGGAATATGCTTTCAGGGTCATATTTCGAGAGGAACTTATTACTGCTTGGCTTGTGTTCGTCATGGCAGTGGTACCTGATGAAGGATTTTTTTCTAAAAAGTCTAGGAACATGTCAAAAGAGCCTTTTGTCTGGGGATCGATTAGAATGGCGACAGGCACCAAGGCATCAACACACACAATTAAAGCCCTGCCGCAATTGTCGAGAGGATCGTCGTCAAGCATTTAGACGAAGACGCGAGGAAAGGAGGAGAGACGGAGGATTTTAATGTGTATGAACCGCTTCCCCGCCGGAGATGGCAACACTATCTTTCGGCGATCAGATCAAAATTGGCAATTAGTAAATACAATAGCAAATGGCCGTTGCCAACTCCAGGCAAAGAGGTTTAGTGGCGCTTCGAGCATGGCTTTTGTCACACGCATATGAATGGAATCCTACGACTAGAAGCAGCGAGTCCAAATCCAGACTCTTAGAGCGCATATATATTCAAGGAAACAATAAGCATGATAGTATAATGAAATTGATGTTCCTAAGCATACGTACGGCAAATATGCTGTACGAGAACAAGGGGCGTGATAGTTTGCTTCTTGATTTAGCAAAAGAGCCTCACAAATCGTTGAAGAGAATCTTACTGTTAGAAGCCTTCGCGGCACAGCCTCCTGGCCGCGTCCTTTTCGGATCCCTAGCACAATCACATGCACGAAAAGCCTCCCACGTGGTGACCAGTCGTAGTCGACTACTTTCTTCCGCGTACATATGCGATGCCAATATATCACAATACACATTCGCGACATCTCATTGTGCTTTGATGCTATCAGCTTGTAAGAGACGCTGGCAACTCTCGACCACGAAGCACGCACCGTGTCGGCTCAGCTTGTTCCCCTTTCGGCAGACAGATTAGCATATTTCCACAAAACCATACAAGGACTTGACATCGGCTGTTGTACGTTGGAATCCGAGCTTGAAGATGCACTGCCATGTTATTGCACAAACCTCTCTTAGCCGCCATCGACCGAGCGTGACGGTCTGTACATACAAATGGTCTGATTCGATGCCTGAGTGGGGTGGGGAGGGTTTCGAGGCGGTATTGCAGACAACATTTTACGCCAGTACGATTCCGTGGTCAATCATCGTTCAAGTTGAGCCTCGCAGATATACCCCGTGGCCTGATTGTCGTGAAGGAAGACACATTCAGAATCTATGGCGAAATACCTGACACGACGGTACCAAACCATGAGCACTAGGAAGATATCGTCGCTTACTGCTCCGCCGTCTTGGAGCTTCATCCAACAGTTTGTCCCTGGAAGTAGATCCAAGGCGCCGGCTCAGCAATATTAGGAAGAAGAGCGTGGTAATTCAACCGCGGTGCCCTTTTCCATCTCTTCCGAGGAACCCCAACTAGTTGTCTAATTCACGTCTTGTTCGGAGCCAAAGGCCGAGAGTGCCTGTGACCTTTAAGGTGAATCATTCCCTGCATTCCATATCTAGCTTGTCACAGAATGCAAGTTAAGTGGAGTTTCAATCAACAAGTAGAACACACCGCAAGTTTGTTCCCCGCAGAGGTTAAAGGCGCTTGCGTCACGACTCCATGATACAGAAGCGTTCGAGAATATTCCTTCTAAAGAATTATTCGGCTTTCTGCCTTCAAACAGATGTTCCTCAGGAAAAATCAAGTGAATTCGGAGCTCGGACGACACAATCAAGCATTCATCGGAGACCGCCCAGGGAGCACCAGGATTTCTGCCCGCTGCTTGAAGAGGTATTCTGTGTTGCGAGCAAAATTTGTTCAGAAGACAAGAAATGGCAAAAACTTCAGCCAAAAGGAGCCTCCTCTAGTGAGCGCTTCGGTCGCGGCCTCATGAGCGACGATCAATACCTTGATATCGTTCGAGAGCATGTCGAGAAGTTGTTCAGCACCACTCGAGACTGGGACGGCCGCTCTCTACGATGAATCAAACCTCTGTACAAAACCTCTTCAAGTTGTGCCCGAGATTCCAGGCCCTGTATTTATCAGAAACCATTCGGAACCAGCATGACTCTCCAGAACCCAGAATAGGGGCCGGCCAATCATGCAGACTGGACCTGAACTCCCATCTTTCTCCTCGTCACATCGCTATCTGACCAGACTTGTCCATCACTGTGCTTTGTAGCTTTGATGTTCCCCAAGCACTGTCTGAGGGCTTGTCTCTCCATCGCGACGCAGACTTTCTTGCTGCGTTCCAGTAAAGCTTGCCATCGTCTCCTGAATCCAGATTCAGAGACTTCGCTTCACATTTCTGGAACCTTCAACAGGCCAAGCTCGAACTTCGCCCGCGGATTATATCCTCAAGGCTCAATCTCCGTGTATACATTGTGCTTCCAGTCTATATTCAGAAAGAATACGGACATACCAGCAGCTGTCTTCAGCCATCACTATGCCCAGCATCTCAATCTCCAACATCCAGATACTCGGCTCCAAACACAGATTTCCGCCATCAATTATTGCCCCTTTGGCATCACCACAATCGCTAACATCATCTGCTTTTTTTTTGGAAAGCATAACTCCGCTTAGTCCCTATTGCCTCTCACCGTCTCTTTATCGTGCACACGAGGTCATAAGCCTAATGATGACCATCTCCCCAACTCACCTGAAACTCACCAATGGCAACTTTCTGCAACCTTCAGCTGAGTTCTAGCCATACTTGCAAGGCCAATGCAGGAAGTAGCGAGGGGAAGAGTCGGAATCCGTGATTTGCGATGCTGGGCTGTGCTTCGAAAGTTGCAGGAAGAAAATTCGTGGAACATATGAACGGATTTCTACGATTCAAAATTGATGAAAGAGGTTCAGGGTGATGATCTACATGCGCAGGGTCATTGTTGGAATGATCCTTGGACGTAAGATTTCCCTTATTGTTGGCTAACGTGATCATTAGTTTGACGTCATACTTCGCAATTTCGCATACCAGAACGGTGTAATTGCCAGACTCGAAATCGATATCCACTCTTCTCTCGTGAAGAAATGGGAAGGTGGCTGACGACTTTTGAGGGCATTTTCAATCAGATCCTTCCATAGTCTCAGGCTCGCTTACGACAAGGGGCTTTGAAACACCCCTGGTGTCTAAACGAACGTTGTTACCGACGTTGGAACGAAGTACAACAACTTATTCATGATTTGATAAGTTGTACAAGTGGACGATTTTCCTTCATGCGATGGTTTCGCCGCAAAGTTCCCCGCTTATTGCTTACTGGAATATGCCAAGTCATTTACCCGGACTTTTTGTTTCGGATTCATAACGTTGCCCTTGAGGCTGTGAATGCAGTCATTTTCGGGGTCCTGGAAGATCTTTCTGGGCACACTTCTGATTGGAAGGCGATTGTCATCCAACATTGTAAAACTCCGATTTCGACGGACGAATTGTTATGTGCCTTCTCAGTGCCTACCTACCAAGTAAGGGAAGTTTCTGCCATTGGCTTGCTTCTGGTCTTACTTGCATATACTCTGACTTCTATAGTACTTTGAGATCCAATTCAGTCTCTATTTTCAACTATACCCCACCAGTGGTCTTACAATTGGCTTCAGACCATGATCCTCGCTGTCAACACGTAGAAACCGATGAGCTTCAGGACTTGTTTGATTTTTTAAGATCAGTTTCTCGCATTCGGAAGTCAACAAGTTCTCATTGACGTGGCCCTTTGTTACCATGGTACGCTTTGTGGAGGTCCTCTCCTTCACAATCGCCCCCCTGGAGATTTAGGGGACGCCTAGTCTGTATGCAACAGTTCGTGATATCGAGTCCGGTGAGATAGTCTCTCAAGCTGATTGAAACTATTACTCCAAGGGTGCGAAGAGTGATGCTATGGACTTGAGCTTCATGTAGGAGAATGAGGAAGGCAAGGAGTATGCTACCCATGTTTTGGGGATATTCAAGACAAAAGGTTTACGGTACGTTTTTTCGCTTACCGTGGACTCTCATATAGTCGAAAGACTCTGAATAATCATCAGAAGTTTGTATTGGAAGGACATGACTAATTCGTCTTTGTAGCGGCGTTGCAATATTGTCTCTCAAATACGGAATTCTATTCAACATAGACAAGGGTGGCTATTGTCTTTAGCATTGGGTTCAGGAACGGATTGTCATGTTGTATTTGGGGGTCCAAAAAACGAGAGCATTATCGGATGGTCGAAGGATGAAAGAATTATCCCTCTTTTTGCCAAAAAATTGAAACTTGCTCCCATATGACTTTCCATCGTTTACATGATTCAAAGAACTCTCGTGACCGGAACCTCTGAAGTTACCCCCAGGATTCTCCCTGCTTAATCGTACTCCAGTGATGTCAAGTGGATATCGGCTTGACCGCCTCTTCTATTATAGAACACCAATCAATTGAATTCAAAATCAATTCGTCCGAATTCGCCCGTTCGGCGTTTACGCTTATTCTCCTGTCTTGAACCTGGTGGAGATCTTGCTGTGCTGCTCAAATGCTGGTCACTGCTTCAATTGTGACGATGATCCTGCCTTTTTCTCATGGTATCACCCAGCCAGACTGACACCGCTTATTGTGTAAGCTGCCGCTTATGCTTTGCCGCTTTTCGGCAAGTCTTCAAATTCGACCGCAATTTACTTCTTCGTGATGATTCCAAAGGCACACGCTGATCTGCGTGACGAAGCAAGTGCTATTTCACGTAATGCTTGAAAGTTATGGAAAGGATCTGTTGTAAATTTGTAGGTAGAGATAATTACAAGCGTTGGCTGCCAATTCTGGCACATTTAGGTGCAACATTCATTTACATGGCGAAAGTAAGGCAGAAGTTATATCCCTGTGAGACTTATAGTTATAATTTTACGAATCTTCGGTCAAGCCCGCCAATTTTAGAGAGTTAGAGAAGTCCAGTAGCATGAAGCATGCACATTCGGCTACGACCTAGCTATAGATGCAGGCTGCACGTGTGGAGAGGGTCAAAGATATACTATGGAAGATGCCAAAGTCGCATGGATCTCACTGACCTACTAACGACGTCGTACAGTTCAACATTGCAAAAGGATTCTACAAGGAAGGATTTGAAATCAACACAGCATTTGAGGTTGGAGAGCTGGCATGTCATTCGTTCTACAAGCATATGTTGGGCTCTCCCCTGTCCAAGCAACAAGTATATAAGAAGTGATCTTTCCACCCGTGAAGTAGACACTTCTTCATCATCTCAAGACACCTTCTATATCATCACAAACACAACTGCCTCATTCACTACCGGAATCAACGCCAGTCCACATCATCAACATGCTTTTCTCCACTGTCAAAGTCGCCATCATGATGGCCCTCGCTTCTGTCGCTGCAGCACAATGTACGTGTGAATCTCCATGTTCAGTTGTGATCTCTTAAATGATCGTTCTAGAGTGGTGAAACATCCTGAAAATGGAAACTATCCACTTACAACATCCTGAAGCAGCTCTCAGCTCTCAGCTCTCAAGCCCTCTCACCCCCTTTCCTGATTTTAACCATGCTAATATATGGAAGGCGGCGCTGGAGCTCCATGTCAATCAAATGCTGATTGCTGCGACAACACCATGTGTCTCACAGGCGGGTCTGAGTTCTGCCTCGAACAACCTTGCGTTTGCGGTTAAGGCTCAAACGCTCAATGCATATGGTATGATTTTCTCTTTTGGTGACACGTCCGCCCTTAGAATATCCTTCTTTGGGCTGTCACAAAAACCTCATATTTGAAGCACAGCACTAATTTGTCTTGGCAGCCCCTTGTAACCCAGTCTGCCGAGAAGTGAAGTTTATTCAACATAGACAAAGGGGGGATGCTTGGTATTTGGGTTGGCAGTCGGCTTGCATGCTGCATTCTAGGTCTAAAAGGTGGTAGATTGAACGGTTGAAGATTGAATTAAATTTACGCTCCTTTTGCATTTCAAAAACAGACATCAGGTCTATCCCATCTCTCCACTCTTTCTCAACAGATACGTTTCGTAATAATTCATGTGCGCTCGAGGAGGTTTTTACATTATGAATACGCCAACGCTACCGAAGACTTTCTCCTCAACCTCAACAACCAATTTTGTGCAGCTCACTCCCTCAAGCAATATTTCCAACCCAGCATTGATCGTCCCTAAGCCCTTTCCCACACCCCTCGGCGCAAGACTCGGCGTGATAAGTCCTGCAGCAAGGCTGTCTCTGAGCCACATCCCAATTCAATACCGGAACTGTTTTAGCCTCTTCCCTTCCTCTGTCTACGGCTGTACGAAGATAGCTTCTACCCCGATCACTACTTCCGCGCCTGGGAGTATAGAAGATACTGAGCCAATCTTTGCCTTCTTCTTCTCCCCGTGTCCATCACCCCCAAGAAAAGCTTTGAGCACAGCCTGACACGGAGCGAGCTCTCCCATAGCAAGGAAGCATTGCCGGATGACAACGCCGTCTCCCATGGCCGCCGAAACTATGGCGTCCACCACTTGGAGGTCTCTGTAATCGAAGACACGATCTGCGCCCAACGAGGCCACATACTTCGCATTCGCTAACCCAGCGGTCGCGTACACAGCGGCGAAGGAAGAATCCTTGTCACAGCATGCTGCCAGGGAACAAAGCACCGTTCTTGGAAGACTTCCATAATCCTGGTCCCCGAATTTCCAGAAGCCAACCGAGTAAGCTGCGACTCGAGTAATACCTGGTTGAAAGAAGAGGCCAGTGCCGTCGTCGGTCGTACCGGTAGGTACATCATCGCCGACTTCGAGGACCAAGTCTGAGATGTCGAAGCCTAAGATAGCAGGGTAGGAAGGCACAAAGAATCCTTGGCTACGCATGATATGGTCTTCTGGACTCAGGGCCACTAATTTAACGGCGATGAGAAGCTTGCTTGGGCCAGCTTTGGGGGTGGGACGACTCTGGAGCTCGAAAGGTTTGCCCTTGGCCACGAAGACGGCGGTGAGGTGCGTAGGAACTTTAGACATCCTTGTGTAAGTCACGGACATCTTGATATAAATCTTGCGCAAAGGGGAGTGATCTTCAAGTTGAGTCGAGGTTTCTGATTCCGATGATTAAAGCGGTAAACCTTTCCTTCAGGATCGAGGCATAACTTCCATTTTATATCATTTCGAAATACCTCTCGATATGTTCTCAATTTCTCAAAATTGATTGCAGATGTTTGGAGACAAGTGGTTAGTTGTCAGCCAATCAGAGACTTCTGCACCCGAATAATAGCGCGCAAACTTAAACTCCTGGAAATTATGATTAGGGTATAAGAGCCTCTGACACCACACTGGGACATGGCTCATTCCTGCGGCTATTTCACGAAAGACACAACGGTACTCAAGCATTTCTTCCTGGAGGTCCCTTGGCTGATAGGTTGATTCAATCAGGATTGCGAACTTTCGAGTTCGGTTGCAAGAGGAGTTCTTGAAGGCGGTACATCCATGCCACCTCGGAAGAACCTTGTTACGAACATGCTGTTTGTATGTATATGTGAAGAGTTGAGAAGTCGGAAAGGCTCCCTGCGGGGAGCCTCGTGATCACCGAGGTGGTACATATGCAGGTGCAAGGGTCGCAAGCCACATTGGGGCTGTGACCTTTGAACAAACCTCGACGTCGAGAAACATGTCTTCCTCACTCTCTACAACACTCTCTCAGTATGCAACCTAACAACTGTTCTCGATGAACAAGAAGAAATGTTCTGACACCCATGTACTCCACTTATGTCACACGCATCTCATCCAAGGAACCAGTATCGAGTGCTGCACAACCCAGCCTCGTCCTACAACCAGCAATGAGCTTCGGGTACTCCATCGGAGACGCCCTCTCGCTCCTCAATCTTGCCTTTCAAACCCTACAAAACACCCGCCGTGCCTGTGGAGAGCACGATGACTTGACCCGAGAGGTATCCAGTCTACATCGCGTACTTCATCGCCTGCACCTCGAACTATTGAACCCTCATTCTGTGCTCAACAGGGCTGACGATGATCGACATGCGGAACTCAACGAGCTTGGAGAAAGCTGTGAGCAGATTCTCAGACTTATGAACTCAATTGTGACCAAGTACAACGCTTTATGTGACGACAAGAAGAGTGGCAAAAAATTGTGGCAAAAAATCAGATTTAGGAATAGGGAGATGAAAGATTTGAGTGAAATCTGGCTGAAATTGGCTTCTCATACGAGTGCGTTATTGATGAGCGTTAATCTTGCGAGTTTGGGAAGTCAAGGAAGGGTGGAGAGGAAACTTGGTGGCATGAGTGGGGACTTGGAAGGTATCAGGGGATAGGTTGATTGGATCGCTGCGGAGATGGCGGCTAAGAATGGAAGAGGGGATGGATCCATTTGGACGAACGTTGATGGAGATGAGAAGATGTTCTGGAGAGAACTGAGAAGGGGTTTAGTAAAAGAGGGGTATAGGAGCTCGGTTTTGCAACGGCATAAGCATTTGATTCAGGATTATATCAAAGAGCTCGGAAGTCGAGGTATCTTTGACGAGGATGAGGACATGGGTTTCAGTCTGGGATTTGGTGATTATCGTTATCCATTACAGAATTACAACGAAGATCGAAGTTCTGGAGATACAATTGGTATCGCCACAAGAGATTATCGAGTACCACCACGGATGTCGGAAACCACAGCACGGAGACAAACACCGTCGGTAATATCAGAGCCGCGTATCTCTCAATTGCCTGAGAGATTCTCTAGGAGACCGGAGCAGACACCTTCAGTACTGTCAGAGCCCCGAGTGAGACATGAGGTTTCCATGCCAACATCTGCAGAACGACCTGGTGGACTTGGGGAGCGGGTCCCCATGCCAGAAGAATCGCGGTACTCAATATATCCAGGAATAATATCGAACCGCGGTACTGACAAGCCCTTTCGAAAAACAATGTCAAACTCTGATGATGATGCAGCCAACGAGTACGGCAATCCATACAAGTCAAACTCGCATGGATATCGTGCCATGCTTGACAGATATCCTGGAAGGAATCCGTGGGAGGACAATGACGAAGAAGACTTCGAGCCAGGTCCGAGCAGGAGATACATCGATTACGCCGGTGAGATTGAAACTCGAACTTCCCCTTCATTTTGCTTCGACCAAGGCAGAAGCGCCATCTCTCGACCAATACCAAAAGCAGACCGGATGGAAATTGATCGTCAAGAAAGAAGAGAGACAGCACATTCATCGATCAGCCGGAAAGGCCCCAATTTTAGATATCATACAAAATTCGGGAAACGACAAGGATGGACTTGGAGCAGTGAAAGTGAGGAGGCTGTGAGTGAACATGACGGGTCTAATTCCTGCGTATCAAGTGAAAGTGAGGAGGCTATGAGTGAAGATGACGGGTCCAATTCCTGCGTATCAAGAGATTGGGAGTATTCTGACGATGATGACGTTGACGTGCAAGACAGAGACGGCTCTAGGATATTACTTTGGTACGTGAAACTTGAGGAAGTTGTAGATGAGGATTTTCTTCCCGGAGCTCATCCCAATGTAATCTCAGACCAGAGTCTCGATTTGACTGAAGACTCTCCGCCTCCGCCAACAACATCGTCGAATGTACTAGAGCCCGTTTTCACAAAAGTTGAGAAGACAAAGGACATGACAGATTCGGCTGAGAGCGAAGGGAAAGTCTTAACAGAAAGTACGGATGATTCCGATATCGAGGATGGCCGCAAAGATCAAGTTTTCAAGTTCACAGATGCACTGGGACGAAAGTTTGCTTTCCCACTCGATATGGTACAAAGCCACGAGGTAACCTATCTGCCCTTCTCTTTCATGCTCCCCTAACGCGCGCATAGGACCTTGTGAAGTTAATTAATGAAGCATTCAGCAAAGAGCTTTTAGGTTCCCGCGTTCCCCAAGGGTGCTATGACCTCCTGGTTGGAAAAGAAAACTCAATCCTTCGACATCGAAAGAACTTGTAGCACCTGGTTGCCATATTGAGATGAAACTCTGGCCTCTCGATGGTGCAGCATCAAAATGGAGAAACTGGTTCCTAAACAAATCGACGCGTCTTCCCATCCCCCCTGAAGATGCAAACCAACCCAAGAAGGAAGGTGAATTCCACGTGTTTCTCAAATGGTACGGCTACAGAAGCCCTTATCTGGTGAATCCTAAAACAACCTGTCGGGAGCTCAAGATTATTGCTAACAAGAGGTCATGGGTCAATTTTCCTGACTTCATGTACATATTCAACCACGAAGACCGAAAGCCTGTACCTGATGAAGCAGTTTTGTTTGAGCGAGGTGTGAGAGAAGGGAGTGTGCTCGAGGTGTTGTATCCAATCTGGAGGGACAAGCCCAAAATTGATGAAAATTTAATCATGGCTACTATCAAGAGCCAGATTTCACCATGGAGGCTTGGATAAAATTGATATTCCTAAGCATACGTACGGCAAAACAAACTAAGGACGAAAAACGGGGTTATGTTGTAAATTTCACCTATATCAACTAAAGTATGATTGTAACACGTGTGCTAAAGGCTGAATGTATCTAATCATGTTGATGAGTTAATAAAATGGAGCCGAGTATGGAGAACGAATTGGTGGTTTGGGTGATGGACTATGGCGATTCCCATCTTTTTGCTTCTCATGTCTTGTAAGTCATCCAAGAATTTTTTCCATTTTCTTGGGAGGAATCTGCACTTTTTACATCGAGGACCGCCAATCGGCACGTTCATCTTTTGTGGCGTGGTATATTTATACGATGATGGGAAGATATATTTGTACAGGACAAGCAATTTACAAGAAACAAATAACATGCCTCGCATAATGTCAACTTTCTACACCGTCTGGCTCCCTTCATCTCAACCTCGAATCACCCCTTCAATCCCGTCCCGAAACAGACACATAGCATACCACCTGTGAAATGCCACTGTCCACTTTGGAAACGGCGCCCTATTGAGACTAGGATTGCAACTCAAACTGCTGTACCAGACTGTCAATTCCTCCCCTTCTTTTTTTGTAGGATGATACTGGATTTCGAAACGATGCAGGCCAGAGAAATTCTTCTGATCAGCACCGAATGCAACGTCCACGTAGCTAATGACGGGATCACCGAATCCGATATCAATGTAGCTTGGTACTTCTCGAGTCGCAAGAGAAGATGCCGAGCTAGGTGATCCTGGCGGAAAAAAAACACGAGTGTCTAAAACCATAAAATTCCCACCGAACAGAATTGTGCCCTTTGGTGGTAGCTTGGTTTTCGAAAAGCCGCCAAGAGTATCAATGGGATGTCCCGATGATGGCATTTCTAGCATACATCAATATATATCTCAAATTCGATTCGTAAAAACGCAATGCTGACCTGTATATTTCGCCTCAATAAACTTCTTTCCCATCCTTCTCAGCGCCGCCAACAACCCCCGCTCGGGCGTGAAACTCCACCCTCCAAAAAAGCCCACAAGAAACCTTGCTAAGATCTCTTCATCCGATACCATTGCATCTCCATCTCTCAAATGACTTCTTGAAATTTCTGATCTCAAAAGATTTATAGAGCGAGAATCAGTCAGCTGTATGTGATTCCTAGGGTTTACGATTCCGAGAGATTTGGGTGATGGACCGGAAGCAAATGAATGTGAGAGTTCCTCAGTTACTGATATCTTTCGCTCCTTGGGAAGAGGTAGGGGACGATTGTAGAGGTAAGTTGCTATGAGGATGCCTGCCGCTGGGATAGTGAGGGCGATGGGGAGGGAGGCTCGGAAGTCAGGCATTACTAAGGATGAATATACTGATGTATATGAGCGGTAGTAATGTAAGAGTTGCTAGGCAAAGGGAGTGTTGAGGGTATTTTATTGTGTGTATTTGGGGAGAGCTGAGTCATGAGGTTGGTGGACGCGGCAGACTCCGGGTTGGGCTGCGGAATTCCGCTTCTGCCCGAGCAGGCCGGTGTAATTATACCGCTCTTACTTGAACTTGCATTTGTTCTCAGAAGGAATACAAAGGGATGACTAGGAACATATGCCACTTTCACTCTGGACTCACAGCGTCCTGTTCACTGTTCTGAGAATAATAATATGTTGGCCTGAAAAATGTAGTGCGGGGTAATTAGCGGGGTAATAAATTCAGGGGTTCTGACCTGACTTGGCTCGGTATTTAAGTTCACCTACAAGATTCTGTCTTTTTTTCATTGTTGGCGCAGCTCAACATAGTTGGATCTGTGAATTTCATCAATAGTTTCCAAAATTGTAGGATTTGCTACTTCATGCCTAGGTAGCATATGCGGGGAAAGGTCAAGCTTTATGGATCGTCACCGGCACTGACCTAGCGCCGCAGTAGCTCAAGCAAGTATCAACGACTATCTAACGGATCGGAACTAGAGAATCAATAGCCAGGACATTCCGGCGACTATGACGACGCAACGTCCTAGGTCCACGTATATTTTGTATCGATACCCCTGGGTCTGGAAGTGTTAATATTTGTTTGGATCTCCACTCGCAGTACCGCACACACTCCTTCGAGTCATCACAAACCCTGACAGCCATGCAGTACCTCAAAACCCTCATTATTCCACTCGGACTGGCAGCTTCTACTCTCGCAAAACCATTTCCAATCTCCTCTGACGGGTACTCTGCGTCGGTAAAGAAGAATGTCACTGAACAAATTGCCATCTGGCAGTCGGCCATCGACACAGTCAACAATTTCGTTGACACTGTCCTAATATTCGCCAACGACTCCACGGAAGTCAGCAAAATGGCTGTCGTAGCATTTGCCGCAGCCCAAGAGGAAAGCTCATCCAACACCATCCTCTCGGACGAAGTTCAAATCGATGCATCAGGTGAAGCTGCTTCGAAGGCTTTAGTGCCAGGATTTAACATCATTGGACCGGCGATCAATGATACAATTTACCAGCCTCAAAATGTGAAGAAGAATGTAGATACTGTCAATGAGGAGAGGTGAGTTTTATGGAATCGTTGTGTTTGTGTGCTTTAGTAGATTGATTTGATGTACAGATGTGCTCCGCCGAGAGGGAAGGGTGCTATATCGTTGGAGGGCGATGTCCAGCAAGCCGCTGCTTCCGCTGTTGGTATCATTGTTCCTCCGCCGCAAACACCCGTTGCTTGCTATCTCCCTGCGGCAACTGGTTGGTAGAGGTGCAGGCTAGGTTTGCTAATGAACAACGAATAGCTTAATTCTTGAATAAGAATTGAATGGAATTGAATTGAGGGCATATGAATATCAAGTACTGTAGATAATTCATGAAAGATTATGAGATCAGGTTCCATCACTGTCTGACCACCCAACTCTCTTCAAGTGAAGACCGGTAATCCATGCATTCATAGCCACACGTCAACCGTAAATGCTGCGTAGAACTTCCATTCCCACATCTTCAACTTCTCTCACCACAAGACCCTCCGAACAACTTTGAAGAACTCCAATACTTTCAGATTTGAAGACACCCCCAAAACCTTCTGAACAGCAAATTTCGAATACTTAGTAACACCAAACAATTGAACCACGTAGGAACTTAGATCCCAATTTCCTCATCCAAGGTACAGAACCTACTCCTACACCCACCACGGCCGTTGCCCCAGTTACTCCTCACTCTGTCTCTCTTTCCAAATCTACCTTACCTTCTCTCCACTCCACTTTCTCATTTCTCCTCTCCTTAGAATGACAATCATGACAGATCAATTTCGAAAAAGCCGCTGACACTAATTGAAAGCGTGGAAGCCAGCAACGATGTCCCGATCTATGTCAAGAGCATGAGTATCGGAGCTAAGGAAGACGTTGAGGGTGGAGGCGGAGAGGGGGAGGAGAAGCAGCGAGGTGAGATGGGAGATGCGGGGTAGAGGCATCAGCGAAGGCTGCGATTTGCGAGGCGGGAGTATGTGAAAGAGAGCGCGTGAGGTATAGCGCAAATTGAAAATATTCAAGGGACTACGAATTGGCCCAAAAGCTCCATAATCTTGAATGTTCAAGTCTTTGCAGCAGGGAGGTGGGCTGTGGCGTTTGCGGTAGGACTTTGTAGATCGAGATCGAAGTTAACGAACGAGGGCCGGGATGGTCCGTTCCTCGTTTTCCTTTTTTCGTTGAACCTTCGAAAGAAGGTGGTTGTCGAATTGGGTCTCGGTCATTATGAGATCGGATAGGATCGAAGTTGTTGTAAAGTATTGAGTTTGAAAAGCTTCCGAGATTGAATTAGCTGAAGAAGATAAGAGGCTGAAATGAATCATTTTGGAAGAAATTAATTCTTGAATAGAAGCGGAAGAATGGAACAGAAAGAGTGAGCACTACTTTGATAAGGTCAAGAATAGCGATTCTCAAAGGACGATGCTGACTTACCCTAGCATTCAGGTGGCCACAGGGTTTGCCGCGCCCGTTCAGCCAACCAAATGACGGTAGTGGCATGTTCACAAACTTAAGCGAGTGACATGCCAGCCCCCTGAGGATTTTCCTTTCTCTTTCTCCATGAATTTCTGAAGTGGTGTCATACACAGCGTCAAAGGCTGACCAAAGCCATATTGATTATAAAGATTGAAGGCAGAGGCTTCTTTATCTCTTACTTCAATCACTGATTCTACTTCCCTTCGAGCACGTTTCGGTGAACCACAATCTCCTCGTCTTGGTCTAGACTTTCACAAATATTATTTCATGCTGTGTCAGTCCTACATCCAGTGTCCCAGAACAGTGAATCAATCATTCTTACTCATTCTCTTGGAACCTTTCTCATCTGCGACTTTGTCTGAGCTAATACTCTTCTGAACCTCAAAGCAAAACCCGCATACCATTTCACAGAACAATGACGGCAACAGAAGCCAGCCTTCCCGGAGATAATGTCCCACAGTCTTGGTAGGAAGCCTTTCCGGCACCGAAAATGGCTGCATTCATGGTCACCCGTAGTGCCTTGCTTTCTTGGATGCGCAAGGGAAAAGTCGCAGGAAAAGATTGTGTTCTTGTTGACGTCCGTAGAACAGACTTCGAGGTAAGATCACCCATGCTTGTGCATCCAGCAATGGAAAGTTGATACCTATCTTGCTAGGGAGGGACCATTCATGGATCGATCAATTTACCTGCTCAATCTCTGCATCCAACAATTCCTTCTCTCTACACTCTCTTCTCTGCTGCCGGAATCACCACAGTCATTTGGTATTGTGGTCAGTCAACCTTCCACTCTTGCTCTTCTATTTCACACTCTAAAGATCAGTAGGAAATTCACGCGGTCGTGGCCCCCGAAGTGTTGCATGGTTTGCAGATTACATTCAGGACCAAAAGGACACTACAAAGGACGTAGAGATGATGGACGGCTATAATGCTGATGCATGGGGGTTTGACTCAGACTGAACATACGCAAGAACCATTACTTCCCGTGGATGATTTGACACTAAGTCTTGCGCTTATTGGACTCGAATTTCAGCAGGCTCTATGTGAATGGCCAAGTCATTGATGTGTTTCTTTCTTTCTCAACAGTTAGGATAATTCCTTTTCTCTAAGCTTGTAGGTTAACATCTTGAGAATGGAGGAGGGGATAGGTCATTACTATTGTTGGATTGAACACGTTGGATGCGACTCTCTTTGAATCTAGTGCAAGTCTGTTCTATATATAGAGCTCGAAACATAAATTAAGAGACTGGATATGTTTATTGCATAAAGGCCAATCAATTACAATAATCTAAGCACTGAGATAAGATGAAAGCTGCTCGTATACCTACCTAGACACCCAGGTAACTCTTTCGGTCTCCACTACCACGTGACCGTTGTAGATACCTGTGATTGACATAAGTAATCCAGAGGAACAGAAAAACGTAAAAGATCAGCTTAAGAGATGGTCTGATATCTTTGTCTTTTTACAGGAGCACTTGGACAATTCACATATTCGCCAAATGTGTCTGTCACATGATGACTTCGGAGCGGAAATACCTTTGTCGCACGCTAACTTTCCTTAAAGTTGAGCCAAATTCTTCTTGTCCCGGCCTTTCATCATCATCATCATCACCACCATGCATTGATTCCAGCTGCAATATGAGACGGAGAACGCAACGAGCACTCATCCAACTCGTGTTCTTTGGCAGTGTTTTATTCCTTGTCATCTTCCTCACTCGTTCGGGATCGAGTTCGAAGACCTTTGCATGGACCAAAATCCGCTACAGAACCACCGCTGCCACGCTGCCGGAAGCTCGCGGTATCTGTGCAGGACTTGCGAAAAGCTCAAGACCAGCACTTGTCGTGTCACGGGTGACGGCTGACGATTCGAAATGGCTAGAAAAATTGGGCAAGAAGTATCATCAATGCGTCTACACTGCGGATGCGCCGGCCGACCTAAAGTCGACGAATTTGCAGGTACCTGCAAATCGCGGTCATGAGGCTATGGCATATCTGACTTTTCTGATCGACAATTATGACCATATTCCAGCAGCGGGTGCCGTCTTCGTCCATGGGTCACGATGGGCTTGGCATAATGATGCGCCGGACTACGACAATGCGGCTCTATTGGCTCAGCTCAATATAACAGCCGCGCTTGAGATCTCCGGGTACCATAATCTTCGATGTGATTGGAGTATTAGTACCTGTCCTGCGTCGACCAAAGCGCAAGGAAGCATCGAGATGACGATGCAGGCGGTCCTGGTCCCATATGATGAGCGTGCGGTTTCTGATGCCATGCTGCCACGTGCTCTCGCAAATATCTTTGGTGGAAATGAGCCAGCTCTGGCCAAACCTGGAAGAGGCGATGCTGTTCGCTCGCAATGTTGTGCGCAATTTGTTGTCGCGCGCGAGAGTATATGGCAACATTCTCGTGACGAGTATGTCGCATTGAGGCAATGGCTGCTTGATGGCACCAGTACTGGTCAGCAGGTCCAAAGAACTCCTGCTGCACCACCAGATGATCGGATCGCAGGCCGAATCCTCTCTTACGTGTGGCACATCCTATACATCAAGCAGGATGCCGCGGATGCCCAGAATCCGGCTTCAGCTGGTCTTGGCCTTGAAAGACTTAATGCTTTGGCATGTCCTTCGGCTCAGGAATGTTATTGTCGTTTGTACGGACGCTGCAATCTTGACGGATGCCAGGCTGGAAAGTGCTCTGGACAGTATCGTCTACCGAAGGATTTGAAATTACCAGCAGACTGGGCGACAACACATTCGTGATGCTGGCCGGAATCTTACCCTTCTAGCTTTTCGGCCGTGAAGTTGTCCGCTTTTCCCCCGGGAGACTAGGCAGAACAAGTACGTGCCTGACAACTGTTACTACTTGGTCCATACCTAGGTGTCTCATATAAACTGGTGGAGGCGTCAGACTTACAATGTCTGTCCCTCACAACATGCTTGAACATATATGTAATGTGTATTTTATGTTTTGGGATCTATTTTGGCGTATGATTGGGTATCAGGAAGGATTTTCAGATAGAAGAGATCATGCACTACAATCTCGAGAATAAAGCTCAGTTCAAGCAAACGAAGCATTTTGAATTCCCTGTGATCAGGCATTGTTAAACGAGGAATATAACAATCCGGTGCAAGACCCTCAAATATGCAGCTCTTAAGAAACTTTGATTACTGCAAGTCCTCCTTTGGAGCTTCGAGAGGGGGGACTCAAGGCGCAGATTTTGTAATCATTCGCAAACAGCACTATTGATAAATCATGAAGTTGTGTTTCTAAGACTTCATGAATGTTCTCCATTGCTTTGAGACATGTACGAAAGAGTCGTACACATTCACTATAAGGAATAAACCCTCTTTTTCATCACTCAAACATCCTACGACCTAGCCAGAAGTAAGTCCATAGCGCTTCTTGATGATATCGGCAGCCTATCAAGGGGTTAGCTCAAACCTTCTCATGAACGCAGAAGGAGGCTGCACGAGCTCACCTTCTCAGCCTCAGCATAAACAGTCGCAGACGGAGCACCAGACAAGATTATCGGCCAAATACTATTATCCACAATACTCAAACTCTCCAGTCCGTGAACCTGCAGGACATCATTGACAACCCCACCGAGTGCCAACGGCACCATCGGCAGCGTACAACAAGCATGGCCATTCGTCGGGACGATCGTAGCTCTGAACGCCGCCTTCAACGCCTCGTCGCTTGTCACATTCGCTCCTGGTACCACTTCAGTTGGTCCGAGAACTTGCATCGAAGGTTGTTGCATGATCTCGCGGTTCTTGAGGAACAGGGCAAGCATGAGATCGAGATCTGTCGGGTCTTTCACTGCGCCGAAATCCACGACGGGGTTCGTGAGTGGGTCAGTAGAGCCGATAGTTACAGAGCCGCGGGATAATGGCTTGATCATGTAGAGAGTGGTCGTAGAGCCTGTGTTCCAACTTATGCTTCCTATGGGTGTTTTGTAGCCTGCGAATCTGGCGAGGAGATTCTCTCGTTGGACAATGTAACCTGCGAGCACGGTTGGATCGGTGCCGTTGGGAAGGATTGAAGCAGGATTTATTGATTGAGCTGATGCCAGGACCGATTCCCAATCTGAAGTGGCGTTTCGGAGAGGTAGTGTTACGAAATCGTTTCCGGTTGTTAGAATTAGTGTGAATGGTCCTCGTCTTGTTGTATCATATACGACTCGTTGTTCTGCGATGTAAGTGGCGTTGTCCACCATGTCGTCCGCATTGGGAAAGAGATTCGCCGAAACTATTAGGCGTGAGTCATCCGCGGTGTAATTGAGGGATGGACTTGTGTGTTTATTATGTGAGCTTCATTTAGGGGCTTGACTTACAATTGTACGTGATAGCGTAATCAAGATGATCCTGAAAGTTGGTGCCAACGCCGGGAAGATCATGCACTAAAGAGATGTTGAATTGATCCAGTGTTTTCTTCGGGCCAACACCTGAAAGTATGAGGATCTGAGGAGAGTGCACAGCGCCAGCAGCAAGAATCACTTCCTTCGTAGCAGTGACATTCGTTACAACTCCCGAGGTTCTGTTGATGTATTGTACACCAACTGCTTTCTTTCCCTCGAATAATAACTTGCCAGCGGCAGTTTCAGGCATCAGATGATAGTTAGGGCGAGTAGCGATTACTCGATCATAGTGTGCGATACGAGCGTAGGACCTTGTTTCGGTATCAGGGTTCAATGCTCGTAGGAGCCAGAATAGCCCATTGCTTTCTCCGCTGTCAGGATCCTCAAGCTCAGGAATACCAAGCGAGAGTGAAGCGTCCCAGAAGTTTTCTGTAGAATGTCAGATGAAGCTCCGACCTGAAAGGACATAATACGTACGGCCACCAGGATAGTCAAATGGCGAATAACTAGCATGAACAGGACCTAGGGTGCCGTGGAAAGAAGGCTCGAATGTGATGTTACGCTCCTTTGCAAAAGTCGGGTCTGGCGCAGTGAAATTTTCGCTCTGGAAAAGGTCAAACCGGAGCACAGGGAATGATGGGGACTGATACTGACTTTTTTAAAATATGGGAGGAGATCCGACGAGCCCCACCCAGGATTGCCAAACGACGCAACAGAATCATAATCTTCAGATGTACAACGTATAAAGAACACTCCAGGAAGTTAGTACTTGCTTTGATAAAAGAATTAAAAACCGAATCCTCGAGAATGGGATGAAACTTGCCCCGGAGCCCAAACATGGCATATGTAAAAGAAAGCGAAGGGAAGGGACAAAGAAAGGGCATGGTTACTAGCATTGACGGTGGATCCTCCTCCTACAACAGATCCAACGGGAATGAATTCGGGCTCGTTCGTCAGGCCTGGCTGGGGTACGCTGAACAGATCTTGCTTCAGGTATGGAAATGGATTGTAGGCTCCTGGAATAAGGACAGAATCCTCGCCTTTGTCAAATGGACCATACTCAATGACCAAGACAGTTACTACAGATTCTATCAGACAAAGTTACCAGAAAGCGGGCGTTGGTACCATTGGGATCTTCGGTCAAACGATCAGCAACAGTCAAACCTCCAATTCCTCCTCCAATAATCACGAAATCGTAGGTAGTGTTCGAAACTATGCTTGATCGCACTACTCGCGCATATTTTCCTGGCGAAGATGCCTCAATAACAGCGAAGAACAAGAGAAACAGAACGTTGAGTATCAACTTCGTTGCCATTGTGAATCGAATAAAAGCGATAGCTACAGTATGCTCGCAAGGACTACGAGGATATATTTCCATACCCAGATCAATTCAAGCCACAAGTAAGCACTATGCCAGAGCCAGAATTCCCACAATATTCAATACTGCAGGCACCAACAGGGATTTCACCCGTCACCGTGGTCCCTTCGAAGCTGTTGCAGATATTGGAACGACTGCCCCAACCTTCCCCACAAATCAGCATTCTTCTTTGTGTCACAGACACAGGGACGGGCCGCAGCGAAGTGCTCAGGTAAAACTTGCTCCAAGAGAACTTCTGATCTTCTGATGGCTTCATCAAATTCGCCTTTCAGCTGGATTGGAACGAATGCGAATGGGCAAGGATATTTGGGCACCTGCAGGCTGCTCATCAAAAGATTGGTAACGAGTCAAAGTCCATATTGACGTGATAATGCAGGCAGAGACCACTCTAGACTGATGAAAACCCGGGAAAGGACGCTTTCCTAGGCCACGAGGAGGAAGAATCTCCGAAGGTGCACTCGCGACTGGGAGATTTTGTGGTTCATGAAAGAGGGAGCACGAAGTTAATGAGGAACTGGAAGCTACGGACCATGAACCCCGCCGACCGGCCCCCAAATTCTAAACTTCACGACAAACCGAACTTCACATCAATCTACTACAACCACTAATTACAACCACGCAATAATTTAATGTGCGTACAAACTTCAATGGATATTTACCGGGTAGGCGGGTATAATTCTATTTGTCTGACGAGTATCTAACTAACCGTCTTTCCCTGCACCACAGATACCCAAAAGAACCACAGCGCGATCACCATTCCTAGACTATCGAGCCCGATCGCAAAGTACCAAGCATTGCGATAGCTTCCAAGCGAGTTTCCTCCTCCTTCGTTCGTCTGCCGAATAATCGTTCCAGCTATACCAAGGGATAAAGATATGGAGTAATTGACCACGGTGTTGACGAGGGAGGCAGCAATACCTTGATGCTCTCGAGGCATGCCGTTGCTTAGGATGATGGTACCTGCGGGAAAGCTCATGTCCATACCCCATAGCATTATCACCACTGAAACGAACGTTTGCGCCCAATACGTTTGTGAGACTAGAGTTGTGGCAATGAGGATCTGCCCAGTGAGGAAACATGCCATGGCTGCTACCATGATATAGCGACCTTCATCTTAGACAGGAAGAAACCGACTGCCAGAGAGGCAATGAGACCGCTGATAGCGACGGGACTCTGTTGTGCTGCAGAGGACAAGACGCTGTGATGCCGCAGATTCTCCACAAGCTGCCAGAGATAGTACACCCAGATTCCGAATGAGGCCCAACCGCATGCAAGTATCGAAAGGGCAAACATGGCTTCCTTAGAGAGCATTTTGATGGGCACCAGGGGATACTCGGCGATGTGGACTTCGACGTACACGAAAGCTCCAAAGAAGAGTATACCCACAATGAGAAGGATGAAGGTATATGGAACTGTCCATCCAACTACACCAGCCTGATTCCAAGCGAAATTGAACAAGACCAGGCCGGTAACGCCCGTTATTGTTCCTGCAAAGTCGAAGGTTGGTGTTTTGCCGTCGTTCTTCGCTTCATGCTCGTCGGGAGGAAGAATCATCGAACTCGTTGCGGTGTATAGGAACAGGACAGTTCCACATTGTCCAGTATGTCCAAGGCCGCCAGACCAGTTCCGAGAATATCGCTGCGAAGACTCCGCCCAGGACAGAACCTCCTACAATTTATCAGCATATACTGAGAAAGAGGTATAAGTAACGCGAACCTGGTGCTGATGCTCCAAAGCACGCGAACACATAGTTCTTCTTCTTTCCTTCGAAACTTCTACCAGCAATCGCAAGTGCGTTTGGCACCATCAGGGCTGGTCCAATTCCTTGTAAGCCGCGACATACAGAAAATCGACTGGTTCCGGAGTACACGGAAAACCCAGCGATCACAGACCAAATTCCATACCAAATCGTGCCAACAAGGAAGATCTTTTTATGGCCATACATGTCTCCTAGCCGATCTGTTCTTCCTTGTCAAAACGGATTCTATAGATTCAGTGCTATAATTCTCTTACCGGATGGTAGAATGAACGTCCCTACAGTCAGACTGAATGCTGCCAGATACCAGCTGAGCTCGCCATCGTTTGTTACGCTGAAGCTGTCTCCAACAATGTACAACGGTGCTAAGGTAGAGAAGTCAGTATGAATCAAGTCCATCAGGTGTCCATCAGCTCACTGAATCCTTGACCCAGACCTGCCAGCGCCAGAATCTGAGCCATGCATATGGTAATGATGAAGCAAGCATCATGGATTCCGGACATCTTTTTTTACCAGCAGTCTTTTCGACTACCAGATCCGACCCGGATTCATGGCGATCCACTGCAGTGTGCTCCGAGTCAACATCTTGACCATCTCTATTCTTTGGCTCTTCCCTACCTTTTTCCAATCTTGCAACAAAACTGAAAGGTGATATTTGTATCCTTATCATGGTAGATAGACCTCGATTTCTTCTTTCGGAGCACATCACATCAGACCGAGGATCTTTGACCAAGGATCGAAACCGATCCGGACGGAGCTAGCTAAGCTTGAGGGAAGTCATCGTACTAAGCTCATTTAATGGGCTTTGCGAGATGTTGCTCACTTTACCTCGCCAAACATGGTTCCTGGCTTCTCGTTTGCCATTACTTGTCATCCACACCAAATTTACTGCAAGACTACGACATGAAGACTTGTATTGGTACATCCCATTCTACAGCCTCTCTGATGCTGTCAAACGCGCATGGATCGTATATCTTTCTCCGCGATATTCCAATGTGGATCCATCCCAACTCAAGTGCCGTCGGCAGATCACCAACTCTCCGGAACCTAGTTTTCAACGAGCTTAGATGGAGAATTTTGAATGCACCGAGGTTAAATTTAGCGTTTTGTCGTTGAGCCTCTTTCCCTGATGCCAGATAGTGGGTTCTGTTCTTGGTGACGAAATGGGGTGTCGCTAGGTCTGACTTTTTGTTCAAAGCTTCAGATCAATTGTCACGATGAATAATGGATGCGATCTGTTGAGTGTGCTCTGTTGCGTAGTCGCATTACAAAGTGGCAGCTGTTAATTAGGGGCGAGGAAGCTAAGGTGTTTCCTGCTTTGGCATTTTTCGTCTGGCAGTCCGGCTTTTCATATCTACTACATCGAGCCTTTTTGGTTGCTGAGAACAAGCAGCGATACATTTCTGCAATTCTATCCATATCGATTGTATCTTTGAACATTTATCCTGCCTGAAAATCCGCAAAATGTTCCCAGAGCATTTATTGCCCGAGCATCTTTTCAATACTGTACGTACAAGTACCCAATGTGTGCATTCCATAATTTTGGGCCAATTCTTGAAGGTTTAATACTCCTCCCGTGATCCTCACGCTTTACAGCGTTCAAAGTGAACCCTTTGGGACGGACTTATCGATTCATATTTTGAGAAACGACTGTACACGCAATTGCACCTGCAGCGACTCCAAGATTAAGTGCTGATCCTAACCTCAATCCAAATGCTCTGCCCAACACAGTCGTAGATACGCCCGCCACACATCCAGCGGCCACAGCGGGTCGCTTCAACGCCTGTGGAAGCCCTATACTGTGTCCATTCCCCGTCTGGATGCGAAAATCAGCGAGCCTTTGGGCGCGTTGAAGCAAGGACTTCGCAGGTTCATCATACGAAGTCTCAGGCGTTACTTTTATCGATACCGTTTTCGTTCCGGTGGTCGCGACGCTCGTATAGGAGGTTCCAGTCCTGCGACTGCGGCGCTGAAGGTAGGACAGAGTGCGCTTTCTGATCTCTGCGATCTGGTCGCGCTTCATATTCTTGAAGTTCCATGAACAGAACCCATTGCAGTCTACCATGAACCACGAATCATTGTCATATGGATTGAGTGCTATAAAGGCAATCTCAGCGTTTTCATTAAAGCGCTCATTCAACGCATCTGCTAGATCGCTATAGTGTGCTCCTAAGTTGTAGGAGAAGGTGCCGTCCTTCCATATAGCAACCCCTATCGAGTGTTTAGTATTTCTTGTCTTCAGTGGTAATTGAAAACGGATACAACAAGACTCTTGCGTCAATTCCCGAGACATGAGTCAAGAATTTGTCTCCTCATTGAAAGATTGGATGGAGGCGGAAGCTACATACATGCATTGCCACGTCCCAAAGCAACTTGACGAGGTTCGACTTCGACAGCTTCAAGCTTAGAGACGAGCGAGGGAGGAATGTCGCGGTAAAACAGGCCATCTTTGACGGTGCAAAAGTAGGCACCAAGTGGGCCGAACGTGACATTGACATGGGAGAGAGCTTCAACAGAGGAAGAATACTCTTCGAATATTCTGCGATAAACTCGATTGTAAACGAGCTCGTATGCAGTAGCTATAGCACGTTAAAAGATCTGTCTTTCCGAGCGAAGGCGGGACAGAAAAAAAACCTCGGTTGGAAGCTGGTCCGCAATGAGCCCATAAGGGCGTTGGATCTTCGGCAGCTTTGCTCACGGCAGCAATATGGATCCCACCGTCCGGCTCGAAAGCTACCGAGTAGATTGGCCAACTAATAGAAAGAGTCTTGAGCGAATTTGCGACAACGGAATTCATGTAACAACTTGATGTTAGGGATCAATATTGGACATAGAAGGTCAAGAACGTACTATCGAGTATCAAATTGTTCCTGGTCTTGGATTGCGAGGAAGTATTGCCCTGTGCGTCCAAATGCGAATCGCACCTGTTTGCATACCTCACATTCCTTTTTCTCTGACATCTCTTGGTCAGAGGAATCGTCGGGCAGAGTAGCAATGCTTGGCTCGTCTATGGAGCTAGCCTCGCTTGATGGTGTTCCCACGGGCGGAGAACTGATTGGCGATCCATTGGGCAAAGTCTCGCTGGGAAGAGACTGTTTTGTAGGAGCCTCGCTCTGTATATCACCCATCATGAGAGGATGCTGAGAAAAGGTTCACCGATATGGGGACGAAATGTGAGTGATTGAGAAATTATGTCATAGCTACTTAAGCCCTGAATGTTACCCTGCCTTGCCCAGTATATCATGCACATGATTTAAACGAACCAATAATGGGCAATGGCAAGACTATTGGATGACATTTGTATAGAGGCCAGAAGAGAACAAGATAAGTGAAAGAACAGAAATATAATAGTTCAACTGTAAATCATCTAAGCGGAGTGCCTGAAGTTGCTGAGCAACGTACCTACCTAGGTAAGAAAGGAAAGACAAGCACGTGACCCGAAATAGCTTCATTGCAGAAAGCATATAGTTATTCCGTAGGCAGTACTATAGGTCGAAGTATAGCTTAATATTGCTACCACACTATAAGCTCTGTAGAGTGCCAGAAGACTTTATGCAGTTGAATCCAGGTGACCATCTGGGAATCACGCAACCTTACGTAAACTCTCGTCCATCCATCGCATCAGAAGCTCGATACACTCATCAAAATTCGAGACAATTCGAAACACATTGGATTTCTCCACTACAGATTTCAATAATCAGCCTTCGAGTAACGTTTCAAGATGCTAGAATCCCTCTTCCCAGGACCACAAGATGTCCTGCCCCCAACTCCCTCCTGGTACCAGCATGCCGCCGTGGTAGCACGAACCCATCCTACTGTTACATCAATCTGCTCACAAATCACCAGGGAATCTGCATCCTCTCCATATTCCTCCCTCCCGGTCCTATCCGGCTGAGCACCGGTCTCCTCCTCCTTATCCTAATAATCCATGCCACTTTCTGGACTTATGCACCTACGTACAATGAATACACGGTTTCCACGACATCTATGACTACGTTGTTTGCTTGGATTGATTTCGTAGCTTGCCACGATCTGGAACATGATTTCTGGAAGGTTGAGAAGGATGCTGAAGGTCACGTGGTCGAGAAGAGGGTTCCCAATGGGGTTTGGGAAAAGCTGAAATGGTCTACACTGTTTTGGTTCGGTTATAGGTATTGCTATGTTCTGGTCATAAGCCATCTGAATAACGGAAATCAGGAAGATAGGTTGGAACATCCAAGTTTCTTCCATATCTCCAGCGGTCCCCAGCGACTATCCTCGAAGTCGGTTTCTGAGACAGATGTTTTTGAAGACTATCAAGATGTACCTCAGCCTGGACCTCGCTTCCACAAGCCTCCGCCTTCTCAGCCATTCTCGCAATAATGCCGACTTCTTCAAGGAGCCTCTCTTTACTCAAGTACTCAGCGGCTGGGCAACAGCATCCAGAGCCTACTTCGGCATGTCATTTATCTACCATATCGCTGCATTTATTGCTGTTCTTCTCTCCTTAACTCCCCTTTCATCTTGGCCTCCTATCAATGGCTCTTTTCGGCAAAACTTCTTCTCCGTACGTCAAACGTGGGGAAGACTTTGGCATCAATTTATCCGCCGTTATTGCACTTCTGCTGGTCGTGCTGTGACACGAATCTGCCATTTCAAGAAAGGAGGATTCGCTAGTCGGTATACACAACTATGGATTGGGTTTGTGGTGAGTGCTCTCATGCATGCACCTCCAGCTGTAATGTGGAGTGATCGTGGGTTTTGGCAGGCGATGGCTTTTTTGAGTCAGCCGGCCGCGATCATGGTTGAAGATCTTGTCATTCATTGTGGGAAAGTCGTAGGACTAAGAGATAATGGTAAGTTAGAACCACTTATTGTTGTGAAATCACTAATATATTATGTAGGTTTCATAAGGAGCGTAGGGTATTTGTGGACATTCTTGTGGTTTTCATACTCTCTCCGATTTTGGGTTGCCACCGTTCCTGCACAGTACGCGGAAGGTGATGAGCTGCCAAGTCTGATCAAATATGTGATCAAGAGATTTGAAGTAAAATCAGTGTATGGAGTTGAGTATTAGATTTACGCGCTTCTTGAGCCTGGCTTGGAATAGCATGAACAAACCACTCAAAAACAAGCTACTTCCATCACCACCTACCTGTTAATGGCAGTTCATAAAATAGGTTCCGAGATTACAAGGTAATTGACTCCTTGAAAAGCAAGCAACAACTAATTAATCCGTAGAAAAGATGAATGAAACGCCCATTCTTGCGCATGTATTTCTAGCTTTCAAAGCAATGCCTCGATATTATTTTACAACAGTCGGATGAGAAGTCGCAAATTGCCGCAGACGGCGCTGAATCCGCTGAACGCGCAAACAGCGCGGAACCCGCACACAGCGCAAATTGCGCGAAAAGCGGCAAATGTGCAGATTGCGAGAAAAGCACTCTGAGCGGGTAGTCCCAAGAAATACGGCTCCTACTATGGCTATCCAGTGTAAAGCAATTTCTTACTCTTCAAGGAAAGTCTCACCTTGTGTCCGTCGGATTACCGTAATTTTGAGCTTTACCAACTTACCCCTTGAGGGGTAGTTTTGGAGTATATCGGGTTGCAGCTCGAAATACATGGATTGAATTATCGTGGGCTTTGAGATCCCACTCAGATAATGCAATAGTGCCTTGAATCAAATGCGTGCATGGAAAGCGAAGGGTGAGAGGAACGAAGGAGAGTACCTAATGCACAAGACAAATGCTTGAGCTTCCTCAGATAATACGATGAAAGTCAGCTTTTAGCTGCATAGGAGGATCGATCTCAGAGAAAGGAATCAGAAGTACTTCGTATACTCGTAATCACACATCTTCTTATTCATCACAACTCCTTTTGCCACCAGAGCTTGTCAACTAACGACAAGCCTGTCTATACCCAGCCACAATGTCCTCTAATCATCTCCATTGCCTCCTTCAAGAAACTCCCAACGAATAGCCGTTCGGAAGCTGCACCTCATCAGAAGTTCGGCGGTATTAAATGCCGGTGAGCACTAGGATACTAATCAGGAAGGAGCCTAGTCAGGTTACCCTAAATCCCACCGCCAACCAGCGAATACCAGTCGCGCATCCGAACACTATTTAAGCGCTTCGGGGAAATGATCTGTACCTGCAGATCAGTGAAGATGTAAATGACCCCGCTTTCGGCAGGTACATAACCAAGTGACACCTTGGACGACCTGAATAATCGCACGTTGCCCGAATCCTGAAGGAATTACCTTACACGTGCATCTTTGGTAGGCTAACTTGTCGGATGCTGGAAGTGCACATGGGGATGGATGCGGTCGTTTTGCTGGTTGTGATATAAATTCTAGGTGCCTTCTCGGGGATCTCGAACGTCTTTCGATTGAGAGGTGTCGAAATTCAAGCAAACCATCAAAATGATGAACAAAGCTATCCTTCTTGCTCTCTGGATTGGTGCTGGGATGGTTATTGCCAATACTCCTATTGATCCCTCGGTGTTCGTCGACGATCCGCTCACTGCTGTCATCGCCGCAGCACCGCTGTGGCATTTCGATGAGAAGACATGCTTTCCCAGTACTGCAACAGAGGCTGACGGAAGCCAAACCCCAAGTCTTCCAGCAGATGACTGTGCAGTGTTGAAAGCCTTGAATGCGGGTTGTCCAGTTCAAGCGGCACAAACCCAGCAGGAACAACTCTCTACTGCATTTCCAACGTATTATGCTATACAACAGTGTTCATCGGATAACTCCTGGAGGATCGCATATGATGTGTTTTTCCAGAAGGTAGGAATTCTTTGGAATGGTGCACTGAAGATTCTGGGAGCTGATTTGTGGACAGGATACTGGGCATCCATACGACTGGGAATGGGCCGTAGTGAAGTTCCTCCCAAATGCAGATGGACAGTACATCCGAGACGGGATCTGGCTGGAAGAAGATGGAAATCATCCATATACCTCATGGTCCAGCATCCCGAATACGTTCGACAAGTACGCTTCCTCCTATCCGTACCCAGCAAGAATTCAAAACTAACAGAATATCAAAAGTGATACAGATAAATTCCAATACGGAAATCTCAACCGTGACCATCCCAAAGCGTTCTTTGGCAAGTGGAAACATAATGTTGCGGTGGTGTACAATGACGATTATGCCAATGATTGTCTGGGGGCTATTATTGAAAAGAAGGATTACCATAGTGATGATTATCAGTACTATGCAGCTGATAACCTACTCATTGATACGACTGTACCTGGTATGGTTCTCTCCCTCGTTTGATAAAAATCTCTGTACTAACGTCGCATGTTAGCGAGCTACAACTATGGAGATGCAGATTCGACTCCGCAATCCTTTGAGCCCGGTGGAGCGTACGATTTATGTGGAAGTGTATTTTCGTAGGAATGTGAATTTTCATAATGACATTCATAATACTTCGAATGAGATTCATTACCAAGTCTATTTTTCAATGCAGTCACAGCTCTCATCAGCTTGAAGTGACTACAGTAATCTTTGTTCTTCCGATTTTGCCTCAAACTTGACCCAAATTCTTGGAGTATCATCAAGCCAGTAATTCCCTATCAATCGTATTAATGAAAGCAATCCCTTCCTTCCTAAAGGTATCATCTTCCACATAAGTCAAATTACTATTCAGCACCATATTCTGAGGTGCATCTAGATCGTATTTTGGCCAATACGGCAAAGTGCTATTGCCACGGCTTGTATTCGGGTCCAGGTCGTTCACGAAGGATATATAAGCTTTGCCGATGTTGTGGGAAAGGTCTGTGTAGTTCTGGTATTTTGGGAGAGGACCTAGAGCACCTGAAATGTTCTCTGAGGAGAAGTGAGCGACCGAAGATAGGCAGGAACTTAACGAAATGACTTACGGAAGCTGAACACTACATTCACGAAGTGCTGAGCACCTGCTGTGACTGCTGCATTCCACTGGCATGCTGTTAGCATAACATTCCAATCCAAAGGGGTTTTCGGAGTAGAAACGAAAGTGACTTACCAAAGGCGTATCAAACCTGTAACTAAACACATCCAATCCACCCTTCGTATACTCCTCACAAACCTTCCTCCTACCACTAATCATAACAACATCTCCAGCGATCGCACAATCTCGTCTCCACTGTAATCCTTTACTTGGAAAAATCGTGGCATTGGTGATATAGTAAGGCGGTTCGTGAGCTGGGTCATTGGGATACAGTTCTAGCAGCTTCCTTGCTGTCGGAGGGGAAATGGCGTAGTTTCGGTAGATGAGAAGATTGTTGAAAATTGCCGTGTCGTTGTCAAGCCCAGTGACACCGAACGATGTTCCTTCGTCACTGTTTGCGCCGATGAGGAGGGGAATGTGGATGAATTTTCCCTCAGCTGATAGAGTGCTTGGGTAAGCGGTCAGGAAGTCGCCGTCTGATTCAAGTTAGCACGTAGTTGTTCAGATGGGTAGATGGTGTTTGTTCAATGGTTGCTGTCTGGAAATGGAACACGGCAAAGAGAATTTACTTTCCTACGATCGGATTCCACGTCTGACTGACTTGAGCATAAAAAAGCTGATCTTGCGTCAAGTTCCTCAAGCACGCCAGCTGATTACTCGCCGTGTAACAATGCGTCGTCCTCGTGAGGTTTTCCACCGGGCTCGTGTAATACGCGAGAGGTTGCAAAAATGCCCCAATCTGGCTTCCCGATTCCATAATGGCGGCATGGAACAAGCCATCATCTCTACCGTCGTAAGAGTGCAGATGCAGCCCAATACTTTGAGCGCCAGCTGATTCGCCCCAAATGGTGATACGCTCTGGGTCGCCGCCAAAAGCTGCGATATTCTCTTTGATCCAGCGTAGAGCGAGTCGTTGGTCGAGAAGGCCTGCATTCGAGCTCCCTTCTGCGAGGATTTGGGGACTTTGGAGAAATCCCCATACCCCGAGTCTGTAATTTATGGAGGCTTAGAAAATTCAGTGGGTGATCTGATTTCGACATGAGAAGATAGCTTCTTACCGACAATCACAGGCTTCCCAATTTCCTGCCCAACGTGGGCAATACCTGAAACGTTGTACTGGGGATCAGCGCTCGATCCTGCGTATAACCCGCCACCGTAGATCCAGACAAGAACTGGAAGCTTGTCACTGGAGGCTGTCCCAGCCGGACGAATGACTATAGTAATTCAGTATATACGTTCTACAGAAACATTGTCAAAATTAGTTACCGTTGACAGTTAGGCAATCTTCAGACAGCGAAAAGTTTGTGCCATACTGCATGCAACTATAACCGTATTGCGTTGCATTCTTTGTACCAGCAAACGAGGAATTCAAAGACCTCGGCCGCGCAAACCGAAGAGCGCCCAGAGGTGGGATTGCATACGGGATTCCGAGGAATTGATCTTGTTGCCATTCGGGTACATTTTTGCCAACATATGTGCCATTTACAACTGTGGCAGTGGGGCCGTCTGATGTGGAGGTGCTACATTGCGCAAGATGGACAAAGGAAAGAAGAAAGCATAGAATATTCACTAAAAAGAGCTCCATCGCACCTTTCGCGCTGCTTGCGAGTGCCGTTGAGAATGCAGGACCAAGATCTGAAAAAAAATGCTGACCTACCTCCTCTACTTATCCTTATTTAACTCGACATCGACGGAATCATTCATCCAGATTGCAGATGAGGCAGATACAATACAATCATCCATTCATGATATCATTGATCGTACCTGGAAGACGGGAAAATAAGTCGAGGTCCGGAAAAATTAAAGTTACTCAAGGCGGCCGATCAGCGATACCCCGCATCCTCAAGCGGTAATCAGCTAGGTTGAAACTACCCCATCAGTGATGCGGGGTCAACTCAGTAAGCTCTGTTCTGTCATCACTGTTAGTAGTCGCACGTGCGTGTTCAATAAAGTCCTGCGCATGCAGCTGAGAGTATATCCTCAACTGAGTTGCAGTGGCACATGACCGGGTCACTCTTGACTGCTTGACAGGCCGTTTCAATTGCTTCAATCTAACGTAGTAGGATAGTTGCAACGGGAAAAGATGAAATTGTATCCAATCTACGCAGGCTATGCAATAAGACGGTCTTCTCAAGCTTCAGTAAGCTGGGGCTTCTTCCCATATACAACCTTTCTGCTTCAACATCAGTAATCGTGTAATCCCGCAATAAAGGCAGACTCACATTGACAAATAAGCAGGGATAGAAGTATCTTTGAGGTCATTCTTCACCCCAACAAGGAAACTCCGAATCTCATCAGCAGTCCAGCCCAGCTGACCAATGACTTTCAAACTCATGCCTTCTATCCCATTCAGCATATCCGCTTGAAAGAACGCCGCAATCTGTTTATTGTGCTTCCCCTTCACCCACTTGTTCGTCGGCCAATAGAACGACTTCTCAACTACGTCTTCAAATCCGACTTCTGTCAACCAGCGCTTATAATTAAGCACATTCGTCCATGGACGTCCAATTTTGGTAGACCCTTCAACGCATAATTTGTTCCAGCGGTACAAGTCCGAGTCTACTGGTGGCTCGCCGATATAATTGAAGGGAAAGACTGCATCTTGAAGCTCGAGGTAGCCGCCTGGCGCGAGAGACTTAAAGGCTTCGCTAATGACGTGCTTGGGGTCTTTGAAGCATGAGAGGAGAGCCCGTCCATGGACGTAGTCGAACTTTTCGGCGAAGTTCCATTCATCTTCTGCATCATCTATTTCGAAACGGCAATTTGGCGGCACGCTGAGTTACGAATCAGTAGGGTAGTCTGGGGTTGAGAAGGAGACAATACTAAAGTGGCTGGATTGCACTCAGATCTGTCCCAACGATCTGGGCGGATGGAAAAAGGTGTGCTGCACAATGTCAACATTAAATCTGGACCGGTGCTGAATGACTGACAGAATTCAATGGCCCAGATTCCTGTCCCTACATGAGGATTAGCTTTTGGTCTTTCACTTATTAACCGAACTTCTTACCCGTTGCAATATCGAGAACTTGACGCACATTGTGCGGCTCGACACCAATCGGGGCCAAGTAAAGTTTCTCGTGGAGAGTGAGGTAGAATAAGGTGTGTTGGAGATCTAGCAGAGTATTAGGAGCGGATAAGTGGTCACTAGGCTCAAGGTCTACCTAATCTTTCTCTCTCTTTCTGTCAAGTACAGTTTTAGGTTAGATGCGAGGAGAAAGAAATGCCGCGGGGCTTCAACTACACACCTCGTCATTTGGTAAATTGTATTCTGTGAATTTTGTCAAATAAATTCGCAAGAAATCTCGAAAATAGGAGAAAGCATACTTCCTTGCTTGAAGTGATGGTACGTCCTGCCATTTTCCTCGATGTTTTCATATATACTTGATCGTATCGACGTGGTGGATGTCCTGCTGGGTCATCAATTCCGGTACCAAGATACATCTCACAGAATCCCAGCGGGACAACGGTTTGGGACAGCGTACACGTCGGATAGAGTGCCAATGGCAGAATCAGCATCGTCCTACGAATTAATTGTCAGCGTTCGCATCGTGGGTAGCACAACATACCCGCCAGCTTACTTACATGATCGCGCTGTCGGTCGATTGATGGTAGCGAGGGAGTGCTCCCGGTTTCCCATGGCGCGTGAGTAGTGTCTTCGGCATGGCCTAAAACTCCCGCATCTAGGGTGATAAGCTCTGCCGGAACACTATCGGGTGGATTGAGTTCTGGCATCTCCTTGGCGTGAATTCTAATCAAAATTGGGGTGCAGATTCAATTGCAAATCGTCTTCTCGACTGCTCTCATTCAATGCAGGAGAGGAAAAAAGTGATAAAGATTGCGAAGGATTTGTGATTGCTTTTTTGTCAATGCTCCACTCCACCTTCAGCTCCTTTCGTACAAGCGTTACAACAATGATCTCCACTCTTCACCTGATCTTCTGTATGTAACCCAATTATTTGCGTAACAATCGGTCTGAACTACAGATAATCCCAAGTTCCACAGGCCATAAACTACGGTAAGTGTCAGACTGCCCAGCTGGCTTCGACAGCCATGGCAAGACTCAAGCTTGAATCACGTGCGTAGAGTACCGGTATGGAGGGCAGGGCTGATATCACATTCGAGTGCACGAGAGCTCTGGACCAAATTCGTTTACGCATTAGAGGCATCACCTGCAAGAATAATTTGAGGATTGGCAATAGCTTTTGATTGTTTTACTTCAAGGAATGATTCGAGAGACTTGCACTTGACACAAGGACAGCAAGATTCCAGTGCTACTTCTCTACCACCTTGCAAACTTTTCAAACTCAATAGTTTTTAATCTGCGCATTCTTGTAGAAGTAGGGCCAGTAATCCGCAACTTCCGTCGCAAGCCACTTTGCAATTGCCGCATTCGTCTCTTGAGGAGCCTCTGCGGAAACCCAATGACCCGCAGCGATGCTTGTCCAAGTGAGCTTGCTCGCATGCTGTCTCATCGGGTCTGCCAATCGAGAATTGGCCGTATCACAAACGCTGTCCCACTGTGGCTCGATGAAAAGTAGAGGCTTCTCGAAATGACCTCCATTCTTCTGTTTCGACAAGTTGAACTCCCGATTGCGTTTGTGGTTCATGTAGTACGAATCCGGACCGTAGAATCCCGTTTTCTTCATCGCTTTGATGAGCTCCTCCAATACATCCTGACCTAGCATCGCGCCTTCTGTGGGAACATTGTTCCATTCAGGAAGAGCTTTGGGAATACCTCCGAACCAACCGCCATCCTTAGTGACAGTAGCCGTGAAAGCTGGCTTGCCATATCCTAGAGCCCCTCGACCTTTGGACACAGCGGAAAAGGAAACTTTGAGCCAAGGCTCAACATTGGCATCGAACCATTCGGTTGCCTTGTCGAAAGATTGCTCGTAGAAATTTTGATAATCCCATTGACCAAATGGAAACTTGTCTTCGGGGTACATCTCCCGATTGACCAATTTGACCACCTCTTCTAGCCCAAGCTCGAGCGTTCGATATGGTACAGCCATTAGGCAAGATGCTTTGATGACTTCTGGATGTGTCGCCATCAAGGTGCTGAGAACGCCCGCACCCCAATCGTGTGCAAGCCAGACAGCTTCGGTTCTGGTAGTAGCCTCCAGAAGGGCCAGCAGACCTGGAATGATATTCTCGTGGGAGTAATCTTCCTGGACTTTCGTTGATGTAGATTCGCCATAGCCAGGCATGTCCGGAGCCACGACTAGAAAGCCGAGGGCTGCAAATGTCTCAATTTGAGGCTTCCATGTGTAGGCAATTCCAGGCCATCCGTGCAGGAAGATTAAGAGTTGGCCCTCGGATGGCCCGGCGCTGATGTATGAGATCTCTTTCTCGCTATTTGCCTGGTATTTCACGACGGACCTCTTGTAGGAAGAAGCCATTTTGAAACACGAAGGACCTCAATGCGAGAAGAAGCTGAGGTCGAGCAAAGAGAATTGGGATCGGAAGGACAAGAAGAGCAGACGTCCTAATAAAGGTTCTGTCAGCTTACGTCGTATGTTTTGCCAAGGATCAAATTCCAGCGTTCTGCGCCGCAAGGGAGCTAGTTGTACTAGTACAGTGAGTGAGTCACGAGGGAATACGAAGTACAGCGCTCAGATCTCCAGATCTCAGGCTACGAGCGGCATGATAGGATCCTTTAGCGATACCAGTGTCAGGTTTAATCGCAAAGCAGCCCTTCAAGGTAAGCTGCGCCTATGATTATAGGGCTTGCAGCGATCTTTTGGTGACTTTACAGGGCAGTAGTGGATGATCCCTGAGTTTTCCAGAGTCTTGGCCGGGAAATCCGCTCCGTATTTCAAAGCACAGTATGCGATCTTGAGAAACTAAAACTTTCATTGATATAAAATTTTCATTAGACTCAATTCAAGAAATTGACGTTAGGTGAATTCTGAGAGAATTTCATAATGATTGTCTATATTTTATTATAAATATTTGATAATTTCCGCCAAATCTGATGCCGCGACTGACAAATAATTCGACAGAGTACCAGGAGACTCATCCCTGATTCGCGACAGGAGTCCGGTCAGATACAGTATCCGACGCATACTCTTCGTTTCCGATTGGACTTCACGATTTGTAGACCTGCGCGGTGAGTGCCAATATGACCCATATCATCATGCAACATGAATGTTCCGATTTCTGTTCGATACGGAGCTTTCTCACGTCGACGAGCTTGTTTTGGTTTCGACAAGACGTTTGTTGTAATATATGTTGTTGAAATACTCGAGTGGTTGACGTTTACCTGGGTAGGTTATCGTAGCTGCTTCTCTGTCTTCGTGGGCGCAAGCCCCGCAGCGGGGTAGCTTCGCAACTGATGTGGAGGCTTTGGCTGAGCAAACCTATGGACCTTATGAACAATATGAATTGTGTACTAACAGTCATGCTCTTTTGAGAACTGTTCGGCTCTGAGCCAAGCTTGCTGATTGGGAACACAGCTCATATCGTAGGAGTCAAAGAGTCCTCGAGCTGCTTGCTTAGCTTCTGGAGAAGCCATTCAGTCTCCGTCTGCGTACCAAACAACGGGCCATCATCCTGCAGCCAACTCCAACCATTTTCATCAATTTCTCCATTCCCTCCATTGCTGTTTTGAGACGGTGCTGATGTATCTTTCTCCCTATGCTTGATCTCTAGCAGCTTCAAAAACCTCGCCCATTCCTCGAAAGTGTACGTTCTCGGAGGACTTGCGGAAACATCTTCCAACAGACTTCGAATTTCTTTTGCTATCAGGTATTGCCGCATGGTGACAGCTTCGTCATGGTCGTGGTCGGGGTGGGGAATGTGGCCGGTCTCGTCGTGAATGTTCATGATCTTTCCCGTTTTTCTATCCCTGAAACCGTGCTCGCCATGTCTCTCCATTCCTCCATGGTGACCATCTTTATTAGATCCTCTCCTATGCTTGAGATGTAATTTCCCCATGTGAAAAGCTTTTCTGGCAAATGAGTGTCTTTCGCGACCACCGCCTTCGTGTTCCAATACCACAAAGCGGTCAATCTGTGCGATGATCCCCTTGATGATGACCAATACCGTAGCACCCATGCTGGCAATGAGAATAGTCATTGTTGGCACAGCTAATAGGCCCCAGAATACGAATATCGGTCGACCAATATTACTCTCCACATAAAAGTCGCCGTAGCCGATAGTAACGGTTGAGATGAACACAAAGTACACAGCATCAAAATAACTCCACGGCGCAGATTGGAACGATGTTGGCGTTGATTCTGTCTTCCAAAACACGACTGCGCCGATAAACCACAGAAGAACAAGTGCAACTGCGGCAATTCCTGTTAGAAGCCACAGCTGCCGTGAGCGAGCCCGTGATTGAATTCGTCGCATCAAGTTGAATTCTGCCCTCTCTCTTATGTGCTCGGATTCATGATTTTGATCATTCCTTGCTTCTTGATCGAAGTCAGCCTGAAGCAATTCGCGCTGTTTGACTGTCAAGCGTGAAACCATTTTCTTCTGGGCTTGATCAATGACCAGCGACCCAATCGAGCCAGCAACTAATCCTATCATGATGATACCAGATGTTGCATATGGGATAATTAGAGATCGGCCAAGGTGCGTCTTTGGAACCACGTCACCATACCCAATTGTGAGGAGCGTGACTGTGGCCCAGTAGACTCCATCAACAAAGATCCAACCCTCAATATGAGCGAAAACAGCAGCGCCACAGATCAAGTACGCAACAAAGCATGTTGACTGGGCCATTAATGTACGCTGCGGGAGCGTTAAAGTAGCGCTGAAATCGGGGTGATAGTATCCTTTGATAGCTCCGAAAGTAGTTATGAGGAGAAGTGTTGCAAATATGAAGTACAACACTGCAGAAAGACAAGCATAGACGAAAGGTTGGCCGTACGAGTAAAGTGTACCAGTTTGCAAGTGCGTAGGCGTGAGTATGATGATAACCAAGAGCATTATAGAGGAGATGTACCACCCCACAATCGTAGCCGCTTGGGCGGCGTGGAATGGCAATCGATGTGCGAAACTAAGGAGGAGGGAAAGGTTTGCGAGTATAGCGATAGCTAATGATATTGCATTGATTGCGACTAACCTGCAGCGAATTAGATACTTGGGTATGCTCAAAGGACTATTAGCACTTACCAAGACGGATCCCCAACTGCAATCTCAGTGCTCTCAACATCTCCAGCGGGAATTATAACTCGCCATTCCTCCACCAAGGCGCAGATGTTCAACGCAGAAGCAAGAGGCCCGAAACATGCTGCAGCAAGCGGGAATACAGTAGCAGCATACCAAACACGACTAGATTGGTAAAACTCTTTAGGCTCTTCCGCAAGTGGCGACACTTTGTGGTCTTGGTTTTTCGGTTCGTCCTGAGCTGTAGGCTTAGGCGACTCCATGACCGTTGGTTATTAGATAATTGACGACTTTGCCTTGTTGGGGTAATATGAGAGAGGTGCGCATGGAAGACTGAACGACGAGGAATGCAATGAAATTGTAGCATACAGCAATGGGAGCTAGGCGCCATTCGGAACTGTATATCCTTGATTTGCGGGCGCGTAGACGCGTAACAATGATGTCATCACCTACCTACATCGCATTGAGTGTACTCAAAGCAGTGCATATAGAACAAAATCAAGTACAGATTGCTCAAGTCCTGTTCAATGCTGTATAGAATATGCCAAGACTTTTATCTCTTCCATTCCGAGACATGTCAATGCCAAGAGCCGGGCTACAGAAAGTCAGGCTAAACGAGGTCCGGACTGTTTGACAGCTCCACAGCACTAGCCACTCAGCCACTTCCCTAGTCCCTGCTCTGTGCACGTGCTCCCCAGCCACGGTTGTCAAAGCACAGGATTCGTTTCACTTCCGTTCTTGTTCACTTCAAATGTCCATCTCCTCCACCGTGTTTGAGTCTGCCATTCGTCAGTGAGCCGCGCTCTCTTCAGGCTACGCTATCATCCCTGTATGGATGTCTAGATACATTTGTTCTACATGCTTGATGTGAAAGGTAGGAAGTGGACGGACGATTCGACGAAAGATTTGCACAAGATCGAAAGTCTTCGGCTGCAGTGCAGGACTTGAAGCTCAATTCAACTTATGTTGACTCATGGGAAACACCTTATCATTATCACGCTGAGAAAACTTCATTTGAAGGTTCTTCAACGAGGGACATCTCGATGAGGCACGGAGAATGCACGGCTTTACACTCTCCGCAGCGGAATCCGAGAACACCGAAGAAAGATGAATAGCGATTACCGGGAAATCTGAACGATCGATTTTGTATTGCAGAAATCCTACTCAATGGTGCCTATCTTTAGGTTATGGCATAACTTCAGCTTGTTTACGGAGTATTGTTCTGGTGAGACTTCTTCATTAAGATCTCAAAAGGCTCTTGATCCAGTGTCCAGTGTTGGACTTAAGCTCCAAACTCAATCATTTATTACATACATATATAGCTCATATTGAAGGACACTCTTGCGTCCGGCAAGTACGTCCACTCACTGTGAGTATTGCAGATCACGTGATACTTTACTAAACTCTACGTTTTGGAACCGGCAGAAACCTGCAACAAAAAGCGCGCAGCTCCGTACTTAAGTCTTTGATTCCGTGATCAGAACAGCTCGCTGCATCTTCTCCTATCACTTATGGCTCTTTATTGAAACTCGCTTAATAGTTCGCTTGCGATGTTCATTGGTCCAAGCTGTTAAGGAGTCACCCCTTAGCGACAGCTGGAACATCGTTTGTAAGGGGTTCGTCTGATAAGATTCTAGAACGGAATCCAATTCGACTCTAGGCGAAACATGAACGACATTCTCTCAAACGGGCCACGCCACTTCCCCAGGAATTTGCGCTGATCATTGATAGCCGGCACAAGGCGAAACAAACGCTTGTCTCGGCTATTTGATAGAGACGAAAATCCTAAACAAACTTCTGATAAGGAACAAGGGTCTATCTGCCATTGAAGTCAATTGCTCGGACGAACATGATGCGAGGGGGCGGCTGCATTGGGATATTTGAAGGATGTTGGTTCCGTGACTCGAGCAGTACTCTTCACTTTTCTTTGGGAGTATTCCATCAACGATTGTATCGTTCTTCTTTTCGTCTATCATTCTCGTCACTCCTTCAAATTATTTTCGTACTCTGGCTGGGCCTGTTACTTCTTTTCTCTGTTCTATATTCACCAATAACCCTTCAAATTACATCATCAAGAATTCTCTTCTTTCACAAGGAGGTATCGATCACTCGAAAATGCAGTTCCTCACTACCGCCACTCTCCTCTCCCTCCTCTTCCTCAGCACATCTGCGCTCCCAACCGCACTCGATGAACGAGCCGCTGCTGTTGCCCAGATCGACCCTTCCCTTGTCCCCATCTTCAGTATCAAAACAGGGTCGGGAGTCGGTGTCAACGGTGTAGCAATTCCCAAGACTTGTCCACCGGCCCGCGCAGCCTTCATCTCCAAATTGAGCACCAACGTGGCAGCGGGCAACGTTCTCGGAACTCCAATCACGTTCAACACCAATCCTAAAGTCAATGACACCAAGACGAACGAGGCCCGGGCGACGGCGATGATCATCACACTGCAGAGTTTTACGGGAGTGAAGGGAGTTGGATGTCCGGGTGCCAGTACGCCAGAGTTGTTGAGCCAGCAGAAGACGGGTGTGATGTCCCCGAGCTAGGTCATGTTTGGATGGTGCGGTGTTTTGGCTATGGTCTGACAACATAGCGGAGAAAATTTGGGGCTTCGAGCAGTGCTCGGCGGGTATATATTCTAGGCAAAAGTTTATTGAAGTATAAGCATGGATCAATTCACAACGAAATTACAATCTTTTTCTGGTATTGAATTGACAATATTCCTTGAACATAGTCGACTTGGTATATCATTGCATGCTCATTCTCGTTTGATGCAAGCCGTCGACAAAGTCATTTGACTTTCAGCCTATCTAGCCGTTTTCGACCTTCGACGTAAATCAAGCCATGGAGCGCATTGCATCAATCCACATTCTTTTCCTGCCACTCACGAACTGAGGCTCACGATGAAGTCTACAGCATCCGTTCCCCATGTAGGAACTTCTTGGCTGTGGGCAGTGGTATCATCGCCCGAGGCGCAGTATACATCTCCATTGTCACAGTAGCTTTGTATCTTGGATGCATATGTGTTCAGCAGCGCGAGACTAGAGCCGCCAGCTGAGCGAGCAAATATCTAGATCGAGCGTTAGTAATGAGCAGAACTTAAATCTGGTAATCTTACTCCATCAGTAGTGGTGTCTGTGCCAGCATCAAATGATTGACCATGAGTGAACGTGGGGTCGCCAAAGACAGTGACGGCCGAGACTGCAATACAAGTCAGAACCTTTCTTGCATTTCAACATACCGGGAAGGAGACTCACGATAGGCAGCATAGCTCGGAGCAAGCGGGGTTGGCTTGTCAACTCCACCTGCTAGAACATCCGTAATCACGTTGCCTCCCTGACTGAATCCCACAAGCACAATCTTGCCACCACAATCATTCGCGTAGGTCTCTATGAGACTGATCATGGCGTTGATACCATCAGTCACTGAATCGTCGTACAAAGGATCCAAGACTGATGCAGGATAGTCAAGTGCTACGCCGCCCGAATTTGGAATGGCGCTGAGAACACCACTGACGACTGATGCTACACTGCCATAGCCAGCAGCTTCTTCGGATCCACGAGCACCGATCACATAAACTCCACTGTAGCAAGTGGTTTGGCGGGGAAGGACAGCGAGAGGTGCGGAGGAAACGAGGGTAGCCAAGCAAATGGCAATGACTGAAGCAAGCATGGCGAACTTTTGAAGATGTGTTTCAACGAAGAGGAGTGAAAGAAGAATGTGGAACGAGTGCAGGAGTTCTCACCGAAGAGGAGAAACCCCGGGTAGTATTGCGCTGCGGTACGAACAGGATATTTCACCCAGGAAACTTTTCCATTTATATACTTTTCGGACTGTACGACTTACGATGTTCCCGCGCACGTTCTCCAAAGGTTGAAAGTTCCATGCATCGGCCACTACTGGTAAGCACACGGAGTATGTCTTCATTTGTGAAACAGAGGCAGACCATTTTATAAGAAAGGAAGGTGTCTAAAAAGGCGAGGAGGCACGCTTTCAAGAGCCGGCACCTTATTCGCGGCATTCGTCTGATGATGATCAACTTGATCGGCATGTTGTGCAGAAGCGCGCTGGGTTGTCCGAGTACAAATTAGGACCGAATCCAAAAGGAACACCGCAAATAAGTAAAATATGACAGAATGCTTCGGCGATTGGATATGAAGTCTTTTCTTGCCCCGATCCTTTCAGTAGTGTGGCCAATCGGAGGTTTTACAGAACATCGGCGCTTTCGCACCTGGTGAGTTTATCCGTAGTTCTCCTTCCGGTTCTAGGCCGTCGTCGCGTGACACTATAATGCTATGTCGGCAGTTCAAGAAAATGGGACCTTGAACTACTGTAGAATAGCATTCATACTGGGGTAGAAGTGGCCTTTCAAATAGACTAAAGACACTGAGTTTGTTCAATCGCGAAAGGTTCAAAGGAGCTGACTAGAACCCGCCACGAACATGCAGGAATCCTAAACGCATGCTAAGTACCTAGAGTATTTATGGAAACAAGATAAGCGAGCTTATGACCCCTTCAGAAGCCTTCTTCAATGCACGTTCCTAACTGCGCGGCTTTGCAATTAGGTGATCGTTTTGAAATGGTAGAAGGATAATACATACAACCATGAGCAGAGAAAAACAAGGCTTAAGGGGGGAGATCTTAGCAGTGGGGTCGATTCCAATAGCTTGGATGCCGTTTCCAATTGTTGCAGTCTTTGATCTTATGCCAGAGCCTTCAGACTTGTGCAGACTTTCCATACCTAGGTGAGGTAGATATACTTACAGGCCATCCTACACACGTGACCATCATCTCTTTCGCCATCTTTGGGAGTGATCCCGAACTCCCTCAAGAGACAGTATTCTTTGACCAAATACGATTTAATGGGGAGTTGTCGAAGTGGGGTCCGCACCGCCGAGTGGCGGCTTGCCACTCAGCAGCTTGTCAACGCCGAATATTGACAGCGGGCCACTTTGAGCGCCATGAAAGAAGAACCATCCAAGCAATCCACAGATAACAAGAAATGCACCTGTCACCAACACAGCAAGTATACAACCTCTTGGTCGCTGCCTCACCTCGCTAGAACCCTCTCCTCCTAGTGTACGTCCTGGGCCGAACCTCTTCCATGACAAGTCCAATCCCCAGGCCGTCTCTCCAGCCGCAGGCGTAGATGCTGTCCCATAAGGTCGTTCCACAACATTTTGCGTCCCGAACATTTTCTTGACCCATCCCGGAGTCGTAATCAGGTTACGTTTGATGCCAAAATTGGGATAAAGTCCGGTCAGAAGGTCGTAGAGGTAAGCAGCAGCAAGGCCTGTAGCTTGGATCATTGCTGCTTGTGGCGAGTCTAGGATGAGTGTTAAGAGAAGGAGTGCATAAGGGAGATATTGTGATGGCATTTTGAGGATGACCAAAGTCATGGGTTCATCCCAGGAGTCGCGAGTAGATGTCGTTATGAAAGATAGAGCAAGAGCGGATGCCAATCTCTGACCAGAAGTGATCAACAGATTTAGTATCTATATTGTTGTTAGAGTTGATTGGCTCTCTAATATAACTTCAAAGATGGACTCGGCATGCATCAACCACGTGATCACCACTTTTCGGAACTGGGCATAGACCGAGACGTGCTAGCAAACAAGGCGCCTGAAAATCGCTAGGAAATGTTAACTTACCACAATGATGCCACCATTGAAGCTTATGTAGGTCACAAAGTCAGCTCGCTGGGAGAACCTGAGCGGACCCTTCTCGAGCTTTGCACCATAAACATATACTGCTCGGTGTTAGGCCACGTTTTCCAATATGCTGAGTTTCCAAAATTCAGACTTACAGAAATAGGTATCAAAAAATATTCCAAGGTTAGGACCCGTGATTAGAAGACAAGTTTTAACTCGCCATAATTCTGGTGGTAGTTGGGTGAGAGATGGCAGCGAGAGTACGAATCGATCATAAGGGATGACCCGAGTGTAGATGAGTACGGAAAATGAGAAGACGACTGCAGCTAGAGTTCTAATATTAATTAGTATTGGACAATAGATGTGAGGTAAGAGAAGATGCAGCAACTGTACCTCGAGATTGGTGGTGCAGAGAGAAAAATATCAAGGGGTGACATGTTCAGTGACGGATATGACTGTGGAATCTATGCAGCGAGTGTTATAATGAAACAATAAGAACAGAAAGCCGTCTGCTGACTGCGCTCGAAGACTTGGGGACGTTGTTGAAGTTGTTGTGGTCAACGGAGAGGTTGGTTGGAGTGGGAAGTTGGCGTTTGGGATTTTCTACTAAAGTGGTTAGCGTGAGCAGGGATTCATGTTTATAAATAACCTGTAGTGTCGCCATCTTCTAATTCTCTCGAACTTTTTGATTCATGAGCTGATGCTTGATGTTCGCTCCCATGTTGTATCGTAAACATCTCAAATCTGTTTTCCATCTAATAATTCCTCTCAGATAGAATACCGTTAGTCCGGAGCAAGATGGACTGATCGACATGCGTACTCGCGTGGAACAGGTCAACCCAAGTCGGAATGCTTTCTTGATATTCCGTCTGATTATAGATTTCGGTAATACTTGATTCACTTTTGTGTGGGTACGAAACTAGAGCGAGCAGCTACGTATAACGATTAGTTAACTTTTCATCCCGCTTCGTCTCCGCAATTCCCCGGTTTCTCTTCAACATATATCACTGTATTTCTAGAACTCGTCTTGTGAGATAGAAGATCACAATATCTGAAGTGACAGCGCCGGTTAGAGCCGCTATACAGAGCTGGCTGAAGGCCTTTGTCGAGGATTTCGGTGTAGATAGATGGTAGAGAGATATCACTTCATAATTTACCAAGTCAAACTCCAAGAGACTAGCTAGTGACCGAGAATCAGAAAGATAGGCAAGGGAAAGAACGGATGTCATAATTTCTTTGCAAAGGCTCTTCGCGCCTAACTTAGAAGTGGTGATAATTCCTCATGCGTCTTCATCCTCTCGCAAAGCTATCCAAGCGATACAAGGCTACAATAAATGCACGATCTTGTTTAAGTGAAGCATTCGATTCTCTAAGATGGATGTTTCAAGCATTTGTATGAAAATTTCCGACCAAGAAGTTTTACTAGAAGGTGACTTTTCCACAGCAAAGAACTAAATATGATCATCTCATGTACAGTGCCCACAGATGAACCCACTTTTACAAGAACGACATGGTCGGGTCAAGGGATTTTGTGGATCATGATACGTTGCTAACGAGAAAAAATTGAACTTTCGTGGATTTGGTTGTGTAGAATCATGATACCCGACGCTAAAGTAATGATGGTGGGTTGAGGCGTATGGGTTGTACCAGATGCGAACGATGTTGTTAGGGTATTGAAAGTGCCCGCCCTGTTGACGTTGGAGAGGCCATTCGAAAACAAATTTTCCGGGATGGTATCTACGGGCTCTGGGACAATATGGTCTGCGACGGCGGGGGCGTGTGTCAATATGTTGCCGAGGGAGAATGTCTAAACCCTCAAAGTTTTGGAACTTCTTTGGGTATTTTGTGATGAATCCAGGGGGTCCCGGGGCGTTCTGTCTTTGTGTTCGGACCAAAGCAGCATCAACATGATGGAACCGGTGGCCGTGGGGCATATTCTGACAGAGGTACTGAGACGAGGTTTGTCAGTGTTCATCAAGCGTGCCTTGGAAGGTAGCTTACGTATGGGGGATCTGGCGCTGGAACAAGCGCTGCGGCCACAGGGACAGATGGTGCTACTGGGAGATGTCCTATTGGAGCAGGGAGAGCTGGGGTACCACTTGTAGCACCGGGGACTCCAGCGCCAGCCGCTTGAGGTGCCAACGACATGACGACCAGGGCCTCGGATCAACGTTCACGGTTGAAATTTCAACCCTAAATCTCCTCGCCGTCAACTTCGTCATTCATTGAACTTGAGTCGCAATCAATATGATCATGACTGGCTCGCAGCAGGTCGACATGCAGCAGATTGAGATTGTGGAGCAGACAAAGCACGAACTTTTGGTAGCCAATATCTTCGACAAAGCACTTGCCAACAACATTGACGACGGACATGACCAAGTAGCCACAGCCGTGTCAGAGATAATTCAACTCTTCCCTTCTAGCGGATCAACTGAAGAGATGGAGTCTTACTTATGGAATCTCTGGGGGACTTTGATTCAGAAAGCTCAGGAAGTACCGCGCCATGACGAGCGTCAACGAACTCTGGTCAGAATTGTGACGACGCTGAGAGATCAGACACCAGTTGGGGACAGCAATAGCATCACTGTTTGGGGGGTAAGTCTTTATTTCTCAAGATGAAGCGAATATAAGTGCATAATCTTCTTGTAGTCAAATTATACCCTCTGGACTGACCTTCCGCTACTTGGTCCTTGTATGCGAGAAGCTTGGATAGGTGGGTCGCCCATGTAGATTCTGCGAGTAATGTTCTACTAATCACTATCTCCTCCTTCAGACCCTACACTGGAGAGTGACGATGAAGGCAATACTACCGATGTAATTGCGCCTGAAGACGAAAACGAGATTACACTTTCGAAGCACCTCCTGGTTTCTTTAGAGGCCAGATTATAAGTGCAACTTCGCTTGAAGACGAAGATGACGCTGGCGAAAGAGATTTGTCCCACAACGAAGATAATACTACCAAAGAAATTGCATCCGAAGATGAAGACAATACTGCGGAAGGAATTGCACCTGACGAAGACCACACCGAGGAAGAACTCGAATCCTGGATTAACCTCAATGCGTTCGCTGCACAACTACTCGAACATCGAACAATGTTGTGGGCTAATCTTGGACTCTGGCAGCTGCGTACCGCTCTGGAGAGAAATGGGGACTTTGTCGAGTCTCGCATCATCGTCGCTTCGGAATGGATCAGGCATGCTGGCCTACAAATATTCGATCTGTGTTTCTATGACGTGGCGGATGAAGATTCCAGGAACGCAATGGCTCCGGGACCGCTGATATCTCAAGAGAAAGGAGGTTTCACACGATTCCGTTGGAACTATTGGAATGGGAGGTTTTGGAAAGCCAGCGAATTTGGAGGTTCTCGTAGTAGAAGTGCGACAGAAGCGGCGACAGAAGCGGCGACAGAAGCGGCGACAACCATGCAGCTCATACCCAGCTCTCGTATTCAAGGGCCAAATTTACTCGGACATGACCCGAATCTAATGTTAAGGATACGATCGGACTAATTCGTCTCGCTTCGAAGGGGCCCCATCGTTTGTCGGGGAAAGTAATTTGTCCGCGCTCAAATAAGTAATATTTATTCTTCAATGACCTAATGAAAGAGGACATGAGAGATGTCTCTCTCTTTGTTCAAGACCTCATGCATAACTTCTTACCGGCTTATCTTTCCATCATCCAGAAAATAAAAGACGACAACTACGTAACAAAGCAGAAGGATTGGCAACAGATCAGGAGGGGCGGATATTTTGAATTCAATCTGCTGTTGGACAGAGGGACGAAGTTCGGACTCAGCGGACCATCTCCAAGAATCCAAAGCATTTTCATGTCTCTACCGCTCACAGCTAGTTGGAGGTGCATACATGCTCCCGAAACTGTGAGTAATTTAGAGAGGAAGAGTTTTTGAAGGTTCAAGGAATTCAAGTGAATAGATGTAGTAAGATCAAAGTAGTTGTAAATCATGGTAGTTTCGACCCAATGAACTCCTTCGATTGATGCTCTCCTATCGGATTTTTCTCCGTCTTCTCTTCACGTTGCCCTTGCTGTTCTTGTTAAGACCCGTTGCTGATAGCGATCGAGACAAAACTGGGGGGTTTTTTTTCAACCAGTCGTCAATCAGATAAGCTCTGCTTGCGGGCAGTTAACCTTGCTTAATCCATCACAGAAAATAGAACTTGAACTGTGGTTAACACCAATAACGGAAACTCTCGCGAATTTACTTCTCAATATCTAATCCTATTATTTCGTCATTCACTTGACTGCGGCACAGTGCTCAACGGTTGCGTGGGAAAGCCTGAAAGAAGGCGAATTTGGGGTTTCGGTGAGCTCTGCGACATTATGCGGCCCCCAGCAATGATCCGATCGAGTGCGCAGTAGTTCTCGATGCGGGCCTCAGCTCCGCCGAGACTCCCGGTAAACTTATCGGCATCGTTCCTACTTGTCGAAACGAGGTTCCAACATCAATGCGTTGCAGATCTCTTTCCAACTTTGCGCATCACAGCCTTGTCAAAACACGAACATCGAGGCTGATTGACCATTGGTGGTTACACAGCTTTATCGCATCACACCAAGCCTTGTCAATTCTTGATTGATGGATCTAGGCAGCAATTGGGTCTTTCCAGACATCATTACATAAAGTCTTGCTGTATTTTTCAAGTTCTGAGAGCATCTAATCATCCTGCTTTTGATTTTATCATTACTTATCACCGAAAGCAGTAGCTATGGAGTCTTCCGCAAATCAGCAATCCTCAAGCGAAACGCTTCATAATAACGATCAAATCATCGAGGCTACAAAGGCTCTCCGGCGCCACATAGGGCTAGCTGAAGATCCTGGTGAAGAGTCTACCTTGCCAAAGCCATCACCTGAGCCGCTCTTTTTCATCGAGGTTGCCCCTCCATCGAACAGAGGAGCAAGATGCAAACTCCATTGCCCCAAAAATATTATGCCAGGAGAATACAGAATCGCAGTGGATCCAGGCCAGGAAGAATATTATGGCCGCGGAGGAAATCCAGGTAAATGCAGCAAGTTTCCTAAATGGTCAAGCGCCTTGTTAATTCAACCATCGATAGACTACTACCACATTCACTGCTTCGAGAAAACCGCAGACTTCTCCCAAGCGAGCTTTTTGGATCGCGTCATGCCACTTACCCGAAATGTCACACGGCTAAAAAATCTCAAGGGTTCTAGCATCCTCGATGGGCATTATCTCCTAGACGCAGGTGCTGAAAGGCTCGGCTTGCAGTGGATGGTAACAATGGGGAAGCTGGTCGACAAACGAGATGGTGTTGGGATCGCGGATCCGGAGGGGGATGACAAAGTGACCTACTTGATGGACTTGATCAACAAGGCTGGCTCATCCAGTTACAAACCAAAGATGCCCTCTGGTATGAGCACTTTTTAGTTTCATCTTCTGACTGGGACCCTTGCTCCATTTGAGAGCGACGGCCCTGACGACTCTGAGGAATGGAATTTATTCCAGGAGTACTTGGCGGTATCAGAGGAACATGACGAAAGTTTGGACAATCGCCATAGCCTCAGCCAAACATTGGACGCCTGGAGATTCGATGTTGTAAGCAAATTCTCCCATTTCATGAAATAGCGAGTGCAAGTCTCGGCACAGTTCACTTCGCTAACATGCTTAGACTCTTGCAACTTCAGAGAATCTCTCGGACAGAGGCAAAGAACTGAAGGCAGAATTAAGTCCGAAAGCGATTAGGGCAATCAAACGCCTCGATGTTACTCCTATGCCCGATGTGCAGAGCGCTTTCCTAGGGCGATTTCAGTGAGCGGAAGATGAGAGCCAGGGGCAAGATCGCATAACACAGAACTAGGGCATCCAACACGCGGACGCGGAATTATGTTTGAAATAGAACGAAACATCTCTGCCTTGCAAACAGAAGAAGTCTCCCTCAGACAAGCCATTATGCACTGTGATTCAACATTAACCTTTAGTGAGGATATTTTCGCTATTTGGTTTGACAGTATTTGCTGAAGTAGTCATCAGCTTGGTCTAGCAATCTGGTCCGTGTCAATCAAGAAAAGGGAGAGAACTTTGAGTTTACTTATGAACCAACACTCAATAGTTATTTTAATCAACTGCTTCAGCTCCCAGGAACCCTCGACTGACATCCTTTTTCAACATTCTATTGAAGGCTGTTATGTTAGTATTTTGGTTGTGGTGCAGTTTGTTCATTTATGTAATAGTTCGTGGGGGAAACGTGAAAGTAAGGGAATTTGTGGGACATGTGCACCCCCTAGGACACTTTCATGGGCGACCACTGCGGTTCAAGGAAGGTATCGGGAGGACTGCCGTCTCTTGTGGAGCGACTTCCCCTGGAGACAGGCTCTCGGAAACTTCCCGGGACTATTTCCGGGAACTCCGCCAATGTGCGGTGATAGCTCCGACAATTTTCACGCGATGTCTAGACAAGCTTTGCTTCCTATGCCAAATCTCTCCCCAGACCCCAGTATTGATGGGATTGCGGGGAGTTTTAGTCTCATGGACTAGGTAGTTCAGATGAAATTATTTAAAGGTCTCCTTTCCGGCTTTCGAAGTCATGCATCTCAGACTCTTTTCATCATGAATTCAACACTGTCTCCGCTGTTAAGTCCACTTCCCGCTGGCTTTAGTACCAATACCTCAGGCTCAATATGGGGATGGTACAACACCAAGAACCTTGCAGTGCTTCCAGGAAACTTCAATCGCACTTGTAATTGAATACTTCTATTTTGACTTTGGGACTAAGTTAATGTCCGATAGTGTTTGAATCACCATGGTTCGCTACTGTTGACAATGATGATCTCAATTCTCTGTATGTGTCTTGTGCCTTCATTGTCTGTACTCACGCTAATTTTCACTTCGAAATGCATATTTCAACACGACCAACTTTGTCGCTTTTGATCCCTCGTTTTTCGACATCATTGGTCCTTCAGCAAAGGTGGAGCACATCATAAGCTTTCCACCTGATACCAATCATGAAGCAGCTTGCTTTGTTGAAGCGACTAATCAACTATTTTTCGCCGCTTGGGGATTTGATCATAGCTGGCAATATGTTTTGGATGTTGATACTAACGAATTGCACAATATCACGACGGATCCGCCTACATGGAATGCCCATGGATGTGTGTATTACAATGGCTCCTTGCACGTGGCTACAGATGGAGGAGGCGCTGGGGCCGGATATCACGCCTCAATTGTGAAGATCGATCCCAAAACTCTCAAGGCGGAAACTCTTCTCAATAATTTTTACCAACAGCCATTTCTTGGTTTCAATGATTTAGACATTGATCCCAACGGAAACATCTGGATTACCGACTCTATATCCGCTTGGGTACTTTGATTCACATACCTACAGCGGAACATTCGTCAAGCTGACTTTCTTCAAGGGACGGTACATGACAACAGCCGCACCATAACCAACTCCAGCAGTCTATTTTGTGAACACCACAACCATGAAACCCAAGTGGGTGTTTCAGACCAAGGGAAATGCAAATGGCATCGCTTTCGCAGAAGACGGAACTCTTTACGTGGACAGCACCGGCATATCGTCAGGGCGTCCCAACGTGAAAGACCCTTTCAAGACCAGAGCATTGCTTGCTTACGATACTCGAGATGGACAGCCACAGCTCCGCAACGAACGATTATTCTCAAACTCGATCTCGTATTATTGCGATGGAGTTCGAGTCTCGAGGAATGGGCTGGTGTTTTGCGGTGCTGGTGATGGCATTGATGTTATTGAACCTAAGAATGGTATTACACTGGGGAGGATACGGACGGGTGGTGGAGACCCGATCGATGCTGCTGTCAATCTTGCGTTTGATGGGCACACGCTGTGGGTTGTTGGTCATGGTGGAGTGTGGAAGGCTAGTGGGATCAACGAACTGCTTACTAGGAAGTGGTAATGGGGTTATGAGAAGCATTCTTCCAATCACATCGATGAAAGAAAGAAAGTTTTTCGCAAAGCAGCAATAACGTGGATAAAAGGAACGACGTAGATAAGTACTAGACACATGAAGAACTCTGAAGAACTCTGAAGAATTTCAAGAACAGGAAGCAGAAACTTTATTACCAATTTACAAGTTGCAGAATAGCACGCGCTGTAGCGCTAGTACCAGCTTTTTGAGTCAAAGGGTCATACAAAATATCGCCCATCTGCTTGACCCATTGCCACGGATGGGCTAAACCATCACAAGATCCCGCATTGTTCCAGTCCCAACCGAATGCACCTCCGAAATCCGATCCATATTTCTCTCGAAGCTGAGTGACAGTGGAGTTGTAGGTCGACAAAGGGTACCACCCTGATCCATCGACGCTGCAATCTGCAACCCCGAAAACGACTCTTGATGCATCAAAGCCAGCATCGACAACTGTTTCGTACTCGCTCGGCGAATTTGCACCATCTCCACCACCGGCATAAAACTGTCCATTGTACCAGCTCACTAGCTTACTGTTCGCCCGATCGGGGTATGAGCCGTTGTTATCGAGGTATTGATAATTGATACTTCCAAAGGAACAATCTCCGGACTCGGAAAGACAATCTTGTACTGGTGACATAGTGAGAATGAAGTCGGATCCCATATCGTCGTTGAGCTTCTCAAGAAGCTGCAGAGCACCAGCTGTTGTGTAATCAGTCTCAATGTCCAGGTCGATACCGTCAAATTCGTAATCTTTCAAGGCTTGTAGCAGAGGGGCGTAGAACTTCGCGAAGTTGTCCAGTAAATGTCCCCATGAACCATCGTCTGCTCCTCCAAAGCTCAACAGGACTTTGACGCCGTTCTGCTGTAGCTGCTTGACTTGTGGCCAGATGAAAGCCGTTTTACTCGAGTTGATTGGGAGGTCGCTCCAAAAATTAACGTATGGTGGGGCATCGGTTGGGTTGTTGAGATGAGCAGAAGAGAGAATAACATGTGTTACTCGTGTGTTCTCAGTGACGAGTTGAGTGATATTGTCTGGAGTGCCAGAGTCGGTCTGATTCGTGCCTTGGTCTGGGCCGTCAACCCAAATTATATTTCTTGTTGAAGTGGTCGCTGATCTGGGAATAATATCAGCAGGCGAAGGCAGGACTAACGCCGATGAGTAGCTGGCAAATGCCAAAGCGCAAAAAAGGGACCAGTACGAGTAAACCATGATTGTATGATGCAGAGTAGAATACTGCAGGATATGAAGAAATAAAGCGAATATATAGCTCCATGCTTGGACTCAGTGTTGATCCACTTCGACGAGCACGTTGCCTAGGCCAATCTAGAGACGCATAATTTTGGAAGCTTCGCCTCACAGTATTCCACTTCGTCTGACTGACAGTCATGTTCAGCCTCATTAGCGGCTCCTTTGAGGCTTGTCTTCCTTTAGCGAGGAGAAACGCTAGATCCGTCTTACTTTCGTGCACGTGCTTTACCGATGTAGTCAACTGCTTATCACAGAGCCACTTAAATGAAATTAGCTTATTGGAGCTGGCATTGTGTATCGCGGGGAACATGAGAAGGAGTTTCTCGTTAGTCAACTCTTACATGACTGCCGTTCTGCTCACATCGGAGATAATGTCCTCACATCCTCGCTTAAGAACTCGGACGAATCATGAGCTTAGATCAGCTCCACCAAGGCTTCGTCCGCGAGTACTTTCAATTTTGTGATACAAAATACGTCTTCATTCCTAGCACGATTTGAGTCACTTGCCATTCTTTCTTTTGCTGCTTCGCAAGTGCAAGTTGAATCAAAGAAATGTGGTAAAGCTGCGAAAATACTCACATGCCTCCAGTAGTGAGGAGGAAGAAAAAAGCTATGAAATGGTATTCAATGACCTTGCCTTGACGAGACTCGGGCTTTTTTTTAGGTTAGCCAAGTATCTGACATAGTCTTGTCGGCCAGAGCCCCTATCTTCAATATCTTCAGGTCATTGAGGAAATCTATCCAAAAGTCCCGACAACCTGACGTCTCATGCAACTAAACTTTCAACTCGATACATATAATAAGCTATCAATACTTCTGCCCACGTATAATCTCCCCTGTAATCCCGTCTTTTCCTAAAACATACTCTACTCTATTCTCATGTTCAGCCCTATAATCTCTTCGAACCTTAATCCTCAGTCCAATCTTCTCTCTCACATCTCTAGAGAAAGCAGCTCCAGTAAGCCTGTCCAGACTCTGCCTTTTCACGCCTGCCAAGACAGTAATCATACCAAAGCCCCGACCAATGGGCGTTCCGTACATGGCGAAGGCGAGTATGAAGGACACAACTGTCAATAATGGTTGAAGAGCAAGCAGCGCATATAGGGCAGGGCGAGCAATCAATGTAGGGACGTGCAGCTCGAGAGTGACAATGGAGGTATAGTTCTCATAATAGAGTTGGTTCGGGAAGCTAACCACGTTGGTTTCGTTATATAACAGACCCTCAGGCTGGAGTGGCACCCAGCCTAGACTCCCCGCGATACGCGAGCTGTACATCGAAGCCATGGAGACAGCGAAAGAAGGCAGAATCCATCGTGAGGTATTCCGTGTAGTGCCGAAAGCACCTAAGTATTCAGCTAGAAGTGGAAGGTAAAAGTCACCGAGATTAAGTTGACTGTTGGTAAAGTATTGATGCACTGGATCCAGTGGTTCTGCATCACACGTACCACTAATTAGGTCGATCGACGATGTAGTAATGCGCCATGTGCCTTGGCATTGATGGCGCTTAAGATCAAACCCGATAGCAGTCCTTGAAAAGGCATCATCCATCCAAGTGGTATTGGCTTGCATCGATTGATTAATTGGTGCTGGGAATACACCCAGAAGAGCCCAACTCTCATCCCATGCGCTCGCCGCGTCGGAAGTAGCCACTCCAACATTGAGCCAGCCGAAGAAGTAACCATTATCTAGTGTTTGCCATTTTAGTGATACCAAAGACAAGTAACTCCTCCACCATGCGTCGGTGCCATTGCGGTGTTGTTCTGCTATGCGATTGTATTGTGAAACAGTGGCACGAACTGCAGCACTTAGACGCCATTCTGACCCAACATCAAGTTGCCTTTGCAGAGAAATGACATACGATGGCGCAGGGCCGTCAAGAGCTGCCGCTGAGCCGTTTGACAGCAAAACCAAGTTGAAACCGTACGTGGGTGGGTTGTCTGCTGCTTGAGTCGGCACAGGATAATTATCAAAAGATGCCGCCAAAAAAGGTATTGTTGCGTTCGCCATAATGCTAAGGCCGGCCACGTTCTGTTGGAGTCCGGGTGGAGCGGTTGGGCCGAAATACTGGATTGATGCACCGTATTGCGCAATGCTAACACCGCCTGTAAATGATTTATATCCTATTGCTAGAAGTATCGGCATTGCTATGCACATGAATATAACAGTGCGCCATAGGGGATGGAGTTGAGTTGCAAATGGCGACCAGCGGAGTATGCCATCATAGTTTTGTAGGCTTGAAGAGCCGAATCGTGCTTCCAGCAGAAGTAAGGTGAATGGTATAATGCGTTGATGGCATTGCGACATGACACTCAATAAGAAGCCAATGATGATAATCTGCCCGGTGTACCGTAGACGTACGGCAAGATCTTGATTGTCGATGGTGACGACAGCGAGTACCAGACACATGAGAGACAAGAACACAACAACTACGTCCATCAATGGGACATAAGGTTTCGCGGCTGGGTGTCCTTCTTGCCGACTTATCTCGGGCAAGCGATGGCAACCTTGGCTCGGAAGAGCAACGGGTTTATGTCGCTTGTTATGCCCGAACATATTTTCTTTGGGCGTAAATCCGATGTGTAAAATTGTGCAAATGGCTTTGGTAATAGCTTTGGAAATAGCTTTGGAAAGAAATATTGATTCAGACGAGCAGTTTAAGACAGTTTGGATTCGGAGCCTTGCGAGCTGGCTGCCCCCAAGCCGCCCCCATCACTCGCCCCATATCGATAATGCACTCGCCCAAGAAAGGAACAATCATGTCAACACAATATAAGGCTCCGTCGAAAAAGGCATGTAAGGCAGCTCTATCTGCTGCGCATTTGCATGTGTTCATGCAAGAGTCTCGTAATGTGAGCTGTGATCGCTGCATCTTGCTGCGTATCCAAAACGTAACTGGGATATCCTGCATCGGTGGCAACATCCATGAGTGTAAGCAATTTGTAAGTCTATGCAGACTTAGTTATCATTGTAGATTAGACAGAGGAGACTGCGAAGGTGCTTGTAGTGCTTCAAATGTACTTTGGAAGAAATGACGTGGTAAGAGGACATGAAGACGATCGAGATTAGTATTTAAGCCGCTTAGATATCAGAAGTCAAAATTATGTTGATCGACCTCTGCGGCAGTGCACAAACAATCCGTCACACTTGGAGGGAACATGGCTGTAAGCTGGTAAGAAGTAGCAACATTTGAGAAGGCAGAAGAACTGCCAGTCTGCCTGCAGTGAGGGGTCGAAGTAAGGAGACGATCGTAAATGCACTCGCTTTCACAGGTTCAAATTCAAGTTTGGTTGCAGGCGTGTCCTGCAACGTAAAGGCGTTGTCACGAAGGCGACCACGTGACCTAGCAGCATATAAGCTCTCATCCCCTTAGAATCCTTTTAGTTCCGTACTTAGTATTCTATCTATTACATCATGACTTGACTCTGACTTGGTCGTGACCAGCGGAGAGAAAATACGAATAGAAGGTAGTCAGAGTCGTATCTCGAGGCAGGAGCGTTTAGCACTGGCGTCCATTAGCTCGACCCTTGTATGAAACGCTGATAGAAATAGGCAGCAAGACATTAAAAAGGATTCGAAAACAAGGAGCATATGACAGGAGTGAGATCGTAGAGTTGCGCGTGCTATCTTCGTAGGTTGCGCCGACATCGCAAGGTCGGTCGGCGGTCATCATAAATCGCATCTATGTATACATGTCATGAAGATTATAAGATCACAGGCCCAGATTTGTGGCGTTGGATTCGCAGCAAAGCTCGCAAGGATTTTCACTTGGAGTGTCACGTTAATTGCAAGGGTTTAAGCAGCAATTTGCCGCCTTTGCGATTGGCTAGGAAAAGCAGCAACAAAACTAACCAGACATCGATATATATAAATCTGAACAACCACAATGACTGTCACATACGACCATAGACTGGAGAGAACTGGGCATCCCGTCCGCTCTGCCATACATAAGCTCCAGATCGGCAGATTAGTAGTTGAGTGGGTGACCATCAGCGAATACCTGCTGTTGTATGTTTTTTTCCCTTTTTACAAATTCTTTTCAAGTGGGTCTTCTGGAAAAGGTGGAGACGCAACTACAAAGCAATGAAGGACATATAGGCTTCAAATCTCTCAAGAACTCCTGATGGGTATGTTTGGCTTTGGAGATTTCCTGGGAATGGACATGGTGTGAGGCATGCATCAACTTCCATCCTGGACCAGGAAAGCAATTTATCGGTCACGTGGGTCATCAACCAAAGACATTCGTGTGACTTCAATAACATCAGACAGGAAGCAGGAGACATATTTGTACTTCTTTAATGACAACAGCATTCAATTCTTTAAACAAAGTGCCTTTGACATTCACACCCTTTGCCTTTCTCACGAGCATGAGCCTTTTTCGCTTAGATAATGTCCTTCGGACCAAACGTAGAAGAAAGGTCAAAGCACCACCATAGTTTGGACGGCCAAAACTTTTGTAAGGAGTGTAACTAAGCTTATAGAAGAGCTAGCCGGGGGTAAATGTTGTGAGCAGCAAGTGCTAGTGTGAATGGCATATCTTTTCTTGCTCAATGAGACCTATTCACTTGAATAATTTGGGATATTGAATCATGAGATGAGTCAAAATAGTCCAGAGAAAGACTGGTATGTCTGTAAAGCTCCCTCTCATGATTCCCGCAAAACACAATAGAAGCAGAGAAACATATTCAAAAAAAGCTCGTCTTGAATTCCACAGCCACACGAGAACTTCCCTTGAGCACTTCGGCCCTTCACTGCGGCCTTTCTTATCAACGTCCGCTTCTATCCTGACAAACCAAACGATGGTCTCATCTCCCGCTCCCTCAGGCTACGTATACGTGGGATGTTACCCCGACAGCGTGGTCCGCCTCTTAGATGGAGCGAGCGTGGCCATGTCCAATCTCACAATAGCCGCCTGCGCAAACTATTGCAACACGATAAGCAGCACACGCTTTTATCCCCTCATCGGTGTCGAAGACAAAGACCAATGTTTCTGCGGCACCAACTTCACTCGCGATCCGGGAACTGCGAACGAGTTCGGTTGTAACGATCCGTGTAACGGAAATGCGAATCTGACGTGTGGAGGTCAGGGATATATTAATGTGTATAATGCGACTTCGGTACCTGCTGGTTTGAATCCATTGCCAGTTCCAACTACAACTACATCAAGCGTTCTGGGGGGCATCACGATCATTCCTGTTGATACAGCTCCCGCAATCTCGACAACCCCGACACCCTCTCCGACTCCGATTCCGTCTACAAAGCCATCTCGAGCTCTTGTGGCTTTGTCGATCAGTGCTGGTGTGCTGATGGCTTTCTTGCTCGCGGCTCTTGGTTGGTGGTACCTCAGTGCAAGGAGAAAGAGGAAATCTAACGCAAGTGTGGTATCTTCGACTTTGGTTGGTGACAATACTGAGTATGCTAGTCAGCATGAGATGAACTTCCGGGTGAAATCGCCGATTCCGAGTATGGGATATACGGAAGTTCCTTACATAGCACCCCGCACATCAAGCTTCCAGTGAATTGGGGAGGATGGTAAACGGTTGCATGTTGGGAGGGAATGGAGTTACGGGCTACTTAGCCATCTCAATGTTTGAAAATGAGTAGATGGTTTTCGCGCATGTTTTGCTCATGAACTTCTTCTGGTCGCAGTCTAGTATCATTGAAAATGTGAACATTCTCATTAAAAGTGGTATAGCAGATAAAGCAACTGTGGAGCTAAGTAGACTGCCTGTCTTTCTGAAGAACAAAGTAACCTCCGACCCACGCTTGAAGACTCCGCCAAACAGCTCAACTATGATTCGCCGGAACACCCAAATTCAATGATTCGCCATACACTCGCAATTCTCTTGACACAGTAGCGTCTCATTCCGCAGGTCAATTCATTATAGGGTACCGTGCCCATGCATCCACGTGAGTATCTTGCTCCAACTTCCCGCGGTCGTCCTGAACTGTTCCTGCCTGATGTCTTCCCAGCCTGCTAGTGACAATTTTGGTGTAAATGCTCTAAACACATAACTCAGAGCACGACTCAACACTCGGTGAATATGTCTTCACCCGTCATCGCCCACCGTCAGATTCGCTAACCTCGGCGCCAACGCTTCGTAGGATATCTTTGCCATGTCGTCTTTCTCCTGCGCCCGATCATAGACCGAGAAAAGAACATGCAGCCAATGTTCTAGAATCTCATCAACCATCTTGACATGCTTGTCGTCTCCTCCAGTGGCGTGAGCATCGTACAGCATCTGTCTCACGTGCTGTTGAATAGATTCGTAGGCTTCGATCATGAGAAGGATCTGAAGTCCAGATGCTCGTTCATCAAGCTCGGCTGGATGGTGACGGTAGAGAGCTGAAGCAAGCTCGTTCGTCAGAAGATCTGCGCAGATTTTGAGTCCGATGTTGTGGTCGAGCTCAGCAACAACTTGCTCGTATTGCTGTGTCACGTGAGGTGGAGTGGCTGGTAACATTCGTATCCTTCCTTTCTCTTCTGTCGGTGATGGTAGTGATGGAGGTGATTCGGATCCAACGAGGGTATCGGCGTCTGAATATGATGTTGCCGTCCGTGGTCGAGTCTGCTTCGATTGATCCGCCTTTACCAGGTCTCGAAGACTAACCTGACATTTGATCTTCCTGAGTTTGTGAGGAGGATGTTTTGGAATCTCCTCTTCACAGAAAGGCGTGAATGCTCGAGGTGGTAACTGTGATTGATATTCCTCTGCAAGATCCAAGGCTCTGTCGCATTGGCGAATCATGGAATTTCTCTCCAATTGACCTATTGCGAATACCGGTGTTTTCGAACGCATTCTCCTCCGTGAATTCAGGTGCTCTTGAGTTTCCACAGCGGAATACATACTCATTACCTCGTCGTCGGATTCCATACTCAGTACTGCTTCGTCAGGAGAATCTAAGTGGTGTTCGTCGAGGAGAAATTCGACGTGAGGTCTGAGTTTTCTGCTCTTCTCAGCATGGTCAATCGCAGTCAGACCACCCTTGTAATCGTCAAAAGTCGCCAAGCAGGACTGCGCCCGGATAACGTCAACTACTTCTTTGCGAGAGTAGAGATCCTTTTGAAACTTCGGTCCTCGAGGAGACTTTTGAAGACGTTTTCTTTCGTGAGTTTGTCGTGAAGCCATTGGATTTGCTGGATGTGACTGGAGAGCTCCCAACAAGAAGTACCTATATAAAAATAGCGACATCTCGCTTGGTCGGTTCGTATGACGTCGCAAACAGGTTTTCAGGGGTCTTCGTCCCGTATAACTTCAACAACGTCGTTGCTTGCTTTTCCAGCAGAACTTGTTTAATTGAGTGGAGAGTGAAAATGGGCAAACATAAACCCACTTGAACGTTATGTGTCAATCCTGTTGCTGGCGCGCAGCTGTTTGAATGTGACGGTCAACTCATCGTCTGGTGACACACCAGTTGCTGTTGATATTTTCAGCCACTTGCTTTTCATGCATCAGCACGATCAGCTCTGAATAAGCCATGGGCGATATGAGTCCCGAATCGTGCATGAACTACCATGCGACGATATATATGTTATCTTCTAAGCACCCTCGCGACATTCTCGAGATGCGAAGCTGATGCACGGTCCAGCATGGGTTGGAGGTGGAGCTGAAGCTGAAGCTGGAAGATGACGGCTGGAGATGCATCCCGGGACGCTCGGTGAATGGTTCCGCTTGGCATGAGGCTGGGAGCGAGGATGGAGGGGTGCGATTGCAATGCATCCATGTCGTGCAGAGATGCGGACAATATCTCCCTCGTAATAAGGTGAGGTTGGGATGCTCGTGGCGTATGAAGATCCATGTTGAGGATCCAAGGTTGAAAGACTCGAGCGAGTTCCGGTGGTTGGGTGATGTTCCTAAGCGACATGCTAAGCTCATCCGAGTTTAGGCCTTTCACTCCCCTTTCCACGTCAAATCCCAAACTCAGTATGTCGTTCACGACAACACATCGTGCGCTCTTTGTCTTGTGCGTCAACTAAGCATATTTTGAGTCAGGGTATGGTGGTGCTTAAAATGGGGACCGAGGTTGCATGCAAGTGGAGTGAGTACAAGTATCGTCAAACCCGCCAGCTCATATTTTGGACGAGGTGGTCTGATTGAAATCTCAATCCCATGGCTTATTCCGTCTCCACCCCTGAGCATTCGTCAAGCCCGAGATTTGGTAATGTGCCCAGAAGGATCAAGAACTTGGTGCACAACATTGAGAGAGTTTGCGGTGCGACTGCCTCCAGTGTGGCATCCTTCGGATTTCCCCAACTCTACTTAGCTGCAAGGCTGGGACTTGGCATCATAACAAGATCATCATATGCTCTATTGCTGCATTTCAACTCTCACTACTACACCGACATTTTATGGACTATTCTCTCACTATTGTATGTACGTCAAGGTTTTGTGGTTGGTTGGTTTGCATCTGGCTTTGTGCCGTCGGAGCCGAGTTTCGGAGCCGAAGTTAGTTTTTGATACTTATATCTCACCTACTATACGGGCTTACAGCAAGACTTATGCCTTTGGGATTCTAATAAGATTCCTTCCATCCAATACGAGCTAAGATTGTACCCTACCCAATCTGCCTCATGGTGAAAACGCGAGGGCCGCAAAGAAGCCCCAAATAATCATGTGACTGGGGTGGTTTGCAGGTCGATGAGCCGGTTTAGCTTGAGTTCAACATGTATTGTCATTTATGTTGCCTTTTAGCTGAGGGTATTTTTATTTTTCTGTCCCTTGAGGCTCAAGCTCTTAAACCAGAAAATGGCAAGTCCCTTGACTCGTGCCACCCTTCTCTGGCCAGGAGCGTGCCCTGTAATTGAAGCCTCACAAAAAGCACGGCATTGCTATGCAAACAGATCTCGTAACAAAGGTCGTTTTATTGTAGCCATCTACAATCTGCTTGCGGTTCCACGCAACTTCGACTATCAACGAGTTCTTTGTCTTGGACATCGCATGTCGTACCAACACCCAGTGACTTAATGAATTTCTCGCTCATGATGCAGTATCAATGGGAGCCTCCTAGAAAAATCAGTCATTTAGTAATAATTGTCAGATTCCCTGGCATCGTCTGTGTAGTTGTATAGAAAATGTAGAAGGGCTCCTGGAAGAATCGCTCGCTCGAGACTAATTTCAGATAGTTCAGCCCTATGCTAACCTTAAAAAGGATCAATATTATTGTCAACTCGCAGAACTCATTGCTTCTTCTTTCCAATCTATTAAAGTATTACCCTCGCCTCTTGTGTACTCTCGTTTCATGGTATTCCATTTCTTGCCTTGATCTCTTCACACTCCTCCTGGGTTGAACCCTGATTGGCGCTGTAGCAGGAATCAACTCAGGCACTTCTCCAATTCCAGGGAAAGGTTGAATCTCATCGCCTCTCCTCCTTGCCATTATGGCCCCAATCTCGCTCATCACAAACTTCATGAAGAAACCTTGTCGTTCAAAACTCCACGGCTTCCAGTCAACAACTCGGAAGTCGCGACATGCTTGCTTCAACTCCCTCTTCGAGTAATTTCTGTCTTGAAGATTGAATTCTTCAGGGATATCGTATATTAAGATTGCTTGCTGATGAACTTTTGAATCGAATTGTGGAGGATATGCGACTGCGTTCTTGCGCTTCTTGCTTGTAGTTTTTGGGGTGAGATTCAGTGCGTAGAAAACTTGCTCAGGCGTATAGAGTGGCTCTTTCGGGATAGGAAGAGAATCTTCGTCATCGCTCTCTCCATCTGAACCTTCGCTTTCAGAGCTATCATCTTCTCCAAGTCCGCGTTGCTCTCTGTCGCCACCACTCCCATCGTGTTTTCTCTTCTTGCTAAAGAATCTCCTAAGTATCGACTGCTTCCTTTTTGGTGCAGTAGATGGCTGCGCAGTTGGAGTTGCATGTGGCTTTGGAGCTGTGTATGCGGGTGCCTTCGGCGACGGTGGTGGTTGTACACCAATTTGGGGGAGATCTAACAGATCATAGTCAAAGCCCGGCCCGAAAAAGCCACCGTTCGCGAACTCCGCGGCCATTCGTGGCTTCTTGCGCTTGTCAAGATCTCCCTCAACGAAGCAGTTCAGTCTGAACCCAAACGCCAGACACATTGCTGAAGTAGCTGTGAACACTCCACAGTTGTACTCGTCGTCTTGTTGTGCCGCGTTTGGGCCATCATCTGTTGTTTGACTGCGGTGTGACCACTCGCCGTACATCCTCCACTCTCCCTGCTGGGGTCGCTTGTTGTCTCTCGCCCACTTAATGTCGGGGGACAAGGTAAGGATAAGCGCACTGATACTTCTGGATAGATCATGGGAAATATTGTACTTTTCAGGCCCACTGTCGATCACAAACGCGAATCGTTGCTTTGGTGCTATGCCCACCAGAACACTGTGAGTTATATACTTGATATACGGTATAAAGAGAAAGTCGAGTTCCCTGAACATTGCCATGTTCTTGAAGCCAAGTTTCCGCATGGCCGCCTTGGCATGAGCTTCCGCGGTCTCTGGAGGGCGTCTACTCCGTCTCGTCTCTTCGAATTGATTGGAGGTGAACATGAGGCAACTCGGGCTCTTCAGAACCGGCGGATCTCGTGCTTTGTTGACATATTTGCAAATCATGTGCACATATTGATCCACTAAGCCAGGCGTATTGGTGGTGCGCATGTCTTTCTTTGATTTGGCGTTCACGATTGTTGATAATTCCTTTTTTGTTAAAAAAAACGCTACCTTTGTGGACAGCAGCTTCGTCAAGGGGCCTTCGTACGGAAGCTTTGTGTTGGAAGCACAGTATTCAGCTGTAAATCACGTGATATTTGCATGTGCTGTGAGACGCGGCCACAACAAGCAGCAGCCGCCTTGCCAGAAGTTGCGCCGGCACAACCCGCAGACGCTGGGTATACTCGAAGAGTACGTGCAAAGAGCGTTAGCAAAGGGGTGGATTAGGGAATCCAAGTCCTCTATAGCATCGAATATACTGATCGCACACAAGAAGGACGATCCAAAGGGGCGGCCTTGTGTGGATTACAGAGGGCTAAACGACGCCACGGTAAGGGACGTGTATCCCTTACCCAATCTCCAGAGTTTGAGAGATGCGATTGAGTCGGTAGTCATTTATACGAAGCTAGACCAGAACACAGCTTTTGCCTTAATTAGGATTAAGGAAGGCCACGAGTAGAAGACAGCCTTTTTGCTGCCTTCCGGCCTATGGAAATACACCGTTATATCGTTCGGACTTACGAACGCGCTAGCCACATGCCAACGACAGAACGAGAGTATTCTGCGGGAATACTTGGGCAAGTTTGTGGTCTGCTATATAGATAACATTCTAGTGTATTCACAGAAGAAAGAGGATTACGAGGGGCACGTACGCCTGGTCCTCGAGGCCTTCTCTAAGGTCGGATCCAGGCTCAAACTCAAGAAGTGCGACTTTGGGGTCACCCGTACGAAGTACTTAGGGTATGTTATTGAGCCAGGGAGAGTATCAATCGATCCGGATAAGATACAGGAGATAAGAGAGTGGTAGTCTCCCCAGATGGTCAAGGATGTCTAGTCCTTTCTAGGCTTCGCCAACTTTTGTAGAATGTTTATCCGAGACTTCTCCAAGCTCGCAGAACCGCTTATAGCGCTCACTAAGAAGGATGTCCCGTTCGTATGAACATCCCAAGCAGAGGCCTCTTTCTAGGAAATAAAGTTAAGATTCTCGAAAGAACCAATACTCCAGCAGTATAGGGAAGATCGAGAAAGTATTATTAAAACTAACGCATTAGACACGGCTATGGGGGCAGTGCACTTGCAGAAGGCCGACGACGGGAAGTTACACCCTGTCGCGTATTTCTCTAAGAAAATGTCACCCGCAGAGCAGAACTACGATATCTACCAGAAAGAACTTCTAGCAATAGTAGAGGCACTTAGGCACTAGAAAGTGTACCTCCAAGGGGCCAAGTTCCTAGTTACTATCCACACCGACCATATGAATCTTCGGGCTTTTACAACCACTAAAGTCCTTAACAATCGAAGGTTAGTACGATAGTCTGAGGAACTTACTAGTTTTGATCTAAGAATCAAGCACGTGCCGGGCACACAGAACCCGAGGGCAGATGCCCTTAGCAAGAAACCTGGATACGAGAGTGATAAAGTGTATGATAAGCAACCCTTGCTTCGTACCCTCAACAACAGGGACCTAGCACCGGCGATCAGGGAAATAGCTTCTCTAGGACGCCTAGATGGGACTCCGCTAGAGGCCCGTATTAAGGAGGCCTATGCTATAGACCTGATGGTAGGTTCCGTCTCTTAGTACTTTAAGAAGACGCTCGGAGGACTACTTACACACAACGGAAAGATTTACCTTCCCTTAAGTGTTAGGGAAGAAGTCGTAAGGGAACAATACGGATTACCGGCCTATGGCCATCAAGGAGAGCGAAGGACCTTCCTCCGACTTTCAAAAGAATACTAGTGTCCGTTAATAAGAGCCCTCGTTAAGAAAGTTATTAAGGATTGCGATACTTGTGCTAGGAACAAGACAAGTCGCCTCGCACTATACGGATTAATAGGGACGGTCCCTATACCAGACACCCCCTGGAAATCAATATCGTGGGACTTTATTACGAAGCTCCCGCTATCTAAAGATCCGGTATCAGGAGTTAAGTACGACTCAATCCTGGTTATTATAGAAAGACTTACGAAGTATATAATACTAGTACCCTACTAGGAGGCAAGCACGGCTAAGCAGCTTGCCCACGCTTTCCTCAGGGAAGTAGTCAGCCGGTATAGCCTGCCTAAAGAGATACTCTTAGATCGAGACAAGCTCTTCACCTCTAAATTCTAGACCGCCCTCACAGCCGCCCTAGGGATTAAGAGGAAAATAACTACTACGTTCCATCCGTAGACTAACGGGGGAAACAAGAGAATGAACCAGGTAGTTGAAACATACTTAAGATGCTACGTCAACTACTAACAGGACAACTAGGTAGCACTACTACCGCTCGCCTAGTTCGCATACAATAGTTCAACCACAGAGACCACGAAAGAAACACCTTTCTATACCAACTTCGGTTATAAACCCGTGGTATACAGAGAACTAGGCATCACAGCCATCGATAATAACCTGGCTAGGATCCGTGTCTCTAAGATTAAGGAACTACACACCTAGCTAGCCTCTGAGTTACAGTTTGTTTCTAAGCGCACTACACACTACTACAACAAGCGATATAGCTAGGAGCCTACGCTAAAAAAGGGGGATAAGGTATATTTGATCAGAAAAAACATCAAAACTAAGAGGCTAAGCGACAAACTCGACTACAAGAAGCTCGGGCTATATAAGATCAAAGGAGTGAAAGGACCTGTTAATTATGAATTGCAGTTGCTTAAGAACATAAGGATATACCCAACATTCCACATATTACTTCTCGAGCTCGCGCCACCGGGAGCGCCACCGGCTCCTTAAATCGAGATCGACCTAATCAACCCAGATGCTGAGTATGAAGTGGAACAGATACTAGATTACAAGTATGTCAGGGGGAGGATCAAGTATTTGATCAAGTGGCAAGGATACCTATAGTTAGAGAACACTTGGGAGCCCAAATCGAATCTTAGCTGCCTTGAGATCCTAACTAACTTCCACCGCCGGTATCCAGGCCTTCCTAGGAGGGAACAGGGGCGGAAGGGTCGCTAGGAGCAAGAAGGAGAGACGCTTCCAGGGCATTCTAATCGATGTTGGAAGGTTCCCAGGCAGCCGGAGACGAGGCTGCGGCCCGCTCCCGCTCTTCCTTCTCTAGCCTTTCCTTCTCTTCCACGGAATCCAGTTCGTCGAGGTATCGCAGACCACAACGCATCATTTCTTTCTCTCTCTTTAGGAGAAACTTCTTTTGTTTTCGGAGGCGGAGGATTTTCGCCATCGCCTCCTCTTCTTGCTCGTCCAAGCGAGCCTTTTGTCGCTCGATCGACTCCTAGTCCTTCTCTCTGGGAACGTTCTTCTCCCATTCGTCGGAGAGCCCATTGTAGGAGCGTCTGCGGCGAACGCACTCGGCACACCGAGAAGAGACAGAGGACTCTATCACGCACCGACGGTTTTCCTTCGCACAGCAGGAGCAGGGTGTTATTTTGTAGCCAACGTCTTCTATCTTTCTTACGAGTTTTAGCTGTTCGAGGCGTTTCCTTAGGGATTTGTCGTTTATAATGGAAAGGGAAGAAGGAGTATAGCGACCGTGAGATGTTTTCCTTACACTAGTTATGCGCATGGGACTGCGCTAGGAGGAATGGGGGATAGTGTTACGACTACGTGCACGTGAGCTCGCTGAGTCATCTCGGTGAGCTCTGGGTC